TGATTCTACAGCTAACCTTAATCACGCCTTAAAAGAACGACGAAAGAGGAAACAAAAATTGCCAAAATTAGGAAAATTTGAATTCCAAAAGTAATCAAATAAGGAATACACATAAGTATCAGTTTTTTAAGAGATGAGTGCTTACCTCGCAGTGAGATAGGAATCTCACAGAGGGTAGCAAAATGAAGCCGGAGGAGGTGGTTGTTTTCAACTTTTTCTTTGCCTTAGGCGATTGATGTGTTGCTTATTCAAGGCCGTTAGGTGTATTTCAAAAACTAGAAGCCACTATTCTAGAAAATGAAATGATAATAGTGGAATAATAAATCTTTTATTAAATTATTCAATATATAAAACGAACAGACATGTTACTTATTGCTTTACTCAAATTTTTTGTCGCCCCAAAGAAGCGTAGAAAAAATATTACGTAAAGCGCAAAATATCTGCGGGTACTATTTGTAAACCATGGAATGAGGTAATCCTGAAGACTATCCGCCAGAATACCTCGATATTTTTACCTCAGTGGATTTTACATTAGTTTCGAGAGCATAACGGTGAAAATCATCAACCAAGTTTGTAAAGGATTTGATTTCTACCAATGTCTGATATGTAATCAGATAGGTAAAACTCAAACTAAAACAACGCAACCAACCGCATGACGGTCAGGAACACTATGCTTCTCAATGCAAAAATTCTCAAAAGTGTAACGCACAAAAAAATGTGTCAGACATGCCTTGCTAACGCAAGTGTCAGAGCTGTTATTTTTCAATAGGTTTGTTACCCTGGAAATCAGACAGAGCCCTCACAAAAGGCATTTTTGGTACATTAAGAACAACAAATATTAAAAAAAAAAAAAAAAGAAAAAAAAGTCGAAGGAAACTATTTCCTTAGCAAAATGTTTCCGCAGAGGAAATACCTTGGAAAAACTTCCTTTGTTGAAAAAATATTCGTTAAATGTGTGCAATTTTTGTACCTCGGCTATCTAAAAAGTTTCTAACGTAGCTATTTGTGCAGTTCTTGGGTCAAATACGATACTTGAAAAAATAAACAAATCTATTAACTTTTCTTTCTAGAACGAAGTTTTATCTCGGGTTTAAGGAATTTTTGGAATAAGAGAAATAGCCAAACAGTTTATTATGGCATTTGGGGCAGATATCAGACAAGCATAATTTTCGTTAAATAATACCCTATAAATAAATAAAAATAATCGTAATACTCTAAATCGTTGATAATAACGGCTGATTCAACATCTAACCTTAATCACGCCTTAAAAGAACGACGAAAGAGGAAACAAAAATTGCCAAAATTAGGAAAATTTGAATTCCAAAAGTAATCAAATAACGAATACACATAAGTATCAATTTTTTAAGAGATGAGTGCTTACCTCGCAGTGAGATAGGAATCTCACAGAGGGTAGCAAAATGAAGCCGGAGGAGGTGGGATACTTATCCCGTTTCACGCGCTTATTTTAGAAAAATTCACGCGTCACGTTTATTTTAAAACACCATTTCAGGCATCTCAACTTCAAAAGAACAGACCTCAAGTCTCTCTTCTTTTATGCGAGGTTTCAGGGAAACCTTGAGGCTTTCACGAAATGAAAGAAAATAATTCACGGGTCACGTATATTTCAGAAGGCAAATTGCGCTTCGTGCTTGATCATAAATTCACGAATCACGCTCGCCTTTCGGTAAAATTCACGCCGCGTCACATTTTATTTCTGGCCTTAAAAACTCCTTCCCACTATCCTTTCTGATTTGAATAATAATAATTATAATAATAATAATAATAATTCTGATAAGGAAGGATTTTCATATCGCCATATCCATCAGCTCATAGCGCTTTACAACATTTTGTGGGGGACTTTAGTCAGACTGCAATCAGCCGTTTACACCTAAGAAGAAAATGTTTTCAGATGCCCCCATTTCAGACCACATCCTGTGCAACGTCAAAATAACGAGCTGAAAAGCTGTTCCGTTTGTATGAAAATAATTTAATCGTCGTGTGACATTTTGATCCCCTTGTCAAACCATAAAACACGATGCTTAGGAAAATACTTTGCGTTCTTAATGGTTTGCTAATTACTTCTGTGTCGGAAAAGCATATGAATATGGATTCCTTTATAAGCTATATATAGTAAGACGGTTCAAAGATTCGTTTGTGTTGTTTTCAACTTTTTCCTTGCCTTAGGCGATTGATGTGTTGCTTATTCAAGGCCGTTAGGTGTATTTCGAAAACTAGAAGCCAAAATTCTAGAAAATGAAATGATAATAGTGGAATATTAAATCTTTTATTCAATATATTAAACGAACAGACATGTTACTTACTGCTTCACTCATATTTTTTGTCGCCCTAAAGAAGCGTAAAAAAAATATTACGTAACCCGCAAAATAACTGCGGGTATTATTTGTAAACCATGGAATGAGGTAATCCTGAAGACTATCCGATTACCTCAATGGTTTTACCTCAGTGGATTTTACATTAGTTTCGAGGGCATAACGGTGAAAACCATCAACCAAGTTTGTAAAGGATTTGATTTCTACCAATGTCTGATATGTAATCAGATAGGTAAAACTCAAACTAAAACAACGCAACCAACCGCATGACGGTCAGGAACACTATGCTCCTCAATGCAAAAATTCTCAAAAGTGTAACACACAAAAAAATATGTCAGACATGCCTTGCTAACGCCAAATGATACTAGCCGCGTATTTGCTGCTACTCACCCCTCCCCTGTGACCTTCTCAATTAGGTACATCTCCACCCCACCGCTGAAGGGTGTTTTTTCGGTTTTTGGTTTTTCACATTTTACACAACTCTTCAGTTACGCGTAAACATATCAAACGTGACTAAATATTTTCCGGGTTCAAACTCTGACGATTTTTATCAATTTCTCAGAATTGCCTTTACGTCATAACATCCTACGAAGTGTGTAGGTGGCAAAATAGCATTCTTTCGCGAGAGATCTGGGTAAAAAAGATTAAATTCCATGCCTATTTTCAGACCAAAAGTGGCTTTATTTTCTTATTTTTAACAGAAATAGCAAGTTTTTTTTTAACTGCTTCAAATGTTTTTAACTCGTGCATTACAAGTGCAAGATTTTGAAGTGAGAAAGCCATAGGTAAATTCATTTCATCAAAGGTCTACGATCTTCACAGATCAGGCTCGTCTCTTGACGTGATTTTTCTGTGAGGGAAAGATACTTCTGTAAGAGCAAATATAGTTAGCACAAATGCGATTTCTGTGTAAAAATATGTTGAAAGCATCTTTTGAAAAAAAAACCAATATCCTGGTGAAAAAAAACTGGTGAAAGCTGAACTCAAACTCTGGTGAAGCTGCCTTACACGACCTCGTCTTAAGGTGACTGTCATCGCCCGTGACGAGCTTACCAAATAATTCTATATGATAAAATCAATAAGGAGCAACATTCTTGACAATTCTCAAATTTCTTTTCCTGGAACATCCAACGAGGCCGGATGCAGTGTCATCTATGTCACACAGAACATCGGTTTTTGATTTCACAGACGGCGCCAGAAAGTAGCTGGAACGTGTCTCCCATCTCATAGCGCTTCTCCTTTCTAAATTTTTGTGATCTAAGTTTTTGATTTACGATCGAAGAGTATTTCTGAAGTTTCGAAGTTTCCTAGTTCATCAACTGGGTATTTTGGCGTGTAAGGCTTTGAGTATATCGAGAGCAGAGCAGAGCTGGCCACGTGCTAAATGAACTCATTGATCATCTTAAGGATTATTTATACAGCTACGAGTACAATCAGCACAACGTCCACCTTCGAAACGAGTGTGTTAAGGCATTGCATCGGCAGAAAAATATCGGAATGACTTCAAAAATTGCTTATTTTGTCGTATTTTTCATTGGTCTACGCTTCGGTTTTAATGCAGGTAAGATGGCTTCTGTTTCTAGTACAACCTCATCCATTCTTATCGCTTTCAATGTTTCTGCATCGCATAATTTGTTTTGTTTTTTTTTTGCTTGAACCTTCCGGTGAGTTCGGTCGTTTTAAGTCGAGAAAGTTGTCTGTTGTTTTTTTAAAGGTGGCCTTTTCATCTCCGAAGATGAGGGACTTTTGTGATAGAAAATGTAGAATCGATAAAGAGGCTTTTCCAGAGCGATATCGCTTTTCCAGTTTTGATTTCCACTGGACAGAATACAAACAACTGAAAAATACCCGGACTACTTTCTTTAAAAAAAAAAAAAAAACAGTGATCAGATGGCAAACTGGCGTCTCTCTTTTAAGTTCATCCATCCCAATAAGAAGTAGAATTTTCCAGTTGTTTTTTTTCTCGATCGCACGAATAATTTGACAGATGCTGTAAGTTGCACAGTCAGCTATTGTGAAAGACACTTCTAAAATGAGAGCCCATTTCACAACAGAAGAGGACCACTATCGCATAATGCTTTTGTTATTTATTCACGAACACCACAGAGATTAGGCATTTTGAATGCATGTGTACTTTTTCCATAAATCAATCTGAGTCCCCTGTCTTCGTGAAGACCCCTCATTGCTTTTTAAGTAACGGAAAGGTTCTTTATTCCGCGTGAAGCAAATAAAATAGAAAACGCCAGTGCATGCTCGTCATCGAATCAGCAGGTTTTCTTCCATTATCTTAACTCATATGAAGCATATACATACAGGAATCGTCAAACGTGTGGCGGGCAAATGAATTTGTCCGTGGGTGAGTATTTACCTCAAAATTTCTCGTGTTAGTACTTACCATTCATAGCGGCGTTAGTCATTTGTCTGAAAAGTCACTTTCAGTTTGAAATTATATGTCATAAAATATATATTCTCGCCAATTTTTTATTCGTACATTAAAAAAAAGGCGTTCGATTTGAAGACATGCAGAGAGGGTTGATTTTATCAAAATATTTATAATGATAATCATGAGTTGTATTGTATGAATGCTAATCGCCCAAAAGGTTTTTTCACGAGATTCGCGATACAATTTATGAAGTCACCCAGTTTTTGCATTCAAGGCGTAAAGCTTTAATGTCCATGAAACTTATTCCGGATAATAATAACATGATAAATCTCTCCCTTTTCTTAGATTCCATCTCCTCAAGAGGTTTACAATCTCTTTTAAATTATTTTGGTCGAATATTTCAACCTAACGAGCCACATTTCTTAGATTTGGACCGAAATTTTTATTGAGCAGATCATGTCCTAATTATAGCAGTTAATTTTATCTCAGTGGGAGAACGTCCACAAGAGTCAGAGAATTAATCCCCTTTCGACTTTATCTTCGTTATCCTTTCCTTTTTGTCCCACGCTCGAAACAAATAAAAATTCAATGTCCATGTTATCCATTGCAGTTAAAAATTTCTACCAACTGTTTTTACCGCTATGTACGTCGCGCACTAAATTTCACTCGTTTCGTGTTTTGGAGGAGCGTGTGATACGTGAGAGGAATTTTGGCTCATTTTCCGCCGGCAGTTTTCCGAGAAACTCAGTATTTATAAAATTCTCAGAAGATAAAAGGCGGATCTGTTGTGTCCTTTTATGGTTAAATGACGCATGTGATGACAGTTGTCTGACGAGATCTCATGTGAATCTCTTAACAAACCGTATTATTTTGTCTCCGCGTTACTGACCTCGTCAGCTGTGAAACTATAGATATTATTTGCATGAAAACATTTGTTATCGTTCCGAATTTGACAACCTTTAAAGGCCTTTTAGTCGGCTTACACTTTAAAATTGAAATTGCTTTTTAAATAAACTCCTCCCTGAATATTTCTGTTTTCATTCCGGCCGAAATTGACAAATGTGTAAATGTCTTCTGACTTAGGTCTGATTCGCCTTCGCTTTTCGACTTGGTTGTAAACCTCAAGGCTCTTCAAGGGCCCATTGTTTGAGAGAGACGCAGCACTAACCCAGGATTACAATTCAAAACTAGGTATGACTTATCTGAGTCGCATAAAGTTTTCGTCAACTGTTAAAGGTAGCGCAATGTCGTGTTTTCGAATAAAGACTGACGGCTGTACATTAATTAAAGTAAAAGGACTAAGATATAATTACATAAACGTGTAATATGTAAACTCTTCGCTGTAACGCTGATATTTTCAAATCCTTGCTGTTTTTTGAGACTGTACTTGTCGGGGAACATATTCCTATAATCTTAAATAATATTCAGGGGTAAAAATATAGGTTTATTCCAGATCAATTCAGCATCAAAAGATGGTATTTCTAACTTAGAACTATTGACTTACAATGCTGTTGTCTTTTCACATACAGGGGCTTTAGGAAACAGCACCGGAACGACCTCGCTCCCTTGTACCTCAGCTACTACATTGCAAGGGGCACAATCAGCAATTGTTTCAGCTACGATGACGGAGGAATCATCACTATCAGTTTCAGTCACTAGGTATGCTTCCACGTCATCTCAAAACGCAAAACTGTCGAATGCATCAACTATGTCACTCAGACAGTCGACAAGTACATGGAGTTTGGAATCAAGTAACACACCTCATATCCCATCATTACCAGCTTCGTCACTGCCGAATTTTTCAGCCACAATTCTGGACAAGTCAAAAAGCACGCCAGGATTTAATTCATGTACTGTCGTGTATTCTTTAGCATGCGCAGCCTTGTCGAATGTCTCAACTTCTACCATGATACGGGAACAATCGAATAGTACAACAACACTACATTCTGGTAATATTACAACTACGACGACTGAACAACTCGTACCTTCATTGACAACAGCCCCAAACAGCGCGAATTATTCCACATCGTCCACTAGATCTTCCTCTCTATGCAGTTTGGTTTATTACAGTTCATGTTCACCTTTCTCTCCGTTGGATGTTTCGAGTTTATCACCAAGACAATCCTCACGTTCTTCATCGTCAGTATCGGACACCACGACTTTTCTTACATCATCAAAAATCATATCGACGTTGACTGTTTCAAGCAGTGTGCCTTATTCTACATCTTCTTCAGCCTCGAGGCCATCGGGTATTTCAAGTACCATGGTGCACCAGACAACAAGTCCATCAAGTTTGGATTCAAGTAGTACGCCTTATTCTACATCTACAGCGTTGCCAACATCGACTGTTTCAAGCTCCATGATGCAACAGACAACAAGTCCATCAAGTTCGGATTCAAGTAGTGCTCTTTATTCTACATCTTCTTCAGCTTCGCCATCATCGACTATTTCAAGTTCTGTACTACAAGAGACAAACAGTACATCAAGTTTGGATTCAAGTAGTACGCCTTATTCTACTTCTTCTTCTACTTCGCCATCATCGACTATTTCAAGTTCTGTACTACAAGAGACATACAGCACATCAAGTTTGGATTCAAGTAGTACGCCTTATTCTACATCTTTTCCTACTTCGCCGTCTTCGAGTATTTCAAGTCCTGTACTGCAAAAGGCAAACAGTACATCAAGTTTGGATTCAAGTAGTACGCCTTATTCTACATCTTCTCCAACTTCGCCATCATCGACTATTTCAAGTTCTGTACTACAAGAGACATACAGCACATCAAGTTTGGATTCAAGTAGTACGCCTTATTCTACATCTTCTCCTATTTCGCCATCTTCGACTATTTTAAGTTCTGTACTACAAAAGGCAAATAGTACATCAAGTTCTGAATCAAATAGTACGCCTTGTTCTACATCTTTTCCTACTTCGTCGTCATCGACTATTTCAAGTTCTGTACTACAAAGAGATAAACAGTACATCAAGTACATCAAGTTCTGAATCAAGTAGTACGCCTTATTTCGTATCTTTTCCAACTTTATCAGCATCAAGTATTTCAAGCTCCATACTGCAACTGACAACAAGTCTATTAACTTCTGATTCGAGAAGTTTGCCTTCCTCCACATCCTCTCCAACATCGACGCTTTCGAAGATTTCAAGTTCCTTGGTGCCGATAACACAAAGTTCATTAACGTCAGATTCTCGTAGTGTGCTATATTTTACATCTTCCCCTACCTCGTCATCAGCGAGTATTTCAAGTTTCACGCCACAGCAGACAAGTTCATTGAGTTCTAACTCTAGTACTATCTCAAGTTCTACACTACAACAAACAACTAGTTCTGTAAGTTCAGATTTAAGTAGTGTGCCTTACACCACATCTTCTCTTATTTTGCCATCATCGAGTTCCATACTAGAGCAGACAACAAGTTCGTCAACTTCAAATTCTAGTACTGTCCCATATTCTACATCTGCATCTTCGTCATCTCTGATTATTTCCACGACAGGATTATATTCATGTACTGTCGTGTATTCTTTAGCATGCGCAGCCTTGTCGAATGTCTCAACTTCTACCATGATACGGGAACAATCGAATAGTACAACAACACTACATTCTGGTAATATTACAACTACGACGACTGAACAACTCGTACCTTCATTGACAACAGCCCCAAACAGCGCGAATTATTCCACATCGTCCACTAGATCTTCCTCTCTATGCAGTTTGGTTTATTACAGTTCATGTTCACCTTTCTCTCCGTTGGATGTTTCGAGTTTATCACCAAGACAATCCTCACGTTCTTCATCGTCAGTATCGGACACCACGACTTTTCTTACATCATCAAAAATCATATCGACGTTGCTTGTTCCAAGCAGTGTGCCTTACTCTACATCTTCTCCAGCCTCGAGGTCATCGGGTATTTCAAGTACCATGGTGCACCAGACAACAAGTCCATCAAGTTTGGATTCAAGTAGTACGCCTTATTCTACATCTATAGCCTTGCCATCATCGACTGTTACAAGCTCCATGATGCAAAAGACAACAAGTCCATCAAGTTCGGATTCAAGTAGTACTCTTTATTCTACATCTTCTCCAGCTTCGCCATCATCGACTATTTCAAGTTCTGTACTACAAGAGACAAACAGTACATCAAGTTTGGATTCAAGTAGTACGCCTTATTCTACTTCTTCTTCTACTTCGCCATCATCGACTATTTCAAGTTCTGTACTACAAAAGGCAAACATCACATCAAGTTTGGATTCAAGTAGTACGCCTTATTCTACTTCTTTTCCTACTTCGCCGTCTTCGAGTATTTCAAGTCCTGTACTGCAAAAGGCAAACAGTACATCAAGTTTGGATTCAAGTAGTACGCCTTATTCTACATCTTCTCCAACTTCGCCATCATCGACTATTTCAAGTTCTGTACTACAAGAGACATACAGCACATCAAGTTTGGATTCAAGTAGTATGCCTTATTCTACATCTTCTCCTATTTCGCCATCTTCGACTATTTTAAGTTCTGTACTACAAAAGGCAAATAGTACATCAAGTTCTGGATCAAGTAGTACGCCTTGTTCTACATCTTTTCCTACTTCGTCGTCATCGACTATTTCAAGTTCTGTACTACAAGAGATAAACAGTACATCAAGTTCTGAATCAAGTAGTACGCCTTATTTCGTATCTTTTCCAACTTTATCAGCATCAAGTATTTCAAGCTCCATACTGCAACTGACAACAAGTCTATTAACTTCTGATTCGAGAAGTTTGCCTTCCTCCACATCCTCTCCAACATCGACGCTTTCGAAGATTTCAAGTTCCATGGTGCCGATAACACAAAGTTCATTAACGTCAGATTCTCGTAGTGTGCTATATTTTACATCTTCCCCTACCTCGTCATCAGCAAGTATTTCAATTTTCACGCCACAGCAGACAACAAGTTCACTGAGTTCTAACTCTAGTACTGTCTCGAGTTCTACACTACAACAAACAACTAGTTCTGTAAGTTCAGATTTAAGTAGTGTGCCTTACACCACATCTTCTCTTATTTTGCCATCATCGAGTTCCATACTAGAGCAGACAACAAGTTCGTCAACTTCAAATTCTAGTACTGTCCCATATTCTACATCTGCATCTTCGTCATCTCTGATTATTTCAAGTTCCTTGCTGCAACTGACATTTAGTCCATCAAGCTCAGATTCAACGCAGGAAACAGTCACCTCGATCCAAGATTTTAAAAAAAGTTCTATCAGGTTGACCACCATTCGGACTCCCGTTTCAAGCCGTGTCCTTCCTAATTCATCATCTTTACCACATGAGTCCAAGAGTGTGTTCTCTATCCTATCACCAACACCCTCATCTACAAAGCTAACGTTGATCACTTCATCTACAGCCATCAGTCCGCCAACTACTCCTGATCCAGGAACAACAAAGCGATTTACCGTGATGTTTGTAATCACAAACGTGGATTATGAAAAGAACATGGAGACAAATTTATAACTCTTTCAAAGAAAGTAAAAAGTTCAGTTGATAAAGCACTTGAAGAAAAAATCGGCAGGGAATTTGCTTACTCCATTGTGGAACGGTTTAGTGAAGGTGACAATATTAACTGCCAGATAACAGTCGTCGTCTCCAGAGCTTCCAACGCCACGGAAGAAATGATTCGAAACGCACTCGGGGAAAAACTTGGAGACTTAGAAATAACGAATGTTGTTATTGTAGACACAGAGACAGAAAAACCAACTGCAGAGAAAGAGATCGCTTATGTAGTCAGAGCAACATTAAAAGGTGAGGTGTACAACAGTAACCTTGGAGACACCTCCAGCAAGGAATTCAAAACTTTAGCTTTCAAATTACGTGTACTTCTAACTGGAGTATTCGAAGAAAGATATAAAACTTTGTTTCTTCGAGTGGAAATCATAGCCTTCCGCAAAGGTAGTGTTATATGTGAATTTAACGTTATCACGAAAGAAAATTCAAAGGTGACGAACGCTGATGTAAAAGAAACACTAACACAAGCAAGTAACAAAGGAGAGATAGGAAAGTACACTTTTACTGAGATTCAAGTTGATAAAAAGACGAGCACAAAACAGCAAACTGGGGATAAAGAAAAAACGTTGCCCAGCTGGTTGTTCGTTGCGATTGCGGTCTTGGGAGTGATGGTGCTGCTTGCAATTGTGATTATATTTTTGGTAAGATCAAGTTATTACGGATAGGGTCGATATTCAAAATAGTAAAGAAGAGCTCAATTTTTTTTTAAATCCGCTTAGCCAAAGAAAAATAATTTTAACATCTACCTTCTGACCTCAGTATCAGATGTCAGGCATCTACCAAATCGGAGACCCTTTTGCAGAATCTAATAGGGTGGAAAAGGAATAACAGAGTCGCAATTAACAATAACGCATGGTACACTAGCCCCGTGAAGTCCACCATTTTCTGTGCCAAAATCTAAAGGTTTTTATCTAAAAAACGGTTCTCGACCTTCCATATCCTTTTCCATCCTTGCCTGTGTATACTACGCAGGTGACGTAAATTGCGTCATCGCCTCATAACGTTATCAGTATTATAATTATTTGCATTTACTTTCTCATCGATTTGCGCCGATAATCGTAATATTTTTGTGGTTTACCGTATGTTAACAAACTTATGAGCGAGGTTAGGAGCGTAACAAGAAATTTTTCAAAGGGAGATTCACGGTTACAAATTCTCCGCGCCCTACGTTTATTGACCATACAGCATATGTACCTTGTGCATCAGGGGCTCGTATCCATACGAGAGAAAAACGTATGAATTGAGTGTGTAGCATCAAATAAGATTCGTGCTATGCTCATTCCTCAGATTAGCACGTTTTCGCTACTTGAATCATGTTTTACAGGCATTTGAATAACAAAAAAGTTTTCTCTTAAAGGGGTGGTGGGGTCACAGGTAACCGAGCGGCCCTGCTACAGCTACGCACCTCGGCAAAGGTTGACTAGGATCCTTGGAAACGACGGACGTTGCCATGAAACGCCCTTATGGTTACCCTGAAACGATATATAGCTTCCAAATTAGCAAAAACTAGAGCGGCGTTAAGAAAATACGGCTTATAACCTACAGTGTTTGATGAAGCACAGATTGTAAGATTGTTTAAAATAATCTCAAACAGCTATAAAAATATGTAACCAGATACATGTAACCTTGTTTGGCTAGCTTTATCGGAACGTATGGCACTGGACAAGGAAAAGCTCCCGAAGTTTAGGGGATCCCATTATCTTAAAGCGGGATAATAAAACTACCACATTACAATTTCTTGTATCAATTCTGTTTTTTATTCTCAGGCTTGTAGAAAGCGAAATAAACGAAGCCACAACCTAGCATTTCTGGACGTATATGAGAACTATGGTATTGCGATGGAGGAAGTTCAGGTGGGGAAGTCGAACATGAACCATCAAGAGGATGACTAAAATAAAAGGTGAAAAATCAACGAACTCTCTGCATGCTTTTTTAGAGTTTTTCGTAGTAGTTTTTATTTTAATAGTTAACCCTGGAGCACTAAGTGCTGGTAAAAACGTTTGAAACGAAATGGAAAGATGCTTACTAGAGAACAAACATTCATTTAATGGTCGATGACATTTAACTGTTGTTGTGAACGACGCTTGATTATAATAAGGAACATGGGACGCTTTGCGGTTAAGCGAAGAAAAAGCGAAAGCAAAGCAACCCCATGAGACGAAAGGAAGTCTAGCTACGATTCTTATCAGCTACATGTATCTTATTAGACGTTTTGGTGTGTAGTATCGCTGAGTATTTTTACAAGTTGTGCCGTATTTTGACTTGCCCTACTGGCTCGTTAAAATACAAACAACGAGTACAAATACTCAGCGATGCTACGCTCCAAAACGTCCAATAAGTTATTTATTATCCAACTGCTTTTTTTTCTGGTAACTCTTTTGGCTCATTTCTCATAAGGCGGGAAAAGCAAAGCAGATAGAGAAGCGTTGCGCGCGCACCGACTGGTTAAACAGGTTTTTTTAACAGTCCAAAACAACCAACTGTCCAAATAACCGTACAGTATCGCAGGATATTTGTACTCTGTAACATTATTAATCCGATTTCATTCTCTGTTATAGATAAGTTATGGCCAAAAATGAAAACGAAATGAAAAAGAGATATATCACGTTCAAGATGAACAACACAATGCACATTTTAGAGATATTGTACAGATGCAGGGAAAATGCCCGTGAATAACATTATACTTGAGACCCAAGTTATCTACAAGTTACAGAGGACGGCATGTCATTTAATTCCGAAAAAAAGACTGACACTTAAGAAAGAAAAAATCAGAGTGAGGGGAACAGTTTGTTCCTTCAAGATTCATCACCATTTGGTAATTTCTCCCTGGCATTTGCAACGACGGATGGCCACAATGGATATAATGTGGATAAATTACAGGGAAACTGACCACGTACATTGAGATTGAACGAAAATTCCAGTTCAATGCCGGCTTCTGTTTGACTTTGCTCAATGCTTTTACATAGGTCACGAAGGATAAAGAAGGACAGTGTCATTGACTGGAAGAAAAATCCCCCCAAGGACAAGGGCTTCACATATCAGGGATTACAAAAAGGTTAACTTTGCTAAAGAAACGATAAAAAACATTACATCCTTTTTTTTTATTTATAAATCATCGATTAGAACCCATTAGAACTAATATAAAAAATATGAAACTAGATCAAATATCAATATCATTGATGTTAACATGGTGAAGATCAAATTTTGAAATAGGAGGCAGTTTGTTGGTGTCTCATCTAGAGAATTTCTGCTCAATTTTAATAGGAGTAAGTTTTGTACGTCATAGTGTTTGCAAGAGATATAGGTGAGTCTTTGAAGACTTAAGTTTTTTTGTGAGAAAAAAAGGGCAAGAATACCCAAGAAATAGCGCACAATATTGATAAATATAACGCAGCATAGCCTTAATAAAGAACCTCTAACCGTTTTTGTCACTTTTTTTCTTATATATTAGAGCTTCACAAAAGAAAAAGAATTGACCATAGTGGGAATAAGGGGTGACTAAGATGTTTCTTTTTCTTCGCTTTTACCAAATATCATTCATCTGTATCGTTTAGTCGACCTTAAAATGCTACATCAAGGCTACTCACATACTCACGGCCAAAGTATGATTTAAAACATTTTTCCGCCTATATATCCTGCACGAGGATCTACCCTTTAGGTACTAAAAACAATGCATGATTACTATTTTCTGTTCGTTTTAGTTTTAAGATTGTATGTGTTCATTAAGTCTCCATTTCATTTGGGACGCCCCAAATATGATCGGAACGTCGTCGCGAATTGTACCCCGGGCCCAAATTGTATCTATCTGTATTTTGCAGAATTAAATATTTCACGGAAACCCTCGTGTTGAAATCTGTGCTTTTACTTCGTACAAAATTTTCGAAAACCGATTTCATATGAAAATCTGTTATTGCTTGATATCTTTGTTCTCCGATAGTCATAATTTGTGGAATGGACTCAAAAGAGCGCCTACTTATTCCTATTTTTATTGGCCTTAGCTTTTTTTTAACCCAGGTATGATGATTTTAGCTTTCCCTGCAACATTACCCCACCTAAAAGTTTATTTCTAATCGCTTTCCATGTATTTCACATCGCATATTTTTGACGTCTGCTTGAATCTTCACGTCAGTGTGGCGGCTCAGTTGTCTTTTGTCCTTGAAGATCGCTTTTCCATCTCTGAGAGTGACAATTGCAAGCGACAGTCCTAAAGTGTGGGCTTATTCACGAAAGAAGACGGTCTTTGTCGGAGGACCTTTCCATTGCTATTTACACGTGCACCCTACAAAGATTCGTCACTTTGAAAATTATTTGAAAAATTTGTCTTCATTTTCCAAGAGTCTTGTAGTCATTTTGGTGGAATAGCTGGCTACCTTCATGGAGCTGAAGGTAAAAGAAATACGAAACACCCGTGCAAGCTAGCTACTGAGTTACTAGTGAATAAAGGCCTTCACTTCCATCGCTCTGACGAAGGGCTAACGTTCGAAACGTCAGCTTTTAAACTCTTGACGGTGACAAATTTACGTTATCAACTCAGTCGACAACACTAAATTTCCCTAAATTACTACTGAATTAAGGTCAGAAAAAAGGCAAAAAGGAAAAAGATAAAATTGGAATAAATTAGCATCATGGTATAAAGATTTTTCTTTAAAATTTTGGAAACACTTTTTAAAAATCCGTGAACAACATCAGACACTCTAAAGAAGACCGAGACAGAATTTCTCCTTACGATATCTATACAATATCATGCAAACAAGCGATGAGAATAAAGAAAAATATCAATTATGTGATTACTAATTGATCAGATGCCAAAGTCTCCAAACTAACATAATGAGATTCATTTGGCAGACAGTAAAGAGAACTACTAATGAGATCTTGGGAGTTAAAGGGTAAAGTGTCTCTAAAAACTTGATCAGTAAGGCAGATAAGTTCAAAGGACAAATCACACGCTGACATTAAAATGAACAATAAAAGTTCATTTCAAGCAGAGCAACATGGGGAAAACTTACTTCATCTTTTTAATAAATCAAGGGCTTTTATTAAGCAAACCTAATAGCAGATAAAACTAAATTAAATATTTATAATATTAGAAGTCAAATGTTCTGGATTAGAGGTGCCTATGTCCTAAGAATTTAGACTCCAATGAATACATATTGTACGCATGTCACTGCATCTGCTAGATATAAAAGAGAGTCTTAAAAGACTAACATTCTTAAGGAAAAAAATCAATTAACTTTAACTGTTTTTGTTTGTTTTGTTGTTTTTTTCCAAAAGCAAAGATCCATCATACAAAAACAACAAAAATAAAAATAAAGAGTTCCGGATTAAAGTTGAACACATTGGTTGTCATTTAAAGAAGAGTTGTGATAATTGACAATCCAAATTTATTTATTGCTAAAATTGCTTTAATTCAGGACCACAAAAAGTATGGTCTCACACTAAATATTCAGCTATCTTACACAAAAGATACATACAATACTTACAGTTCATGAAATTACATGTCCATTTTTTTTTCTATTATATGCATCAACCAATTAATCATGCACAAATTCAAAGAGCCTTCTTGGTAGTATTAGGAATTCCACTTTTTGGTCTGCCTGATTTGGGTCTGGTTGAAGGACTGTTAAAATAATTTGAGGAAATTAATTCTGACAATGAATTAATCATCAATAAATAGTTATTAATTAACCATAACTGGTAATTATTATTGATTAATTCATTCTCTACTAAGGGTTATTTTTAACTGACTCTCAACAGTAATCCAGGAATGCATTGGCTTGGCTTTAAACCTTTCTGTGATTGCTCTAGTTAAGTCCAACCACACTATTTCACCAATACTAGAAATCAAAACTTAAAAAATGGCAACTTGGTCACCAGCTTTCTCTTGCTCTCCAGGCTGGATGCTTGTTTCTCCTCTGAGCTCTCTTTTGCTAAGTTTAAAACTTTCTTTCTTTATAACTGATTCCTTTGCTTTGTACTTTAACCCTTTAAACCCTAGGAGTGATAAACATCCAATTTCTCCAAATAGTATCACCCCTAAATCAAACATTAAGGTCATAAGAGTAAAGGAAATGATTACAATGTTAAGAAGCTCCTGATTATTAAGTAAATTCTCCTTGTGAGTATCATTGGGAACATATAGAGAATAGTATAGAGAACTTGTAAACTGATGTTAGGGTGTAAAGGGCTAATATTCAATAAAAATATGCCCTATTCACAAACATAAAATGAACATCAAACCTGCTCAATTCCTGATCAGTTTCTTCCATGATAGCTGATTTATCAGGTAGGGTTGCTGTTAACAACAATGAACATAGGGTTATAATTTAAAGTTAGTGTCAAATAATTTTCTGTACCTGCCAGAGTGGCCATAAAGGAATGCAGCTTGGAGCATTGTATTATCATTCTACATAAATCCAAAAGTATATTTCCAAATCAGCTTTAGCCTTGTTATCACAAGACCCCACAAGCTTTGAGCTTTAAATCCTACTGTGTTTAAATAAAGCAAGCCTTTCTATCACTCCTTTCAAATAGAAATAAGAACTTATTTATATATAAAAGTGAACTCCAATACTAATGGCTATTTACACTCAGGCTTCCTTTTTATAAAAAGGCTTTTTCGCATTAAAAGAGTGACATGTGGTTCCTCTTACCAACATTGTTATTGACTCCAGGGTGTTTTGCAAGGCCAATAAGAAATCCATAAAAAGTAACTCTTTCAACAGATGACAATAGTTCTTTAATGACCTCAACAGGTGGACAACTGAAAGAATGATTTTCAAACTACAGTAAATTCCTTCACAATAGGAAAAAAGTTTTTAAATCATTGAGCCTCAAGGCTCTATTTTGGATTTCAGGAAAAGTCAATCCAATGTAAGTAAATCAGTTTGAAACAGCTGTATAAGGCTCTAGAGACAAATGTCATACTTATAGCTAAGATCAGAAATATCAAAGACATCCAGTACAGATACACATATGGACTAAGAAAGATGATAAAAGTTGGGAGCTTGCTCGTCAAGTAAAAAGAGTTTAAACATTTGCCATAGATATGGGAGGAAAAAGAAACAGTTTAGAAAGGATTATACCTGAAGGAGCCATTGCTGGTATGAATAATTTGAAGGATGGCCTCCAAGAAAGAATGAACCTCCACTCCATCCCCAGGACTGACCTGAGCAGCATCTGGTGCAGTGTGTGCAGGCTGCTGTGTCTTGTGCTGAGTGGGCCTGGACAGTGTTGGCACTATCACTATCTGACCAGGTCTATAAGTACCTGATATCAGGGCTTGATAAGTGCTGTGAAGTTTCTCTATAAACTCTGTAGAAAAAGCTCTTTGTCAGAAAAGAATTTATGCACATCAACATCAACTTTACTTCCAAGCCTTTCTTTAGAGGTATGGACTGGTAACATTTAAAGGAAAGATTTCCACAAAAAACAAAGATCAGAAGAATGTCAAAGTGAAGAAATGAAGAGGGTGAAAAAGATTGGACAAAAATAACTGTAAATGAGGTTTGAGGATGAACTTTCAACATATTATGTCAAAATACATAAGCATTGCTCAATTAGAATCAAACTGGAATAGGTAGGATTAAGTGTACGATGACCTTTAGCAGAATCTTATTGAATGTTGGAGCTAAACATGTACCAAAATGTTTTATTCATTACTAAAAAATTACTTTTTTTCTTTTTTACCAGAGACAGGGTCAAATGCAGTCTTGCAGATCTCCCCCCCCCCTCCACATATGTAAGCCCCATAAGAAGTCCATTATAACAAAGGGTGAAAAGCAAGGTGATGTTTCCACTAGATGGGATTTGCCGAAAATAAATGGCAAACACAAATTCAAATGCAAAAACTATTCAAAAAAAGAAAAATGTATTACTCAAGTTATGAAACCACCATGAAGACAAAGGTAAATAGAGAATAATATCTATTTAGGGAAATTATTACAGAGAACTAAAGCTAAACAAATGTAAGAGCAAATTAACCCAGATTGCAATTCAGTTTTGGTTTAGGTTTGTGTGTAAATGGCATCTCCTGAGACAATCAAATTTGCTGTAGTTTTAATTTGCAAACATGTGATAAGATTTTCACCTCTTCAGACTGAAATAGTCAAGATTACTATTTGCTAACTTACCCTCATAAAAGAACTGTGTTTGAAAAGCATAAAGAAAATCTGGAAATGACATCAGACAATCCATAGCATCTTCCATTAAAATAATCCTGAAAAAAGGCAGGTGTTTTAACCCTTGAATTCCCAAGATATGATTGTCAATTCTCCCCTCTAGCTGCTACACATTTCCTTGTAAATTAGTTGGAAGAATTGGGTGTTAGATCAAGATATTGACTTCCACCCGATAAGTTTGAATATTCTCATTACCTGTTTGTTAGATAACATATTAACATTATTGGGAGAAGCTACATATTAATCACTTCTGGGAGTTAAAGGGTTAAAGGATCATTCTAAAGTGAGTGACAAAAAACAGCATGCTAGTGATCCATGTATAACCCACCTTGCTGTCTTCTGAACTGGCTCAAATGGAAAATCAGGGCACAACAGGCACACTAGAGAATGATATTCCTTAGCAGATAACAAATCTGTGGTCAATAAAAAATTAGATAACAAATCTGTGGTCAATGCAGAAAAAATTAATTTGTTTATTTCTCTTAGTTAAGATCAACTTTTTGCCAGGAATTTTTACTTTTTGTTTACAGATTAGTGAACATGCAAACCAAAGGTCCCCTAAAATGAACTTGAAAGGTAGAGACAGAAGAAAAATTTTTTCCTGTTGAAACTTTCTTTCTATCTTTTAAGGATTCTCAATAATTTGTTTATTTATACTTAGTCTTAGGAGTTTTCCATCAACTTTAGTCTCACCAGGAACAAAACTCCTTCAACAAACACCCCTCCCTTCAACAAACACTTCAACAAAATCAACAAAGCATTGGCCAAAATTTTTTGAATAAGTGCCTGATGATTCACCATCTTCAAATTAAACTATGACTGACATTACACAAAAAAAGGAACAAATTAAAATCAAAAGGAAAACACAAACGACACAACAACTTTTACAAACTCAATATTATTTCCATGCAAGCTCTGAATTTTTTTTTGTATCATACCTCCATTCCTTCCGATATGTCTAAAACATTTCCAAAACACTCTGATAAAAGAGGCAATATTGTGAGGTGTCTTCTTGATGTAACTGTACTCCCTGAATAGAGTGTGATTCCCTTGCACAACACTCCTGAAGCTATGAAAGAAGACAGTAGATAGATACATTAGACACTAGAGAATGATTTGCAGGGACAAAACTTTCTCTACCTGGAGTTTCTTTAAAGAATTCTGTACCAATCAAGTTCCTCAGCAGACAGCATACAAGATTCATTGATTATTTTCTTAGTAGTAACACTATTCCCAATTGATGACAACATGCTGAATAAAAAATAAATGATAATGCAACCTCAAGAGGTTACCATAGCCAAAGAAAAAATAAGGCTGTGCTTAAGGCATTCCAGTATCTCAGTAACAAACACCTGAATACAGTACCACAGCTATTACTTAATTAATAAAAATAAAAATGAAAATTATGATGATGAAAACAATGATAACAATACAAATGGATAATAAATCATACAACAAATAAATGAATTTCATTAACCACTCACTAATCACTCAGAAATCGAGCTGGAATGACCCTTGGATTCTCTTCTTTATGCTCCAGTAGCTGTGCAACTGCATCCTGTCAAATACAATTAAAACATAAATCACGAAAAATAAACATTAAAATACAGTTCAACCCTAATCATTTATAATAGTGCTAGCTAATTACTAGAGAAATTGAGTATCAATTTTAAAATCTATTTAAAATTCTTGTGATCCTGGCATGTACTGAATACATAATACATTGATGAAAACATCAATAGAAAAGATGGTATTGATTGGCCTAGCCTCAAAGCTGCTCGGTAAATATCCACCACTTTGATGATCACCCGTGACCTTGAGTGACCTCGACATAATTATTGCACAATCTGCAGTTAGATGACATCCTAGGCACTAATTTTGAAAATTCACTGTACGCTTTCAGCCAATCAAACAAGAGATGGTGAGTTGAATGTATAATAATGATAATAATAATAATAATAATAATAATAATAACACAATCTCCTTAACATTTGTGAAGAAGTGGGAAGACTCACAGTGACTCAGCTGTACAAGTAATGAAACCCCACAAAACCCCTTTTCTGCTCCTTGCAACCTACAATCTGCATAACACATCCTCCGCTATACATCTGCATATCTTACCTGAAGGTAGGTCAGTACGTGGTACTTCGCTGAAAGAGAAACATATCCTATACCTCAGAAGAGAGAAATTGTTTATCCAGTTGTCATGATCGGACAAACATCTGTCAATTATAGCGTTGCGTAGTCTGTCAAGTTACCAGGTGACCTTACCTAAATATTGTTCAGCCGTTAGGGAAAATCTGTCACTTTCATCGGACATTTCATGAAGAAGCGACTTTGTCAGGTTTAAAGAAATATATTTTATCAAGACTTGCGAATTTTTGGTTCAAATAGCTCCTTTTCCCGCCATATTGGATGGCCTGCAATACTAAACAGCGGACGGTACCAACAAAAATCATGCCTAAGAAAGCCAGCAGTGAAATGAGTAATTAAAGATGGCGGAAGATGGTGTTAGCTTAGAAGACGAATTCTACAAGAAACTGTTGTTAGAAAAAGCCAAAAAGCTAGAAAATGCACCTCCTGATAGGCACGAATTTGTACCAACTCCACAATTTGTTATGAAATTGCGAAACAGTAAAGAAGAGAAAGTCTTTATCAATATTTGTACTTCAGAGAAAATCCCTCCAGCTAAAGATGTAACGGAGGAAACTTTAGTTGAAGTTTTGGAATCTGAGGACCCTACTCAATATCGTGTACCTATGAGTCTTGGAGAACCTCATGTCGAAGTTGATAATCGTGGCCAAGGTGAGGGTCCTATGTTTTGAATGTTCTTTTCTTTACAGAGGCGTAGTCTTATATTAATTTACTGTTGTTGTGGATGCCGTGTGCCACTTTAATAAAGCAATCTGCATACTTGCATACTCAAGCGCTCTCCACTCACTATTTTTTTTAACTGTGATATTTCTAAAACTCTTTTGCTCATTTCAGGTTGCACAGCATATGATGTGGTTATAAATCCAACGTTTTACAACAAGATTCAAAACAGTGAACTCTTCAAAAGCTTCTTCTTGACAATTGTTTTTGAGGGACTTGAAAGTAAATATGATATGGAACTAGAAAGGAAATGGACTGTACTGAAGAACAAAAAATGCATGGGAGTTCTTCAGCCCCATTGCATAAGGAGCAAAAGTAAACCAGTAATAATGGAAATGGAAAGTGAAATAAAACCACTTACAAAACCAGGTAGTATTAGAAGCAAAGTTTTTTATTTAAACCTTTTGGGCCAGTGATTTGCAAGTGGTCTAACCCAGTTTTACACAAGCAGCGTACAATACTTGTTGTTACATTATTCGGTAAAGTTTCCGCACAGCCCCATACTACATTATGCATTCAGTTCTTGGATAGAGAAAACAATGCCAAAAACAATACATTGCCATTGGGAAAACAGATTTGTTTCACAATAGTATAGGGCTGTGTAGAAATTTTGCCCTTTATTCTTTTGAAACTGAGACAAGCTATCACAGTTAACCCTTTCACTCCCAAGATCTTATTAGTAATTCTCCTTACTGACTGCTACACAATTCTTATGATGTTAGTTCTGAAAATATGATAGTGGATCAACTAATAATCCCCTAGTTTATATTTTTGTTCATTCTCTTAACTTGTTTTCTTGAATTTGTATGATAATGTAACGAGGAATTCTGTCTTGGTTACTCATGGGAATTAAAGGGTTAAAGGCCACCAGGCTCACAAGGCCAAGATGAACCAATCCCTCAACACTTTACTTCTCGTAGTTCTGCTAGGGAAAAGGTTGGGGAATAATAACTCAGCAGTGAAGAAGCTGGGGTCTGGTCTAAAACAGGAACAAGAATTAATAAAAAGGAGAAATGTCAAGAAATGGAAAAATATTTTTGAGCTTTAGAATAAGAGGTTAATAACAAGATATTTTAAAACTAGATCAAGAGTTGCAAATACCCAAGATAATTATTTCATGATGATAGTTATCATGATAAAAGCAGGGAGGATATGATTATATAATAGTACTGCTTTATTTTCACTATGTATTTTAGAGCCAATCACACCAAGTCTACTCAGCTAAATCTGCCAATCACAGATTTGATCATAATAACCATAGCAACAACCATTTATCCTAAGAAAATCTGGAGAATTTCCAAAATGGAGGAAGTATTAACTTAAGAAATCGTTTCCTTTCAAAATATTTGTGGATGTAGATGTATTTTTGTTTTTTCGGAAATTGTAATGTTTATGGTTGATTGGTAACAGGACTTCATGTCATTGAATTCTGTCTGCAATCATGCTTATGATTAACAAATCGGATTCCCACTTGGTGGTTGTTTGATTTTGGTAATCACTTGTATGATTCAGACCAAATTGGACACCACTCAGTCCTATTACCATTAATAATAATAATAATGATGATGATGATGATGATAATAATAATGCTGGTGCTATCAATCATCTCTCATCATATTGTACCTCAATTTCTACTACATGTACATATAATCAATTTTTTTTTTTTGACCCAAAAAACTAATTTATTTTATGGCTTGCTCGCAATTTCCCTGGACACTAATGTGTATACCATAGATCAAGTGTGGTTACTTTAATGTTATGGAAGTAACCACACTAGATTTACAGTATACACAAACTATCTGTACAGTGAGTGAATTTTCAAAATTATTTATCATTCTTAAGAAACATTAAAAATGCTGTACTGTGGTGCACCTTTATTTACTTTTTATCTCTGTTTCCTCCTTAGCAGAACCTAAAATGATAGAGGTAGTACAGGACTCCAAATCAAGGGCCTTGACTCCAAAGTATAATATAATAAGGGAGCCATCAGATGGAAAACCAGAGTTTTTGGTCATTGAGATTAACCTCCCAGGAATTGTGAGTAAGGACAAATAACTTTTTATCAAGGTGGAGATGACAAACAACTGTGATGTGATGCGCTATTTGGGGTGTTGAAAGTTTCTTGTTCTCTTTTTAACCCTTAAACTCCCAAGATCTGATTGTTAATTCTCCCCTCTAGCGGCTAGACATTTTCTTGTAAGCTAATAACAAAACTTGGTGTTAGATCAAGATGAGTATTCTCATTACCTGTTTACTGGATAATATATTAATATTGTAGGGAGAGGTTACATACTGATCACTTCTGGCAGTGAAAGGGTTAAGATTACATTTTGTGAGTTTTAAACCTTTTCATGGGATTAGTTTAAGCTACTTGCTTGTATTATTTATTCTTTCTTATAAGAATTCAGTGTTTGTTAGTGTTAGTCTTGAAGACTTAAAAATGAAAACTAGACAAGCTTAGATTAATACTCCCTTCAAAGGAAATTGCTCATATAAATAAATAGCTTGTAAACATCCTGCTCCTATGATTGGGCATCTCAAGAGATCTTATAGCAGCAAGACCATCTGTCTACTGAGCTGGACTTGATGTGTCCAAGGAAAATGCTTTTTCTTTGTGATGGAGAGAAATCCTGGTTTTCTCCATGAAAGATTGAAACAAAATATTGTTGTTACAGTATCCTTCCTGGAGCTTTCATGGAGTTGTGGCTAGAAATGGATATGAATGCGTACATTCATATTGTTTCATTTTGTTTTAAACTTTTTCATATTTTTCCTATTCAATTCAGAAGTCAACCAAGGACACCACTCTTGATGTTGGTGAAGACAGATTAGTCCTGAGAGTCAATCCTGACAAGTACCAACTGGATCTTGACTTACCTTTTGATGTTGATAATGACACATGTGGGGCACAGTATAACAGGAAAACAAAGGTGAGGTACCTTGTATCATATTTGGCTTATTATTGTTACATCTGTTTCATTGATGCCTGTTTGCTTTTTTCCAAAATATCCTAGCATGATAAGGCCATATTAGTCCTTTTTAACTCCACAATCTTAAAATCAGTTATCTGCATCTTTTTTGTTGTGTTCATCATGACTATAGAACTGAAAATTCTGTTGGGGTTGTGTCAATCCATAACACCTGGGCCCAGTTGTTCAAAGGCCGATTAGCTCTAACCCAGAGTTAAATTTGAATCCAGCTTTCTTATTTCTTTGTTCAAAAGTCTTTTGGGGAAAATTTTCACTATTCTGTTTAGAACATCCAATGATCAAATTGCAAGCAAAAAGATTTGAACTGAATTTCCCTTAAAGTTTTCAGACCTGAAATCAAATTTCACACTAACCCTAGGTTACCTTAACCCAGCTTTGAACAACCGGGGCCTGGTTAACATTTCTATTTCTTCTTAACCCTTTGACCTTTGACACCTGATAGTGACTAGCATCCATTTTCACCTTGCAATCACACATTAAGGTCAGGAGAATAAAGGAAATGATCACTAACAAGAGAAGCTCTTGATTGTTAAACAAATTCTCCTTATCAGCACCTTAGGAAATTGTATAGAGAACAGGATAGAGAATATGTAAACTGATGGTAGGTTGTAAAGGGTTAAAATTTACCTACTTGAAAATGAGTTTACGGTGTACAGGAAGACGAGTTCCAAGCAGGGTTTGAACACAATGCACCTATCATAAAGTCACCTCACTTCCCTCAAATGTGACGCAGACTTTTTCTTTTATTTATGCCATGTTTAATTTCTTTCCCCAGGTTCTTACTCTTACTCTACATGTTCTCAGCAGCAGCTGACTGCAAAGTAAATCAATTTATTATCATTAAGAAATGTATAATTTAAAGTTGCTATTTTTTCTTATTCCATCCTTAAATTTTTTGTACCATAAATGTATTTTATGCTTATAATATTATTTAAATTTATGAAAAATTAACAGTTTAGGGTACAATGGTTCCTCATATCTGAGAGAGATTATGTAATGACCCAGTAGCCTGTGCCAGGTGTTCAGTCAATGAGTGGAGTGCAAATGTGTGGCAGAATGATCACATGGTGAGAGGTTCTTTGTTTTTTTTTGTTTTGTTTTTTTAACAGAAAATATATTTAAGTGAAAAAAGTATTTTGTATAATTTTCAGTGTTTCTGTAAGTCATCATTTGTTGATTAGAGAAACATAACACCACCACTTAAACATGCCTGCTGTGTGTAGCATTGATCCTAATGTTTCAAGGTGTCGAGTGACTGTGTACACTTCTGCTATGTAACAGAACTCCCTAACCCTTCACCAGTAACCCCATATCTATTATTAGTATGTCCCCTCCAGGCACTATACGATTTCATGCAAAATGCCTGGGAGAATTTGGCTTTATATCAAGATACCAGTCAACACATCTGTTATCTCTTGTAACCTGTTTGATGACATTTGTCCTGATATGGCGTGTGGAAGGAAAGTGCTGATAACTGGTGCTGGAGATGAAGAGTGAACACACCTTTTTCAAACCTTTGACCCCTAAGAGTGACCAGCATCTATTTTTTCCTTACAATATCACCCCTGAATCACTCATTAGGGTCATGAGAATGAAGAAAATGATCACCAAATTAACAAGCTCGTGATTGTTAAACAAATTCTCCTTGTCAGTATCTTAGGAAATGTATGGATAACAGTATGGAGAATCTGTATACTGATGTTAGGGCGTAAAGGGTTAAAGCTGAATATACTTGCTGTATTTCCTAGAAACACCCCTGTCCAACGATCCAAACACAAATACTTCACAGACCTTTGCTAGAACTTATTTTCTGGTGTCATTTTATACACTGCTGTCTGACTATTCAAACAGAAATACTCAAGAATACACTTTGTGAGCTGCTGAATCACCCTCTCATTTTTGTAAATAATGTGGAGTGTAGGATGGAAACTTTAACACCACAGAAAGAAGTGTTAGAGTATCAAGGAGACTGTTGGAATATAACCTTCTTTTGAAAAGGGGGAGGGTGCAGTGCACTTATGTACTCTAATGAATAGTCAGATTTGGATAATATTTCCAATGAGTTGCTGATTAAGTGTCTTCCACCCCAGTTGTTAGCAAAGAGGGCATGGGTGTGCCTCCTAATGCAGATAATTGCTATTTTAGTAAAAAGTAACTTATCAGGTGATCCTGTTCCAAAACAACTGTAGAAAAATAAGGTGCTACACTCTGCCCTGTAAAGAGTGGATCTAGAAAATTTACAAAGAAAGGGTCCAATCAGTGATGTCTCAGCTCAGCCTTTTTTCATACTGAAAAAACACCAAAATATTTGCTTGAGTGACTCAAGCGTTGGTTACAGAAGAGAAAAAATGAAGACCCCTGGAAATTAAATGGGGTGCACGGCCTGCTGAGTGGCCTCTTTAAACCTTTAAATCTGTCCACAATTTTGCTAAGTCTGGTCGGAATTTGTGATTTATCTTTAACAAAACATCATTCAGAGAAGGACCGCAAATGGGTTACTAGGCATACTTGATTACTATATTGCTAATCCTGACTCAGTAGCCCATTAACGCAGTGAGTTTTGCCTTATTCACATTTTTCTATCATGTGCTTGGCTGTACACAAACCCCTTTTCATGTGACTGCATCTGTCCTACAAACAAACTGTTCAGGAGTGTCACCTCAATGTAAAGCTTCCTATGCAACTTCAGTCAAGGAGCCTCTTGGCTCGTCGGTTTGAAGTGCCTCTTCGTACGTTGGAGGGAGATCAAACGAAAGGGTGCTGTAGGGAGGTGGTGACGGTGGTAATTCTTCAACCAAACCATGAATCGCCGTGCTCTCAGTTCGCTCACTAGAATATTCAGGGGGTGGTATAGCCAGCCCTGCTTCGCAAGAGTGACAGTCTTCTAAACTAAACGCGCTATTTTCTATAGCTGTGGAATGTAACTCTGTAGTTCCAGATCTAGAGCGCGGATGATGAGAGGACCGTCGCCTCCCGCGATTACTTCGCCTTCTCGACCGCCGACGTTGTCGATCGGCTCTTTGTCTAGCGTACCTGCTTTCTCGAACAAAACAACAACACAGTATTAAAAGGAAAATTGATCCGGTCAATATAGCAGCGGAAAGGAATCCCGCCTTTGTTAACATGACGTTTGAGGTGCTTTCGCAGTTTCCGTTACTGCAGTGTTCTCCGTCCAAGCATTCCCTTGAATTTCTGCAAGGTAAACGGCGATTTGGTCCCAAAGGTGAAGTTAAGGTTGAAGTTGATGTAAAGCATGCTGTGGAACATCTCATGTCTCGGCAACACAGAGAATAGTTTCGGCGTCCATCATGGCAATCGCCGTCGACAGAACAAAGTTTGACAGTTGCGCTAGAGTTCTGAGTCGGCACACAATGAGAATGTTGGCAACTCTCTCCTTTAGGACACATTTTGTCTGTCAAACACCAACAATCACTTTCCGCACGGCAGTCTGTCCTACAGCAAATCTGCCCTTCCGTACAGTCGGCGCGTTTTGAACATTCCGAGCAAGAAATTTCCACGAAAAAACTAACAGAAAGAACCAGTATCAAATTAAGTCCATAAAGTTTCTTCTTCGCCATTGACAGTTAAAAAAAGAATCTTCTACAAATCAGCACAATAGATGGAGCAAAAAAATTTCAGCTACGCGAGGGTTCAAATTTCATCTTGTTTACCTGAGATCGATCTTTGGCTTTCTCCCAGATAGCATGACTAGATCGGTGCACGCTCACGAAAATAGACGGAAAGCAGGCGTTTGTTATGAATATCAACAGATTTTGCTTTGGTGTAACGCGAGCCTTGTTTTTACGAAAAAACAATGCTGATTATGGACGTTTTCTGAAATAAACGTCACGGCTCGGAAATGGCACGCGATCGCAATTACCAGTTTCCCAGGGAGTCTGTGAGCTGAATTAAGTATGAAAATGAGGTAAATCGGAGTTAAAAAAAACGAAGATAGTTCATCTATAACTTTTAAAACGATTAATTTTACGACATTTTTTAAATTGCCTAGTCATAGAGACTCTGACCTCGATCATGGACTTTGCACCACCCATGTTTTTGTGTTTCATCGTTGCGTGACCGTACAGTTTGCTAACAGCAGTCATGGTTAATAAGTCTACCTTTATAATTTATTGTAATTTACCACCACCAGGTGAGCGGGTAATATAATTTTTGTAGCATGAGGCCCTGAACTCACGCTCCATGTAACAAAAATACTGCCTTTTATTTTCTCTCTTCTCTCTGTATAAAAATCTAAGTAAAACAAAACCTTGCATCGGGCAGGTCACGCTCAACAATTATTCCATTCATTCTGAAGAAGGCAGTCTGCAAGCAGACTGTTCCATAACATCCATCGATGAAACATCAGTTTATTCCTTAGGCATTTAAGTTTGAATAGTCTAATGTAAACAACTGCAAACTAAAATGCGTTTAAAAACTATAAATATATTTACATTTCTCCCTGGCGCTTGGGCTGAAACCCATAAAATGCGTCATTTTATCTTGGTGTCTCATTGTTTTCCTCATGTCCGTCTAAGTGTCTCTCAAATTTCATTGAACTACACGATGGAGGGAAAAGTGGTTGCTGAGTAGCTGTAATTCCTTCTATCTCAATAACAGCCGCACTATTACAAGCTGCCGTTGCAGTGTTAATTTCCGCTCGATGAGATGCTCCATTTATTTTTGCACCCTCTGTATTGACTACCCTTCGACCGCCTCGAGGCAAGAGCAATTGCCGCTTGACTTTCCTTTCCCGCAAGAAATATAGAATTGAAATAATTGTCGCTACTACTCCAAAAACGATTATAGTTATGATAAGTCCCCTGTTTCCCTTTCGTTTTCCTGTAGATTCGAGATTGTCGACGAGAACACATTTTCCTTCTTGACAGGCTTCACTTCCTACGCAATTACCATCCCAAACACAGTTCTGGTTGTTCTTGTTGTTGTAACTATTCGATACATAAGGAGGTGTATACGGTTTTTCAGTGAAGACGATGTCAGTAAGAGAGTAAAATGTAGTCTTGGTGGGCTGTGTTGGTCGACCACAAAGCGAATCTATACATTCCTCGCCACGAGGACAATCCGCGTCTTTCAAACACACTCGTGGGCACTGAACATCCCAAAAGCAATATCCTGAGCAACATATGCCATTCACGCATTGTGAATCATCGCGGCAGGCCAAACAGATACCGCAAAAGATCAACACTAGACCAAGCAAGAGCGACCAAGCGTTCATTTCTAACCAGACAGGTCTTTTGGGATCGAAAACAAATCTAGAACTGATAAACAGTGATTGAAGTCCCAATACCCTAAATTCCCAGAAAACTAACAGTGCAGTCAGATTCTCGGAAACACAGGAAGTGAATGTTAACTGCAGTTCAACGTCACCGGAAGCAACTCTTGAACTTGAAGTTTTCCTTGCTGTCCAGTGGTTTCTCCAAACAGTTAATTTTAAATATGATTTAAGCAGAAAGGCGATAAGGAGAGAGGGAATGATCAACGCCAAATTCTTAAAACTGGGTATATGAGAATGTATCGCAGACGGTGTGAAGTGGATTTAGATCTTACGATTGATCTCAAGTTGAGTTGAGGCAAAAAAGTTTCCAAGAAAATAACGAGGTGTTTCCTGAAGGGATTAATCTCTTCCAAGCCAGTGCCGCGCTAAAGCGAAACTAGGTTGAGGTGCAGAGGCCCGAAACCAGACTAGTCAGCAATGATAAATAGCGACGCAGAGAACAAGAGCACAGTTGGCATGTGAACCCCTCTGTCAGAAATAAACGTTAATAAATTGAAAGACAAAGCATGGACCCGCCCCCCCCCGAGAGAACCATTTACCATGTCACAAAGGGTTCAACGTCTATAGAAAATACATTTTTCACAGCCTCCATAACTCGAAAAGTTCTTAACTTTGGGTGTGTTTTTGTTAAATTGACGCACATAATTTTCCCACGTATCTCCGCATGGTATGCGGTAAAGGGAAAAAATTTAGTTATCGATCAATCAATCAATCAATCAATCGGCAAATCAAAATTTTTCTTAAGACGGGCAAAACAGGATTGTGTCAGATTGGCAATTGATAAATAGTGATTTGATTGTATTAAAGAGTGATCTTGTATTAAAAATTATATCTTGACTGGCAGAAGGGAGGGGACCAATCCTACCGTGAAACTGTGCCATAAAATAGAACGGGACCGTCCCTAGTCTGCCACTACGTTCGAATTCACCAGGAATTCAAACGGCAAAGGAAAAGAAAATTATTAATAACCAAGAAATTATTAAGGTTGTCTAAAGCTTCAAAAGTACCGAATAATTCATCGTTCTCCATCAACATGTCTATTTCCGTGACAGAACTGAACACTAATGAAATTATTAATTCATTTATATCGGAATCTTCCGGGCATGAGTACTTAGATTACCTTAATTTAGTTCTTGTCAAACCATGTTTTTGAAAGGAAAGTTGATGCTTTTCCCTTAAGCCAAGAGATATGTTGTTTACACGTTTACAGTGGATCAGGTCTGTTGCTTGCTTACAGTCTCTGATATTTTTGATATCATTAAGCGCCTTCGAACATTAGACTACTGGCGCTAAATAAATAACTCCCTTTTCTGTCTTAAATCGGCAGATGCTACTTAACTCCAGACAAACATAGAAGGCAGCACAATATCTTAAATACTGGCAAATTCACACTGCATATTTAACTAGTAAGGTTACAATGAAGAAAGACCGCAACAATCGGTTTCAAGTGATGCACTATATGTCACAGGCTGTTCTAAGGCAACAACTTAAACCGCAACTGGAGGCACAAAAGTTGTCAACGGTTTGTACACTAAGGCATGACGAAGAAATACTGCACATTACTCCGACTTGTCAGTTTTTTGTCTTCCCCTTGTCACTGCTTCTTCATAAGACGGCGGAGCCTGCGATGGGAGTTTTCCATCACTTGACATGTCATAAGGGGGGAGGGGTGGTGCACGTGGTAGAGGGTAGTGGGGTTGTAGCGAATGTATCACGGATGGCATTTCTGTTGACTGCTCATGATGATCTTGAGCCCCTTCGTTCATTCTAGTTCGAATCAACCGGATCTTATGGTTTGCGAAGCACACACCAATCACCAAAAGTATTACAACGACTGTTGGAATAATAAAAGGCAACAGAGAAACGGCCAGAGTTCGTGTATTTCCCGATTTTGGCACATCTGTGTCGTCATTTTCTTTTCTCATTTCCTTGCACTTTCCATCGACGCAAATTTCCGTCACTGGATCGCATTCATAACTGTGATGACATTGCTTAGGTGGCAAGGTGTCCGTTGTGCACTTGTTACTGAAGCAGTTTTCTTGCTTTGAAACGTCGCAGTCATCATTTTTAAAGCAGTTGTTCCCACAATATTTCCTGGGGGAGCATTTATCAAAGCAACACTTCCTTCCCCCAGAAAGATAACAGTCATTGTCTTCAGAGCATGGAGTAGCGATAGAAATCGAGGCTCTAGATGCGACGACGACTATGAAAAATTTGATAAAAGCAGCCGAAGCCATGAAAATCAAGGAAACTTCCTAAATTCTGAGAATTTAATATATCGTGACCGATATCGCTCCCGGTATGCTGCGCTCCTCCAGCACGCGGCAGTACATAAACTCTTATGAATTCGTATTCATTCGTTGTATGTTAATGATATTGTCACTAAATGTTAATAAGAAGAACAATTAGCAACGCTTGAGAACATTTATTCAATCAACCAATGCTGCAAAGGGTAATGATTTTCGTCGGGCGGTAGGGACGTGACTGAAAAGCCGGCGAAAGGACATTAACTACTGAAGTCAGCGCTAGACTGAAAGTTCCCTTTATCAAAAGATCAGATACCGTGAACATACGTGTGGCTCTATAAGAACATCCTCAACTGATACACTGATGTTTACGCTAACATGTTCAGCCGTTTTCGGGGAATAGAGGAGCGAGGGGGGAAGGTTGGAGATCATCATTTGTTCTGTGGATCCGCCTGACTGCGAGGTGACCCTGAGGGTGGGGGAGAGGACTGGTGGATTTGAAATATTTCATACTCAAGACCCTGATCTTGACTGTAATTTTAAAACTTTAGTTCCATTTTCTTCTTTTCTTTTCTTTCTTTCTCTTTTTTTAATTTTTTTTTTTAATTTTTTTTTACCCACAACCCGCACCCGCCATCCACGACCTCTACCGACGACTCACGACATTAAACTACACTTGCCTCTGTTGACAACTGAATATTTTTTTATTTAGTTACTTGTTTTCACACTAATTTGCCAACAGAGACACTTTACTTTTAAAAGAGAGACAAAGATAATTCATATTTTTAAAATTCAATTCATAAATGGCATCGCGAATTTGCATATGCTTACAATTATGAGGTATGAACACTTTCAAAGAAAATGTGATAACCTTGGGTTTGCAAACCTGCTATGATCTTTGATGATACTGGCTTGGTAGCTTTTCTGTTTGAGATGTCGTTCAAAGCTGGTACGGCATCCCTCGCAGTGGTGTGGGCTCATAGTCTAGTCATCTCCATCTTTGGTTCTGACATTAAGCACGAACTTGCTCAGCAATTCATTGAGCAGCGCAGGAGGAATTTTTTCTACGTTCCTGAAGTCTACCTTCCTCTGAAGAAGGGTTTTTAGCAGGCTTACGTCTCTGTTGGTCTTTGCTCTGGAGTTTTTGCTTTCTTGCTCATCCATGAAGTCATCTCTTGTCTCTCAAGGGGAGCAAATCTTGGCACTTCTTCCATTTTGTTTTGAAAGAAAGCCGTCCGCTTGTTTCCCTCCACTGTGAAGAACTACCGTTTGTGTCTCTGATTGGACGAAAGATGAATTTTCACAGTCATTCGCTTTTCTGATTGGTTGGTTGGGTATTCCGTACGAATTTTACGCGGACTCTATGCGTAAATCTCAGTATGTATGACTGAAAATCAAGTGTTCTTTATTGTTCTTCTCTCTATTGAGGGTCCCCAGTAGGTTTTTAGGGATCCGGGATTGGGCTTATTTATAGGCCGGGATCCGGGAGGAAGCGAAAAGCGGGATTGTTACAGATCACGGGAATCGACGATTTCGAGGGGCGGGATTTGGAAAATAATTACTTAAACGAACCGAGAACCGGGAAGTCCGTTGACGAGAAATTATACAGAAATTGATCAACGACAAAGTCCGAAAAAGCCTAGCCTCACATGTAGGCGTTTTTAGGAGGTCGCGATTCCCTTCTCCCCACCAAACGCAGAAATGAAAAGCGATCCCCCTAAAACGCCTTCGTGGAAGGCTTAAAAAAGCTGCACAAAGGTTATTAGGACAGAGTTAGCTGGGCACGTGCCAGGCACACGGCCTTTGCTCTACGCTGCTGTTTTCATTGCGACCCCTCGGTGATATCTGGACGTTCTGAGCCTTGGCCTGTCCTGTAATGGTGACCTTTGATTTCTTGCTGACTGAGCAATTTACCTCTGTTAGAGAGAAATTCAGCCGGGTGAAGCAGTCAGCCTCGAACGCTCTGAAATCGAGGGGAAGCAAGAAAACAGGGGCAACATGAAGAAGAGGAAGATGAGATATTAGAGTACAATTCCCCAAGCAGTGATGAAGAATCGGATCAGTCATTTCCGGAAGTCGAGACCGCACCTCATGATGGTGACATTCAATCTTAGAAACGTGAGGCGGATTTTTTCCTCGGAAGAGTTTCCCGCTTTGGAAGAAATCTTCGCTTCAACAGCAGAATTGGGTTCAGTTAATTGTTCTATACTTGCTTTGTTATGGAGCTATGTGATTGCCTCCACCTTTTGTAGCTTTATGCATAGCATTCCCTCGTTCCCGTACTTTGCTGGATGAAGGTTATGCGTTCACCTTCAGCCCCCACTAAAAAATATGCTGTGTAGGCCCTGAGGAGGTACGTCATTCGTGCAGATCTTTGAAAACTTCTAAAATTTAACGATTTCATCGTTTTGGTGAAAAGAGATAAACTTACGCCTCACGGTGAGCAAAGACTTCAACGGATTATTGCTGGTTGAGGAATTTTTCTCCCACCGAAAGGCCTTGTCTGGCTTTATAGTCAATCCCCTGGGGTTGCGAACTGACCTTTAATCCCGTAATCCCCGGGATAGCGGGATTAAAGGACCCTATTGGGGCCATGGGACCCTTGCTATCATTTAGTGACGAACTTTTCGGCGAATTCGTTTTTGCGACGTTGAGCCGAATTTTCCAAGTCATGGCTCACAACTGTCTTTGGCCTTTTTGCTCTCCAAATCTGTTGTACATGGTATGTAAGCATGTGTCTTAACAACGGTTATAGTCTCGCCTCAATCATCTCCGGTTTTATCTTATTTTGTTTCTGTGTTTTGGTGATAATTTTTCTTATTGCCTCTTTGGGCTTGAAGTGCTAACTAAAGGATAAAATTCGGTGGAACTTATTTCTGACAAGGCCCCCAAATCCCTCACCTCTGTCAGTTCATTGTTTATTTATTTAGCCTTCGGTCTAACCAGTTCATTTACCTCAAAAAATGCGTGAGCTTTGTCTCATGAGTTTAAACTGGCGCCGTTTTCTTCATGTTCATATGGTATTGAAACGAATGGCGCCAGCTTCATTCTGTCTTGTTTATTTCAGTAGAATACTTCTGCCATACGAAATGGATTTTGAGTCGAATTGTACTATGAAACTCGCACATTAAAATTATCAAACTCTCTCTGGTTCTTAAAATATCATTATGAGACGAGTGATATAACAAATGGATAATTACTCAAGGGGCTGGAACTCCTTGTTTCATTAGAATGTTAACTACAGTATTTCTGTCGTATTTAAAAGCGAATTTCAGGTTAAAATGTGTTCAAACTAATTTGACTTGCATTTCACTTTGCCAAAATGTCTTTATCCTTTAATTTTTATTTCCTAATTGAGACTGATGATAGGAATTAACTTTTATGTTCTCTGTTGTTTAGGGAGATGTGAAGTGACCCCACTACAAATAGTTGGTACTATGGAAAGAATGGATTGGTGTGACATTTACTATGGCAAGCTGGTATCCAAGAGAATGTCATTAGTACCTGAAGCTTACTACTGGTATAAATTATCAATTTTTTGTTCTCTACAAGCAACTTGCCTCAACTAGCTTATGCTATATCAACTTGTGTCTATACTTTTTTTGCAACTATAAAATTACCCATAAAAGTTTTGAAAGTTTTGTCCAAATTTCAATGGAAAAGAATATGAGGAGTGATCAAGTGAAATATTGTCATGTTCCTAAAGAGTGTTTGAGCTTCCAGTGAGAGCTTAAGTGACTGATGTATGATTTGTTTGCCTTAAAATTGGCACAAAACTCCTGGCTAGAAAACTATAAATTTCCTCAAATAGGCATCCAAGCTGATGCCCATTATTGCAGAATGTACAATGTCAAAGTCCGATCCCCTTTGGAGTTAAGTCTCATTTCTATAAAATCTGATAGATGTTAAATCATCCATTTTCATAAAGAGATCAACAAACCTCTTCACATTAATTTAATCTGACCTCATTTAGTCTTGCTCCCAGGAAAAAAAAAAGAGGCTTTTGCAGGGCATGGAATTAAGCCTAATACAGACCCAATGTGACTAGATTTTTCACTTTGGTGACCAAATCCTGAAAATTAGTCGCCGAATTGGCAACTAGAATGTTTCATCATAACCTTACCTAGAGATATAGTGAATAAAAAAGATTTTCAAAGATAAATCCGCGGCAAACTTCCTCACTAATTTTGTTTCCAAAACACGTACAGCACATGCATCTTGATCAATAACTAGATGCTATCTTGGATTTAGGTGAGCTTGAACGTTGCATATTATCCATCCTAGTGCCCACTTTGAAGCACATAAAAGATCTTTTCCCTAACTTAATTTCTAGAACGATGACAGCATTAAAAAAGGTTATTTTTGTCTTTGAAAACGGCAAACAGCTTTATTTTAGTTGGCTACCACTTTGAAGAATTTAGGAGCCAAGTGGCTATCAGAAAAAAAATTAAATTTCACGCCTTGTTTTGGAAATATTTTGTTTTTTATCCTCACTGTTAAATTTTAGCCCTACTGGTTCTTTGTTGTTTGGCATGTAATAAGAGTTTTTTTCAGACCATCGAATTGTCACCTAACTCTTGTAATTTAAGGGGTTGGAGGATGAGGTTGCAAAAAGTATATACAATTTTGTTGTGCAATTGAAATGATAAATGAATATGATTTTTATTAGGAAATAATTGATTTATTTAACTATTCGTATTACAACTGGAAGCCCAAACTAGTACTTGTTTTAATTCACAATTTCCCCACATCATTGATCATATCTGATGATATTTCCAGGACTAATGATTTCCTTACTCCGATATAATCCATAATTGTTCCTCCAGTTCTAACAAGCTCTTCGATGTAACGATGGTATCTCTAGTACTGACATTGTCTTACCTTTATTTACTTGACACTTACCCTTTTTGTTTTGGTAATCAGCCCCGCAGGTTGTGATTCATGACAAAAAAACTTTTGAAACAAAACATTAACTTCTGTAAATTTTAATTTCTGGCTAAAATTGGAAGTACATTGCACTAGCAGTACATTTGAATCTCTGAAAATGCTCACAGGAAAGTGTGTACTTGAAATGATTAACATTAACTTGAGATAGCAATGACACAATAAAAGTAAACTATCCAATTTATTTGATCTCTTCAACAGGCCTCTTGCATCCTTCACAAATAACATCATTTACATTGATGGCCCAGACAATCACAAGACAAGACTCTAAGTTGTTTGTACAATCTTTTGCTTTTTGAAAATAACTTCCTTTTAACTTTTTGCTTTTTGAAAATAACTTCCTCATAACTTTTAAGACTTAGCTGCTTCCATCTAAGTTACAGAGGGGAACAAGAAAGGTTTTCTGAAATACTCCACTGTTCTTTTCGGACATATTTTTCTGCTTCTTTTCTTTCTTGATTACCAATGCAGGCACATGCTAGCGGTTTCTCACATCAAACTAAAATAATAATTTACAGAATATGCACAACAAAATGCCCCTCTGTTGATCAGAGGTAGGAGAGGTGGAAAAAGAGAGTGGGGCCAAGTGGCTGGGGTAGTAACAGAAGGAGGCTGGAGGGAGACTGGTACCAATTCTACTCTATCAGTCTATACTTTTCTTGGACCCATGTTGCATGTTCCTCCTCAACAGAAACCATTACAAAAATCAGTCTGACCAAATTCTGATCCTGCTGATTTGCATCCTATTTTAACAATCCTAGAAAAACACCAAGTTAACATTAATACTTGCAACTTTGGTTCGATCACTGATGATTCTCTTTTTTCAGAAACCCATCAGTGGCATACACCAATTTTCACCCATTGACCCCAAAAGTAACTGGTAGCTAATTTCTCCTTACAATATCACCCCCTAATCATGCATTAAGGTCACCAGATTAAAGGAAATGATCACCAACTGAAGAAGCTCTTGATTGTTAAACAAATTCTCTTTATCAGCACCTTAGGAAATGTCTGGAAGAGAGTATGGAGCATATGCAAACTGGCATTAGGGTGTAAAGGGTGAAACAAAGAAGGACATGGCAGCCACTTGCTAGTCATCTTCAAGGTATAAAAAGCTTTTTGATTAGTAGAGTAATATATATGTAGAAATATTGCATGTCAGACTGGCTGAAAACAATTGCATTTTTCATGTAACACAGGTGCGATGTTGTAACAATAGTGCAAAGTTGTAACACAGGTGCAAATTAAATGTAGCACACATGCTGTCAAAGTTTTGAACTGTCTTGACTTTTTGTGAAGCCTTTTTTTACTTCTAGTAAGAACAAGAGTTCTAGTACACTTTGGTGCAAATAAACACGTGTAAATTTTCCAAAGACTACAAATTGCTAATGCCCTATGGGCTCACACAAATTTGCTGTCTTTGAAAATTTTACTTGTGCTTATTTACACCAAATTGTAAGTGAAATGTTATTACCAATACTAATTTATCACCCCTTGGTGACACTGATGTTACATGCATCCTTGAGAACTCCCCCACCTTCACCCTCCCCAAGCTATGTCTTGGATTGTAAAACTAATCTTCCCCACATGTACATCGTTTATGTTTATAGAAGGAATCCACTGTAGGGAATGATGCTGGAGAAGAACTACAAAAATCTGTCAATCAAGTAGAAGATGCCTCTTTCTAGTTATCCAGAGGATAAAAAAGGCAAGTATGGTCTGATCATGGTTAGCAGGGGCATAGCAAGAATATTTTAGAAGAGGATCTTTACCTTAGCAGCTAACTCGGAACCATACCAGGTTATTTTATTGCTAATGTCCGTCTCATTTTATTCACTCTTTGACCCTTAGTGACTAGAATCTAATTTCTCCTTACAAGCCACCCCTGCATCACTCATTAAGGTCACAAGCTTAAAAGAAATGATCACCAGCCAAAGATACTCCTGATGGTTCAAAAAATTCTCCTTGTCAGTGCCCTAGGAAATGTCTTGATAACAGTAGAGAGAATAGGTATACTAATGGTTAGGGTGTAAAGGGTTAAACAAAGAGAAAGGCTCCATAAGGAGCTTTTTTCAAAGTCCCAACCATACATCATAACATGTTCACCGGATGTAAAATTTTTGGCCACCACAAAAAAGGTTCAGAGGGCAACTCAAGGTTTAGTACAAGGATAACCTAATAGAAATAGGCAAATCTTTATAACCAAAAAGAAAAAAGCATCAATATGGGTTGTAACTTTCAACCATAAAAATACAGTAATTAAAATATTACAGATTGCTACCCAACCACCAGATGCTGGCTGCCACATAGGCAACATTGCCCACAGATCAAGTATTGAGGCCAAAATGTTTTCTTCTCACCATTGGTACCCAAGTGGACATAACTCAGAGAGCTAAAGAAAAGTATTGCCAGCAGACCATGACCTCCTTATTCAGCCCTTAAATGGATAGATATATGCAAAGCTGTTTACTCTGCAGTCTAATATCTTAAAGATGACAAGACATTGAAAATCTGTTCTGTAACTGCAAGTTTATTATAAAAAATATTTATATTCATATTTTTCCATAGTTTTCCTTTGCTTCTTTTTCTCTTTTTGAGACTTAAATTGTTAAGGGTAACATGAATAAAATAACTTTTGCCATTAACTGACAAAATTTACATGGAAGTGGACACAGCTTCCTCCTTAAAGATGTATGTGACACAAAGTCTGAATACCACATACATTGCAAGATGTCTCAATAACAATACAGTTGTACCTTTAACATAACAATGCTTATAGTGATTGTGTTAAGTGACCAAGGCTGTTTGTGAAATGCCTCCATTGCAGTAACTTCTAGCTAGAATAACTTGGCCTCATGGAAAGCCATGGCTTTCATCTGGTAGACTTGTCACCCTAGTCACAATATTAACACAGAAAAATACACATCTCTTCAATTTTTTAGTGCAAACACTAAATTTTAAGAACAAAAAAATAATTTTCTTTGTAAATAGCTGCTGATATACTTTTTATGGAACAGTACCAGCTCAGTTGCTATAAGTATCAGCATTACAAATTCTGTATAATGAAAAACAAAACTGCCCTAATTGACTGTTGCTCCATTTTCAAATAAGTTTTAAAATCTAAATGAAGAATTGCTAGGCACTTTGATTTCTTTATGACTAAAGGCTTCAATGTAAAAGATAAATAATCCTACACATTTTCAAAGGCTTTTTGGTAACATCAAACAACCCCTAAGGTAAGCAATTGATTAAAGTGACAATGGAAAATGGTGTGATGATCCAATAAACCCAGATTAATTGAAATTTAAGGTTATCAATTGTGGATGTCCACTGATAAAAACTGATACTCAGACTAAAGCCTGGGCCTAAAAGTTACCCATTTTATCATTGACGCCTGGATAGTTTCATGGCTAAAACTTAATTAACGATCAGGTTTTTTTAGACAGGTTATAAGAACTCTTACTAGAAATTGCTTTTTTTCTGTCTTCCAAACCTTCGTTTACTAAACTAAGAAGAACTTCCAATTCTGTGATTTCTCTAGTTCACCAAAAATTGTGAGAGCTCAGTAGCTTATTTCCTTTAAATAAAAAGCTGTTGTGCAATGGTTCTGGAACCCACTCATGTTTCCCAGTCAATCCGCGTGATTCACCTATGTACTAAACTAAATTCTGCATATATAGGAGTGTCGAGCCCCCAAACCCACCTCCGTATACCATAGCACAACTAAAGTTTTTAACCATGAACATATTTACTACTTTGTGTAATTTGATTCACATACTACTTTGATTTGCTGTTCATTTCATCATTAAACATCACCGGATAAGCCCTTGGTCACACCACAGGCATCGAAGAATTCCTGACAGCGTCTTCGTAACTTGGTGGAGGTGGTAATTCAGGTTCGTTTACATGATTTCCTTGACTCTGTAATTCCAGTGAACTGTAAGGCGGTGGTCCATCGGCTGGTAAAGGGGGAGGAGGAGAAGGAGGATAAGAGTTTTCTTCGAAATCAATCACAGTGTTATTGTGAGAAAAAGCACTCCCTGAGTGCATTTCTACTTGCGTGGCTTCGTTTACAGAGGGTCCTGATGTCGTCTGTGCATTTTGCGTCACTGGTGCGCGATTAGGTGGTTTGCGAGCTCGTTTGCACATGTGGTACAAACATGAAAGAACTGCACTAACAGCGACGAAGAAAATTATTCCAATCGTTCTGCTTCCGGACCAAAAGCTCCCACTAGAACTACCAGTGCTATAGTTTCTCTCACAACGGTTTTCATAGCTGCAGTGATGATTTAAAGGACAGTCACTATTCCAAGTGCATTCGTCTGTTGACGGCGGATTCCAGGTTGGAAGAGGGGCTAAAGTAATGGTAGAACGTTTGCAGGAGCCAGAGTCACATGTTTGAGATGTAAATGGACAATCACTATCAACTCTACATTCGGGGCAGTAGAGAAATTTGTCAACACAGTCGCCCAAACAGCATTTCTGACTGCTCTTACAATCCCAATCGATATGACATCTTTGTGAACTAACGTTGGAAGTAGAGCAGATTAAAGTCAACCCAAGCGAAATCAACCAAATATACATGAACACGAAGCGTCCCCTACAATGGCACAACGGGAAAGTCGTTTTCGAGTGACAAACAATGAACGAAGTAAGTTGTGTCTCAATAGAAATTGCCTTGTAATCTCTCCACGATTACGTCACTGTTGCCATAGAAACACAAGTAAGATTAGAATATGATGTAATGTCTTTTTCAAGGAGTTGAAATGCGTTCGAACTTGACATCGTGGAATGAATCTGGGTGAAAATCGAGTGATCTTATCAAATTTTAAACGTATTTACTGTTATAAAAATTCACCTATTAGTCTGAGAACAAATTTTACAGACTTCGTAATAAATAGTGTGAGTTGAGGGGGTTTGTAGATGTAACCCAATTTCTGTGAACACGCAAATTCTTGCCAAAAAGCCCTGTTTAAAAATTTTTATTTTGATTGTCAAGGACAAAGTTGGTTTTAAAAGGGAACAATGGAATTAAGTCACGACACCAATTCTGATTAAATGATTTATATAAACTTCTCTTACAGTCTACAGAGTTACGCACAGTATGTCGCCCCGAAGTGATCACTGCTGATTTAGCTCGAATCCTTCCCAGCTAAAAGATAAAGTAAATAGACTTTTTCCGTCTACTTTGTATAACAGTATATTTAAATTGCGCCGTCTTTGTGGGTTCATCATCTTTGCCATAACAGGATCAGACGAAAAATATTCGTTATTTGTAACATTCGATCTGGTGGCTTCAGTCGTTTCGATTCAAACATCAACAACTGAAAATTTGACCACGCAATATAGGAAAAAAAAAAATAACTCTTTTGTGGTCAAGTTCTAGCTCAGGAAGTGTAACAGCTACATCTTAATTAATAAAAGCAACGATTTCGTGGAAGTCCACGCAGCCGAATTTAGATCAACAGCAAACTGATCGGCCATCATCGCTAAAGATCGCAATTCTTGACAGCCTCGTCGTAAGTCGGTGGAGGTTGTTCTGTATCATTGCTGTCATCACGTTGTTGCTGGAATTCTAGAGAACTGTAAGGTGGTGGTGCATCCGGCGGCAAAGGAAGAGAAGTTTGTTCCAAGTCGATCACAAAACCCCCATTCGAAACCCCGGCTCCGGCCATTTGCATATCAACTTCGGTCACGGTAGTTGGCGCTGTTGCCACACTTTCCCGGCTTTCCAAAGTTGTTCGCCAGGCATTTCGCGTCGCGAGTACCCGATCACGAGTCCGTTTTTTATCTCTCTTGTTAAGGCAATAAATGATGAATATCACTAATACCACCGATACAAAAACGATTATTACCGTTCCAATCAGTTTAGTTCCCATTAATGGAGGTCTTGAAGTGGTAGATACACACTTCCCGTCCTCACACACATGGCCTTCTAGACAGCGGGCATTTTCGCCGTTGCAGTAGTAGTTATTCGAGTCTGACTCATAACAGAGGCCATCTACTCCACATTTACTCCCGGAAGAACAATCCTGATCCCCAGAGCATCTCTCGCAAAACTTTTTTAACTTACAGAAACCCAACGAACAGCAAACGTCTCCATGACCGTAGTGGGAACAATCCCAATCGTGATAACATCTCTCTGAGCTTCGAACACTATAGGCCAAGGAGATAAAAATCAGCCCGAGCGAAACCAACCAAACATGCATCAACTTGTTGGCGTATTCGTAAAACAACAAACTTAAAGTATAGAAAGAGTTCCTAACCGTTAAGATTAAACTTGAAATTAACTTTATAGCCTACCAATGCGTCACGATTGCCAAGGAAACACTGCCAAAATTGGAAAATAGGGTAATGATATTTCCCGTTTTTCCTTTGTGCAGCCAATATGATGTAAATATTTTGTCGCTGTATGAATCGTATACGTGTTTCAAACGAGTATTCGATTAACAGGGAACCATATTGAATATGGTTCCCTGATCACTGAATTGTTTTCATGAGAAAACACTCATAAAAACAATTCAGTGATCATCGAAACAAACGTTAGTCAGTGACCAAAACACTCACGAGGCTTAAATTGCAGTTTGCTAAACATTGTGACCATTAGCACACTCATTTTTTTCAGTTAGCTTTCTGTGTTACCTTAGGCGGATTGTTTAGTTTAAATCCATATCAGATGATGCAAAAAAAGATAAAAATAAAAATTCGTCAACTCATTAACTATGAAATATCAGGACAAATTAACAGACCCCTGCTGATCTGTGTGAAAAGAGCTTTTCTTTTCAAAAACAAAAATATTCACAAACAGCACGAAGAAAACATTTAAGCAATGAGTTGACACCTTAGTGAAACGTTTCCTTTTCTTTCAATATTTTTTCTGGAGTTTTTTAATTTACTTTTTCTCTCATTATTTTTTAGTTTTTTGAGGGAGGAGGGGGGGGCTGATAATTAAGGTTGGCAAAGACTGAATCGACCAAACTCATCTCAGAAAGAAATCAGGGCAAATTTCTTTTAAAATATTAAGTTTATTCAATCCTTTTCTTCCCTTTAAATTATGAATAAACTTTGAATATCCAATTTACATAATCAGCAGTTATTTACCTTAACCCGGTTGCTCACAAGCGCAACCGCTAAAAAATTTATTTCATACATGTTATATACGCGCGGGCTGAGAGCTTTAGCAGCGATAAGAAGGATCGTATTTAAATTACAATTTGTTACGAATTTTCACCGAAAGAATTCTGAAGCGTCAAAAACTGTTGGGAAATAAATAATCCTACTTATTGAAATAATTATTCCGTGATTGATTAATAATTTATTGAAACGCTTGAACAAATCCAAAAAACAAACTCAAAACAATTTCATTTCCTTGAGCGTTCATCAACGTTGAAATTTCAAGCCAAAAAATAGATGCATGCATGTAGCGACGTAGTATAAGTTGTCTTAATGCCTTCAGGCTCATTATGGCTAAACAATATTCAACGCAACATCCTGTTAGTGTCCAATGAGCGCGTTATTGTGAGTGCTTGTGCTCTGCTCAATAGACCATAATAAATAAATACATTATCAGAAAAATTCATATACAAAGACCATTAGAACTAGGTATTTTTCATAAGTTTTCCGTCACAATTTAGTAATATCTGGTCCTGTATCTTTGCCGTTCTCTCCATCTCCTGGTTGCTCAAATTCCAATGAGTCGTAAGGTGGTGGTGCGTCAGACGGAAGATGAGACACTGCTTCACAGCCAGTGTCACCATCAAAAGCAAAACTTCCTGATTGCATCTTCACACGTTCTCCTTCGTCGCTTCCGTGTCCTTGTTGTTCGAATTTTAGAGAATTGTAAGGAGGGGGCCCATCGGCCGGCAACGGAGGAGAAACTTCTTCCATCGGTATATCAACAAACACATCCTCCGCTCGCAGGGCAGCATTAGTTTCATGATTTGTGTTTGCAGCTAGGCGCGGATTCCTTGAGATTTCAGTTTGACTTTCATGTGGGACTCTTTTAAATCTCTTGTGCAAGAAAAATGAGCATAATATGAAAATCATTAAAATGGCAATGACGATGAGCGAGGCTGCGAGTATCAGCGGAGAACGGTTCACAAGATTTTTGTCCTCTTGGGGATGGACACACTTTCCGTCTCTGCACACATGAGAACTCAGGCAATCGTCGTCTGTGGAACAATTTTCATCATGTACATGCTCTTCTGACATTGTTGAAGGTTTTGCGCGCGTAAAGGGAGTGAGAGGTGGTGCCAGAGTTACTGGAGGACTAACACATAAACTCCGGTCATCACTGAGATGTAAAGAGCATTTTTTCCCGCCAGAGCAATCGGAGTCGTCCTTACACCAGACGCAAAGCCACGAATAAGTGCACATACCCTTTGCGCAGCACACTTTAACTCCCTCACATTGCCCATCGTGGTGGCAATAGTGAGATAAGACAGTGGAAGTAAAACAGATGAAGGCCAAGCCTAACGAGAGAGACTTGAAGTAAGCCATTAGGTGATATTTGAGATAACGATCTCTGCACTAATGGGCGCACGAGCGACAATGTAAATAACCTTTTAACAACAGAGTCACTGCTTTATAGCAATACAGACTAATTGTGATTGTTTCGTAGCCAATTGTGTGTGTTCTAAACCTGGAACATCGTTTTCATTCATCGGTGAATACATCCTGCCCATCTGAAGCAAGGTCGCGTCATTACACTGACCCGGAAGTGACGTTTTCGCTGGCACGGTGGAGGGGAGGGGAGTGGAGGGACTGTTCATTATACATGAATCAATTTTTGCCTCAAACGTTGATGATCGTTATTTGTCTCCCACGTATAAATACGTCTGATAAAAACTAAGCCTTGTATACCATTCTAGATATTATTGTATGGTACAATTGCGTTTTGACTGTCATGAGTAAATGTACCTTTGTTTGCGATATTTGCTTGCATTTAAAATTACATTAGGACTTAAAAGGGAGCAGTTCTTTGAAACCACCGCGGGAATGGCATACATTGTTATTCTTAAGTCGTCTTTCAACCGAAAAAAAATGAATGAACCAAAAGTGTTAAATATAACATTGACCATGGGATATACAACCTTTTGTCATGGGGAGCACGAGTTAAAGGAACATACTGCGAGAGAACTGGCAAGCGCTCTGTTTGTAATAGGTTATGATCGAGGACTCTTATGATGCATGATAAATCACGATTGAATCAGCATAATTTCAATGCGCTTAGCGAACAAAAATACCTCCAAAGAGCTTCAAAGAGTACAACTGAACTTATAGAGAGAGGTAATCGTTTCAGAAAAGTACGAATCAATGTTTTTTCTACATGATTTTATATGATTCGCGATGAATAGAAGTCATTGGCACTAGAAGTTCATAGTGTGCCACTCATCAGTAATGATCGGTGAAAATGCAACGGCCGAATCTATAGATCAATGCTATAATTAGTCACAAGGCATTTGCTCTGACTGAAGGAATTCTTCGTCACTACCGCTATAAGATGATTACTTCACCTCGTTATTTTCATATCTTTGCAATTCAAATCCCGCAGAACTTTGGGGTAGCGAAGCAACAAACGGTAAAAATGGACAATTTTCCTCCTTCATAAAAACAAATACGCAACCACTGGCAACAGAACTTTCTCGTTTCATTTCAATAACATCTCGTTGATCTTCCGTATCTTTTCTTCTCCGCTCGAGTTCTAGGAAACTGTGAGGTGACAGTGCATTCAGTGGCAAAGGAAGCGATATGTTTTCCGCTTCTATAGCAGTAATATTTTAGCGGGTAGATCCTGGTTACATTTTATCACGCAAACGCATGGTGTAGTTGAGCAGTACTGTATGAATCGCCGCACGCACGCCTTCAGCTATCGCTGATACCGTTTACTTCAAAACCATGCTAGGAAACCGAACCAAGAACTAATTTCCTGCCGCGAGGAATATGGAATAAAATTCTTTTATGCGGCTTTTAGAGCTGATCAATTCAAGTCACGTGGCTCAAACAGAGCTACAGTGTTAAAATGTGAGCGTGTGGCTGCATTCTTTTGAACAGACCGCACTAGTAAAATACCCGATACCAGTTTGCGAGGTCTAAGCAAGGCGAAAGTCAAAACATGTGAGTCATGAGGCGATATTTGGATCACTACAGTAGTAATGAAGGCACTTGGACAAAGCATAATGACGCCTCATGTAAATAACCTCGGTCGAGCGAATAAGGGTAATCATATGCAAGATATTTTTGCATGAAAGCCGTTGGTTTTATTTATGATATGAACTTTCTAGACATGTTCGTCTATTGTAGGTCTCAAAGAGCACTACCACAACACAAGACTCGGACAATCCACGAGTTATGGCAAAGATTAACTTGAATTTATTGTCGTAAATTTTGCCGAACTTTTTATTTTTGTTTGCCGTTGAAGTAGTAATGGAGGGAGAGAGTGATGGAAATTATTTTTCAATTGAACCTCTCGAGCTTTGCATGCAGCGCAATACTTTTTGGCCCTATACACCCTCACATCAGTGTGAAAATTATATCCATGCTGTTCTCTAAACTTTTTCTAAGGTACTGATAAGGAAAATTTGTTTAACAACCGAGAGCTTCTTAAGTTGGTGATTATTTCCTTTATTCTTGACACATTAATGTTTGATTTAACACTGTAAGGAGAGATTTATATGCTAGTCACTTTTAGGAGTTAAAGGGCTAAAGATAAAAATTCAGTTTCTGTGCGATCTTACATCATTATGTTTCTCTATATTTTTCGGAGTATTTAAGAAGTTAATGGGTTGAGAATACCGTAATAAAGGTGATTCATACAAGAGCTACAACAATCGTACAAAACACAAAAGTGATATAAATGCATAGATTAAAAAACAGTCATCGAACCGTATCTCATTTGATGTGCATCATGAAAACTTCTTCTACATAACTCGTTGGCCGTTTTTCCTTACTGGTTGTCTTCATTCCTCAGTGTTGCTTAAACTCCTCTGCACCTTCGGGTTGTGTACCAGAAATAGTTGGGAGAAGAGACACTTCTTCCTCTTTGAAGGGAGCCCAGCGGCGCGAATTTGGAGTGGAACTTCCTGTTTGCATTTCGACCGCGTTGGCTGGTTCTTCATTAAAATTTTTGCTTTGCTCAAATGTCGAAGAGTTGTAGGGCGGCGGAGCATCAAATGGCAAAGGAGGAGTAACATCACCCACATCGACTACCGCAGCATTAGAATAAACATTCCCTGGTTGCATTTCATTATCGCAAGTAGCACGTGGTGAAGCAGTATTTTGGCGCGCTTCCGTTTGTTGCGTTTGAGCCACAATGAGCGTCACCATCCTCCGTTGTTGAAAGTATCTTGCGTATTTCACCCTCCAGCACCCAAAACAAAGAAGAAATTTCGCTATAACGGCAAAGACTAAGAGCAGATAGAGTGTTCCACTGCCTGAAGACTCTGTGTCTGCATCATTTGTATCATAGTAAGGACCATCCAATTCATAAGTTACTGGCTTAACATCTGGAATGGTGGGCAAATCAACCTCCGGCGAGGTAAATGGCTCAGGTTGATAGGCGTCCGTCGCGTCCGTGGTGTCTGTGGCGTCTGTGGCGTCCGTAGCGTCCGTGGTGTCCGTGGTTTCCCAGCAGAAGCTCTTGCCGTCACTCAGGCGAGTGGAGCATGTCTTCCCATAGGGACAATCGGAGTCATCTTTGCACCGCTGACAATACATGTATGTTAAATCTGTAGATTCTAAACAGAATCCCTCGTCCAACTGGTGGACTTTGCAGCACACCTTTCCTTCTTCACACTGAAAATCGTAGCTGCATTCTTGTGAGAAAACGTTGGTGATCAAGCAGATCAAGACAAAGCTAAACACAACCCAACACAAACAAGTCATGACGAGATCTCTGGAAAAACGATGTCGACAGATCTACAAGATGTTACGAAAGAAAAAGCAACTGGCTCTGTCTGCATTACCAAACCTTGGCCTCCTCTTAGGATATCCATGATTGGTTCGCCAGATGATTTACGACATAGTTGCCGGAGAAACATCTCTAACATTCCGCCAATCAGAACGTCTGTGTCCACCTACCAGTATGTCAAATGAACCCTGAGGTGAAAGTTTTTTTTTTGTCATAAAATTATCATTCCTTGATAACTTGGGATTCGAAACCTCTCTCTCTCTTGACGTTTCAAGTACATGGGACAAACATAGGCATGCTATGCATGCAAGAGTTATTTCTTTGTGTGGGTGGATTAATTGGAACGTTGTAAGTGATTTCTACATTTTTACGAAAGAAAAGAGTATTAACGCAGAAAAGAACGAAGACGTCGAATTAACTCACACACAGGTATTTTGCGGTCGATTGTTTGTGTTGTGCGAATAACTGCCACGGATACCCGTTAGTACAAAATGCAGATTGCAGAATGAAGAGTGCAGACCATCAAATCCTTACAAGGCTACGGAGAGCACAGTGGCAGGCCATAGTGTGTCTCATGCATTTGTATGCTCTAAAAGTAACTCTTTCTTAGTTTATGATTATTGATCAAACTCTCATGAATATGCAAAATCGTATAGCAATCAACGCTTGTTGATTCAGAGGTAGAACCTAATTTTCAGGATCAAAGCGGTCCACAACAACTGCAAAATCATAATTTATGCATTATGATAAATATGACGTTCCTTCAAGTTATTTATGAGAAGTTGGTGTTAGATAACGATAATAACTTCTCCTTGATAAGTCGAACAATTCTCATTACCTGTTTGCTGGATAATGTATGGATATTAATGGGAGAATGTATGGGTTAATCATTTCTGAGGGTCAAACTTACGTGTACTCAATTCAGGCATTAGGATCGGTTTCGCACCAAAAAAACTACTTCGCAAAAAAAAAAAGTTCAGTTATTCAATGTGTTTTTAAATCTGTAAGACAAGCATAAGCAAGGATCACTACAGGAAATGTATTAGCACTCGTTAACAACATCCGGATAAAACGAGACAGTCACATCAATTAATGCAATACAGTCATTAAACCACAACGCACAACGTATACATTTGAATTAGTCGACATCACTAAGCGGCGATTGTTGCTGTTAGTGGGTAGTCTTCTTTTCCTTGTCATTTGAATTTCAGTGAATTATAAGATAGAGCTGCAGAAAACGGTACACGGGTAGAACCCCCTTTTCCCTGGACAACGGTAAGATTATTACAAGTATTTCCTGGTTGCATTTCAACAAAATGACTTGTGCGGATGGTAATTGCAGTTTCGCCCTTATTTGCTCTTCTTAATGAAGGTTTGATGCGCCTCGCACTCCACAGTTGTCGATAAAGTCTGTCACAGATCCACCTCAGAAACCACAACCCAGAACCAACTGGGTTGGTCCTGGGTTGTGGTTCGCCCTTATTTGCTCCTCTTCATGACAGTTTGATTTGCCTCACACTCCACATTTGTCGATAAAGTCTGTCACAGATCCACCTCAGGAACCACAACCCAGGACTAACTGTCAAATAATCAGCGATGATCATGAGCATGCTTACCGTAATTTAGCCTAAAGCCTTTATATCTCTTTCTTCCGGAAAGACTCCACACAGACACCTTCGTCAAACCAGGTTCTGCAGCAAAACTCCTGCCTTCACACTACTCATCGTAACGGCATGCTTGTCTATTGATACTGTTGAAGAACTAGATCAAGGCAAAGCTGAGCCTAAGCCAACAGATGCAGGTCATAACGGAATCCTTTGAAACTCGCAGGAAAGGCGAATCAAGGAGTGTTGCTTATTTGGACCCTTACGGACCTCATATTACCCAATGGCATATCTGATTGGTTCATGCATGTCCTATGATATGTGGGGTCGCCTTTAAAAATGTTTTCTGACTTATACTGGAGCGTCTTCAATACGAGGAAGGGTTTATGTTCGGCTTAATTGCTACGCCACTGCCATTTGTGCGTCGCTGTAATACGTACTAAATCTTTATATTTGGGTACACATACACGGAGTACATGTCGAAATTGGACAACAACTCAATTATGATTTGGACTAAAACTTGTAAAATTCTGTACAATTCTGTAACTTGTAAAAATCTCGTGTACAGCTCATTAGCCCGCTTGATGTCTTATCTCCTTGTGTTTGCTAGTGAATGAAGTTTGGATTCGCATCTTTCGAGACATTAAGCTTATTTACATACAGGATGTTGTCGTAAAACTCAAAGTTTCAATATTGGTTAAAGAAACCGAAATATAAAGGCTTTATGCATATTAAAGCTCAGAATGATTTTCGGTGGAGTCTGATCATACCTACATACAAAGGAGTTCGTGAATTAAAAAAAAGGTCATCCACGAGAATATTGAAAACCATTCCGTCATGACGCCTTATGTAAATATCCTCGTTCGAGCGAATATGAGTAAATATGATAACTTCTGCGTTCGTTGAACGTGTTAACAAACACAACGAGCTTCACGCATTGTTTCATATGCAAGATATTTTTGCATGAAAGCCGTTGGTTTTATTTCTGATATGAACTTTCTAGACATGTTGATCTATTGTAGGTCTCAAAGAGCACTGCCACAACACGAGGATCGGACAATCCACAAGTTATGGCAAAGATTAACTTGAATTTATTACTTAACTTAAATTTTGCCGAACTTTTATATTTTTGTTTGCAGTTGATGTAGTAATGGAGGGAAAGAATGACGGAAATTATTTTTCAATTGAACCTCTCGAGCTTTGCATGTAACGCAATACTTTTTTGGCCCTATACACCCTCACATCAGTGTGAAAATTATATCCATGCTGTTCTCTAAACTTTTTCCAAGGTGCTGATAAGGAGAATTTGTTTAACAATGGAGAGCTACCTTCGTTGGTGATCATTTCCTTTATTCCTATCACATTAATGTTGGATTTCACACTGCAAGGAGAAATTATATGCTAGTCACTCTTAGGAGCTAAAGGGCTAAAAATAACAATTCAGTTTCTGTGCGATCTTACATCACTATGTTTCTCTATATTTTTTCTACAATTTAAGAAGTTAATGGGTTGAAAATACCGTAATAAAGATAAATAATACAAGAGCTACAATAATCGGACAAAACACAAAAGTGATATCAATGCATGGTTTCAAAAAGAGTCATTGAACCATATCACATCTGGTGTGCATAATGAAAACTTCTTCGACATAACTCGTCGGCCGTTTTTTCTTACTGGTTGTCTTCATTCCTCAGTGTTGCTTAAACTCCTCTGCACCTTCGGGTTGTGTACTAACAATAGTTGGGAGAAGAGACACTTCTTCCTCTTTGAAGGGAGCCCAGCGGCGCGGATTTGGAGTGGAACTTCTTGTTTGCATTTCGACCACGTTGGCTGGTTCTTCATTGACATTTTTGCTTTTCTCAAATGTCGGTGGGCTGTAAGGTGGCGGAGCATCGAATGGCAAAAGAGGAGCAACATCACTCACATCGACTACCGCAGCATTAGAATAAGCATTCCCTGGTTGCATTTCGTTTTCGGAAGTAGCACCTGGTGAAGCTGTATTTGGACGCGCTTCAGTCTGTTCCGTTTGAGCCACAATGAGCGTCACCATCCTCCGTTGTTGAAAGGATCTTTGGTATCTCAACCTCCAGCACCCACACCAAAAAAGACATTTCGCTATAACGGCGAAGACTATGATCACATAGAATGCTCCACTGCCCGAAGACTCTGTGTCTGTATCATCTGTATCATCGTAAGGACCATCCCATTCATAAGTTACGGGCTCAATATCGGTTGGAAAATCAACCTCTGGTGAGGTAAACGGCTCAGGTTGATAGGCGTCCGTGGCGTCTGTGGTTTCCCAGCATAAACTCTCGCCGTCACTCAGGTGAGTGGAGCATGTCTTCCCATAGGGACAATCGGAGTCATCTTTGCACCTCTGAGGACAAAGTGTAGATGCTAAACAGACTCTCTTGTCAAACTGGACTTTACAGCATACTTCTCCATTTTCACACTGAAAATCGTCGCTGCACTCTTGTGAGGAAACGTTGGTGATTAAGCAGATCAATGCAAAGCCAATCAAAACCCAACACAAATAAGTCATGACGAGATCTCTCAGTGAAAGAACGATGCCGACGGGTCAACAAGATGTTACAAAAGAAAAATTAGTTGGCTGCGCCCAGATTACCGAAGCATGGCCTTGTCCTTGGACTATTATGATTGGTTCGTTGTGATGATTTATGACATAGTTACCGTAGAAACATCTTTCACGTACCGTCAATCAGAACGTCTGTGTCCACCTACCAGCATGCAAATGAATCCGGAAGTGGAAGTTTTTGTTTTGTTATGAAATTATCATTCAATGATCTTCTGAAAGTGGGATTCGAAACCTCTCCCTCCTCACGTTTCAAGCACATCGGACCATAATGTTCCCTCTGTTTCCATCAAATCGTTCTAAGGCTGTGGATAGCACAGTGACAGGCCATAGTGTGCCTCGTGCATTTGTAAGTGTTTCAAGCAACTCTTTCTTAGTTTATGATTACGCCTTAACAGTGCTTTGATCAAACTCTCATGAATATGCAAAATCGCATTGCAATCACGCCTGTTGATTCAGAAGTAGAACTTAATAGCCGTTCTCGCCCAATACATTTTTAAGATTAAAGCGGTCCAAAACAACTACAAGATCATAATTTATACATTATGATAAATTCGGCGTACCTTTTACGTTAATTCTGTGAAGTTGGTTTTAAATAACGATAACAACTTCTCCTTGATAAGTTTGACTATTCTCATTACCTTTTCGCTGGATAATGTATGGATATTAATGGGAGAATGTACATGTTAATGACTTCTGAGAGTCAGACTTACGTGTACTAATGCTCAAACTTACGTGTACCAACGCTCCAAACACTAGCACCTCTTAGACTACGCCCTCCAAAAGGACCCGTGTGACGCTCTTCATACCAGAGTTATGTCCAGTGCCGACTGCAACACAGACCACAAACCTAGTGTGTTGACAGCACGCAAAGCTTCGAAGAAGGCCTTGGAGTTTCCGATGTTGGAGTAGAACTGTGTCTTTTCAGCCAGATCGAGCTACCATTTGTTCTGAATCTCCCTGAGTCTTGACTATATATAACTGCACGCTTTCCTATATGCTGTCTTAGTAGCGTGGTCATCCGGCCTAGAGAGGAACTTTGTATGACAGGAGCGTTTGGCCTGGAGAAGCTTTTGGATTTCGGCATCGTTCTCGTCAAACCAGTCTTTGTGCTTCCTAGTGGAGAGGCCGCCTACTTTCTCCGCAGCTTTCTGGAGAATGGTTTTCAGCTGCTACCAATGGTGCTTTGGATCTGTTTCCCAGACTGGCAGTTCCTCCTTTTCTTGTCTGGTCTGAAGCTCCTCTTCGTCGTCTTCGTCGCCCGAAGAAACAAATACTAAAAACATCAGAATTTCAGACTGCAAATAGGCAATAAAGTTGAGAAATTTTTATCACTAAAGCACTCTTTGTTTCCGACAACACTATGAAGATTCTGAAAGCGTTTTTCGTTCCTTTCAACATAGGGAAACGTTGTTTCGTTTCTAACAACAAAATGAAGCGTTGTTTGTTTGGTATGTAATCGTTTCTTAATCACGGACGTTTCGTAAGTTTGAGAAACTTTATCTTGGTTTCTAACAATATCATGAAGGGAAGCGTTGTTCGTTTCTACAACAAAAAATGCACGGATACAGAGTAACATACAAGTAAAGTTGTGTTGTGACTCTTTGTGCCTTTCTTAACAATAACAGATGAAAAAACCTGGTAAACGAATGTCGATTGTCGCGTTGGACAAGTCGGTAAAAGGTCAACGCTTCATTTTGTTGTTAGAAACGAACAACGCTTCCCTTTGTTGTTAGAAACGAACAAAGCTTTTAGAATCGTAACTCAAACATATTTTAATTCCGACCATACGATCGATTTCTGTGTAGTCAAAGTCTTCGTGGTATTGTTAGAAACCAAGAAAGAGTTTCTCAAGCTTTCGTAATGTCCGTGAGTAAGAAACGAGTACATACCAACCAAAAACACTTCATTTTGTTGTTAGAAACGAACAACGCTTTCCTTTGTCGCTAGAAACGAACAACGCTTTTAGAATTGTTACTCAAACGTACACTGAAATTCTGATGTTTTTTTTAGTATTTGTTTCTTCGAGCGACTTGTCTCTTTTTTTCGGGCGACATAACTACAATTTCAGGCAACCTGACTCAAGTTTCGGGCGACATGACTTCGGGCGAGATGATTCTCGAGCGACTTGACCGGTTACCATCTAATCAATCCAAGTAAAGCGGCTCAACTGAACAGAGTTACAATCTCAGTGTGGGGTATAATTTCCCAGTTGAAGTCCGCTGTGGGTGAAATGGTAACTAACCTGAGCCCTCACCTCCGGCAGACGTTGCCGGCTTACAGTGCGAGCTTGTGACTGCAATATTTTGAACAGACACTGGTAAAACACTAACAATAACAGTTCACGAGGTCTAAGCTGGGGGAACGTCGAAAGATGTGAGTCATGAGACGATCTTTGGATCACTACAGCAGCAATGAAGGCACTTGGACAAAGTGTAATGACGCCTCATGCAAATAACTTTTGTAACATTAATGTTTGATTTAACACTGTAAGGAGAAATTATATGTTAGTCACTCTTAGGAGCTAAAGGGCAATGAATAAAAATTCAGTTTCTATACGATCTTACATCATTATGTTTCTCCTTATTTTTTCTACTATTTAAGAAGTCAATGTCATTATGTTTCTCCTTATTTTTTCTTCTATTTAAGAAGTCAATGGGTTGGGAATACCGTAATAAAGATAAAAACTACAAGAGCTACAAAAAAACAAAAGTGATATAAATGCATAGATTCAAAAACAGTCCTTGAACCATATCACATCCGGTGTGCATCATGAAAACTTCTTCGACATAACTCGTTGGTGGCTTTTTCTCACTGGTTGCCTTTATTCCCTCAGTATTTTCTAGGCTTCTCTGAACCTTCGGGTTGTGCACCAGCTATAGCTGGAAGAACAGACGCATCTTCTTCTTTGAAGGAAACCCAGTGGCGCGGATTTGAAGTGAAACTTCCTGTTTGCATTTCAACCACATTGGCTGGTTTTTGATTGACAGTTTTGCTTTGCTCAAATGTCGAAGAGCGGTAGGGCGGCGGAGCATCAAATGGCAAATGAGGAGTAACATCACCCACATCGACTACCATAGCATTAGAATAGGCATTCCTTGGTTGCACTTCATCGTCGCAAATAGCACGTGGTGAAGCTGTATTTTGGCGCATATCTGTTTGTTCCGCTTGCGCCACAGTAAGCGTCACTATCCTCCGTTGTTGACGGTATCTTCCGTAACTCAACCTCCAGCACCCACAACAAAAAATAAATTTCGCGATAACGACAAAGAGAATGATCACAGAGAGTGTTCCACTGCCTGAAGACTCTGTGTCTTTATCATCTGTATCATCATAAGGATCCGCTTGTGAGTAAACGTTGGTGATTAAGCAGATCATGGCATAGCCAAACAAAACCCCACACAAACCAGTCATGACGAGATGTCTCAAAGGAAAAACGATTCCGACAGGTCTACAAGATGTTACGAAAGAAAAAGCAGTTGGCTCCGCCCGGATTACCGAAACATGGCCTTGTCCAAGGATTACTGATTGGTTCGTTGCAATGATTTATGACATAGTTGCCGTAGAAATATCTTTAACATTCCGTCAATCAGAACGTCTGTGTCCACCTACTTGCATGCAAATGACCGGGAAGTGAAATTTTTTATTTTGTCATGAAATTATCATTCTTGATTTCTTGAAAGTGGGATTCGAAACCTCTCTCTCCTTACGTTCCAAGCACATGGGACCATATTGCTTCATCTGTTTCCAAGATCATAATTTATACATTACGATAAAATTGGACGTTCCTTTTAAGTTAGTTATGAGACGTTGGTGTTCGATAATGATAACAACTTCTCCTTGATAAGTTTGACTATTCTCATTACCTGTTTGCTGGATAATGTGGGGATATTAAGGGGAGAATGTATAATCACTTCTGAGGGTCAAACTTACGTGCACTAAATCTAGGTATTAGGATCGGTTTCGCACCAAGAAACTACATCAAAAAAAGTTGATTCAATGTGTTTTTAAATGTGTAAGACAAGCATAAGCATGGATCACCACAGGCAATGTGTTAGCACTCGTTAACAACATCCCTGCAGATAAAACGAAACAATCACATCAATTGATGAGAGACAGTCATTAGACCACAACGTATAAATTTGAGTTTGTCGACATCACTAAGCGGCAATCGCCTCTGTTAGTTGGCAGTCTTTATTTCCCTGCCGTTTGAGTTCCAGTGAATTATAGGATTGAGCTGCAGAAAACAGTACACGGGTAGAACCCCCTTTTGCGTAGATAACGGTAAGATCATTACAAGAATTTCCGGGTTGCCTTTAAACAAATGACTTGTGTGATGGTAGTTGCAGTTTCGCCCTTATTTGCTCGTCTTAATGAAAATTTATATTTTGGTATAAATGCACGGAGGACATGTCAAAATTGGACATTAAGCTTACTTACATACAGAATGCTGTCATAAATCTCAAATTTACAACATTGATTAAAGCAAACCGAAATTTAAAGGTTTCATGCCGAACAAAGCCTCAAAATAATTTTCGCTAGGGACTGATCATACCAACATACCAAGGAGCTCGCGAATTTAAAAAAGGTTTTGTTCCCTGAGAAAATTGAAAAACATTCCCCTTATTTTGATAAGAGGATCAATACTAGACCCGATCAAAGGTATGTCAATAGAGAAGAACAGGAAATACCCATTTATGGGTTATTGACCATCCCTATAGATCAATTTGTGTAATCAATATATAATTAATTTGTATAATGAATGTTTAATCAATTTGTATAATTATGCCATGATCACGCGTGGCGATGAAACTTGTTCTTGTAGCAATGTAGAGGGATATTTTTCAAAGGTTTCGCATCAACTTGTTGCTTGCTGTGGATGGAATTAAGTTTTTAAAGCAAACTTGACCCGAAATTATTGGTGGAAGTAAATAAAGTACTAAAAATCACAAAAAAAAAAGGTTAAAGATGAAAATTTCATGAAAGATTGCAACCTGTGAACTTGCCACTCCAATCATAGGTTACTCCAATTGATACATCCGGATACAGAAAAAGAATCGCTCTTTTACAATATCCATGTTAATTCTGATTCGTCCACAGGTCGATTCAGAACTCTCCCTTTTCTCAGCCTCTTCTATCTTTTTAAGTCGTATAAGCAGGTAAACTTAAAATTCAAAGAAAACCTTTTAGTTATAAATTACATATCCATTGATATGGTTGGCTACACTAACCAGTTAGTACAACCAAACCAGTAGATTTTACAAAAACAACATTTGGGTTTGCCTAACATTCTGAGGTCAATATTAGGACATTGCAGCAATTATTTAATCTCATTATTAGATAAAAGATTATGGATACTGCACCGTCAAGGTGCAATATATAATAAATAAATATTATGATGGTAAGAAATTTTATCAAAAAATTAAACAAAATACGATAGACAAGCTGCGCAAAATCCACCGCAAAAGTGATAAGCTTGCAGTGAAAGCAAATAATCATTTCTACATGTGGTTTGTATGAAATTGAAACAGCACCAAGTCACTTAGAAAATCCCTTAACCTCGTAACTTCCAGGAGTGAATGACTCTCCTTGTGATATCCATCATTAGGCTAGATCAATGTTAAGCAGTTATATTGAGTATATTCAATAATCTTATCTATTTTAGTATTGGCCTCGATGATGGTTAAGATCTTATTTTTAAAAAACTATTTACCTCGTGGTCATTAACGACCGGGTTCATTATTTATCTTCCAGTCACTAAACAATAGCAACGAGGGAAATTTCTTGCGATTGCATACCTCTCTCTTGAGTCTCGACGTATAACTTACTAAAAAATTCTGCTCTTGAATCGCTATTGTACGTAGCACGTGAACGAAAGTGTTTCAAGAATTTCAAATCGGAAACTCAAAAACGAATTTTCTAATTTCTAACGCGTCCATTGTTTCGAAACCGATCGAAGAGGACCATGCATAATTCTCAACGAAAAAAACGCTTAGAGTTGTTTGCAGCATGTATATGCGGAAACTATAGCTGCGATGTGATATGACCATAGCATTTTTCTGAACCCACCCGACATACAGAAATCACTTATATGTGTATGGCGATTGTGGTCACCCACGGGTCTCGCAATTTGTAATGCTGTAAGCAAATAGCAGGTTTTCCAAGGTAGCTATGAGTTTCGATAGTAGGTATATGTGAGAAAGTAAGACCAAACACGACCCAATAAGCATTCCTTAACAAAGATCACCAGAACGCTGAAACGTATACGCATATCCGAGTGATAACATAAATGATAGATTCCAGTCTTCCGATGCACCGTTCTTCAACAATATCGATAGGTTTCTAAGGTAACTATAAGTCAGTAACATTAAAGGGAATGTCCTTCTACTACTCTACAATCCGTGACAGAAATAAAGAAAAGGCTGCATCACAAATTAACAAGAATATTATAAGCGAGTTATTCAACTGTGATAAATCCGGCGCGACTTACTGCTCCTTGTCGCGACTTGCTCTCGGTTGCTCAAACGCTGTATTGTTTTCATTTCCTTGTCGTCCAAAAACCATATGAAAATTGTACCCCGGTGTAGGTGCACATTGCATGGGAGAAGCAACTCCTTCGACGAAATTAGAAACGGCAATTTCTTGCCGCACCTCCTCTTTAGACTCAATATTTCCTTTTCCCTCTAATCCCAGGGAATCGTAAGGTGGTGGTGCGCCGGGCGGTAAAGGAGAAGCTTCTGCTCCTCCGATTACATCAGGATACGAGTAGGCATATCCTGGTTGTAGTGCAGCACAAGGTGGCAATGAAACATATGGGTGATTAATAATTGCTGCTGTTGTTGTGTTTACAGTGGTTGTTGTCTGCCTTGTTGGTACAACGATGGCCATTCGCTGATACACTCGTCTTTTGTATCTCATTCTCAGACAGGCCGCCCAAAGCAAAATCTTCACAAAAACGAGTATAATTATCAAGAAAATGTACCCAATGTCCAAACCGTCGCTGTCGCTTGAACTGTCGTCGGGTACCGAAGAGATGCAACTTCCGTCGTCGCAGTCTTCGCCTTCTGAGCAATCAGTGTCATAAATACATGATACATCACCCGTTACCTGCGGCTGAATCGTTTCTGTATCAGGATCAGGCACAGTGAAGGACGGTGATTCGGTAGTCATGTCCACTGCATCCACGCAAAGACCAGCATAAAGACCCGATTGCTTCAAACACTTCTTCCCTGTGGAACATTCAGCGTCATAATGGCAAATGACACACTTATCACGGGGAGTACAAGTGTTGGAAACCATGCAGCATTCTTCATCCCCAGAGCAATCACTATAGTATAGGCATTGCTTTGAGTGGACACAAGAAGAGGAAAAGATCAAGGCCAAACCAAGCACAAGCGACCACATCTTAGGAAAGAGGTGTTCGACACCCGATTTCAACACGGACAAAGTGTATAATTCCTTAAAAATTCCGGTTTTAATCAACACATGCGCAATAAGGCGCTAGGATTACTGAAGGACACTGGACAACACTTAGTATCCTAGCGACCGATTGCAGATTCATCAACTTTAACGATCGCAAACCTGTTTTGATCGTAGGAGCTAAGCGCACGGTTGACCAAAAACGTGATGGCACTTCCACAAACTGTTGGCTTCAAAGCTGAAGCAGTCGATGAAGAAGGAGTTTGGTGTGCGTGCACTGTTGAAGAAGTAGACGATGATTACGTGATCATTTCCTTTGATGGCGGAAATGCGGAGTGGAATCGCCGCGTCTGTGATCCATGTATCAAAATGTATTCAGTTCGTTTGTTTACGTTAGGCTACAAGGACAAACTGGAATTGTGCTCTAAATCAAGAGAAATGGTAAAAGATATCGAAATAAAAAAGACCAGTAAATAAGCACCCCTTATCTACATAACATTCCCTTCAGTGAACAATGTCTTCGCTTTAAGAAGACCGACTTTTACTTTTAAATATCACCCAAACCATTATGAAAACAACTAGACCCTGTGAGCAGGGTAACTGGGATACCTGGATGGTACTGGATCCTTGGGATCAGGTGTAGTGATACTACGGGTGTCGGACTAGTATACTAAATCTCGTTGAACTGAGTTTCTATGGGCTTCCTTATTAGCTTGGACTTGTGATATAATCTTATCTTTGTCTGCAGGATCCAGTGTTTTATACCATTCTGCTCTGCCAGACAAAAGTTTCTTTTTCTTAAGGATTCAATGACTTATACCATTCTGCTATTTTTTGTTTTTGTGCAGAATTGAGCGAGTTAAACCATTCTGTTCTCTTTTGTTTTTGAGCAGTATCCAGTGATTTATACCAAATTGCTCTGCCAGACAAAAGATTTCGTTTTTCTGCAGAACCAAGTGATTTATACCAATCTGCTGATTTGGACAAAAGCTTTTCTTTTCCTTTGGGATTCAGTGATTTATATCATTCAGCTCTGTGAGATAAGAGCTTTTCTTTTTCTGCAAGATCCAGTGACTAGTACCATATTGCTTTATCAGACAAAACTTTTTTCTTCATGGCAGTTTCCATTTGTGCATAGGTTTCTTTTGTCCTTTTTGCATATAGTTCTTTCTGAGTATGAGACTTATGTCTTGCCATTACTCTTTGTCTTCCAGCATTTGACAAATTAGTTGAACAACATAGAAATTTGTTACAATATTCTACATCTTTACTCTGGAATTGTTTTTTTACAATATCCACTAATGACTGAATAAGAAAATATATGTCATTCATTTTTTCAAATTTATCAAGGTGCCATTAGGACTGAATCTTATGATAGTACTTAACACATTTGCTTTTTTCTTATATTATTGTGCTGAAAAATACAGCTGAAGCAATAATTTGAGATCCACATTAAAAACCCAGTATTATCCTTAGTATTATCTGTGATTAGCTTCTGAAGCAAAAATTTGCTACCGAGAGATGTACAGCATAGTATTCCTTTTTTCTCCAAATTTAAGGCAATATCAATATCTGCATCATATAATTGAAGTGTCCTTGAGAAATTGTTTATAGTCAGTGGATGGCTATCGCCATTGAGTTTTTCTATGTAAAACTTGTTTGCATGGTCAGTGATTCTACCTAGAGTCTGTGAATTCCAATACCCACAATATTTGATGATGGAAAAACAAATGCTATAAAAAGATGTGGCACAACAGCATAACAAGGGAATATGAATGGTTATAATTTCTGCATCTGCATGATTTGCTTTAAGGGGGACAGCTGACAACTGTTGATCAGAAATATCTGTCATATCACATTGTCTTTCATTAATATGTACACCTTTGAGTTCAAATAAAACATTTGGATCCTGATAAAGACCTTGAAATAGGTTATCAGCTCATTTAAGGTGTTAACTAATCTAACACTACACAAGTTCCTTGAGGATGGGGCATACCATATAAATTTCTACCATGAGAATCAAATATCTTAAACTTACCTTCACCATTACAGTAAAAACCTACTGCAGTACTAAGGATTGTTAAAAGAAAGGAATTATAATTTTGTCCTGGCAAAGCCTGCATAGCATTAGCAAATGTGACACAATAATTGAAATCTTGTACTTCACAAGTACCATGTATAGTACCAGTATAGCTTGGACTATATTGAAGCTGATAATTAATATTGAATACTATTATCATTTCAGGTACTTCTGTTAACAATAAATAGGATTGCCTGGATAGACAAGATAGACCAGAATACAATTCGTTACCAATGTTCATGATATTAACCAAGTCCACTGAGGATACAACACCATTCCTCTTGTTATATATGAGGGAAACAAGTGACATAGCTACAAACTATGTACCAGCATTTAATCCAAACATTGCCACGTTGTCTTGACTGTAAGGAGCTTGAATTGTTTTAGTAGAATTAATAACAGGACCAGGGTTTGTTTCTATATCTCCAGATAGATTGGACTTAAAATGATCTACCCTGTGATTCAGATTTTTATAAACATTTGGTACTGATTTAGACCTCCATGCATTCGACTGCTTTGGCTTTGGACTTTTTATTACATGTGGATATTGGTTTTATATTTTCAGTATCCTTTGTTTTTTAGACTTTGGATATTTTCTCCTGACTGCAGAAGAGGGATATTTCGTTGTTCCTTTATTCTCACATCTGATTCCATGTGCATATATTTTTTTTACGAGCTTTACTTGTAAAAAGATGCATTCGGGAAGACTTCTGTTTGCTTTTTCTGATGTACTTACTTTCCTGGATTTCTTCAAAATACGTATAATTCTTTTCTTTGGTATTCTGCTGGGCTCACGATCACGAACACCATGCGTACGAGGGCGATTAAAATAAACGAATTTGTTGAATCGAGATCTACAGTTACAGACTGTATTTATTTAAAATGCTTCATCTTGCTATTATTAAGCTTATTATCATATTTAAAGAAAGCGACAAAACTTTTGAGTTTGTGAAACATGTTTCGACAGAAACTTCTGTCATCTTCAGTTAATTACTGTACAAAGTGTTGAAAGTAGAACAATGCTAATTAAGATGAATAGTGACAACAAGAAGAGAGGTAAAGCATGAAAGCGTGAGAATTAAAAGATAGTTTTAGATTTACATGGTGTAATTGTTGATTTAAAGATGGTTGTTCTCTTTGAATATGAATAGCCTCTTTTATCTTATGCTGAAAACCGGTAAAGGCGTGATCTAAAACGTGGAAGTTATCTGCTGAACATAAAGCGCGACAATGCGGAGAATCTTTCAAATGCCTGAAAATGTGAGAGGCCTTGTCACTGACTAAGTGCTCTCTAACACGTGTGGAAAAATGCCGGCAGGTTTCACCGACGTAACAGGCATTACAGCCAGCACGTACAAACTTGTAAACCACACGTGAACGGAGCCCATCAGGGACAGGGTCTTTCACACCAAACAAGTTACCGATTCTGGAGGAAGAGAAAACCAATTTGATATCCAAGTCATTGCAATAGCGCTTAATAAAATTGCGGATCTTTTTTTGAGTGATAGCAGAAAAGTGGCCTATGCTCGACAAGAAACAACCTGATTATTCTTTTGAGCAACTAAATAAATTGCAACAGCGGCATTTCCACAGGGGAAAACAAAGGAAAAAACAACAATTGCAACATAAACATGGACACCAGAATGGATGTGGGTATACCCAGGATCACATGCAGAAGAAAATCAGAGAAGAAGAAAAGAGAAAGCCACAGCGTGGATGGAGGTTAAGGAGTGAGGTGTATAATGCAGCTACCCTCAGAGCTGGCTATCAGTAAAGTGCATGAGGGCTAACATGTCGCACTCTCTGCAAACAAGATAGGAGAAGACAAACAATGACAAGGCTACCCGAGAACAAGCTTCACAAGGTATCTGAATCAAACTGCCTTTCTTTTGTGATCTATTTCATCAGTATGTAAAGCAATCTAATGAACAAATTTCAATTCAACATCAAATAATTCCCACAAAAAGAATCTCAACGGTGTATTAAAAAACTCTTGGAAAAGAGCAATTATCATTACCAAGAAATCAGAATAATTAGACCTTCAATGAATCTTACACTGAATCCTACAAGTAGATTTTAGGGGAACCAAACCTCAATTATTTCAGCATTGTAGGAACTGGATACAAAGAGTTATAGAAAAAAATTCAGATATAAAAACAGTTGCATAAGGCTCAAAGGTCAGACTACAGAGCTCACAGTAAATAAATATTTATGATTGCAACTATTGGAGGCAAGTGGCACAATTTGCACAAAAATTTAAAACAATGTCAGCTACTTTGATTTTCTAATTCCGTGTTTAGTGCCATTTGGAACATACAAAATTAAGTGTTTGTCATTCTTATCATCAAAGAATACTATTTCACTCCCAAGGAAAAGAGAAAGATAATGTGAAAAAAGCCACACTATCCAAAGTAGAGGCAATTATAAATACATTTTATTACTCCTCCCTTTCTGTGTAAATCAAAAAATTTTTTGCAGCAGAACGAATATTCTTCAACTAGTTGACCCAATGAGATATAAGCAATCCTTGCAGCTATTAACACTACTGAACTAGTAGTTGAAATGAGACCTGAAAAAATTTCAGGCCGTACAGGATTTGAACCATGACCTCTGCAATACCAGTGCAGCGCTCTACCAACTGAGCTAACAAGCCAACTGGGAGCTGTTCATAATGTTGGATTCAAATAAACCTTCCAAGTGATGAATAATTACTGGAAATTGATGAAAATCATATAAGTGCACTACGGTGAAGAAAAGAGATATAAGTGATCCTTGCAACTATTTTTTTCAGGTCTCATTTCAACTACTAGTTCAGTAGTGTTCATAGCTGTGAGGATCACTTATATCTCATTTCTTCACTGCAGCGCACATATATAATTTTCATATATTTCCAGTAAACATTTGACCCAAATTTGTTTCATTCAAGAAGATTACCCTCAAGGAAATAAAAAGTTGGAATTCACTTTAAAAATTGGATTCAATTTTGCAGCGCAACTGTTCTGTAATATATATCACAGATGACATAAAAATGTGCCAAGTTAAAAGAAAAAAAAGTGGCACACAAGACACTACTGTGTGTCATTGATGCAATTATCCTAACAACATTTTGATCTCTTCTGTGATCAATTGCTGTTGGTTGGATATGATAAAAAAATTAAAAATGCTGTCAATGGTGACATCATCTGTACATCTGTCCCCCAATAGATCATAAGAAAGAACCAATCAAAGTGCATGTTTAATTCAGCTCATCATCTTAACCCTTTAACTCCCCAAGATCTCATTAGTCATTCTCCTTACTGTCTGCAATACAATTCTGGTGATGTTAGTTTGGAGAATTTGGAATTGGAACAACCAATAATCCCCTAATTGATATTTTTCTTCATTCTCATCACTTGTCTGCTTGATATTATACTTACAGTGTAAGGAGAAATTCTGTCTGGGTCACTAGTGGGACTTGAAGGGTTATGAAGAATGGGCATTGGTGGCAAGGTGAGAGAGGCCACCTAAACCCAAAATCACTGCTAAAGGACCTGGGGATGAGTAAGGATATTCTCTGGAACAAATAAGTTTCTAATCAAGATTTTAAGGGTTAAAGCCAAGTGGAACTGAACAAATCAAGTTAGACTTCTGGTCATGAGTAGTATCATATTAGATACAATTATACTTCACAACATCATGAGCTCACTTAACTCTTTAACTCCCAAGATCTCATTAGTAATTCTCCTCACTGTCTGCTTAAAGTTCTTGTGATGTTAGTTTGGAGAATTTGGTATTGGATCAATTTATAATTCCCTAATTGATATTTTTCCTCATTTTCATCACTTTTCAGCATGATATTGTATTGATATTGTTAGGAGAAATTCTGTCTTGGTCACTCATTGGAGTTAAAGGGTTAAAGAACATAATTCAACTGTGTCACTACATTAAGCATACTGACACAATTTAAGTCTAAGTTTACTTTGTGAACAGGACTTGTGGGTTAATTTTGCAACGTTTCTGTACATTGCTTAACACTAGCAAGTAAAAGGGAATTTTTGTCAACAGAATCCTCCTAAAAAGCTCAAAAGTAAAAGAGAATAAGTTACTCACAGTATTTCTGTCATCAAATCTTTGGATAATTATAAAATATCTTTAGTCTTCTAAAAAGTAAAACCAAAAAATTTGTTACATCAGAAATTTAAATATCTTACAGCAATTACCCCCTATTTACTTGTAAGACATTTTTTACATTTCCTTTGAGTTGTGGCGCATTTTAATAAACCACCTGGATAAAACATTCAGGAATACTGAACACCAAATTGTCTAGAAGTTGTTTTTCATTCAACTGCTTTCATCACAAGCATTCCTTAGAAACAATTAAGCATAGCCAACCTGTTAAACTGTCCAAATAACCATACAAAATCACGAGGTATTTGTACATGAGTAGTGCGTTATTTGTACTCAACTCAGTGCAGTTGGAAAATAAAAATAATTACGATATTCTCTACTCAGTAAAGGTAATACTGTTTCTGATTTAACATAAACCTAAATCCTGTTGGTCCCAGAGTTCCACTGTATTCCTTTTATACACCATAAAATAAGGTTTGGTTGAATCAGACCAGTTGTTCTCCATTAGATAAATTATCATTTTCTTTACTCAATGATTTGCATCTAAATCTCTTTGTCAGAGGTGTCATCAAATCCTAACATACACTTAAATGTAATCAACAATATAAAATCAAGAAGAAGAGAATAAGCTTAATTGTATTCATTTGGTAAACATTTGGGAATATTTTACAATATGCTCATTAAATGTGAAGCAGATTTAGAAAATTAATCTCAGTACTGACATGTACATTAATGCAAATTCAGACAGGTTTTCTGTTATGACACTTAACTTGGTTCAAGAGGTGGGCATTGGAATTTTTGGTTAACAGTTTGGGTTACAGTTTCTCTTCGATCTGAGCAGCAATTACACGCCTCCACTGATCTCGAATTGCTGTTAAATGCAAATGTTATCAAGAGGAATGCATGACAAACCAATTAAAATATCACAGGGATCCCTAGGTAGTCTACATGTAGCCATACCCACTCCCTCCCCCAAGGTGAGGGGGAGTGGAGGGTAAGGGTACACATAAAAGGATACAGCTATGCACGGAACATTGCCAGAGTTTCTTTATCAACGCCACCTCGAAGTTAGAAACCAAGTTACAGGCCACATGTGACTGATTGATTCAACATTCCTATAGAATCTCCAAACTTTCAGGTCTTACTTCACAAATGGAAATGTTAGATTAGGGATTTTCTATGAAACTTTCCAGAGCAGCTATAGCTTTTAGCAACTGCAAAATTGAAATCCTATAGAGGACTTTTGTGCAAATTTCCTTAATTTAACTAGGCTCCATTTCCAGCTGCTGAGTCCACAGAGACCATGCTCGAGGTTCTCAATAGAGCAGCTGTTAATTTAAACAGATACTAGAAGATACAAATGCCAAGTCCATGGCATTCATAAATCCTGCAATGAAATTAGTGTAGCTAACTCTGTATGCTCCACTTGTCACCACTGTATCAGATCCATCAAGGTTTTAATAATTGGGAAGTGAAAATGTATTGGTTTTGACAGTTTTGCATGCAGTTTTCAGTTTTGATCAAAATTTTTTTTTTTGCTTTTTGGTTTTGGATGATTTTTTTCTACAGTTTTGCAGATTTTAATTGGCCCCAATGCCCCTCTCATTCAACTATAAGACTGAAAATGATATGTTAAATTATTTTACAATCATTTACCTGAAAAGCACATATTTGAACACAATCAGTGTTGATATTTTCTTCTGTATTTTAAATAAAGCTTTTTGAAGTATCAAAGGAGGATCAAAATCAATGGAAACTTAAAAGTGAAACAGATTTCTATCCAATATCTCCAACACTCAGTGTACAACACCTCAGCCTCCCAAGCTAAATAAATAAATATCAGAAACTTATAAAAGCTTTGCAAAATTATGTAGAAGTGAAGAAATCAGTAATTTCATCTCAAAACCCAAATGTCAAAGGTTCAACATCATATGCTGCTAAAAAGAAAGGTAACATACATGTTTAAGAATTAAAAATAACTGAACAGATAATTTGAGGAAGGAGATCTGTATAGTATCCACAGAAGTGGAGTTGTAAAAATAAGAATCTTCAGAAGATGATGTTGTCTTCCAAAAACTTTTCCCAAAGCTTGATGCAGAATGGCTATACCTATAAAGAAAACAGTTGATCTTAATTTCAACCCAAGAAAACTAAATAAATTATAAAATCACACAATATCTAAAGAGTAATTCTTCCCTTTTATTGCTTCACATTTCCTTGTGAATTAGTTGAAAGAGAATTTGGTTAACCCTTTACCTCTCAGAAGTGATTAACATGTCACATCTCCCTATAATATCTATGCATTATCCAGCAAACAGGTATTGAGAATACTCAAACTCATCTGGTAGAAGATATTACCTTGATCAAACACCAAATTCTTGTAAAAATTATCAAGGAAATGTGTAGCAGCTAGAGGGGACAATTAACAATCAAATCTTGGGAGTTAATGGTAGAGACCATAGATCTACATCAAAGTAGCTGATAAGATTGCCTTGTGCACTTCAACTCTTTCAATTCCAAGAGTGACCAAAAAGGTCATAGGTAAAACTATTACACATCTCAAATAAACAAATCAACACATATTATCCACCAAGTCATGAGATCAGTTACTAATGATTTACCCATGAATTTTTGAGATAGCTTTCAATAATTAACATATAAAAATAATCATTTAAACCCTGCATATATCATTGTGCCTTCTATATCTAACCAAAGCAAAAATATTCTTAACGATTTTTGAGTTTTGAAAGTGCAAAAAACGTTTTAAACCCAGCTAAATAGTTTGTTGCCTTGTATACAATGAATCAACTATTTTCTGTACAACATCTTTGTGTTGCCTAGAAACTACATTTCTTTCAACCAGAAAGGAGAAATTTTTATTATATTAATTACAATAATATCAAATTCCCTGCACATAGGGGGATACAAATAAACAAATATATCGGGCACACTATATTTCATTAATAAAGAAGTAAGTTTCTAAAGAAACTGCGGTACTACATCGGCGGGAGAGTAGCTTTGAAACTCTTAACGGTGACCAATTTACGCAATCAACTCAGTTGATAATACCAAATTACCTTCGTAGACCCCATTTACATAACTAAAAATTTTCTTTCTTAGATTAAGAAGAAATGCACAGCGGTTCTAACGGAGAATTGCTGAACAGATCTTAAGATTTACCTGTTCTTCGTCGCAAACTCTCGCAGCACATCCACCGACTAGATCATCATAAGGTGGCGGTGATGAAGATTCCACGTCCAAACTACTGTCTAGCGTGACTGCATCATAAGCAGGAGGCGGTATTTGAGGACGAGAAAAGCCAATAATTGGATTTAATGTCGGACTGGTTCTGTTCAACGCAAACGTTTCAACTTCGTTACGTGAAGGTGAAAATAAATTTACACCATGGCCCACCTGGGTAGACGCAGAATAAACTCCTCGGGAAAATCTTTGTCTCCTACGTTTTTTGTAACAGCGATACGAACCATAACTAACAGCGACAACAAAGATCAAGACACCGAAAACGGCTCCAACTATGACGAATATGCGTTGATCAAAATGAAAGCTTACTTGAACATTCTCTGAATTTTCAGGAGTAACAGGTCGCGGTGCTGGCTTGCATTGACCAGATTCGCATTCTTCATCTTCAGGACAGTCTGTATTATAGCTACAAAACGCTGGAAAACTGATATCCGGATTCTCACAGCGATTACGATAACAAATCTTTCCACCATTGCAAGTATCGTCCGAGATGCAAGCATCGGGACAATTCCACCATGGTTTGCAAGCACTTGAACAACAAATGATCCCTGCCGACGAGTTTTTTTGATCACATTCAAAGTTTTCAGTACAAGCAAGGGCAAATAGTTCCAGTTTGAGAAGGCTCTGGAGAAATGCCAAACAAGTTATAACACTGAAACCAGAGTACATGGCGCTTTAGTACAATGTACAACACTCGCACAATCCTGGATGCTATCGTTAGCTTCCCGTCGGGATCTGGTGCGAGTAGGCCTAGAACCCATGCCTAACACTTGACAGATAAATTTACCGCGGATCATCGAATCTCCTCTCGACAGCGAAACAGTAAATTTTTCGATTCCGCGGCAATACACCCGGAGACTTGAGTTCCAAACCTTTATATACATTAAAATGGAAGGGTACGCCACACTATTTTTGAAGATTATTGATTAAAATTTTATATCCTTTTCCTTCAAACTCATTGTGTCATTGCAATTGTGGTAAATAACCATGGTGTAGGTGATTAGAGACATCGTGTAGACTCTTACGTTTGGGGAAGCCCCTTGTTGCATAACCTTCATACAATATCAAGAAATAACCTTATGCTTGTCATCCCAACTTGAGAATCGAACACCAAAAAATTACTCATTCTATATAGGGGTGCATTTCTGTGAAATCTCTCGCTGAACGAATGCTGTACCGCAGTTAGTTTAGGGAGCTTCTTCAAAATGACGCAAAAGTTAAACTTGATCACGAACATGACTTTTCCAACGTCCGCTGCCAGAGCTAGTGCGTCATGGGACGTTTTTTGCTTATTGATATTGTTAATTAATCAAATCATGATTACTATTACCAAGAGTTTGTAATCTCTTGTTACAATACTTATTATTATTATTATTATTATTGCTTCATGCATTGATCAGATAGGATCTTAAGTTGTAAAATGTTTGCATTTTCTCAAAAATGTAGGTTTTTCAAAAACCTACCTATGTGTGCATCAGATGTCATTTCTTTTTATTTATGGTTTATTACATCACGATCCCACAAGCTGCGAAGCTTCAACCCCATCGTGTGTAAATTAAGGTTTCACTCACTTACTTACACGGATCGATCAGTTTTATTTACGAGTTTCGATGCATCAAAAATACGAACTAGAGGGTTTATTGGTGCATGGCAACGAGTGGACAAAAATCATTCAAGCACTTTCCATGGTATGATGCTTTTATTGCATACACACAAAGATTTTTTTCCTACAGAACGACACACTTGAAAGATTGGAAGCAATTTATTATAAACACCACCAAACCCGAAAGGTGGCGCGATATTTAGTCTCAATTGACAACTATATATATTTTGTATTGTGTTATTTGTTTTTACACTAATTTGCCAACGGGGATTCTTTACTTTTGAAAACGAAACATAGATAATTCATATTTTTAAAATTCAATTAATGAATGGCATCTCGAATCGCAGATGCTTACAATTATGACGTATGAAAACTTGCAAATAAAATTGGACAACCTCGGCTTAGCAAACCTGCGAGTTTTCTCAAACGCTAAATCATTGATGATACTAGCTTCATAGTTCTTTTTTCTGTTTGAGATATCGTTCAAAGCTGACAATCACTCCCCGTAATGGTGTGGGGTTGTAGTCATCTCCATCTTTGGTTCTGACAATGAGCACGCACTTGCTCAGCAATTCATTGAGTTGAGCAGGAGGTATTTCTTCAACGTTCCTGAGCTCTACCTTCCCTTTCAATAAAGGTTTTTAGCGGGCATACGTCCCTGTTGGTCTTTCCTCTTGTGTTTTTGTTTTCTTGCTCATCTATGAAGTCATTTCTTGTTCTTTTAAGACGAGAAAATCTTGGCATCTCTTCTTCCATTTTGTTTTTTCAGGAAGCCGAGCGCTAGTTTTCCTCTACTGTGAAGAACTATCATTCGTGTCTTTGATTGGACGAACGATGTATTTTCATAGTTGCTCGCTGCTCTGATTGGTTAGTTGGATATTTCGTACGAATTTTACGCGGGCTTTTTATTGATGTGTAAATCTCAGTATGTATGAAATAAAACCTATTTCAACCATGTCAATGGTGATGGCGAATATGACTAATCCGTTTGTAAGCATCCTTCATGACTCAAGAAACTGCAAGTAGACGTGATTATGGCAAATCGTGAGTCCACGGATCATTCCGCTACACGCGCGCGAACTAACCCAGACACTATATAATTTGGAGTGCATCTGGAAACCCACGCATTAATTTTGGCAAAAACATTCGGGAGAAACGTGCGCGACTAAACACGGATTGGTAACTCTCCAAGTTGGGCCGTAATAAGCAGCATGGCATCACGCAAGCTGAAATACTGTGTTTAGTCGAATCAATTATTTAATTGGGACTCTTGAGATGTGGAAAAACTCATTCACAGCCTTCGCCTCCTAGTTTGCCGGCCTGAGCAAACTGAAAACTGAAGATTTTCTGTGGTTCTGTGGTTAGCAGACTCTTAAACCAAGATTAACGCCAAAAGACATCTTTCCTCTTCTAACCGGCTCTAAATACGATTATACATTTCTGGAGTGTTTTTAGAGCTACATTGTTTACGTTTTGTCACAACAGCGCCAAATAATCACGGGATATTTTTTAAAATGCTCAAGATGAAAATTTTATTCATTGTCATACAAATATAATTTTGAGAAATTTATGACTTCATCTGTGGCATACTGAGCCAAGCTTCATGGCGTAATATGTACTTATATTAGAGGTGAAATATTGGCCCCGGCCTTACGAGCGAATATAGAAATACATTTCTGAAAAACAACTAAATTTTTTCTAAAGCGATGCTTTTAATTTAAATCGGTCGTAACCAACAATCTACTGAACTCAAACAGGGATCTAAGCTCCGGTTACCGAGTTTCGAATTTATTACTTGTATGCAGATTCTGGAGTCTGCCTTTGAAGAAATCGTACACGCTTTCGTCGTTAAAATACTTTTCTTTTATAACCTGATTTGATCAAGTTGTAAGGCATTTTCATTTTCTTTTTAGAACACCTGTATTATTATTGAAATGGAAACTCTAATCTGTTGGCGCGTCCGTGATAAATTATTCCCAATTTCTCTTTCATTATTTTCCTTTCTGTAACAGCTGATGGTATAAGCAACAAAACTTGGCAGTCTTGGCATGTTCACCAATTTATTTATCTATACTAGTTTATAATCTTTTCCGAGGCTGCGTGCGATAACGCTGGACTTATCAGTCACCTAATTCATTATCATGTCAAAAGAAAGTTCTAGTTTGTAAACCAAATGAAAATATAAAAATAGATGAAGATTAATGATTTCGACAAGTTTCACTTCTGTGTTGCGCTAAACGGCCGACTCTTACTTCAAATGATAACCGCAGGTTTAAATCGCAGATTTAAGAGCTTCGTGGTTTGGAAATTGATTAAAAAACACGGCATAATAACATGCAATATCTACCTTTGCGTACGTTGATTTTTATCGAAACCATCCTCGAGAACCACAGGCACATAAAAAAAAGCTGCGTTATTAACCAACAGTGTGAGTTTTAATCAATAACGTGCTAATTCGCACGGAAATATGATTGTTACGAGCTTTTCATGCCTGAAACTCTAGATTTTCTCGGTTTATTGCTTTCCATCGACGTTAATCGCGTTTCGCCGTTGAAGGCAACTAATCAAGTGAGTTTTCAGCTCTTTTTGACGGCGCAATAATTATTTCCACCAGCCAGGTAAACACAGCTGTTTTCACGTCGTTTTCTAAGCCTTCTCTGCTTCGTCGTCTTCTTCGTCTTCCTCGCGAATTGGAGCCAAAGTAGGTCCGCCGGTTATAATAGAAATTAAAGCTTCGTCTTCTGCATCAAGTTCTTTTGAATCTTTCCCTTCTTTGACCGAGAAAGCCTCACTTTCAGCACCTACCAAAGCGCTTTTTGCCGCGCTATCGGCGTCTTCGCCAAGGTGGTGAACTCTCTTTAATTTGCCTTTGGCAACTCGTGTTTTCATAGAATGCCTTTCACTTTTCATTCTGCTCAAACAACAGCAGAAAAGGCAAGAGAATATGAGCACGCCGATGATTGTTACAATTGCCAATAGTGCCGGGTTCAATTTTGAGGGTTTATTATTTGTTACGCAGCTTCCGTTGCGACATTTCGCAGGTTTCGAACATTCAAAATCTGTTACACAACGCCAACTTGACTCAAAATCGTTATGAGACATTGATCTGTTGAAACAAGGTAACGACCGAAGACACTCACAGAATCCACTGATGCATCCGAGGTTGTCTGCCAAGTTATCGCAATCCGCCTGTTCTTGACACTCAATTTTGGAAGCTCCGACGCAAACGTTACCGCAACATGTTTGCGAGTTAGGGCATTTGTGGTCTTCGGAACAGGTAGGCAATGAACCCAGTGCAACTTCACATACCATCGACAGCAGGACTTGGAAAAAGACTGTCACTTTAATACACCTCTTCATGTTGCGAGATCAAACTGCTCTGTTTTGGTCCCCCCATAAAGATGGTGAAGTTATTCGTTTTGGTAAACACACTCGGAACTTTGCTCATTTACACACTACCTCGACAAGTGGTAACAATGCCACGAGCACGACTCGCAGGTGTTAATAACAGGAAATAATAGATATGCAAATATAATGTGCTTATCAATCAGCGCTGTTCTACTGTTGTTGTCTCAAAATGGGTTTCGGAAGCACGATGTCACCTTAAATAATAACTTCTAATCGGCGATATTCGCCAATCTCAGGATGACTTTACACATGTCTGTCCGAGGCACTGCGGACGCCAAATGGATGGAAAACCGCATTTGTATCGGGAATTGATAATTCAAGACAGATCCGTCGAAGCGTTCAATTCGCGCTCAATAGATTTGCGTTTGATGGATGCCAACTTGACAAGTGATTAAGTCAGAAGGTTTCAAATGACGTGTACGGGCACGTATTGCTGGGGAGAATCACGCACTTCCCATTGTAAAGTATAAGCATATTTCTCTAATTTCTGTTTGCCTTGGCTACGCTATCTCGTTCCGCTTGAAACAACTGTTTTGTTCGCACCGACCACAACAAACTCAATATTCCCGCCTATTTGATTTCCGCTCGGTAAAAAAACAGTATTGGACGATGATAAGCGACTTTAGGCCAAACATCGATGGATTTTTTGGTTACTAACTCTAAAATCGCTGATCCGACTTTCTGCTTAGAGCCTACAGCCTATAATTTTATCCACGCTGTATCCTTACCTTCGGTTTGAAATTCTAAAGAAACGTTTGACTGAACGAACAAGATGAAATTTCAAAAGTCCATACGTTTCAAAGCAGTACCCAAATCAGGTCTATTCAGCAAGGCATTTTTCGTTAAGCTCTTAAGCTTAATTGGAAAGTTCGTTTTCATTCTAGCAATAGGCTTCAGCATTTGAGGAAAACTCTTTTCCACCTTGTGGCAAATTAAAAGAAAAATAATTGCGAAGACAATACAATTTCTAACAATATAATGCATAATTTGTAAGTGTTCTGTGGTGCGTGTTCTTTGTTTATATTTTCGATCGCTAAGCAAATGTTTAGAAATGAGGTTCAGTGCATGTCTTAATAGCTAAAACTAGCGGAGAGTGTCAAAACAAATGGACCATAATGCCGATGTTTTGCGGAAATAATAAATTTAGCTTTGTCTCCATGTGTTTATTTATTTTCTTTTTTATTAAATCGACTTGGCCGCAGGGTTAACCGGCTCTGTAACAATCATAATTAGTTTTCATACAACAGCTGGTCGTGCTTACAGTTTGTGTTTTTCCGGATTTTTGGGCCATTTCACATCTCCAATTTTGGTCATAAACACCACCTCATCTCGGCATCATGAACAAACATTTTTTGGTATTTTTAACGTGTGCTCCAGGGCAGACTTGTCAAATTTTTCTTTATCTAATCGGCTTCGCCGCGGCTGACAAAGGAAAAAAATTTGCATACATTTTTTTTGGGGTCAACCATTAGGTTGAGAGGATCAAAGAAGATAACATAGCCAGACAAATGTTCCCCCGTTGTCTAGTCAATGCTAAGAGTTGGACTATAGTTAGTCGGTCACACTTTGCACGAAGAATGACACAGCGTTTGTCTAATTCCATAGCAGACTGAAAATAATAAACAACTCGAGAAATTACACAAGTACTTTTCTTTTTTCAATTCGACATGGGAAAAACAGTGGAGGATTACTACCACAAAATTCACATTTTTAGCACCTAAGAAAGGACTTCAAACAAAGATTCATCGCCCTAGGGTTGGATTTCACAGACTCCCTACTGTGATCCAACGCATGGTTGACATCTTCCCTTTCCACAAAATTTAATCGAAGTCAGATTTTATAATTATTCATTATTTTAAAATAATGCCAATAATAGTGTCACTTGTCGATAAAATAGCCATAAAGTTGAACAAGAATATTAAATGGTCACGTACTGAATTGCACAAAAGCCAAGAGAAACAGACTAAACTCCTTATTCAGACATTTTCCCTTTCCACTAAATTTTATCACGTAGTTAGGTTCAATACTTGTTTATTAATTGTGCCACTGGTCGATAAAATGGCTGTGAAGTTGATATAGAATATTTAACGGTCACGTACAGGATTTCTTAAATAACACGGACCAAAACCCGTTACTTTTACTCCCATAGATGGAAAAGTGGTGTGTCTCATAAGTTACGCGTGCAGAGCTCACAGTGGACTCCATGAGCTAAATTTTGTATTTTTCTAGTCAAATAAAAGGAGACAGGCCATTACCGAAGTGAAAACAACTCCAGGGTTTTGCGTTTCGTTCGTTTGACTCTCTTTCCTCGTTCGCACTATAAGATTAATTCAAAGAAGACAGGCTGCTGACTATTGTGGGATTCACAGTTCCTCTTCTTGGGGCAGTTTATGCGTTCGCTCCCTTCACCTTGAAGAATCTGGTTGAAAACTGTCAATGTAAAAAAAAAAAAACTAGAAAATTTATCGTTCGCTGAAAGACCTAATTGTTTAAGGCAATTTCACATATACAGAACAGCAATAAACAAAGAACATAAGGCAGCCACGTCTCGTCCCTAATGATACCTTGGATTAGTACAGTAATATGCATCCTATCTTCTGCTCTTCATTTTGAGAGAAACGCAGTAACCAGCGCCAGTGACAAAACCGCAGTGAACAGTAAGGCTACTCTCGTCGACTGTTTTCAGGTCGAATTCAAATTCAGAGAGTTAATTTTTGCCGAGGGAAGGAGACCTCCAGAAAATCCCGAAGAAAATCGTCTGCCAGGGTAATAACGCGAACGAACTAAAACCTCGAATCATATGTTTCGTCAAGCACGAGATTCAAATGCCCAAGGAAGCCCAAGGAGTGTTGGAGAAAAGGATTTTAGATCCCAATCGTTATTTGGGAGTGCCAACATAGATCTCCATAACCACAAGCCGTTGCTTGTTCGCGGGTTCGTGGATAACAGTCTCCGGTGAAGCCCTCATGACTTCTTCGTAGCTTGGTGGAGGTGCTTCTGGTTCATGTCCAACTTCACTGTATGACTGTGGGCCACTAATTGTGACAAGAGAAGAGATTTGATGTGTGCGCGATTCTACGCGTTCCGGCTGTTCGTTCACTGAGCTCATTTCCTCACTTCGAACATTCCTATTTTGCTGGACGCTTCTTGCTGTGGAACTTCTATCCATGGTGACAATCGAAAGCGTAGTGTTAACGTTATCATTTCTTTCATTTTGTCGTTGCCTCGCGCAACAACAAATGAGAAATATCAGGGCTGCGATAGCTCCAATCACATTGAGTATAGTGTTACTTGACAACGAGATCTTGGAGGAATCATTGCTTGTGTCAAATCGAATGCAATACCCATCTTGACAGATGTGTCCACTTGGACAATGTGAATTATGGTAACATTCTGTTTCGAAGAAAGAACATTGTAGTCACACACTCATTTAATGTAGACAGCTTAAGGGATCTGAGACATGACTACTGAGCTATCCATTCATCTGGGAAGTGGCCAATGCAATGATACCCGTTATTAGAGAAACCAATGAAGGGAATGAAACAACATCATACACTTGAGCTGCGACATAAAGATCTTGATAAAAGAGATATGATTGCATTTACGACAACAATTGTAGTATAGTTGTGGGACTATGAATAAAGCCTTTAAAAAAAAATTCAGGTTTGAATGGGAGTCGAACCTTTGACGGGCTTGACGGACCTTCAAATCAAACTTAACAGAAGCTGGTTCTTATGTAATATCTCATTTTTATGTACTATCCCACGGGAAACATCATTTGGTGCATAGTTTTTCAACGTGTCACTTGTGTTTAATAGAGGACAATCGTAGATTAGAAGACACAAACGCTAAAACGTGGATCATTCAATGATCCACGTTGTTGTCAGTCTCTGTTTTACTGATTACAGCAGAAAGACTCACCATAACAGCCCTCGTCGTAACTACACGCTAAGGTGGCGTACTTGTTCATAAGACAGTACAAAATCTGGCAAACAAGAACTCTTCTTTCCATTCTCATGTACAGTCAGGGTATATTCTAGATCAGTGTTTCCTCAGAGCAAAATAGAATCTGTTTTCTCGCCGTTTCGGTATCTGATCTTATGCAGACTGTGGTCATATTTCAGGGAGCATTTTTCAAATATTCGTTTTTCAGCTGACGCACTTCTGAATATTGGTTTTCAGAATCAAAGATATCAACGCATGCTGTTGTATGGTTTTTAATCCAAGGGGAAGTAAATTAATCCTAGGTATTTCAAATTGTAAATAAGTTAAAAGACAGGATTCCCTGTAAAATTTTGACGTTTAGTACAAAAATTGACAAAACATTCCTTCTCAAAACATGCTTTCCTTTGCATAGCCTATTCGTGGTGAAAAAGATTCGTTTATTTGCATATCAGCAATATTATACTATGAAACAGACAGTTCTATATTTGACCCGGGAATAATTTTTTACACGAGGGTAATTTACCACATTGCTGACCCGTTCTAAATCCGTATTGCGTGGCTGCTTTTCCTTTCGTTGCTAACACCTTCGTTCATCTTTGTGTGACAATGGAGATCAAATTATTAGTAAAAATCTTCGGATAGACTGGATCAAAATGTTTATTTTATTAACGGTTCACTGAAAACAAATTAAACAACAAATGAATATGCGAAATTGATTAACAGTGACTTGAAATAACAAAGCCAAAAGCCGAATGAAAATCAGTTGAATAAACAACCGGCAAAAATACGAAACAGTTGAAAGGGCTTTCCAGAGCCATATCATACAGCTAAGCTGTATGATATGATAAGCTACAAAGCTTAGTCTATGCGGTTACTTCTTAGCTTCGAATAATCATGGCGACATGTTGCTGGTTTGGCAAAGGTCTTGAATGAACAGCCCCCTGTGACGCCCCCATAACTTCTTCATAACTTGGTGGAGGTGCTTCAGTGTTATATCTGTCGTCAATGTAAGATTGGAGACAGCTGTAAGCGATAGTATCAGAAATTTGATTACGAGCTTCTTCGTGTTGCGGTAGTTCGTTCGCTGAACTCACTTCATTGCTTCCCATCTGTTCATTTTGCTGAATGTGTCTCATCCTAGAAGTTTCCGCATCCGGTGTGACAACTCTTGGTGTGATTTTTCTGTTGCCTTGTGCTTCATCTTTTAGCATTATACAACACCAACAGAGAAATACAACGATGACAACTATTAAAACTCCAAAGACGAGGGACACTGTTGTGTCCCTTCTGCCACCTGGTATGCAATGCCCATCATCACACATATACCCGCTGTTACAGCTTGGATCCTCATAACATTCTGTTTTAAAAGAAGAAAGGACACTGCACTTTCACAAACCACTCATTAAAAGCAGCTGGAAAAAAAGATCACCACAGTTACATAACAAGTAGGGGAAAGAAGAACCCTCGTGTGGCTTCGTAACTCAGTTGGTACCGTGCATCACTATCTGGGAAGCACAGGTTCGAATCTTGTCTAAATCTAGTTTTTTTTAAGGCCTCCTTTATGTAATTGCCTAAATTTCAGCACACCTGCTTCACTTCTTCTTCAAAAAAGTTTGAATGATACTTTCCGAATCAAACTTGTAGGTATTCTAGCACATGTTTATGGAGCTTTCAAAACAATTGACTGAGAAGTGGAAATTGTTTAATTTCGCAATGATACCTACGATGAATGAATACATTCAAGGGAACATATGAGCATAATGTGTTTGATCTGTGATAGAGGAAAGATGATCCCAGATAATACACGACTTTTTTTGAAGTACCTGTGAAAGTGAAGCCTGCTAAAAATAGATACAGGCTTAGACTAGATTCGAGTCTGCGAATTTATCCATATGGAAGCTAGGAAGTGATTATGCGATACATGATTTTTATTTTTTTTGTCCCTTGACAGTAACATTTCATGGCACAGAATCTTAGAAATTGTTCTCGTTTCTGGTGGAAAGCAATCGTTGATTTCATGATGCCAACGATAGGACAAGAATCACAGATGTGAGCTCATCTAATACGCCTTTCAATCTGTAATTACAGGAAAGAGACTCACCATGACAGTTGTTGTCATATTTACAAGTTGAGGTCGCGTTATTGAGCATAAAACAGTATAGAATCTGCCAGACTAGAGTTTTGGTTTCCATCCTCATTTAAAACTAGGGTAGGATCTCAATCAGTGTATTCTTACGACTAAATGGAACCCTGTTTTCGTCAGTCAAGCTGGTATTATTCGGTTGGCGTCGCAATATTTTGGCAACAATCTTAATATTTGGTTCTAAGCTGATGTAAATCTAAATATTGGTTTTCAGAATTTCACATATCAATTTCGACATTTGGTTCGATTTCCATCCAGCAAGTAAAGAACATTACTTGAGCATTTCAAATTGACAATATTTGCAGAACTAAAAACCTTTGGAGCTTAAGCAAAAACAAAGCAGAATCTGACAATAAGTAGAACTTTCCTTTTCATTCGCGTAAGGACGGTATTCTCGTACGTTCTTTGATATGCATATTAGCTAGCAATAGAAATGAGGAAGTCATGGGGGAAAATCCCGAGCATTGGCTGCAATATCTAATCGATTCCACTCGAGTTATTTTTGGACTGTAAGGGGTAATTTGCACGAAATTATCCTTTTCTCGTCGCAACTGTCCACAAACTTTCCAAACATACGCCCACAGAAACAGACCGGAGGTTTTTCTTTTTCCTGAGCAAGGGCAACGCGAAACGGAGAGCCAAACGATACTTGAGTTGATGCAATATTTCATGACGACCTTTTGCATGGACGAAATGTGAATCTTCCATTCGTTAAAAATTCGCTGTTTACCCGAGGGTTTCGCTCAGCAAATAGGGATTTCCGACTTATCACGACAGATCTTACGACAAAATATCGATGCTTTTACGCCACGTCACTGGTTACGTATTCTTGTCATAGTTGTGTTACGCGATGATCGCTTAGTTCACGTAGTCTGTCACGTACGGTAAACTTCACAGAAACCATAACAGCGATACGTCATTTGTTGTCCAATATGAATCACCCACTGAATCTCTTACTGCTCATGCAAGGTGCATAGTTTCTATGGGCCAGACACAATAAGTATCAAAGAGTACATTCGGTAAAATATGCTCTCTTATTGCCCCTCTTCAGAGAAAATAGCTCCGGTCTGAACAGACGAAAACTTTTAGCCACTTGTAATGCAAAAGTATTTTACAACCAGCTATGATTAGGATAACCTTCCATTTTCAAAGAAGTTTCATGGTAAGCATATTAAAACTTGCCTTTAAATCGCGCATGACACATGAAAAACTCCATAACGCCATTTATTGTTGTCTGTGGAAGCCCTCAAGGACTCCTCACAGTTTGGTGGAGGTAGCCAGTCTCAAGTCCTCGTTCGGTAAAGGCCAGTGAAAGAGCGGGTGAACGACTGACAGCGGTTACGGTTGTCAGGGAAACAGCCGCGTGAACCCTTTACATATAAAATTTAAATATACGTGGTAACATGATGATCGTTTGACGGTGTTCTCGAATGAGGAGCCTCCTGTGAAGCCCTCATAACTTCTTCATAACTTGGCGGAGGTGCTTCCGTCTCATCTTCGACTTCAATATATGATCGAGGGGCACTGTCTGCAACGGGATTAAAAATTTGATCAAACGCTTCTTCATGTTGCCAAGGGTCGTTCCTTGTACTCATTACCATCCTTTCCACCTGTCCATCTCGTTGAATTTCTGCTTCCCTTTGAATTCCATTCGTGTTGACAGTTCTTAGATTGGCGTTAATGTTGTCATTTTCTTCGTCTTCCTCCATTTGTCTTATGCAATGACAAACGAGAAGCATGAAGAGTACTGCGAGGGAAGCTCCAATCCAATAATATATCGTTTCACCTAGCTGAAAGAATAGAAGAAAGGAAGAAAGACTGAAGCAGTTGTGGACAGATAGCCTGAAAAAGAAATTCAGCTTTGAACGAGACTCGAACCTTGGACCGTTCTGCGAACGAAGCTAAGTGGATGCTGGTTATTATCTAATATTTTCATATGCAAGTTTCATAAAGTAGAAATCTAAAGTGCATAAATTTACGTTTATTTCTTATGGGGTGTCAAACGCAACTGTTTGGGGATGAAGCGGTTGAAGCGTGCCAATCGATCACCATATCAATCGTTTTGGGTTGAAACACAGTAATCCAGACTTCTCCTCGTTAAAATGTTAAAGGTAAACAACGAAGTGGCCAATTAAAGTCTTGTAACACGACTCCTGCTTTTACCCAGATTTTCACGCCTCTCACGCCCCATCCAAGTGTTTTCGATCAAAAACACGCTATTTAACTACTTGATGACACGTTCTTACCTAACATCAACGCCCGAAAAGCTTTTGAATACGAAGAGTTTCGAGGATCGTGTCAAAAGTGGTGTGTTTAGAAAGTGCATCGTGCTGTAAACGCTCCTCTCAAGCGTGGACAAATGAAAACAGAGAGAATGCTGAAAGATGCGTCACATTCTGACATTACGAAGGCATTACCGTTTTGGGGCGTTTAAATGTGGGTGGTTGGCGAGATCGCACCAAAAGGTACGCGTTTTCAAAGAAAATGCAGAAGTATGGACAAATGAGAGCAAAACTAAAACGCTAATGTAATGAATATATTTTGCTTTGTTTTGTTTTTGAGACGAAGACGAACATTTCCGAAAACGCATTTGTGGTTGGAACCTCCATTCATTTACTTCTTCCTAGCATATCCAGCGTATCGAAAGAGCAGGAGTAAGTCGCCATGTTGTTTTTCTTAACAACATGCGTTACGGCCGTCAAGTTAATTCCACATAACTTCAGCCGACCTAGCGCAAACGACAACGGTCGCTACCTATGCTTATTCGACCGTCTCACAAGGTACGTAAATCAGCTAAATCAACCTTAAACGGATTCTTTTTATATAGAAGCATGAAACCAAACCAACATTAAACAGTTGATTCTCGCGGAATATGAATAAGTATCTTAAGTCTTTGGTGGACCACAATCGCGGATTTCGATTCACACGTTCAGACAAGTATCATGGATATATTTAAAAAGGACCAGTAATCCCTTGCTTTGGTAATCACTGCAACGAAACTCACCATTACAACGGCTCGGAAATTCCATCTGACACCCTGATGTCGTGTACTTGTGCTTAGAACAGAACAGAATCTGATAAAATCCGAAATTTTGTTACCATTATAATGTAAACCTCGTGAGGTGTCTGTATCAGTAAACCTCTGCGGTAAAATGACATCCCGCATTCATTCCGTTAGTTTTAAAGTCTTCTGTCAACGTCATCAATATTGTTTGGAACACTTTTCAGTAAATTTTCGATTATTACGCATTTGAATATTGGTTTTCAGGTTGCTGTGTTCCTTGTCCGCGTCTTTAATTTTTTAGTATTTAGTGCAGACTTTCACCTTGTAATTTAACTGTTTACAGACAGGAATCCCTTTAATGCTTCAATTCTCAGAAAAACGGGACACATTCTGATCAAACACAGCTTTACTTTTCATTGCATTTACGTGTGAGGGAAGATATAGTGGATAAAGAGTATAAAAAGTCCTATATTTGTCCCTCGTCATTTTCCTCATATCATGGTAATTTACCTTAGCCTTGAGCTGATTACGTACATCTTAAGCAGTTATATAATGGATGATTTTAACATTTATGGAAATTTTTAATTGGAGCTGCAAATGGAGGTTCTTGCAGCAGAGAATGCCTGTCAGCGGAAAAACGATCGTAACTTGACAGGTTGATTAATTGATCGATTCACTGACTGATTGATTGAATGATTGATTTTTCTTCTTAAAACCTTGCGTTGAGGAAAACTTTAATTTCTCTCTTCTTGCTTGTTTTTGTTCAAAAATCTCGTGACTGAGATGCTCCACAGTTACACCATTTCAAACCACTTCCCGACAGTTGCGATGCGACAGATTGCGTGACCGAAGTGAGTTGCGTAATGTCTTGTCCATACCGCGTACAGCTTTGCGACTTCAGCCGTAATGAAAATTTACTTTGAGGAAAGTTGTTACTACGATTATCAGTTACGTGCGGCGCGGAAAAAGTTGGTGACGGACTTTTGAGAGTATAATAGCGGTATTAATCGGGTAACCTTACTCATTTCCTATGTTAACCGAATCTTAAGAGCCGTGAGTCACCAACCGTCAAACATGAAAACCCGCCAGAGGAATGATTCAATGGAAACAGAGTCAGTTAACCGTGACAACAAACTTCATAACGTGGTCGCCAAACTTCCATCACGCCTTAATCGACTGGAAATCGAAGTCAAAACAAATCTTGACTTAAATCTTACACTACCATACACATACAATCTAAATAAACATAATATTATAATTGCTATAATATGCTCTCTTTGTTAAACGGTTTTCTCTGTTCGAAGAATATACTCCCGAACCTGTAAAATAAGAAAATATTGGCATAAATATCCCGCTTTATAAAAAACTTTACGACATTGTAAATTGGTAAAGGTGTGACACGAGAAGCGATAACCTTCGACTTCCTTAGCTAAATATTTCCCAAAACTGTGAACAAGTTGCCCATTTATGTTGATACGATACTTTAAGTCATGTCCCGGCTATATCCTCGGTAGAAGCTCTCATGGCTTCTTCATAGCTTGGTGGAGGCAACTCATCTGAAGCTGCTAAACATCTGTAAGACGGGGGACCGCAGTCTGCAATAGCATCAGGGCTCATAGGCACACTCGCTTCGGCTCGATCTTCAGCTGAATGCGACTCTCCGCCAGCAGCACCGGTTGAATTCGAAGTTCCAGTAGCACCTTGCAATCCAAATAAGAATACGGAACTAGCGCTTTCGTTGTGGTTTGCAGTAGGTCCAGCCGCTTGCTGCGATGCTCTAAGATTGGCAGCACGTTCTTGGTCTCTTCGCTTTTGCGAACCAAAATGACAACAAAATCCAATTACAATGGCAGCCACAACAATCAAAACAATGACAACAACTTGGCCGATATCGGCCATACCGACTGAAGTTTAAAGCGAACTCTTCAAGGGCACACTTTGAGTACAATATCCAAGATGGAGGTTAGACATCTTCTTCAATTTTTCTTTAATTCATTTCGAAAGACTTTGATCACTATCACAGCTGGTTCTCAATCCGTTCCGCAAACCCTTTGCTTACCAATCTAGTCTCTCGTATTCTCCCTTGTTAATCAATCGAAGTATCAAATGTTTTTCTCAAGAAGTTGTTGACCCAAACTTAACTTCCAGTGAAAAGTCCGGCGTACTTTTTCAGTTTTCAACGCCGTTTCAATGTCGATCGTAATTGCTGTAAATTGATATGATAGCCGCCATCTTGATTACGAAGTCACGATTGGTAATTTATGTAAATGCTGGTCATGTTTATTTTAAATTGTTGCACTGTTTTTCCGAAACTATTTGAAAAATGAGCACCTGATGTTTCATAGCTTATAATAATTTGACCACTGAATGTGATTTCCCACTGAATGTGATTTCCAACAAAAAACAAGTAAGTTATCGAAAACACATTCCCGCCACCTGCAGTCACAAATACGCACGTTCAAAATCTAATGTAAACAGATATCAATTAGAGACTCTCTTGAGTAAGTAGGCAAATCCATTGGTTGCAGAATGAGGGGAAAATTCAACAATTTAAGAATATGCGAGTTCAATGTTGAGACTGAGTGTAGTAAAGTTGTCTATGAGTCCTTCGATCACAAACTGCAAGACTCAGAGTTCCCCGTCCACTCGCTTCGATTCTTGTTCTAGTCACGCAACACTCTCACTTCCAGAGTATATTGCGTGACAAAACCAATCGGGACAACAACAATAACTACGACAGTGGAGGCAGCTGAAGTTGAAGTGTCAACTACTTTGTAAATGACAACGTGTGGAGCTCACCTTCAAATTTTTTAATCAAAGCTTTTTCAAGTTTCCAAAATAATGATATTTACTTACAAATATGGATGAAATGGAAAATGTCCTAGAGCATATCAAGAGCATGAATACATATGCTTTAGTAAACAAAATATCCAGCTGGCAAGTTCAGTTGCAGTTCTCTTCTTACTTCTTAACTGGTTAACTTAAATACAGAATCAACCTTACGCAGAAATGTCAAGCAATTTTCCACCTTTTCCGTTGTCACTGTTGGTTATTACAAGAAAAATCGACGAAATGTTTCAACGCAACATTACAGGGGTTGTAGACAAACAGAACGACTCTCTCGTGGTTTAGCCAGCGAGAAGGCTTTCATCGCGGCGAGACACGCAGCTTTCCAGCCACTGAGCGATGCGAGCGTGCGAGACGTGTGAGGTCTGCGTGTGTTCTCTGCGTGTGTTCTGACGCGAAAATGTTTCCTGCCAGAACCCTCGCAGATTTCTCGCAAGCTCGGACGAATCTCGCGGACTTCGACGAAGCGTTAGCGAGACTTAATCGAAGGCTACCGTTCGGCGATATAAAATTCAACCACTGTTGTGTCGAAAGCACTAAGATTTTTCTCCAACCTTTGATAGCGACTAGAAAGATTAACAACCGCTTTGGAATATTATATCGGACTTAAATAATTTAAACGGTCTTATTATTGGTTACGTGTTCGATGATGTTCAATTGCCAAACACAATCAATTCTCTGAAAATTCTTAGAATTTCCTTCCTATTAGTAATGTCGGTCATCATTTCAGAGCAACCCTACCCGTACTGTCCACGTCACATGGCTAAATTCTCTTGGGAAACCCTAACGGCTTCCTCATAGCTTGGTGGCGGAGGTTCGTTTGAAACCGCTATGTACGGTGGTGGGCCACTGTCTGCGATAGCATCAGGGCTTCTTGGACTTTCGTCGTGATTCTGACTAACATCTTCAGCCACGCTCGATGACCGTTGATGTCCAGTTCTAGTCGAGTCTGAAGTTGAACTAGCTCCCCGCAGTCTTAAGATGAAAATTGAACCTGTCTCGCTTTGATTTGTATAACCAGAAGGTTGAACTTCACCTTGTTGCGTGGTCCTTCGCCTCGCAGCGATTTCTCCTCTTCGCTTCTGAGCAGTTATGTGACAACAACAACCAATTACGATGGCGAAAAGCACGATGACCAAAACAATGAAGATAGTTTGAACGACTTCAGACATACCGGAATAGAGTTAACAGCACAATCGACAAAAGAATCGAAAGGTTCAAAGTCCTGAACGAAAAAAAAATCCAAAATCCTTTCGGATATTTGTTCCGATTTGAGTTATCTTTTCACGGCGAAGTACATAAATACTATGAATAGCTATTCAAGCAGAACTTATCGTTCCTTGAGCTTGAGATTCTTTAACGAAATCACTGGGAAGAATTACTCCTCTTTTCGATGGGGTCTCTAACAAAGAACAGTCCTGTTTTGCTCTTATAAACAGAGTTCGGTCTGCTGACCGCCATTTTAAAATTCTCATTAAATCAAAGTAGTCACGCAACGCCAACCGAATTTGGACCATTAAGCGGCATCCTATGTAACAACTACTCTCGACAGCCAGCTGCTCGCTTTTTAAAACTCTATTTCATAGGATAACTTAGAATTATAAACTGAGTTGATAACGTAAACAGGCCACCGTAAAGAGTTTAAAAGCTGACGTTTCGAGCGTTAGCCCTTCACCATTCGCTGTGACCAACACTGATATTGATCCACTGTTGGGTTAGGGGAGGGGTAGGGATAGGTGGGCAGTTGCCCGGCTACTGATATTGATCCTAACTGGTTTATTAAAAAACGCCCAAAAATATAGATAACTCTTCCCAACTTTATTTTGTAAGAAAAAACAGAATGTTCAATGTACAAAAAAACACTTTCGCTTTAACTCGTCTTCATGCGCGCACGTTGTATAATTGTACATAATCCACGATGGAAACCCATAATGAAAACTTTTGGATTAAATTATCAAATGATCCAGTTTTTAATATTCAAAAACTATTCCAGGAGCGCGCTTCGGATATAAGATGGTAAATAAACGCGACGCATAGCGCCGACTTGGCTATAACTAATCTTGTTTCCAACGAGCGCGAATGGAATAGTTGTTTTATTAAATTTCTTTAAATCCTGAACGTTCGGATACCCTTAGCTTCGCAAAAGTTGGCGCAAAACATTCCATACAAGTGGATACGAAAAGAGAGCCGATAACCGGAGTTGCGTGAACCAACCAGGATTGCAGTATTAGAAGTTAAAAATTTCATAGTGTAATATGCTAAGAATTTCGACGATCATTCATCACCGCTTCACTCCAATACCCTCCACTCCATTTCTTTGAGCACTCATTTACGATCAGCAAGTCAAGTAAGGAGTCGCGTTTGATTAGTGTTTCACTCATGATCAATAACTTAATATAAGAGGGACTTAATTTTTCCAAGGTCAACTTTCCATGAAGAAAAGCAACTAAAAAGGCGCTGTAAATATCTTGCACAGATCAGTATCGCCATGTTTAGAAAGTTTGGTCATACAACTACGACCTGAGTGTGCAACATTCTAAATGCATATTTTCATAATTAAAATCCCTATTCTTCAAGAAATTTGTGTATAATATGCAAGGTATGTCACGTAAAACTGTGCACATTCACGACTGTTTATAGTACTTTTTACACTTTTTAAAACGGTGGTCACCCATTTCGAATCGCGGTCGCTAGTACTTCACCGCTGATGGTTCAAGGCGGAGACCTTCTCTCAATAGAAATCAGTGTCCATCGGCCGTAACAGAACACCATAAATATGTGCGTACCCACCTCGCCGTGACTCAACGTGAAAAAGATCCTTTGATCTGCATACTTGTTCGACGATTCGTCCAAAGGTTACGATTGCTTGATGATAAAAAAATTCCAAATTATGATCTGGGTTATTCAACCATTGACGTTTCACAAAGAGTTGGATTTACTTTGCTGAAGTGACAAGGTTGCAAATTATGTCACTTAGGGCTAAAACTGAAACTTGTTTCTAAATTTGCCCTCCTGTCGTCAAGCTGACATCCTAGAGAATTAGCCAGAGAAATTTTTGTGGTTTTCATTGAGCTCTAGGCAGCTTTAAGCGGTCAAATATCAAGGGAAGATGATAATCCGGTTGCTTTCAAAATTTTAAACCATGACCACAATGCAAAACCGAGAGCTTCAGCACGGAAGACTTTTTTAAATTTCATTTCGCGCGAGATGCATTTTTAGGCTCTCCGCTCTATTACGCCCGTGTCACACATTCTCTGACCAGACTGTCTATAGCCATGCTTTATAGCATTCCGTTGTCGTGCGCCCGGCTCCCAAGTCTATAGTAGGTCTTTATAGTTGAGATTGCTTATTATCATGAGCTTGACTGTGAAGAGACTTGCGTCAGATCTGATAGAACACCTTGTCCGGGATGCTCGTACCTACGAACAACTCTTGACAACCTCGATGGATCGCGTGGCCATAATCTGTGACAGAGAAAGCCGACTAACATAAGCAGCAACACGAGTAATACCAACACGACACTGAGAACCAACCAGTTGTACAACTTGTGCTTTTCAGTCAGCTCACACGCCGCACAAGCTGCTTGCTCCGTGGCATTTTTCTCGCAAAAAGCAAAGGGAAGCATCCATGAAGAAAACCCCCCAACCACAAACACTGACACCGTGAGTCGCTTCCATCTCGTGACAATGACATGTGCGTCCATTTTTCACCTTAAGAATCTAGTTATCATTTGACCAGAATAAAAGCTCTCTCTTTGTGAAAACAATTCGCTGTTTACATGACACTTCACGCTGATAAAAAGAATAATGAACTTAATACCCAGAGACGTGAGTAAGGCTTGTATGTCAGCAGATCAGTACCATACAACAGATGATTGGCTATTTGGAAACATTCACATATCATGGCATTAATTTCGGCCGGCTTTCTCAGGTCATTTTCCTCTTTGCAGCGATAATGCACAAACATGGCGCCGGATAAGATTATGGTTGTCAACGAGATGGTTAGCTTTGAAGGCGGTGTTTGAATAATATGTTTACATAGAGTGAGTCAATGCATCCTCAGGGCTTACACTAGCTTTAATTTGTTGGTTTATAAACAATTTAACAACGTCATTAGGCGGAAAGTCAAGGATTGACTACCTGATGTTGAACTCGTCATCAAAACTCGAATCCAAAACTAAGAGCGCACGTGTAAGTAAGGTGTAAAATGCCTAAGACAACCACCCTTCTTCTCTAACTAACCAATTTAGACAGCCCTCGAGAACATCGGATGTAAATGCTTGCGGTATAAGTGCTGGTTTTGACCTCGGCCAGTTTTGGTATTATTTCGCTGAAGTGTGCGAATAACATCTGACCGAAATAATACCTCGGCTCGTGTTAGATAACAGATGGAGTGCGTTTTCCCGCTGAAATGCAAGTTTGTCTTTGAGGCTGCAGAAGCTGAGGTGTCAACTCAGAGGTGATTGAAATTTGCTGAAGAAGGTTGATCTACTGGAAGAATTTGCTAGATAACATCGAGGAAAAATGGCCGAGTAGGCGCCTGGATTTGTCTTTACCCTCCGGGCTCACCGATGCAATTATTACTATTAACACTGTTAATTTCAAAAATTAAATTACCAAAACAAGATCAGATAAAGAACAGATGCGAAACCTACATTATACTGATTACAACAAAGTGCGAGGAACCGTTTGCTTCGAACCAAAAAGAAAAAGGATTCCGTGGAAAGAAGGCGACTCGATCTCATTAGCCCAAAAACTCTAAACTCTTTAGTGCCTGAGGAATGGCTGGTCAGTCATGAGGGCTATTCTTTCAGATATGTCTTTGATGATAAAGAAAATGACGTCAGCAAGAATCGGACACGGTGACTGAGGGGATAAAGAAAAAAGCTGCATATCAGGAGAAATGATTGTCATTGATAAGAAGACGTTAATGGCTCTGGGAAGAATTCAACAGAAATGCTAATGAGTAAAGTCAGAGAACAACAGACTGAGGGGCCGAGATTGTTAGTGATATTGGGCAAGCGAAGGCAAAAACTTGGATCTGATCACCAGTTAAAAACGAAAAAAAAACGACGCAAGAAGCCCTGTCGTATGTATTCTTAGACTAAGTTTCTTCAATGGAACAAAAACGTGCTCTGTAATATCAAAGTTTTCTACCCTTGTAAATTTACACAAGGAGACAAAATGTTGCCGTGTTAACGTTGCGACAAGATAAACAAAGCCAAAATTTCAGGGGATCTTTTGATGAGTTTTAAAATATCATTTACGGTGTTCATTGCTTACACAATCAGATTATCTTCTACAGTATCTTATATTTGGACAGCTGCAAACAAGTAAAGGAATGAAAGAACCGCTTCCTGCCGCAAATTATTTACCGTGTTGTAATTCTTGTCATGAATCTGGCAAACGATGTGAGCAAACTTGGCTCAAGCAATATTCAAGAGTACCTCATCACTCAACGTGTCAAAACAATCACTTATCATCTTTAGATCCATAGTGACTTTTTATGCAGCCTACGTGATTTACCCTGGATACCTAGTGTGTACGGCGGAAGTCTGACGCGATCTATTGTGTTCGTCTATTTAGGAACAGAGAAATATTCACACTAATTAACTGATCCAAAACACGTACATAAGTTGCAAAGAAGTAATTACGGTTTTTTTCTATATTTCTTGTGGCTCCAGACGATGAATTCATGTATGTACAGGCTTATTCAATACATCGCCCTCTTAAAAGCCACTTGTGGTTGATTCACTCAAGTGTCCGGATTGGCCTTCCCGGTTAAATGTTATTAGGAAATATAGACTGGTTTCTATCTGCTTCAAAGGGATTACCACTCAAAACTGTTATTTCTCGTTCTGACATGAAATACTAATTTTTACTCTCTAATTTACACGTTCCTTCTGTACATGCCTTTGTTGCACATGATTCAAGTTTTTCTTTAAATCATAATCCTGAGGAACTTTCCTCAATGTTGGACACCGCTACCTTTAAAACATCTTCGTAGCTTGGCGGGTTGGACGTATTTCCGTACCGCTGATCGCTGTACGGAGGAGGTTCCTCGTTAATGCTTTGAGTATCGGGAGGAGGCTCGAATGCTTCTTCGTCATCTTCGCCTTCTTCCGATCTGGGTCGAGGTTTATCGTAAGCCGAGTAAAAATCGTAAGGCGGTAAGCGCGCGTGAGGGACATAAAAGCCGTTTGAAAATCCATCCAAATCTCCATTGAGTGCAAAATTATCAATTCCCATATTTAATTCAACCTGCGACGTATCGTGTCCAGTCAAGTGACTTTCATTCCAATAACCCTCCCCTGTTTGTGATCCTTGTGTCGTTGCCGAGCGCCTCTGTTGATTTCGCCTTCGTTTTGCCCGGGCCAGGCAGAACGAAATCAAGCAGAAATTTATAAATAGAATTGAAAATCCCACAAGAGCGATAGCAAATTCTTGGTTTCCTGAGAGCAAACTGTGGCTCGTGGAAGTTGGTTTCCCAATTCCGTTTGACCCTGTAGAGACTGTAGTCTCCGCTACTGTTTTGTATTCCATTGACACGTCCGTCGACGGAATCTGACCTTCTTGACTGTCCGACTTTGACTCGACGTAAACGCAATGTCCTTGTCGACAGACCTTGCCAGAGCCACAGGAAATGTTCAAAAGATCGCAGTCAATAATGTCGATGACTCGACTGTTGTTTATCCGCGTATTGTTTCCGCAATTGCTCTGTGGAGGTGGGCATTTTACAAAACTTAACGTCAGCTTTGCTTCGAAGGAAATAACTAAAAACACAACCAAATTTACCGACGTCATTTCTAAGCTTGAATCCTTAACAACAACTCTGTCATCAATCCTGCCGACAACATCACATAGCTTTTTCACTCCATTTCTGCTTCGTCACAGCAGCCTGGCATATTTACTCGTAGATATTCCATTCCACTATTCGTGTTTTTGTGATTGACTAACGATGCGGTAACGTTTTCTCAACTCCCGTTGGCTCAAGCTGCACTTAATATAAATTACAATTTGCATGTGAATAACATGTTCGCCGCGTAGCCACGTAACAAACAATAACAAGGGTTTATTAGCATTTACAGCGCACACTTCAAATTTAGTGTTATTGTTCAAATGTGTGAAACGACAATTGTATTTTTGCTGGAAAAACACGATCAAAAATGGTGCAGTATTTTAAAGCTTAACATAAACCACTTTCAAAGCGTGCTGATTTGAACTAAAAACTCACTGCGTAATAGAATACACTAGGAAAGCCGTGAAAACGTGGCAATTTATGGTAATGTTTGCGATGCAGTCATTACCTGAACATGCAAATTTTAATGGCAATAGCAGTTAACAACACAGCACCATTTGCGACGTAAACTCGTGCTCACACATTTTTCATTAATACACCGTTGTTACACATCCATGGATGGAAATGTAGTTATCATAATCTGATGTCATCCAGTAAACTAAAACACACCTTCACGTTTTTAACCGTTTTGCAGGTCTTAAATTTGGCGATAACAAAAACAATAGCGAAACTTCTAGTTCGCGGAAAAAAGGTTACCAAAATAAGAACTTTGAAGAAATATTCTATTTATAATTATAACCTTGAGCGTCAAAGGGGAAACTATATTATTAGACATCCTTTTTAAAGCTGCGAAAGAAAATTAACATATTCTTAACTTTCTACACAGGAAATTTATACCAGTACCCAAATGGTATCCTTTCTTTCGTGATTTCACATTTTTATTTATCCACATAATGTTTTAGCCGGGAAAACTTAATTCAAAATCCAACACACATAGGTTGGACAGTAGAGAGAGAAGTGCTATCGTTTTGTCACGAGCCTGCAACAAAGAAAAGACCCGAGTACCCGACGAAGAATCGAACCCAAGAGCTTCGGATTTGGCCCACACGATGCCACTGACTGCCACTGAGCAAAAGGCATTCCCCTGGCTGGGAAGTGCATCTTACACCCTCGGTTTAAAAACTTCTGTAACTATGAAGAACTTCCGACTGTTATTTTTCCAATATATGGTGTTGCACTACTTACTTGAAATTTTCAAAACATACTCTTTAGTTACTTAGTTAGTTATGCCCTAAGCTTTTCCCGGAGCATAGGCCATCGATCATCACCCTCCTTCACCTCCTCCTGCCCTGGGCTGGCGTTCTAAGTGTGGTTCAGTTTTTGCCCCAATTCTACATACCAGCCAGAATACCTCGCCCCCAGATGTTTTTTGGTTGTTCTCTAGTCCGTTTGCTCTGTGGATTTCATTTCATTTTACGACTATCGGCTAAATCGTTTTGGCCGTTTTACGACTATCGGTTATCCCCATCAAGACCCCCTCGTAACACCGTCTGGATGTTTCCTCGAGGTGCGGCCACTCCCTCCGACTGATTTGTGATTGAATTGGTTCCTGTCCTGATCTTTCCCATAACACCTCTTTTGCTTTTCTCTCTGTTCATGTTATGTTCAGAATTCTTCTCAAGGAGTTGTTGATAAGTGAGTGGAACTCATTACTTTTTAGACCAGGTATTTTTTCATCGTGAGGCTTATTTTCCCAGTAATAATAAATTGCAGTTTTGGTCGCCCGCTTGAAGAGGGATCAGTTCTTCCTCAGTTTTGTAGGAGAATTTATCCGGATGCCAGAAACAGATTCTATACTTTGAATACACTTTTCCTGTAAACATTTTCATGTTATTCGCAATGCAGGATGTCCACTTAAAGACATTTATTGCGAGTAGCTTAAAGTGCCTATGACACGAATTTTTTTTTTTGCGTAAATATTCAGCTTATCATATTTACAAACCAATTCCGATAGAAGAAAGATTTCAAAAAACTTAAAACTCGGTTTTTTCGGGCCCTAAAGTGCACTTATTTTGTCTTTAAGTATCCCGTCGACTGGTAACGAATTAGCGAGTGATGACGTAGAAAACTGTGAAAACTCTCCGTTGACACTCACAAATCTCTCACATCTCTTGTAATTTTGTATCGGTCAGCGTTGAAATACCCTTGAAATAATGTCCGATAGTGATCTATACCTACCTTCAGCAAGCTCTACCGAGAGTTTTGATACATCGTACGCAAGTAGTAAAGAAGAAATGGAAGTTGCGAGTACGGTTCAGCCCTACGAAGGAGAACCGCGTGCATCAAACAAAGATTTCGACGAAGAATGACTAGGACGGTTTCTCGCGTGCGGTGTTCAGGTCAAGATTAGAACAAAAAACTCCCGTCACTCAATTTTTAGTTTGATGCGTTTGTGTCTTGTTTTCTATGTCGAAATCTATGTTAAGAATGGGTAGCTGTGTTCGTTTTTGTTGACAACATTTTATTCCTTCGCACTAAGAGCGGCAAGGGTTCCCCTTGCTCAGTGTTCTAGATTTTCGTTGCCTTAGAATGATTCCTTTAGCAAACCATAAGTTAACTTTTGACGAAAGAATCGGCTGTATCACGAGGCACGATGATTTTGTGCCGAGAAGTCATCGGGCAGTTTTTACCGCAAGCCTATCCAAAGATTGCAAAGACTGAGGCTGTCGCCGTGGAGCCGGTCAAACAGAAAACGAGTGAGTTTATCTGATTCAAGTTTACACGGCCCCTTCGAGCTTGTGTTTATGCCAGTATCCGCCAAAGGTTTCGCACTGTTCTCGCAACAGGATATTGGTCAGTTCAGGAAAGAACTTGACCTTTATCACAAATAATGTATTCCTGGTGACAAAATACGATGGAAACTACAACTGGTAGGATTTTCATGCGATAAGAAAAGCGCTAATGTAGTCATGTGGAAAGACAAAGAGTATGAGTACGTCTCAAGCGCGTGAAATAAACCTGAACAATAAGGAGCTCACCATTCTTCGCTTGCGACATGTCAGCCGAAAATAGTGATGAACAATCGTTTACGGTATGGAAACAGGCCCCTTAATGAGCATTCTTTTAAGCTGAATTCTTCGGTTATCTTCCCCTGATTTGTCCAGTGGTATGTGTTCGTAACAGCCGCCTTCAGAGCCGTTACGGAGCATAGGGCTGACGACATTGAAGAGTAAATCCTCCCCTACGTTGACGATCGAAACGCGTCCATTTGGCCATACAGCTACATCCTTAGGAGTGTATTGCATAGAAATATACTGTATATGTTTGTTATTCTCGTAGCTGACATCATTTGGCTCTCCGGCCACGCATTACGTTCGTTCTCTCTTCCAGATTACTCCTTTCTCCACTATAGTCGCCGACGTGTCTTCACAGTTTTCTACGTCACAACGATGTAATATGATTGTTTTGGCCGCGCGCTTGATGGAGACACTTTTTGGCCGCCAAATCGTACTTTCAATGTACAAAAAATGTTCACGGAGAACTCGCTAATTGCTTAAATCGATTATTTCTAATTTTGAATAAGGCTATTAACCAAAAAATGCAAAAAAAAATTTCGTGTCATAGGCAATCTCAGTTCTATGGAGTGATATAAGCAAAGAACATTGCAGTATCGTATTTTAAGCTGCACTCCGTCGCGACAGAGTATTCCAGAAATGTGCCACGAGCTATGCCAATCGCTGTAACTGGATTAAAATAAAGGAATGGTACAAAATAATTATAGGGTTCAAAACCTGGGAGTTAATTGAGCCCTCTTAAATGAAAGCTGGTTAAAACAACGCGTAACCAAGTTTCTCAATCTCTCAAACAGGACCCGCATCAAGTGGCATTCTTTTGATAATTTTTCTTTGAAACATATATTTTTGAGATAATAATTGTCTCAGATAATAACGACTGGATTCCGTAAGCATATTGCACAGCGGTTGGCAGCGCAGCCGACTCTGTCGGAAAGTAACAGAAAATATTATATAAGGAACAACAAAAGACGAATGAAAAATTGAAAGTTTTTATTCTACACAGCTAGTGACAGCAACAAAATTTAGGACGTACGGACAATAGGGTGAACAGCGCAAGGGAGATAAAAGTTACCGCTTCTCCTAGAAATATAAAACTAATCGTGTCGGGAGGATATTGAAAGAATGTCGTCCAATGTAATGAAAGTATTATCGTTTTCCCCTGCTATCCGCCCACTTACTTCCCCATTTGCCATGGAGTTTATCTAACTTGAATCATTTCCTCGCGCAAACCAAGTCTAAACACGAAAACAACATTTTTTTAAATCGGACCGCATTGATCATTGTTACTTACAAAACAGGAAGCCTTAATCTTATTACCTCATCACCAACGTTTACAAATAAAATAACTGAACTGCTGTTGCGGGCGTTGGACCATCTGCACAATGTTGTTGCAACGAATTTATTTCACGTCTATTGACATTACGAAACCATTCCTCACACATAAATTTGTGTACTCTTTATTTTGAACCAAATAAATTAAAGTTAAATAATATATACAACTTTCAACGTGTGCATGAATAACGAATACTTGCTCAACTATTTACAATCGACAGCAATAAATAGAAACGAATAAAATTCACCTTCACAAAGTTGATCCGTGCAATGGCAATAAAGGCTGTGCCCGCTAGTAAGTTAAAAGAAGTAAAACCAAATCTAAAAAAAAGGATTCTTAGATCTTTGAAATCAAAGATTTAAAAGGATATTTGAACGTAGAAGAATTAGCAAGTAAATTCTTAAAACTACAAAATTCACTTATAATAAGACTTTGTAATTAACTCGTGCGGTTTTACTAGGAGATTACGTAAAAGCCGTTTAATTCGAAACCCGTAGGTCGATTTTCCGGACTCGCCTTTTTCCGGCCCCTCCGCCACACGACGAGATGAAACAAAAATGCAAATCCTGTTAATTTTTTTTTTGTTTTGATTTGTTTGTCTTTCTTCCAAGTTTTGTACAGTAACAAGAGTGAAAAAGACAGATGTTTTTTAAATTCTTATTTTCAGTTAAATACAGTAATCTAAAAACATACGAGAGGGCATTGCCGTCAAAATTACTTGAACTGCACATATAACTAAAGACTATCTTCTAAGGGACTTTCTTTTGAAAGACTATCTTCTGAACGAAACTGAAAATTAAAGGCATTCTTCAAGTTATAACTTACAGAGTCGTCTTCGAAGTACTCATCGAAAGCAAATTAAATTAACAGGCGAAACATGAATAGAATAAATAAAAGCGACCCTTCATTTTAGTTTGTGGGAGCAACATAATCGCCGTGAATTTAATTATTTCGCATGAATTTTTGGATAATTAACAGGAAAAAAGATCAAAATTGCCGTTAGCAGTATGATAAATTATTTTAAACTTTACCATTTGACACAGACTTTAGCCTCTGATAGACTGCCACTGTGAGCTTACATAACTGTACAGTGAGACCATTGCGTGCCACCGCGTGCAATCTTAATCACATCGCGTGATTCAACAGTAACGAACACGTTTAGTTCTTCACTTGGACCGCACCGCACTTAAACTTTGAGTACATTTTTCATCAGCCAGCGGTGGTGATAACAGTGGTCCCTGTTTCTAAAGGCTTTAGTAACTGCGAAATCTTCACCACATGCTCATACGGAGGGGGAGAGTTTCCGAACAAAATACCATACTCTGGCGGTTGTTCATTTGATGTTTCAGTCCCCACGTTTTCTCCTACAACCGTGCTTTGCATCTCGCCAATACCGTTTAAATTGAAGCTAAAAAGACTAAAATAAGGCGGAGGACCAGCAGTCATACTGAGCGACGAAAATCGCCTTCGCATTAAGTAGTCTGGAATTTCCACACCCGTGCTTGAATCGCATGTGGTGCTCTCATTCGATGGTGCGTCGACACTCTGTGACCACGGTCCTTGTTTAAAGCACACGTAAACCAAAACAATAGCAAGTCCAATAATTAATGCCACAGATATACTCATAATGATTACAATGATCTCCACTCCGCTGCTTGAAGCATTCGAGTTTTCACATCCATCGCTACATAGTCCGTGAGAGCATGATTCCAATTCACCATTACACTGCGATGACACACCGATCGCACATGAAACTAAAACCATCGCTGGATAGAAAACGAAACATTTCATGATTTGATTAAGTCCCATCTTATTAAGATTATAAAAATCCACGTCGAGGTTTATCTCCCCTTGCTTGGCTCGCTCGCGTGAGGTTGTTTCTTCCCAGTTGTGACGGTATGAATGAAGTATCTTTTTATATTTAAGTTGTTTATGTATTATGACTTTATACATACCTTTCACACTGGTTTAAGGACTTCCGGTTTCCATGACGTCACAGGCGTGTGTCATGCCTTCCTTTCTTGTCAACGGAAAACTCTTGAATGAAAGGGATAAAAACTTGTTTATTGAGATCCGTAGTATTCGCTTTGGAAACGCTTGCCCACAAACATACTGTGCTGAAAGAACAAACCCCATCATCGGTCAAAAGGCGTAAAAGATATTGAGTAAAGTTCTTAAAAGGATTTTTTTTTTGTAAGTTACTAAAAATTGAAAACACTTTGGGGCCGCTGTAACCTTGACCAGTGACCGCACACAGACCAAAACCTTTCAGGAACCTGCCCGATTTCACGTTTCGCTAAACCCCGACAGTAGGGCGCCCACAAAACTGTCTCTTAAATGGTATGGAAGTGAAATGACAATAAAGAATCATTAATTCTAATAAAATAAGTGTTGAGTCAATTAGAGTTTGAAATTGGACTATGATGCAAACGTGACTATGCATTGCTAATTGTGGTTAAGAATCCAGCTAAGGAGTTTTTAAAAACTTGTTGCTTAAGAGTTTAACTTTCTTTATGTTCTAACATGTTTTGAGCTCTTTTGTCAAACAATCGTTCTGGTTTTTTAAGATATTGGACTAGAGCTTACGGGATGGAATTCAGTATATTTGCCCCACTAACGTGACATCGAAAATGAAACCAACCAGATCGGTTCTATTAATACTGATATGACATTTTCACAAGTCAATAGTCGGAAAGCCATTTCATCAACTAGTTTCAGCTTTCAACCTATGCCAGCCATCTACAAGACAAACCCTTCTTTTGCAGCAAAGAAATTTCTGGCCTGATAGGTTCTACCTACACGTTTAGTCAAGGTAACCACAACAAAACTCAACCACACGTTTGCGAATCCCTCAAGAGCAATATTTTCTTCATATATTGAGCGCGCATATTTTTTAGGCAATTTCTGGAATAGAGTGGTTCGTAATTTATATGCCTTTTTTTTTTCTCCGAGGTTGTAAGAAGCGTGTTTCAGGTTTATTTTGGATGGGAAAGTCTCCTTTTCTTCGCTCAGTGTACGGTAAACTAGCGAATTTAAATTCTTAATTTTCTAGTTGAGCGACCCAGCTGAAAAGCTGAAATTTTCACGAGGTTTAATTATCAAAAGAACGTCAGGAATCCGCGGTACATTGGTAAATTATGATAGCTGAAGTTAGATAAACAGCATGGAGTGCTGCACCGCGCAACCACTGATGACCACAAGAATCAGAATTCTGATATTTTCCACAATGCTTTATCTCACTGCACTATCTTTGATTGCCTTTCTGAAATAGTAGGCAGCGATTAGAACATTCCAGCTGAATTCGAACATAGCTACAAATTCAGTTACTACTGTTGAGTTTTGCTTTGCTGACTTGAACATTTTAGTTCATTTTACTTGGCGAATTCTCCCAACCAATTTATTCGGAAATGAGTAGAAGCCAAAAGGGAGAATACCGAATTATTAAAAAAAATATGATTTAAACGTTGCCTATTTTCAACGTTACCTGACGGGGAGTTTTGATGTCATATAACTAACTTCAATTTTACTAAAACCGGTAATAATGACGATTCCCCAGCAGTTTTGCCGACGTCGAATCATTTTTGGGGGAATAGATCTTTTTCTTGGAATCTTTGACTTACTGAAAATTATTATTAAATCCGGGCTAACGACGATTGTAACAGTGTAATTTAGTGTTATCAACTGAGAGTAGTTTGAACATCAAACCTAGAATATTGAGTTTTATGGACCGTAAATTGCAAATTGTTTGTGATACTTTAATATTATGCTATTTAATCCAATTTCATCCCATTTAAACCGAGTGAGTGAGAAATTGGACCACAACGCACAGATTGCAGTTTAGTGTATGTAAACTACGGCAACATGAAAATCGAAAGTATGTAGAGATTGTTGATTAATTTCTGCAAATACTGTAATGACGTTTTTTTAAAGTTCAAGAATCGAAAGAACCTCTTTATTAACTATTTTTGGTTTTAACCCTATCTCCAGACATCAAACCAGCCCATGCTATCCTTACAAATCATTTTACAACACAGGTGAAACGAAACCAGCTTTTTTGGCGATGATTTTACAGACTATGTAACCCAAATAAGGTTGAAATACACCGTTCAAGGCAATCTACGTTAACATCTGGTTCTTGTATTGAGCTCGTGTGTCTGCGCTTGAATGCAGAGGTTCGTATGTTTCGTCACTCTGTGGTCATTCAATGAGGGTTTTTCAGGTTTGTTTTGAAGGAAAAGACCCTTTAGATCGTCAACTAATAGTTTGTGTACTTAAAAAAACAATTTTCCGCCTGAACGACTAAGAGAAATTCAGGCCCAGGAACCTAAAACTGTGACGGAAAGCTGAGATGCGCTTGAAGTCTAATAATCAGAAAAAACACAAGAATCTCAAGTAGTTTTATATTTTTAATTTATAAAAACACTAGAACAATTGACGACAAGGCACCAACCCACGTTTTCATCGAATATTATCTGTAATATAATCAAGCACTAAATACTAGGGCGATATTTGTTCAAATACTTCAGATTATTGATTGTTATCCGTACTTCTTCTTAATTACTTGGCGTACTTGTAAACGTTCGAAAATAGCAACTCTTAGAAACATTCAAATGGACAGTTTGAGAAACACCGCGTTAACGCGATGCTTTCACTCTCTCCTTTGGCAGGATTTGTTCACTTTATTCGCTCCATGTAGAGCCCATCCTATTTATCATCCGCAGTTGAAGTTCTAGCTTCATTACATTTTATTTTCGCGTCCGTGGTTATCTTGTAAACATTGAATGATTTTTCCCCGGCAGTACAAAAACCATTATCATAACTTACTGTGGGAGTGAAAGTAGAAGACGTAAAAGTATATAAGGGCAAACCAATGTTGGCCAAATCTTAGAATAGAAGGGGGAAAATTTTTGTGAAAACTTTTCATAGAAGCCATTTAAAGACGTAAGAGATTGTAAGATGAGAAGTGTTCATTAGTGTTTCCCGAATTAGCAATGACTCCACCCTGTGTCAACGTTGTAGGACTTCTGCTGACCATTAATCAATGAGAAAAAGAAAAAATAAAGTTGTCTGTGTGAGTGCAGGCATTATTCTAAACAAATCCAGACTTTCAGGTCAAACCTTGACCTATTTCGTCACCGAAGATAAGAATAATTCAACCGAGAGAGTGTTTAGTCACGAAGCTGAAATATTACGTGATAATTTCTTTGAAAACGACGTCAGCAACGCCGATAAGAAAGTAGCGAAACAAAAGATTTAATGAGCAAAACAACAGTCCAGCACGTGCGTTTTAAACTGTTTTGTACATTTCTTAGCCGCTCTATGAAAACAATAACGTGAAACCCCCAAATTTTGTGAACTCTTAGAACGGAAGCCTCGATGACGAATCAGTCTTCACTGCATTTCCATATTAGGCTAATGGTGGGATCTTGCACTGTCAGAAACGGTAATTACATCAAATTTCTGGCAAAATTTTCGGGGGAAATGGAAGTTGATTTTCTAGGCGACGTTCTCCTGGGACTTCGCCTTCGTGAGATCTTTTACTTCCTCTTGTTAAGTTCTTTACACGACATAAACGAGTTATCGCGGTTAATTTAGCTTACGACAATGATTAGAGAGCACCTTTGATTAATAAAGACATGTTGTGTCTTTCTAAACAAAGAGATGTAAAAATAAACCGCGCAGGGATTGGTCACTGGCGTTCTCCAGCGCTTCAGGCAGTTTGTCACTACTTCGTTTAAGTTCTTATTAGCTCATAATGATCTTTTCTTTCGTTCTGTTTAGTCATTGTGATAACTTTGGTTTTGTTTTAGGATGAGCCAAGTCATTAAGACTTTTGAGAATTTTTCCTCTCCGTTTCCCTCTGAGCCATTACCTGAAAGCCTGCGTCAAAGTCGATTCAAAATAAAATGGCGCTCTTCCTCGAAATTCTTAAGAACAATACAATAATTTGATTCCGAGAAACTTGTTGCGACAATTCCTCTGTCATCATCAGTTTCAATCAACGCAGAGTACAAAGTTCAATATATATCATTACAAGGAACTGGTGCTAATTGGTACAACCACGGACGAAAACGTGGCGATGAATGGTTACAAAGAAAGACTTAAATCAGCATGATACAGTTCATGCGGATTCAATGTGGATTTGCTTCAGTTGAATATGTAAAGTTAGATTCTCTGATCTTGAAATTATTTATTAAATGGGTGACTTCGATGTGTCCTAACTTGAAAATTGGATGAAATTTCATTCGGCCAAAATGGTCTGTAAAATGTCGTTTGAAACCAGCGTATCACATATGAGTTTGCCATCCACTTGTGAGAATATGACGAAGTTTAATGATACACGTATTTCAAAACTTTCTCTACTTCAGTGCGTGATTTAGAACACGACTTCAAAATGACATATATTTAAAAATATCAAGTACACTCCCAATGTTAGTTAACACTGACCAGGTGTTCTTTCTCGGGATTTCTTCCCTCGCTGGATATTTCCATCAATAATATCAGAATCGTTAGCCTTCAAATTTGTCAAACGTCTCCCAAGAACTCATTCATTTCATCCAACCATGAAAAAAGTCTCAAAAATTGGTGGTTATCAGCATTGGACGATGCACGTCATTTTTGGGTCCTCTCATATAACAAACTGCTAGGTTCATATTCCCGTGGTCATAAAAAAAAAAATTGAGCACGTTTCACTGATGGATATTTTGTTTCTCAAATGTTGACATAGTTTTGATTAAGTGGTAGCAGGTCTCTCTGTGGTCCAAATATAAATCAAATATAAAACTATCAGTACACTTGGCATTAATTACTTTTTATTGCTATCATCATATCCTAAGTGTATAATGAGCTTAAGTCTCAGTTTAGATAATACAGTCATACCGTGCGGTAAGTCACAAAATTTTGCATGACTTAGTTCCTATATATTCGATGGCGTTACAATATCTTGTCACTAAGTCTTCGTTACGTTATGAAATAACGTTGCTTTCCATCCTTTTTGCAACCTCGCTTTGAAGAGCCCTAAATTACAGGAGAAAGGGCCAAAATTGGCCCATTAGGCTTCGTAAAACTCATTTTTCTGAGTTTAAGAAGAGCTTGCTTCTAAATCAACGCACGGCTTTTTGAAGATTTAAGCTGCATCTACAATTTGCACCTAAAATGAACGATTTTTATGAGGTAGAATGATTATCCTTTTGCACTTGAAAATACTCAAAATCCGGTCATTTTTAGTAGGAAAGTCATTTTCAAGAGCGATTTTCTGAAAACTCCTATTACCCACGACAAATCAACCCACGGCAAATAGTAGATCAATCTATTCTCTAACAGAAACCGTTTTTATTTTGAAAATTGGCCAACGGGAACCTTTATCCTTTTCAGTTTGAAAATTTTGTAGTCGAAGTTGCGTTCAAAAATGGCGCGTTTTGAGCGAGCGAGCTATTGTCTTCAGCCCAGCCATGAATTACAATGCAGCCTGTCAAACTAAACAGTGCCCATCGCTGAAACCCTTTCGCTTGTAAAATTATTCTCAATTGCCGCGAATTTTAAAACTGCTACGTGCATCAGATGTCAAACCTTCGGTTTACAGACTCAGTCAAATCATGACGGCGTCCATCGACCAACAAGCTGTTCGTGATCGGGAGCCGGCTCTTTTCAGAGCTAACTGAATCCCCGATTGCCCTGCAATCTGTATGCGATCGGGAGCTGATGATCAGTTCCAGTCCAGAGATAGCACTAGCATAAAAAGCTCGATAGTAACTGTGATCCTAAAATAGCGAATGTGATCGTATGCTCTGTTTTGTTCGCTTCGAAAAAACTTTGAGCGATTCAGAGACTTAATTTTGTGCTTCATTTACGATAAAAGAAATTTTTCGATGAGACAATCGAATTCTTAGTGGGAAATTATAGAAAACACCCGCAGAAGCGAAATGTGTGTTGATTACGTTTTGGCGAGATATGAACAAGTAATTTTCTATGATAAATATCGAACGCATATGGTCATTACAAATTCAACGCTTGCGATAACCAGAGTGTGCGCGCAAAGTGTGATGTCAGAAACAAAAGATGAAACAAAACGTCACGAAGCCTTTGTTTCTTTGCTCCACCTTGACAAGTTAATGAGCTAAGGCAGTATTCCCTTTGGAGGAAAGCGCACGTGATCTGCGACTAATGAGAGCCTTCCTGTTTACGCTTCACCGCTAATATTACAGATCTATGATATTTTCGCCACTGCGAGTAAACGTTGCGAGAACAATAGGCATTCTGCCCAGTGATGTCTTCGTTGGAAGGTCTACTCTCTCAACCAGTGCGAAAAATTTACTGGAGAAGATTGTTGAAAACTACATTATTTCACAAACCAATACAACAGGTGTTTTGTAAAATTCGCTTTTTGAGTTAATGGTCTTGAGGAGATGAAAACAATTTTTAATTCTAAATAAAGGTTTCCTTAAACTTAAAACTACTTACCTTTCCCCCCCTAACTTGTGGCAAGCCTTATGCACCGCTGCAGAACAGTTTGCCGCCATCTTGGGTTTATGATGGGGGTGAGAACGCTGGAACTAGCACAGGCAGCCCAAGTTCCAGCTGTGAGGAAAAAAAGAACAGAATCCATTTTAGCGAGTTATCCATTTCTGAAAACCAGCTTGGTAACCCTCTTGCCTCCTTTGTAAACCGTGCCTCGCCGGGGACCACACCGTCAATTGGCGTCAATAGATTGTTTTAGAACCACGGGCGCTAAGTGACGGTGGGGTCCCCGGTGAGGCACAGTTTGCAAAGGAAGCAAGGTTACTAAGCTGCTTTCAACAGTCGTGTGTCGCGATGAATGTGTACGCGGGCCGTTATAAACGACTAAACTGGAAAATTTTGAAGCAAACTGCGACTTTGCGTCGGTTTCACGGGGAGGACTGAATTTGCAGTAAATTGAAATTAAACTACAGTATATATGCTTGGATTATGCGTTGGATTTGTGGCCGCACGGTCATTCTGAGCTTGGATTTCTCGCTTCTCGGATCGGGCGTTCGGAAATGGAGTGTGCAACATTGGGCTTCTCTTACGTAGTAAACCAAGAAATGGATAACTCGCTAAAATAGTTCTTTTCAACATAGTAAGCGGTCAAATAACAAGTGATGCTCTGTGGAAGTAAGGTGAGAATTTTTTTTTTCCTAAGAGCGGTCGTAAATATTCCCATGCAAACTCTTATAATTTCTTCAAGGCTCTTATTTCGCAAGATGATTATCTCACAGCTGGAGCTTGGGCCGCCTGTGGAATTAGTGAATGGGAATGGGGGTGGAGGCGTGGTAGGGACGGCAGAGGGGAGGAGTAGGGAAAGAATTGTCTCTTCCCTTCTAATGTATAAAGCAAAAGCTGGAGACGCTGTTTGAGCAAATAAAATGAGAACATCATGAAAGTTAAATTCAAGTAATATTAACATTAACGTGTTTCCAAGTGTTTCCATACATTTCAAAATGGGCACTTCATACCATCTCGTCTCATGAAAAACTAGATGTGAACGTAATGTAAGGCGCAAACTGTTTTGATATCAAGCTCTTAGTTGAGATACTACTCACCCCCACTCCCTCGATACACGCTTTGTCATTTTCATTTAGTTCCAATATTCAACAATCAGAACATTGGGAAATAATTTATAGACTAGCAACGGGATAAGAACCATCCATTTTTTTTTACATGAAGTTTAAAAACACGACGAGAAGTAGGCTCCTCATGCATTAGGTCTATTCTTTGTATAGTTCGACGCCAAGAATTGATCTAAATTTAAGACATTTCATTGAAAATCTATCGTTTCGTAAAGTATTTTAGATAAATCTGAAATAGTGGTGTCGTTAAATGTATAGATATGCTTCTATGATTCAACTTTCCTTTTAACGTCCCAGAAGTGATTAACATCTAACTTCTCCTCATAATATCCACAGATTATCCACTAAACAGGTAATGAGAATTGAACAGTTTGAAGTAGCTATCTTGATCTAACACGAAAATCTCGTAGTTAACTTACAACGAAATCTGTAGCAGCTAGAGGGGAGAATTAACAATATGATCTTAGGAGTTACAGGGTTAAGTCCAAAAAATTTGAAATGCGTTGAAATTAACGCGCCATTCGTATAATATTTAGAAACATATTGGTTTTTACATTCAGCAGACACACCTGAGTATAAACATTAAATGTTAATTTCTTTCCTAAAGTAAGTTCTTTCATTTCACATGTTTCAAAAGACGAGCCTTTCCGTGAATATTCAATTTAGAGAAAATTAATGTTTACATTTAGCTATTAGAATCTCCTTGCCACGTTCTGGCTACCCAGATTCCACCAGTTTGCATTGGTACTATCCTTGTCTCAGTCATATCTTACCATAATGTCATTCGTAATACATCTGTCACTGCTGAGTATCCGCGCCTGATTTCATTTTTGTATCCTCCCGTGCCCACCATTCTACCCACCAGACTCGTCCCAGCATGACGTTTCTCTTTCGGCCAGGATGCGCCGCGCTGGCAGCGGTCGAACGATAGGACGGCAGCGCTTCAAAATTCTTAGGGATTGACGCCTCATGACTTACTTCTTTCACATAAAAACTGGAAAACGGCCACCGAAGGTCCTGTGCTTTGCTATCGTCCAAACTTGAGGCCAAGTTATCTTCACGGTGGTTTTCCGTCGGAGGATTTCCGGTATCTTCCGATTGATTAGCGATTGGATCTTGTTTGGAACCGATCTTTCCTTCATCGGGCATGAAACATTTATAAATGGTGCGATATTTGTTTGCGTCGGATGAATCTCCGTTTGGATGAATAATGGGCCCACCGTCCATGAGTTCTTGGATCTCAGGGTCCACATCTCGTGTCATTTCAAAGCTGCCAGCCCCACTGGAGTTACCATCGTCATTACTTTCGTCGCTAGATTCCGAAGAAGAACCGTCGCTATTCGGCGGTCGTTCGTTTTCCGTACCCTTCATGGATCCGTTATCGGAATCGGCTAGTTCATCTGATCGTTCTCGCTTTATTTTCCTCATTGCCTTACGGACGGCAGTTTTAAATACTTTTTCCGAGTTGTTACTTCCGTTTCCGTCCGACTCGCTGTCACTTCCGTTGTCGCGTTTACAGATTTTCCTGACATGCGCCTCCAAATCAAACTCGTCTTCGGTTTCTTCGTCCGATGATTCTTCGTCGGACAAAATGGGGGATTCAGTTTCCAAGTTTTCAGCTGTGGAGCTTCCAGAGTCGCTAGAAGCCTCGCTGTACTGCCGTAAGATGGAGGCCACAACCTTCTTGACATGAGCCGTCGTTTCGGCATCTATCGGATCTACATGACGCTCTTCTTCCTTAGTAGCCTGTCTCCCGCTCTGAGCAAGCTTATCCTCGTTTATTTCTACTTGAATCTGCTGCATTGTCACTGATGGTTTCCTGAAACTACCAAGGAGCCGAACGGTTTGTTCTTGTACAGAGATGGAGTCCCACACTTCAATGTCATCGTCCAACGACCCTACAGAGCTTGTCAAACCATTCTGGTGTGACTTGGACACAGAACGAGTTGCTATCGAGCCCGCTCTCGATAGCTGGTAGCTCCTAGCATCTTCAGATCCTCCAGGCGTGGCTATACTGCCAGCAGAACCGATACTGCCCCTGGGATCGGAGTTGTAAGATCCCGCGCGATTTCTTGGACTGTTTTTACCCGTTGATGATTCATTATCATCCGAACTTACCATGTAAGCGCCCTCTTTACCTTTGCTCCAGAAGCGTTTGCGTCTAAAAATGGGCATGACTGTAATCAGAAGTAAATCTGAGCATATTTCTGATAAACAAAGCTGAGCTCAAACGGCATAGATCGCCGCAACCAACCACGGTGCATAGGTACAATCGTTCTGAAAGAGAACGAACGTTCGCAATTAGTTGAATTTCTTTCGCTCTTTGAGAGATCGAAAAACAATTAGGCTGCTTTTAAAGCCAGCTGTACGTCAAAAACGTGACTTTTATTACTTTTATTTTAGTTTCTTTGCATTAACAAACATCAACCAGCCGACAAGTTAGACTTCCTGTCGTCAGAAAGGGAATTTTTCCCTAAAATGACAAGTTTTAATTTCCTCTTTCGTTTTTTCATGTTAAAAACGGAAAATCTCTTATAGACGATGAAAAAAATATTTTTAGCGTCCGTGACTAAGAGAGACGTTTTAAGAATTACTCCTTCACGTAAAATTACAAGATAAACATCAGCTCCGTTGCCTCAATGAAGCATTTGAAGCGTATGATATTGAGATGACGCGCAGGTGCTAAAATAAGTCGTTTAACCGGTACGATATATCTCACTCGGTTATTTCTTACTTCACAAGTAAATGTTAGCTGAGAATCTTTGTATGAGAGTCACCTGTTTTCACGCCGCTAACAGGATCTGGAAAAATTTAAGGCTCCTTACCAAAAGAGAGGTCGAAAACTTCCGCAAAAAGCCGTAAAACAAACCGTTGAGAGATGTCTAAGGTAGTTAGTTAAACCACCTGAATCTACCAACGCGTTATTAGATGCAAACTGACCACCATCACGAATTTTTAAAAGCTGGCGCTTATTACGTACATTAAACTACATTTAAGAGCTAAAGGACCAAACGAAAGCTTGACATTCATAAAATTTAAGGCAATATGTAGAAAAGAGAATAGATAAATAGATCGAATTCGATTGGGTAAATAAACTATAAAACATGAAGATGCAATAAAACGCAATAAAACTGTAATAAATCAGAAAGAAAAAGCTACCAGGTAAAAACTAAGAGCTCCACCATCAAAAGTTAAAATTTCGCCCATATCCGTTTATGGGAAGAAACCAGATTTTGATCTAGCTTTCGCAAGCTGACTTTTTAACTCTTTAACTACTATGAATGACCTGAACAGAATTTCTTCTGGCAATATCAATATAATAACGAGCCGACAGGTAATGAGAGTAAAGAAAAAAATCAATTAGACTACTATTAGTTGATCCAATACCAAATTCTCTGAACTAACATCATAAGAATTGTATGACAGACAGAGGGGAGAAGTAAAGGAAACAGAAGTGGGAAATGATGCGCAATCTTGGTGTGGGGGAAAAAATTTGGTAAAATTCATAGACCCTGCTAGTCGCGCTCTGCGTTCGGATTCATTTTCTTCTCTCTGTTATTTTGTTGTGCACTGAGCAGACAAGTTCTTAGAGTTATCGCTGTCCACATGTCTTTAAAGAAGTTAAAGTTAATGAGTCATTAAAGCCAGGTGAGATGCGTCAAAAACGCGTCCGATGTTTTGCGGGCCTTAATTTGATTGTAGCTGTGAGGCAACAGTTTTTATTAACACCCAATGGTAGCTGGGAGAATATTGTAATAGCACATTAATTAATCGGCGTCTTGTAAACATTATGAAAATTATTTTAGGCTTCTAGAGACATTAGAACGTTGATCAGAAGAAATGCCATGTGATTAAAATAAAACTTTTCTTATGACGAGAATTATGTCGAGAAATGTTGAAGATATATCCTCTTTGTAAAAGATAACCCATGTAATATAGCTTGAAAACCGAAAGGAGTTTGACTTCAAAAACAAGAACAATAACAGAAGAATTTCTTGTTCAAGTGAAAATAAAGTGCAGCTCTTATGTCGCCTGAAATCTGCCTTTTGCGTGTTGGATACACGAATTCTATTTAGAAAAAACGAATAATCCTTGACCTTGCAGATGACTATTGACGAATCGAAACTCGTTGGCAAACATAAATTTAAAATATTGCAGAAAGTAGCGCTTAATTTAAGAAACTAAGTCTCGACATGGCTTGTACCTGGGTCTCCCAGGTGCTCGTCCAGAGCTACTGCCAACTGACTTGCAAAGCCTCGTGTTGGGATCGAGGCAAAATGTAACTAGGCTTTGTGTCCCCGTAGATAGAATTGATTTCATGCAAGATTTTATATATGAAATAAATTGTATACTGCGTTACCACCGACTGAGCCTCGAAGGACATCACATCGTTAAGGGTTTAATGGCTGGTCGGAGCTTAAATTCTTCTTTTACCATGTAAACGCACATCTTGCACATCTCACAAACATATCGCACACATATCACACATATATCGCACATATATCGCACAAATATTTCACACATATCGCACACATATCACACATATATCACACAAATAGGGCACACATATCACTCACACATCACACATATATTGCAAGCACTTTGCACATACATCGCAAACACTTTGCACACGCATAGCACACGTTAAGGGCGGAAAAAAGCGGAAAGAAAAGCCATTACTGGCCAACACATTTGTCACTCGACAGCCCTGAGAGGCTAAAATGCCCCGAATAAATCAAGGAATAATTCAGGACAGAATTTATTTTATTTTGGAAGGTACAACACTATACAATATATACAGAACCGACACCAGAAGGCAAAAAAACACACTCACAAAAAAAATATTGATGTTTCTATGCAGAAAACAAACATAGAGCTCGATAACGACATGACCAATAAGATCGTAACCATAGTTGGAAATAGCTCAAGGCAACATTCATTAATTGTGCAAAACACAAAACAAATAGGACAATTGTACTTTGCACGTTGACGATAGTTCAACACAGATGGTTTTTCAACTTCTACTCCCGTTCAATATTGACAAATTCTTCAATATCAAAACCATGTTTATATTTATACCTATTCAGATCCTTTCTTTGTGGCAATGCTAGCCAAATAATTGAAATCAACTTTGATAGAGTTTAAATTACGAAGACTTGAATTTTAATTTGTTAAGGGACGAGCCGAAGTTAAAAATATCATCGGACCTGGTTCCATTACACCTGTCTCGAACAGTTAGCAATTTAACATCCACTTTCAAGATCACTAAGAGCTTCGTCGAATCCAGTCAATTCAAACTAAATTTGTTGTATAACCAGCTTCATTGCATAAAATTATTGATCGAACGATCGATAAAATGGACCTCGACGATAAATATTCGTCGATGTATAGAAATATGATACGAAATTCCATACCAAGCAATTTGTCGAAATTTTTCGTCGACTTTTGGTGCCTCTGGCCCTTAAAGCTAAACCCTTTGCGGTAATTATAAACGTAATAGTTTTATTTAACTACGACAGCAAAATCAGCCGAACTTTTGCAACGTTAAAACATTGAGGTTTCCTGCATTGTTATTAGAATAAATCGGAAGATGGCTTCGTACCAGAAATGCTGGCCTGTTATCATGAAAAACTTCAAAAGTTATAGAAACACTTAAATACTATTGTTTGAACAGCCATACTTGGAGACTATTTTACCTAAACTTACTTCCAAGTATTCAAGCTCTGAAATACGGGACACTCCTCGCCTCTGATTTCCAAGTCAATTCTATCTCAGCCAGCTCGGTTGCGAAATTAACAGTCACACGTATTCTTGCCTTAATGAAAATTGTAATGGTCTCACCTGTCACTTTATGCAAAGGCGATGTCATTGCCATGGAAACGACTCCAACCCGCAGGTGTATTAGAAGGTTTTGGTCACTTTCAATTATGTGAACAAAGCTCTTCTCCTTCGCTAATACTTCTATTGACAAAACAGACATTAACACAAACAGAAGACCAACGTGCTACAAAACATTTGTTATTTTCACTTCTGCATTCAAATTAAGCTATGCAACTACTGACTCAACTAAAAACTTTCCTGGTTCCATATTGATTAAGCCGGCTAAAATGAAAACGAAAGGCAAAGGAATCTTTACCATAAAAAAAATTCATTTTTTTTTTCTCTCGTAGGTATTCTCTTGGCCCTCAAAAAACGCAAAAAGAGATTAAAAAAAATCGACAATGATGAGAGCAAAGCCAGCGTCGTGCCATTGTCTGCGTCAGTTTCTATTTTGTAAAAGATGAAAGAAAAAACATGCAAAGACAATTTTAAACATGAGTAATTTTAAGTGCAAGCGGTAAGCATTAATTTGTTTTAAATCAACGATCTTCTGACGTATTTGCTTTTCAGGACGATCCTGAAAACGAAAAACACACATTACTGAACTGTTACTAACAATAGATTCATGTATGTTTTGAAATCGCCTAGTTTTCCTATGCCTGAAACACGTATGTTTTGAAGAATACGACCTTTAAATAACCTTTGAAGTCGGTTTTACCTCTGCCTTTGAACCTGAGAGCGGAAAAATTAACCGTGAGAGCAAACAAAATGTGACTGACATTCATATCACATAATTCTGCTTCAAAGTCAGGTCAAATGATAAAAATTATAGGGGGTAAAAGAAAACCAGCAATGTAATGCACTTAAAGAATGACTGCAGAGAATGAAACAGAGATCTGAAAGGTACTTACTGAATTTTTAAGGGAACATTTTGTGAGTGAGTGGGCAACTTATTACATCATATACCTCTTGTTACTCAACCAGCTAGATCAGCTAATGGCATTTTTCTTTCAATATGCATCATTTTTTTGTCAGGTTTTTGTTTTACTTTCTCAGTCTTGTTTTGAGTTCTGCCAATCAGTACCACAATTCCATGCTTCTTTCAGTTGGTGTTCCTGGAAGGCAATAAGGATCTCGTCCGTAAATACGATTTATAACTTGAAGATAGCCTCGGCACATTCAATATTTGTTAGCAAAGTTTGCAGAAATCTTTGCTAGGATATTTTTGATGAGCTTTACTAACATTTATCGATTCATTATCAATAATCGATTTTGCCATGATGTCTCCACAAATTGAATAAAAATTCACTGAGCCCTCTTAGGCAGTTTGATACTGAATTAACTCACCCACCCCGTGTGGTTTACGTCACGTTAAACATCCCCCGCCCCCTCCATGAGCTTCGGTAATCATCACCGACAATCAGTCGATCACAACCGACCAAACGCCAAATCGAGATGCACTCCAGAAATTACCAAACCAAAGCCTTGCTGTCTTCCGTAAATAAAACCATAGCAACAGCAACTAGTTTGACAAGGGAATGAAATAGTGATAAAAACCAATTTCATTCAGTCAACGGCAAATAAATATATATACATTTTTTTTTTGGAAAACAGCCTTTAAGTCACGTAAAATTCAAAATAATTTGTCTACTTAACAGTCAAAATTGCGAATCATTTTTACTTACAGAAAGTCGTTGGGCAATTCAGTTGATTTAAAATCTTTAAGAACAGTCTAATCGTAGGAGAATTGCTTCCTTACAAATAAATTTTGAAAAACAAATATTACTTAATGGACGGACGCACTTGGGTCCAGTTCCTTCCGCTAAGGTCCTCATTTGGTGTTCCTTCTATTTGGATGCGCTGTTGATGAAAGTGCTAAGATCACGAAAGAAAATGACTGCAACAATATCAAGGGATTATAATATCTTGAACGATATTTGTTTGAATTTGGTTTTAAGGTTTGGTATTAGCATGTGAAAAGCTTTTAGCATGGAAAATGCGCCATCAACACCTCGTGAATTAATATTTACGATTGATTTTTTTTCACGTTTGCTCATTATTCGAACGTGATGTCAATATTGTCAATGTGGAACAATGCCAGGGTTTGCCGGTGTCATAGTTTTGATGCTCCCTCCAATAATCGATAATCAGACATTACTTTCAAGCACACTACTTGTTAAACAAAAACAGTTAGCTGTTGCGTATGCATTATGTTACATTCAGTCTGTGAATGCAGTAGTTAAAGAGTCGCGCTTTTCCGATACTCCTGTGTGATTTTTGACCCTTTCGATTCCGGCAGAGTCTAACTGAAGTTAATTACTACTTGCAATATCACGACATTTTAACCCCTCACCTCCCAAGAGCTGATTGTTAATTCTCTCTTCTTGCTGTTACATAATTCCTTGTAAATTAGTCACGAGAATTTGGTATAAGATCAAGATAACAACTTCTTCCTGATAAGTTTGAGTATTCTCATCAACCGTTTGCTAGAAAACGTATGGATATCTTAGGGAGAAGTTACATGTTTGTCACTTCTGGGAGTTAAAGGGTTATAAGTAGAAAAGTGATGATATGAAATAACATAAATTAAGGCCAGGATAAAATTTAATTTATAACCAAATTATTAGAGCTGAAGTTGCGGTAAATTTCTCGCAGACAAAACGGAGAATTTAATTCCAAATTTTAGTAGTTGAAGAGTTTAATGCCAAACTACACCTGGACACGTATGACTGTGATACGCAGCGATAGTTCGCTTTGTGAAACGATGAGGATTTTTGTAAAAATGTCTCAACAGGTTGCGAAGACTCAATTTGGCTTGAATTTATACCTTTATTTCAGTGACATACTTAGTCCCAGCGACTTGCTATACATGCAAAGCTGTTTGTCGGAAATAACTACTGCGGCGACTAATCGCCTGGTGCCTTGAATTGGTAGTTCGTCCGCACATTGATTTGTAAGTCACCCAATGATAGACTAAAGAAACTTTTACTTCATTAAAAACGCTGAGTACAGTGAAACAAAATAAATTAAATAGCTTTTCATCTGAGCTTAAAAATCTTTTCCTATTTTTTTTTTCTTCTTTCATAATCATTTTCTCCAAGTGTGGCCGCGATATTTTGAATATTTCAAACTGGCATAAAAATTAGACAATGTTGTCTCCGTTGTGTACGAAAATGTCATGGGAACACTTGACCTCAACAATATCAGCCTCTTACGATCACGCAAAAGTAGAATTGTTTTATAAAAAATATTTGACTTGTCATCATGATTATGTTAATGTTTTGATCTCCTTCACAGTTCACTTCTTCCACTCTTTGATGTTATCGAAGTCTTCTTCTTATTTTCTTTTACCAATTTCTTTTACCGTCGCCTCGATAAAAATATTTACAAATAAGCTCTATAAAAAAAATCGTTTCATACTATCTTCTTGAAATAATTTAAGGTGTGATCAATAGATACAAAACTATAATACATATCTTACTAGTCCATTGTTTTTGCAGATGAATACAGCTCCTCGTGCTCTCAGTAAAAATTCTCATCCAGCGCTTATCAACTCTCACTGCGCGCTCACCACGACATCTTCGTATTTAGGCGGTGGACAATAAAACAAGGAACTGTATGATGGTGGAGGCATTTCCATACTGTACGAGTCTTGGTCGCTTGTTATAGCTTGATTTGTGCTTCCGCGAACCAGTGTACCATTGTAGGGAGAGGAAATAATTCTTATGGCGCTATTTGAGTTTGGAGGCATCCAGTCCTCAATTCGGCGATCTTGTTGTTCATTAGAGAATTCCTCCACATCAGTCGATGAAGAAATTGTTCCTTGATTATTAGTGTTACTGTCGAACTCGCTGTTTCGTCGATACGTGCCAGATTCGACACTGTTTTGTTTACTTTTCAAACAACTGAAGAGACGCTTACGAAAAAAGCATGCCATGATCACTAATGCCGCCAGCAACAAGCCAATGGGAACAGGCCAGATTGAGTTAAAGATCGAAGAGAGTCGCATAAAGCTTCGATTGCACTGTGTTTGTGCTTTTGTAAGTAGTTCAAACCTCCTCTGACACCGCTACAAAGCGAGACAGGAAGAGGAACAACTTAGGCAAGCTTCGTGGAAAAATCTGACGATTATTCCAAAGAACCAACTCAGTGAACAATGTGACCTTCCTGTTTTGGTGATCTCTAAAAGGAACTGTATTGACCCCGTTTAAACGACAACAGATATTTCCTATTTTGGGGCTGATTGCTACATTCATACTTATTTAATTGTTATAAATGACGACAACTGGTTCTTGGAATATCTAAGTGCGTCCAAATGCACCAGCTGTTCCAATTCAGTCGCAATATCACATTCAAGCCACATGGGTTTATGATAAACAGCCATTTTTTTAAACAGCCAAAATTAATGTTACATCCACAGAGTAGTTTAAAGTTTATCAAGCTTTAAGCATCGTGTGTCTTTCCATTATTCAGTAGCTGCCTACATTTTCTTTGCTCACATCGGTTCAGCTTAGATCCCATTTGTTCTGATTCGCTTCAGTTAGTTGATAATAAAAACAAAAAAATTAATTTGACAACTGACTGACGGTGCAATATTGCGCGTTGAGATGTATTGTAGTGGCACAGAATCCACTTAAAATCAAAGTAGTCAATTTAGCGGCTACCACGAGATTTTGAAACCAAGAATCGGAGCTAAAAAGCATTTTGATCAGCCTTGTTTGTAAAAACATGGTAAATTCTTTTTGGAGTCTATAACTTTCTTGTTTTCCTGTTCTTCACCAAAGTTCGATGAATAACTTAGAACTAAAAGCACCATCCGGTGGTTCTATTTACGGAAACGGAAATAACAATTTTTGAATAGTCGCGTGAAAAAAAATATTTGTGTTTCGAAAACTTTCAATAAAGAATTATCACTTCCATCTACTCTGCTCCTGTAAATAACACCAGTCCACAATAAACTAATTACGTAGAAACTACTGTATGGTTTACAATTAACGCCTTTATTTCCACGGGCTTTCCTTTGATCTCCGCGGAATTTTTATTTGAATTTTTTTCTTCTAAATATTTTTGTCAAAATTTAAAAGAATCATGAACTATGCTAGGAAGAGAAGAATGAATAACAAATTTGGTGACACTTTATGCCAATATTTCACGCTATTGCTTGAGGTGCATGTCAATTTTCCGATTTTGGTCCGTTCTATTTTTCGTTGATCTGATCGCGGAGGAAGCTGATCACAACGAGATAGAAGAACCCTCTAAAATGTGCCCCGCTCCCAATGCGTAGCTTCGTAGCTCTGTTGGTAATGGCGCCTAACAAGTATCTAGGTTCGAATATCGTCGAAGCTTGAAATTTTCTCAGACGTCTTTTCTACAATTGCCTAAATTGCAGCTCACCTCTGTGAGTCATTGCTTTGCTTGATTTACTCATTTCATTATTCATCACCCAATCAAAGTGGAGCATCCGCACTCACCGCGGCGAAGAGAACCACATTTCAAAATACTTACGCCAAAAGAGTACGTCACCTCAGGAATTGCGTCACGGAAGGAGACCGGAAAGAGGCACTCACTCACCATCAGTCACAACTGACTGGCTTGAGCTGTCCATACATAAAGAGAATTGTTTTATTAATTAAGGTGTAGTTGTCTAAAGGGCAGATAAACTGCCCATTTCACAGAAAAGAGACTTATCAAGTGGACAACGCTATCCATCCTTCGAACAACCGGGGCCAGAACTTCCCAATAGATCGACTTTTTGATTACTGAAGTGTATCTCTTGCACAGGCGGCGGAGTAAAGAGGCTGGGCTGAGAGGCTGTATCTGTTAATTACTGCCACCTTTATGCGTCGTCACAAATCCATGGACTTCTATGGACATTGCGTGTGTCAACGAACTGCGAACAAGAATTTTGGGAAATCCGAGTGAAGATATGTTCTTAGTCTAAAGTAAGATGAGCCCTTCATCTTTTCAAGACGGAACGCCGCCAGGGCACTCCTCTAATGAATAATTTAAAGAAAAAAAGATATCCTAAAGAAAGTCTCATCTTAAGCATCTCTTTGCACACTTTTCAAAGGCTTGGTGGTCAGTTCCGAGTACAAGTGCCCCCAGTTAGGCGCAGAAACCGGAATCTGCTAATGATTGTTTTAGGAGCGAGAAAGATGGAATATGTCGAAAATATTCCTTGAGTTTCTGAAGTACTCTAAGTACTCGACGGGTTCACGTCTTCGTGACAGTCATATTGGTCGTGAGAAACACAAAAAACTATAAGGCCATATTAGCAGTCTGCAGTACAAGCTTGTAGGAAAACCTTTTCAAGTGTAATGTATAATACAAGCTAGTGATCGTTTAGCAAGTCGCCAGGTTGGATGGTAGGTTTTGAATTTGCAGAGGGAATGGGTGTACAAAATTACTCTTATGGAAGCTAATCCCTTAAAGTTTGTGCTGACAGTTACATTGCTTAGGGTGAAAAATTTAAGTCCATGGCGGAAGAAACAGTTATTTCTACGAAGCTTTCCTCGGGCGGCAAAAGATCTTGGAGATAGGCAGATGGCAGCGAACTACTTCGCTTTGATGCAAATTATTAGGCTCAGATTATTGCAAACAAGCACGGGCGTGCTAGCATTAATGAACAGTTTCCAGAAGGCAAGATCCAATGAGTAGTTTGACCACAATCGCATTTAGTAAATGAAGCAAAACAAAAACGTCCTCTCTTTCAATTAACAGCGACTAGAATTGGAGAAAAAACGATTAAGATTCCGCACAGACCCGTACTACTGTAAACCAGAGACATAGTCCCAAAGGCAACCTGTTTTTCTTTATCCAAGAGCTGTATACGTGATTAAGTATATGGCTAGCACGAAATCTTACCGAAAAACAGCCACTCACCTTAATGCTTCAGTTCATCGTGTAGGGTATTGTAACTCTAAATAGTTTTCAAAGATTCCCACATCACCTTTCATGCAAGCTTCGTGTTCGAAGTCTCGAGTTTTCCTTATCCCAACTTTAGTTTCTTTTAACAGATTTCTAACAATTTCAGTGTCACAGCGGTAGTATTTAAGTTTTCCTCTGAAAATTTTCGCGGGAAATCGCTGCGCGACCAGCCAATTTGATCCTTATGCGCATACCCAACGTTTGACCGCTGTCTTCCCTTGAACAGGATACGTCACCCACAACTCAGGACACAATCATTACCTCTGAAAATCTTGTCAAAATTTTATGAATCATAATTTATTTTAAAAATTCGTTCTGTACAATTCTATGTTACTTAATTCATAATTGACCTTTCTGATGCAAATTATTTACAGATAGTATCTGACTTTCAATTTCTTTTTCACTCGATTTCTAAGAACGCGTACAAAATTTACCATATATCTAGTGCATCAACATAATATTCACTTATACGGACCCATCTGAATGCATAAAAATTCCCCTTGGAAAAAGCAATATACGTATGTTGAACCAAAGTGGAATTTTGATACATCGACTTGAGCCAGTTTTATAAAATCCTACACCATAGCTAACTCAGGCCCCTCACTCAAAATAGACGCGGGCAGGTACTGGGTCCAGCAATGGGTGCTTCCACAATTAATTGATGAATTATTTTTAACGATAGAAATTTTCAGGCCGTTTATAAAATTATGAGAACCACGAAGTTCAAATGCTTGTTAACTTATTCCTTTGTTTTAGAAATTGATTTATGTTCCATGAAACATAAACTAGTGTATGAGCAGTTTCTCCTTTTGGCGAAGTTCCTCGCGCTAGTGAATAAAATTTAGCGAAAAAAAATTATGCTCACGCGCCGCGTGAAACTCTACGAATGAAAACCAATTATGTCACTTAGTATGTTAAATTCGACTGATAGCAATCACTTACAACGCGATCGATTTGCTTTTGAACTTCGTGGTTTGCTTAATCAATAAAACCGCCACTATTTCGTTACGTAGATTAATTATAAAATTTCCATTTAATTTCGTAATAATGCTATAAAATTACTGTGTGAATGATATATTGGGATACGAATGAAAACAAACAAAAAAAAGAACTGTTATGTGCCTAAGATAAAAACATCTTAACTTAAAACTATGAATTTTTCTAGTAGGTATCTACAACATAACTTCCAGTTTAACATCTTGACTGTTCTCAATCTCTAAATTTCTCTTGCCACCAAAAGTAAAATAAACAGAAAAATTCCGATGACAAAAGACACTTCCTTTCCAATCACAGATACTGACTTTCTAGGTGCACGTTAGTCAAAGGGCTTTCAATAACCGTTTTCCATGAGCGGCAGCCGATGGTATAACAGGCTTTTCATGAAACCCCTGATTGAATACACCTTTAAGTTAAAAACCTTTTAATCTAAGAAAAATTTGATGAGAATGCGTTTGACTGTGCCTAAAACAGCTCATCCAACACTACTTAATCTAAATCACAACAACATCAGTTTTGAATGCGCTTAAGTCTCTTTCGCAACGATGCCGTTGCTTCTATGCTCGTATACACTGGAGCAAACTAACACTTCAACGAATGATTCGGAACAAAGTATACGGAACTGGTAAGCTCTTGATTAATCGTACAAGAAAATAAAAAGGCGGAGAAAGACGGTTGCGAAAAAGTAACTACAACGCCTAGCCCTTCCCCTCCCCCCCACTTCCTTAACTTCATTTGTAACTTACTTGAAAAGAAAAAAATCATTTGCAAAGGAGACTTGCAAAATGTGAGCGGCTTCTATGCCACTTAAGAGATTGTTTCGATAATTTTGGGGTAGCAGATCCATCCACACTCCCAATACTTGGTTGTGCTGTAGCCTTGAACACATGTACCTAATCTTCTTCGAAACCTGTAAGGTTTAACTAGTGTCTATCTAGTAAACAACTACGAAACTAACACGAAAGTGTCCTACTACACTGCCTTAAAAAATTCTCGCCAGGAAGCGATCGAGAATTTGTTTTCAAAAAACATGCTTTAAAGCTTACGTCTGTGGGTATGACGTCACTAGTAGACGTATAAAATCATTTGTCTGTGGGAATGAGGTAACGAACACAGTGCCAGCTGTAAAATCCTCCGTAATTTTAACCAATCATTGAAATAGTGACATTGATGTATGATAATTAAAATACACTAACAAATGTGAATGCAGATTTAAAACAAATTATACGAACATTGAGAGTTGGCTAGAATGCATAGCGTTTCTGACTGAATGGAGGAGCAAAAAATATTTAACTACAACTTCACAAGAGGGAGATATATCCAAGATTTATCATAGCGTCGAACAACAATTATCGACTACTCATTTAAGTTGATTTGCCTTACAAATTAAGGATTATAATCGCAATTTTAGAGTGTGATGAGGCGTGGTCTTAGCCGACTAATTTGTTTCGTACGCTGGTTTTGGGAAAAAAACCCTTGAAGGTTAAAAACCAGGTTTTTTATACCCAATACAAAGGTACAAGACTATATACCTAGCTACGGAGACTATTCACGAGTTTGTTCTAAAGCACGACATACAGTACCCTCTACAAATACAACACAAAACCTTCATTTGAATGCCCACGAAGCAGAAGTACACGCAAATACTCAAAAGTTATTTTCAATTAAGAATTATCTATGAAGCGTAAAAGGTTCGAAGCTAAAAATGTAAAGGATATTCTTTTACTGAAAAAATCCACTTTTATAGAGAAATTCCTAAGTTCATCGATTCTCTTAAACCGTGCTCTACGTTAGATTTCGTTTCCAGAACTGATCCTAAGACGCGTAGGTTTATAATAAAGGAATTGAAGTTGGAGAGAAATAATACACCGGTAAGAAAGCTGTATCACACCAAACGACGCCAACTGACAGAAAAAGCTATTAAACGCGCGACAAAATGATAAAGTAATATTTAAATAAGCAAAAAAATAGTTTATGCAATAATATTTTACCACACAAAGCGACCTCAACTCACAAATACACTTAATACCCGAACGTTAAAATAATAAAATAACACGTACATATTAAACGAAAAATGGTTTAGGCAACGTAACTGTTGGTTACATCAATTACTGCACTTGCGTATGAAGTGGAAATGGTAGTCCAGAAATCGTGGACCACTCGGCTGGAGAACTGTGGTACAGGTAACATTAGCTTTACGCGACAATACCAGACGAAAATGATACGTACTCTGGAAATAATAAGCAACAGGAAGCTTCCATCTGTGACTCATTGTCCATATGCCCTATGAAAGCAAAAAAAAAAAATTAAAAAATAGACAAAGGTATGAGATTTAGGGCAGACGGAAGTCGATATTTACCCTAACTTTCGCTGCGGAATAGCCGGTGACCCAACAGTTACCAAGTTAGACTTCGGGAGGTCGGATTTTTAACGCAAAACACTTTAAATGTGTGGAAATATTTTTTTCTCTTAAGTTGGCCCTAGAGTAACCTAGGCTGCAAAACAGACGTACGTTTTCCAGTCGAACGAAGGCAAGTGCGAGGCGAGCACGAAGCGCGTCCTCCCTCGCGGGTCACACGCGCTTTGCGCTTGCTTCGCGTTCGCCTGAAAAAAGAAAAAATTTTAAACTGTTCTGGAAGCTGGGAGTAACATTAAGTCCCTCGAAAAGTTTTCTTCAGCAAAAACCAAACACATAACTGGCCTCAAGAGTGCATAAAAGTATTTGAAAAAATAAACCTTTACAAATGCTGGGGAGCCTAAAAAATAAGAAAAAAGGCAAGACAAAAATGTTGTGTGAATTTGTGAATAAACAGCCATCTTACCTGATCCTTTTCAGTATCAAGTTTTGGCGGATTCGTGCTGTCTTGGCAGCCATCTTGTGGATTGCATTTCGTGTTACACAACAACACCAATGAACTTGCAGTGGAGCTGTAAATTATGCAACAGCTATGTATTAGACTCAGTTACAATATAAAAAGGTCATTAAAGAACCACACGAAAAATATCACCAGAAGATTAAGTTTTTCTCCAATTCCAAAACCTCTTTGGTTTGTTATATCATAGGTTTGACATCGTGCACCTCGAGCTGATGGACCTGATTCTGTTTGAAAGACACTATTGTATGTTAAGTATAATACTTACTTGATCTCGAGAGTTATGGGTTTAAGCGGTAAGTTGGGGCTGACTGGAATGTAAAGTGAAGAATTCTGAGAACTGAAAACAAAGAATAAAGTCAGATAAGAGAGAAAAAAAGGCAAAAATATGGCAAGAGGCAATTTAAGTAAGCACCAACCTGTTCTCGTTCTTGATGGGGTAATTTCGCTCTAAAATTCGAAGTTCTGGATCGCGTAATTGACCAATAGGTGAGCCTGCGAGTTTAGGAAAAAAATTGAAACTTCTAAGAATTGTAATATTAATTATTCTTCCATATGGAAAAACAAACAAACAAAAAAACAGAGGAACTTAAACAGGTTTCTCTCTATCAAATTGTTGTGATCTTCAAAGATGTCTTTTTCGTGTAAGTTTCGACGCCGAACTTTCCACGAGCCGAGCGTAATTCAGCTGCGTCAGTATAATTGTATTTGACCCCTAAGAGTAACTACTATCTACTTCCTCCTTAAAATGTCACCCCTGAATCTTGATTGTTAAACAAATTCTTTTTGTCAGCTCCTTAAGAAATGTACGGAGATGAGCATGGAGAAGATGTATACTGATGTTAGGGTATAAGGGGTTAACGCTGGTCTAAAATTACTCTCGATCGGAAAGAAACCTTTACATAACAGATTTCCAAGGTAGAACATGAAAGAAGTAACAAAAGTGTCCCGGCTCTCAGCATGCGCTTGTAGATCACTCTCGCATTTAACAAAACAACCTCAGGTGATGAATCGGACGACTTTGAAATTTAATGCATTTACTTTCATCTGCACGTACAACTGGTGGTTTGTCAACTGTTGGAAGTTATTCAAGACAGTCATAATTCGGAAATTCATCGTGATAGCTTAAATCCAAATAACCTCGGACTTCGAAATCAAACAGTAACTACATATCAAACAAAAACAAATGACAAAATCCTACTTAACCAACTAAATACTTCCTAACAATCTCAGGATTGCCCTCCTGTTATAAGTTTCTCGTCGGTTAAGAACATAATTTTGAGCCTGAGAATTATTCCAATTAAGCAGTTAAGCAAAAGCTAATACAGAGTATGTACCCACCCTTGGGTGGGGTGAGGCTATCGTAATACACCTCTTTGCCTCTGAGCAGTCTTTGTTGATTAGTGTTGGTCTGTTTACAACATTGCCTCGATTTTGGTGGAATTGTTCTGCCCTCGCTCGCAGGCGATTTCAGTTCTTGGCTAGGCTTGATCACGCGGGTAGTTATCGGAGAGGTCTCGGGCGATGTCCTTGCTGCAGATGGAAGAGATCATCAAAGCAATCAGATCCAAGTTAAAACACGCGAATGAATATCTTACTCTAAAAACGTGCATTGTTAAGGTAAATTTTTAAGATGGCGTTAAATATCAAGGTAGTGCTTCTCAAAACTAGCTGCCAAGCACTTCAAGAAGACTACAAATGAGAATAGAAAGAAACGTCTTACAAAAAAAATCTTTCAGTTGACAATTTCCAATATTCTGTTATAGTTCCCGCTGGTTACAGAATTAAGTGCGCGAAAGAAGGAAAAGTTTTATGGGCAGCTGGCCACATGACCAGGTTTTTATAGTAAGCTTTACGAAATGAAAACATGTCTTTACACCTTATAAAGGAGGACGCAAATGTTATTTCTTTATTATTTTATTTTATTTTATTGTTTTTCGCACCGAAAAACAATTCGCAATTGAAGAAAGATTCATTTTTCAATTTGGGTTTATTCCCTATGTAATAAAGTGCACGTTGTAAAGACCTTCACTGCCCATGTTCTGATACTTCACGAGAAAACCCGTGCTCCTCTTGACCAATCAGACACGAGGCTATTATTTTTCGCCCGGGGGAGGGGGGATCAGAAGGCTCTGTCATATTCTACTAATCCCCCCAGCCCCATTGGCAGTTAATTGGCAGTCAAATTTTATACTCCCCCTTCGTACTCTTCATGGTGATGCCTGATCCCCTTCCATCTCCCCTGAAAACCATGTGATTCTCCCCCCCCCCCAAAAAAAAAACAAAACAAAACAAAACAAAAACAAATAAAGGGAAAAATTCTTCGATCATCCCCCAGGCGTTAAGCACTGAATGGTTCCTAAGCACCCTATGAACACGTAACAGCTTAACACATTTTAGAGAAAGTTACCTCGTGACACTGGAGTTTTCCTCGGTACTGAAGAGGTGCCATGTGCAACGAAGGCGTGGGAAGGTTTATTTTCTGTGCTGTGTTTCCTTTCATGTGTTACTGAGCTTGTTACATATGGTGGTGTCGAGGAAACTGTCTTACTTACAAGTGGAGGCGATGTAATCATCGAGGTAGACTTTGGAATAGATGATATCTCAGTTGGCGACCAACTGGGTGATTCTGAGCTGTTCATGTTGATCCCAACGTTACCGTCAGTGTTTTTTCCGATCGAACCTTTTCCATGATTTGATGGATTATTATTTTTAAGAGATAAAATAACAGCTATCCCAACAAGGCTGTGTCAAAAAGAAAAAAAAGTAGAATCGTTCACTTAACAGTTTCACCTCATCAAAACATATCTAAGAACCTTTTAGGAAAGCTACCCTTAAAAAAATACAAGAAACGAATAATTATAATAATAATAATAATAATAATAATAATAGCAACAACAATAATAATATTAATAATACATTTATGAAGCGTCTTTTCCCAGTGGTCCAAAAACGCTTCACTGAAGGAAAATCATAATTGAAAACAAACAATTATAGTAAAACTATAATTATATTAAATCATAATTAAAAAATCATCACAGTCCAAATGGCATAGGAAGTATAAAAGACGCAGCGATTCAAACTGAGGATGTCGCCTTGATGTGACATCAAATTCTCTTTACTGATTACCGAGGAAATGTACGGCATCTGGAAGGGAGAACTGCGAATTTCACCTCAACAGCTAGAAGATCTAATCCTACCTGAGAACCACGAAGACTATGAGAGAAACAATAGTCAACTGCATGAACCTGGGAGAGCACCATCCTGACTCATCATGAACAACTCCGTGAGGTCTCTGTTGGGGAAACAAAAATCTAGGTTTAAAGATGTATGGGTTTCAATAACATCCGTTTATCGGCGGTCTACCGCCGTCTGTTTAGCTGTTTGGGTTTCGCCTTACGCGTTCGGCACAGCCGCCTATTACACCATTGGCGGCCGCCTCCGATCAGAACAAAGGAAAATATCAAAAGTGGCCGATGAGAATCAACGTAAAAAAAGAGGAAAATCGCCTGAAGCGCGGGAAAACGCGAGCGACCAAGTCGCGCTTGATTAGAGCTTTGATTCCAATTGGTTGAGAAAGTGGCACGAGTTGTCTGGACCAATCATGCGGCTAAGCAAAGCTAAACCAAAGCAATCTCGATTACTTCAGACAATGAACGGAAAATTTCCCTCATCTAAAAATAGGAAGTACGTACACATGCGCAGTGGTGATGATGGTGACAGTGGTGGTGATGATGGCATCTCTTTTTACGTTCTGGAGTTGGCTTCTTACTGCTAATTGACGCTCTGCAAAATTATTGTAACTGTATCATCAGAGAGCTACGTTCTAAGTCGCTTAGGGTTGTAACAATTAATTTCTTCCCTTATGGGCTGGGTAGGTCAGCCATTTCCCTTATTCTTTACCTATGAAGCCAAGTGTAATGAAGAGAAGACAGATCATTCAAATAATACGACTACACGATAGAAAACGTGGTGTGGGAAGCCCTTGGCAAGACAACATGGCCTTTCTTCCCTTTCCAGAATTTGGTCTGTGCTCGCAACACCACGATATCCTCGCTCCGAAGGCTGCTCTGTTTTCGCCAAAACAACTCTTATCTATGAGAGCGGATTCCCGCCAAAACTACACCTCCGAACGCTCCTCCCCACCTGTATCATACGCCTACTTTCCCGCAAAAACGTTCTGGCACGAGAGCGCGCACCCTTTAACTATTAAACTACTATTAAACAATTATTAAAATTAAATAACGTAACTGGCAGATCTGTAGAACTCACCTGAAGGAACTACACCTCGACAAGCTCAAACTACTGAACGTGCTAACAGTATCACAGCGTTTTCGTTGTAGTTTTTGATTCATTGTTTCCAGCTCGTCTATTCTGACCTCTAGATTGTCCTGCAAGGGTTACAAGCAACAAGACGTTATTTCATGACCAGAATAACTTCTATTGTTTCTCAGGCATAAAATCTATCTATAACTAAGGTCTCAATACGTACTCTCATTTCATGGTAAATTGCGAGATTCGTTTGGTACAACTCCATACTTACCGTCAGTTTACACAACTCTTTGACAGCACCAACGTTTTCCATGAAGATTCTTTCCTGTGCAGAGAGAATTAATTTTCAAAAGAATAAGTAAAACGAATAACTATACTATACACTGTACTTCTAAGCAAGATAATTAACCACCAATGGCTTTCTGCCTAAGTATTTACCGGACAGAATCGAAAGTTCCGCGGGCGGACGCTGTTCTTAATCTGACTGAATTAAAAATGCAATTTTGCTCTTCACTAAAAGGAACTTATGTCATTATTTTTTATAAAGTGTAAAGCAACCTTTAGCTGAAAGGAAACTAAAAAACATTCGTTCGGTAACATGATAAAACCACAAAAGAAGTACACCTATCAAAGACGTAACAACAAACCATAAAGAGCAGTAAAGAATGGAGAATGCAAGAATTTCTATAAAAAAGTAAATGTCCGATAAGTACTACTCTAAAGTGTGAAACCGACGAAAGCTCCCTTGGTTAGTAAAGTATTTACAGGTTCAAGATCATTAATGTTCACTGCACTGACAAATGAAGAAATCATTGATCAAACTTACTTTATTAACAACCAAAAATCTCTCTATCGTTTTTCCGTCGGGTAAAACTACATCTTCCTGGAAAAAATATTTCAGATAAATGTTGACAGAAATGCAAAATATTAAAGATGTATAATTAGTCACACTGTGCCATCACTATATGAATGTAATACAAGGTATTACTTGTCTTCCAAAACTCTATAAATGTCAAGCATTAACGACGCAAGTTAGAAAGTGATTTCATACTGGATTAATTCCTAAAACGAATTCTTTTTAAATGAGTTTAATCTAGAGGACATTTGTCGACAAGTGACTCCAAAATAAAATATTTCTGTTTTGTAAAATGGTTCAAGTTTTACTGCAACACCGAAATTTACTATTTTCTATTTACCACCAACCGGTAGCTAACAAGACATTGTACACAGTAGACCACAGTATACATTGCTAATGATGGACTATGTAAGTTTGTTTCAAACTTATCAAACTTGACAGCCAAATGATCTATATTGCTGTTACTGGAATGAAATTTTATCGCAATTTGACATATCATAAAAGTCTTCATATCAAAGACCACGCCACGCGATTGGACTAAAACCCCCAAGTTAACACTGTATTACAACCGTCAGAACAGCATGATATAACATAGTCCCTACGTGGCCCACCATGGAAACATGACACCAATATGGGAATGATGAAGGTATAAACCACTCACTGATTCCTTCACAGCCTCAGGTAAGACTTCCTTCACTTCCTGAGCCAGGACCCCCGTGTCCTCCCCGTCAGAGTCACCTGATCTTAAACCAGCGTGCTCTAAATACTCGCGACTGAAGCGGTATTTGTAAAGGTTGATTCTGGAGATAGTTCGAAGTTGCTCCCTAGTATCCACCTATAGAGAAAAAGTGACCAGTAAGTGAAGAGCTCGCTTCCATTCAACTTCATCGAAGCTATAATGTTCGTCAATGCTCGTGCTATAAAATCGTGCAGAGTTATTTTTCTCTGACTTTGTCACGTATGCAAGCACTATAAAATCGCTCTCTCCTTGTTGAAGGTGTGCCATGACCAAATTGGAGTGCCTTGATTTCAGAAGAGCCTCTGGTGAATTTGGAGATAGGAAACCCAGATATCACCATGAGTTTCTTCATAGAAAAAAAATTTTCAAAAGTGCAGAGGGTGATCTTGGATTGCTGTGGTTTTATATAACTATGCTCTGTGATTGGTCTAAAAAACTCGCGCCACCCTCTCAACCAATCAGATGCAAAACTAAAAATAATCGCGAGCCAGTCACTTGCATTTTCCCGCGCTTCAAGCAGTTAGCTTGTTTTCACTTTGAGTTCTCATTCGCTAATGATAATGTAAACCTGAGTTCTGACTGGTCGCTGGGATTACTTTGGTTTTAGCTTTTCGACACTAAATCGGAAACTGCCGTAATAAGCCCGAATTGACTTGCCATTTTTCTTAAACCGCCATTCGGCCAGAAAAACGGCTATATTTGGGTAGGTTTTTGACTTTTCATTCACTCATGATCGGCCCCTAACCTGGCGAGACTAGTTATTTTTCTTCCACAAAAGGGTCTACCACACTGAAAGTAAACAGACAAGAGTTTAAAATATGACACTTCACCTCCTCTATGCTCTCCTTGACTCTAATGTCCGATGGATGCACAAGGCGACCCGTGACCTTCAGATTCCCATGAACTGATAATGCTTCCTCTGGTCGGTCAGTGTTGATACCAACACGACCCTGAAACAACAAAAGTAAAACTAAGCCAGGTACTCAATGGTTACAACAGAGACTCCAGCAAAGCTTACGTGCAACACCAAAACATCAGATTACGGAGAAATCCATTGGATTTCGGACGTTGCACATGCATAAAAAAGCGTTCTTCATCTACTGTTTCCAAAGAAAATTGCAATGTTGAGCGTTGGTTTTTATGGATTAAGGAAAACTGAAACACTTGGAGGAAGGTCGAGAACTAAAGATTATCTTAAAATGCCATGTACTTTCCTTAAGCACGGCTGTCCAAAAATGACCCATTTCCGCATGCCTGGGAGTGCTCTCAAAACAATTAGGCCAATACATTTATAGAACAAAAAATGCTTTCTTATTATCATACCATTCGGTACACTGAGTCTGTGGTTTGCCCTCTTGACCAAACAACTTCCATGTCATTCTCAAACTGGCCAGGATTTGAAGCCTAGCAAAAACAGCAAAAACAAAGGAAAACAATCAGGACTAGTTACTTAGAAAGTTGACCACAGGAGCCTTCTAAGCACAAACAGTTAATTTGCATCGAGGGAAGGTAGTAGATTATAGTAATAATGATACAATTAATTATGCGCCACAGGCACAATGAATATTGTTGAATAATCCCCGAGATGAAGTAAATAATATCATTGTTTTAGCATAATTGCTCTGGTGCTTTTGAATTCTGTTACATAAATTCGTTTTTTTTGTTGAAACCCTTCTGTTAAAATTGTTTTGATTACTCAAATCGAGACAAGCAGCCAGTTTTCAGTAAAATTTAACAGGTTTGTTTATCGTAATACAATCAGCAAAAACTTCATATCCTTCTTTTGAAAAGTGTTCCTCCAAACTTGGTAGTATCTTTTGTGCTCTTCGTAATTTACATTTCTACTATCGCATTTATCACTTCTTCGGTAACATTGATAAAACGCAAGGTAGCCACTTTGAAATTTGCACCCCTGCCATAGTTATCTCGTGTGAGGTGATTAAGGCAGGGGCGAGATATTACGCAATTCTCGACCAATCAGAGCGATCACATCTCCATAATCACCGGACCAATTATACTCATAATAAATAATAAATGAAAGACACTTTCTTACCCTAACAATGATTCTTTCCGACACATTTGCACACACTAAAAATTCCTTGTTTTTAGCTTGAGCATACACAGCAACAACAAGCAGGAAGTATCTAAAAGACAACGTTATTAAACCCTTCAGCTCCAATGTGACCAAGACAGAATTTCTCCTTAAGGTATCAATACAATATCAAGCAGACAAATGATGAGAAATGAGAAAGTACATGTATCAATAGGCCATTTTGCAGTAGTGTACTTAGTTGCCAAGCCTTTGATTTGGAGTGAGGCTGAAGGTGACCATATTGTGATAGAGGCCAGTACCTAGTAAGCATGATTTGACAAGCAGCAACGTTTGTATCATGACAAGGTCACCCTTGGCAAAGGCTTGGCAACAAAGCATGCAACTGTAAAATGGACTATTAGAGGATCACTTTTTGATCCAATAATATATTCTCTGAACTAGCATCAAAAGAATTGTGTGACAAAAAATAAGGAGAATTATTAGAGTAAAAGGGTTAACTATAACACAGCTGAGTACAGTAAATTGTGTGTTATACTTAGCTCATCAGTGGAAGAGATTCCTGTCCTTACCTCTGATCAGGATTTGGTTTTCCTTTCTTCCTCATATTGTTTGCTGTTGTTTCACTGCAAGAAAATTTGCTTGATTAATATCATCCACAAGTCAGTTTTCATATATTTCTTAGTCTCACCTTGCTAAAATAAATCAGTTTGAAGTAATTTCCTTTTCATTTGATAAACATATAGCAAGAAATATTTCATATTTCAGTAGTACACCTTTTCTTGGATATTTCAGTTACACATCCAAAAATTTACAACTTGCCCTTTGTTTCTACGTTGAATTGAAATGAAGTTAGTTTCTGTAAAAGAGGGAAGATCATAAACTCCAGGAAAAAAATTCTCAGAGTGAGGACAAAACCCATGTACAAAACTCAACCCACATGTGATGTCTGGTTTAAGAGTCAAACAATAAAACCAGTGGTGGAAGGTAAAGGCTCTCTGCAATATGCTACTTCTATCACACCGACAGATTACCAACAATCAGCTGACTGTTGGCCAACAGTTGGCTGCCTGTCAGTGGAGGGGAGCTGTTCTTTGCAATTACCCAAAGTTTTAGTAGATTCAGTGTCAGTTCAAAAAAATAATAAAACACAATACCTGAAATGCAGTCTTCCAACTGTAATCTTTGTTTGCTCTTTTGGTGAAATTTCAAATCTGAAAGTTAAAAGCATGAAGTGTTACAAAAATGTACATTGTGTACAAAGCAGTGTTGTATTTCCTCTCAAATCATAAAATGTGTGTACTGTATACATTTTAAACTACTATAGTGGGAGAGTAACACTTCATATAATCTTTCCTTTGCTTAAGGGGACATTGGTTTCAAGTTAAAATAAGTTGCATAGAATTTGTAACTTCATAACAACTGCAATTATCTTTTAGCTTTCTCTTTGCTCATGTTGAGTCCTTGTGTACAGCTGTTCATTTTTCCACAAAATGTGATGCAGATAAAATCACTTACTGTAATGGTTCATAGTGTCTCTTGCTTCTGTCAGCTTGAGATTGTTCAACACCAATTTGACTGGCTTTAGATTCCATCTAAATCAATGCAAACAAATGAGGATTTAAAGTTATATGTAGATTTAATCATGGAACAACAAAATCCAGCACACTTGTATACCATGAATTTGTTTAATTTGTAATGATAAACCTTTTCTAATTGTAGGGGTAAAGTTCTTTGGTTGTCTGTGTGTTGCCCTTCGATAGCATGTTAATAACAATATTGTAGTTTAAAGGAACCCTTAAACCAACAGACAAAGCCTGAAGAAATTCAAGCTTTGATAGGATTTTCAGCCTGTGCCTCCAAGATACCAGTTAGGTGCCATACACAATTGAGCTACAAAGCCACAAGTTATGAGCAAGGCAAATTTTAGTTGTGATTTCAAATGGCCATATCAGTAAGTTTTTGCATACTGAGCCAGCACTCTGTTTAAATATTAAGTACCAACTGACTGAGTGGGGAGACTGGGCAGGTTTCCTATCCAGCCCAACCTACCTCAGACAATAAGCAATCTATTGAAGACTCACTTCTCTTTCCCTTTTCTCTTTTCTTGTTGCAAACTCTTCCATCCAGCATCTCAAAGAGTTGTACAAAGGGCCACATGTCTTTTGAGCCATACTGGCTCCATCACATACAGTCCCCATATGAGGATTATTTTGTAACAATGTTTTTGAATATAAGGATGTGCAGAGCCACACAGGTCAAATGATTCTTAGTTCTACTCAGCATACCTTAATTCCATAGATGTGTAGCCGAAACTTGTCAATACGTCTTAATTCTGTTGGCTGAAAAGAGAAAAATAAGTAGGGCAAGATTAAACTATACCTGCTTTGTCTTGGTAAACAAAGATCACAGATCAACAAAGAAATCTACAAACCTCTCCCTGGACATATTTGGGTGTTTGGGCAGATTGAAGGTTCATGAAAGCTGTTATCTGTGAATAAAGCATATGTCAGAATTAAAAGCAATTTTTGATTCAAAGTTATCACTGGTCAATTCAATTTCTTTTTTTCATAATTTTGTATTCAATTAACCAATAATGGTATTTATCAATTTTTACCCTCTGTAATCCTGTCACAGTTCTTTTTTTACCCAACAAATTGTACAGAAATACCATTTCCAGTTACAGTAGTGTACATATATCTCACCTTGTCTAAAACTCAATGTTCAAATTAAACTCAAAGTAAGGAAGATCTTAACTACAATCCAATCAATCATGCCTCCAGATACACAAATAAAAAGTTTGACCAAACAAGACAGACAATGTGGAATTTGAAAATGATGAACAAGTCATTGAAACATCATTTGAACTTATTATTGCTAATTTTTAAAAATCAATTATTATTGTATTGCATGAAATAACAGGGAGATCTGATGGCTCCCCCCCCTCCCCCTTATTTTGAATGCCAGTCCATTGGCCAGTTTCCTCAAACAGTTTGCTTCACACTCCTGACCAGAGAGAGGCACTGTCACTCTTAAAGAACACAAACCCTGAGTAGGGTTAAGATTCACAACTGTCTATGCACAGTCCAGTATTCTCACCCATCTTGCCCTTGGGTCAAAACATTTCTGTAAAGGACACTTATTAAGGCCTCAAAAAGCGTAGTATTCTACCACATCACATACCTGGAGATGATTTTTCTTTTGACAAACAAATGCTTCATCCACAAAAGAGTAATTGAAACCTTTGTCAGCATCTACTCTAAACTGAGGTGGAGGACTGAATAAAGAGAAATAAACTGCAGTTATAATCAAAACATCAACAGAAACACTTCATCTCTCAAAAACATCTTTTTAAGTCTCAGCAACATTTCGTGTTTTAGCTAAATGCTATGTTTGTCAGTGAGGCATTTGAAACCAGATTAGGAAGAGGGGAGAGGGACAGACCTTGGTTTCTTCCCACAAAAACAAATAGCTCAAGGGGTCTCATTTGAAGATTAGAACTGTTTACAGCTGTAAAATGTTGCTTAAACCTGAAAAATGCTATTGACTATAATTTTTTAACTATTCAAATGAAAATGGACATCCAGAAATTTGTTCCACTCCTAGAATAGGTACCTTTAACCCTTTAAATCCCAGAACTGATTAATGCATGTGACTTATCCCTATGATATCCATACATCATCCAGCAAACAGGTGATAAGAATACTCAAACTTATCACGCATAAGTTGTTATCTTGATCCAACACCAAATTCTCACAAATATTTTACAAGGGAATGTGCAGCAGCTATAGGGAAGAATTGACAATAACATCTTGGGGGTTAAAGGGTTGAGGGTTTTTATCTGCCATACACATCAACAAGCTTTCCCTTGTGTCATTTCCAAAGGAGAGTGACTCCAAATGATGGAATACTATGACAAGTTTCAACTTCATATAGGTAATAACATGATTTTGAGTGCAATTTGGTGTTGTCAAGCATGGGTAAAGTTTTCAAAGAAAACAAAATTGAACAAGTCTATTGGGCAAGTGCAATTAATAGTCTTTGAAAAATTTTCCAAGAGCTTATTATTTCAAATTGCAAGAGAAATCATGTCATTGCTAATAATGTACATGAAAAAACATCACAGAGTCAAGACAGTCAAAATTTTGAAAGCATATATGTGCTATTTGTAATTTGCACTCTTGTCAGCCAATCAGAATCCCATAAATTTTTCATGTACATTCTTACAAAAATAAAAACCACATACAATTATAATATCCAAAGGTTTATTCAATACACCCAAAAAAGGACTCACATCATTTGGGAAGAGTCGTCAAATATGCTGCAGCATTCATCGGTTTTGTACGGCAACCACTTTAAGCATTGGTAGTTTTCGAGCTCAGGAGTGGCAGTGGTGGTGAAGGGATCAGGAGAGTCAAGGCCCTCTGAACCACTCCCATCCAAACAGTAATCATCTAAAGCAGGAACAATATAAAGAGATAGTCAAACCTTTGTGGAAATGATTGATAAACTATCTATAAACACTTGTAAAAAGCACTTCAGTATTTACTGGTAAGGAGAGAAGGGATCATCCAGTAGGTTGAGTTTATTTTTTCTCTTGTGGTTTTTCTACAGGTTTTTCTAGATTTTGTCACCTCACTTAAACAAACACTCGAAATCAAATACAACCCTGGGGCCCATTACTCAAAAGTTCCATTAACTTAACAGGATCAAAGCCATATCTTGTACTCAACATTTGAAAATCAGAGAAGCAGGTTCTGGCACCCTAACCAGTCCATTTTCTTTTTTCTTCAGCAATAAGAATAGTTCATTATTCAGTTGCGTGCTTGGTTGCCAAGCCTTTGAACAGGAGTGAGGTTAAGGGTGACCTTGTTTTGATACAAACATTGCTGCTTTTCAAATGTAAATTACTTTGTTATCATGCTAACTAGATACTTGTCTCTATCACAACAGAGTCACCTTCAGCCTCACTTCAAATCAAAGGCTTGGCAACTAAATACACAACTGTAAATTTGCCAATTAACTCTTTACACCCTGACATCGGTATGCATATTCTCCATACTGTTCTCTATACATTTCCAAAAGGTGCTAACAAGGGGAATTTGTTTAACAATCAAGAGCTTCTTTAGTGGGTGATCATTTCCTTTATTCTCATGACCCTAATGTGTGATTCAGTGGTTTTTGTGAGGAGAAATAAGATGCTGGCCACTCTTAGAGGTCAAAAGGTTAACACTGTAACTCCTAAGATCTGATTGTTCAGTCTCCCTTCTAACTGCTAATTTCCTTGTAAATCAGTTATGAGAACTCCGTGCTAGATCAAGATAGCAGCTTCAACCTGATAAGTTTGAATATTCTCATAAGCTGTCTGCTGAATAACATATGTATATTACAGGGAGAAGTTTCATGCTAATTACTTGTGGGAGTTTAAGGGTTGATGGTCTTTCCTTGGTTACCTTCTCATTAAGGTTTCCTTAGCAGTTTGGTGAAACCAATAACACTCCAGCTATATTTATACACAAACACAGTGGAAACAATTTTAAAATCAATAGAGCATTGGTGCCTACAGAATATTTCAGTTATATGATAATTACCTGGCTCTGATTTCAAAGAATTAAGCCTGAGTGATGATATTCTGTTTGTTGTTAATGTTTCACTACTCTCTGAATCTCTTTTCCTCTTCCTTTTAGGTTCAGGGACATTGCTGCTGAATTAAAAGAGGGGAATCCTTTTGTATTGATGGATACATTGGTTGGATTAAGAGAATGCATCAAATGGCAAGAAAAGGTGAGGTGACAAGGACAGATATGATGGGATGGGAGGAACAAGTGGGATGAAATGGATGGATCAGATGAAAGGGAGAGTTGGGATGGAGTGAAGGAATGGATGGAATAGGCAGAGACGGACAAGCAGGATAGAGGGAATAGATGAGATAGGTTAAGAGGGAAGTATGGAAAGGATGAAGGAAAGAAAGAACAAATGGGACTTGTGGGATAAATAAGACAGATGGGACAAATGAGATGTAATGAAAAGGTTTGAAGGAACACAAGCTACTTTTGAGAATCATCTGCTTGTTCAACCATCTACTCACAGGTATGTCTGTTACCTGATGGACTGTAAGGGGAATTCTTCTGAGCTACTCAAGGGACATCCTTGTTGTACCTGCCTTCCTCCAGAGTGGGAAATTGATGATAGCATGATGTGATGATTTCCAGGTGTATTAGGCAAAAGAACTATGGAGTGTTAAAAGTTATCAGATAACATTACATTCACAATTCATAACTAACATATCATTACAGGTGTAAAAATAAAGGAAAATCTGTCAAGATTGTTGTTCATTACAGAGACAGATTTTTTTAAACAATATAAGCAGAATTCTTCATCAGTCACCAAAAAAAAATTTACAATTTGAAACTATAAATATCTGAAAACAAATTTTGCATTAACATGCACATTAAAACAGAAAGTGATTCTAAAAAGGAATTCCCTTACTCTGCCCAATCTGATTGAACCCCTTCACCCCCAAAATCTCATTAGTAAATCTCCTTATTGTCTGCCATACAATTCTTACCATCTTTGTTCTGAGAATTTGGTATTGGATCAACTCATAATCCCTTTATTGTTATTTTTCTGTAGTCTTGTCATGTGACTGCTTGATGTTATATTGTTATTGTAAGGAGAAATTCTGTCTTGGTCACTCATAGAGGTTAAAGGGTTAAAAGTTTACCTTGGTTTGCATCTGGGGAGTCTGGTCCATCTGAATCTGGTGGGGTCATGGGAAAGTTCTTGCTTCGGTGCTGTCCTCCAAAATTGGGAATGTCAATTGGACTGTTTTTGATATAAAATGTTACAAATTAGAGCAAAATTCACCAGAAAACTTCCACTGATCTAAGCCAGATTTCATTATTTGATGAACTAATTCAAAACAATGGATAGGGCTAGCACTTAATTTTTCTGGAATAACAGTGACCAATTAATTTCAGAAATCCAAGAACCAAGTTTTTTTAGCTTTCACTGGTTATCAAAACTGTTAACTTAATGGTTATCAGTTCAAAAGTTAAGACCTTTAGTTAAATGCTCACAAAATAACTGACCATTTATGTCCTTTCATGAACAAAAAACAATAGCAAAACAATAGCATGAACAATAGCAAAAAGAACTCTATGAGCAAACCTCCCAAATGTTTAAAGAATACTATGCAAATGTAATGTTACCATCATTAGTATGCTGGAAAAAGGATATGCCTTAGAAAAGAGAGAAAACAGCTTATTGATCTATTATTTTTTTTAACTACAAATATATTTTTTGTATAATTGTATTAGAACAAGTACTTACTGTCCAACTGATGTGCCCTGCCCTTCCAGAGGAAGGCCCAAGATTCCTATAAGAAAAAAATAAAATGACTTACTCTACAAATTACTTTTACAGGTGCTGTGATAGGCTGAGGCATAACAATTATTAATAAGAAACCTGGAAAAATCTACATTTGTTTATCATCTTAGTCTCTTCTGTTTTCTTTGACTTCTCTGAAATTGAAAGTGGACTAAGAATCAGATAACTTCAAATAGAAAATTGACATGAAAATATACCATTGCATTGCAGTCCTGGATTCAAAGACAGATTTGCAGTGAAGTCTGCTGAAAATCCAAAATTTAACTGCCCCGTCCCCTCCATGTACCTACAAATACAAATTTAAACATTTAACATTATTTAGAACAAAACCCTGACAGAAAGTGAATCAAAAAATGAACAAATTATTAACTTATGGAAATGGTTTCTTAGAGCTTTCACCCATAGGGTATGACCTGGAATGATTTACACCCATTCCCAACAGCAAAGTTTGGCTTTAGCTGCATACATAGGTTTGACATTAAACCTGTATTATGAATTCAGCACTAAAACTTAGGTGGAAAGAGTATTTGTTTTCTTACCTAAAAATTTTCCACATATAACATTCTATGACCTATGGGCTAATCTTTCAAAAACAGTCCACAGTGCTCTCAGCATCAGTTTTTTGTCAAAGATATGCATACATGTAGTTAATCTGATGCTATGGATTAAATCCACAGAATTAAAAAAAGGAGCATCTGACTGTTACAAAAGGCAATCAAACTTCCAGGATGAACATGATCAATGTACATGTGCTTGAACATTCTTAAATTCATAAGCTTGCTAGCAAATTGCATGTAACTTTTCTGTATGCGTGACTGACAATGTTGGAACAAAGAGTTGCATTTTGAGAATTCTATATGCACATTAGAACCACAGTGTTGTGTTTTGGTAGTGTTTTGGCCGCTTATTTTGCACTGGGTTTTTTTAACTGCTTACCACCATGATTACTGAGCTAAGTCAATAACCAAGTTAACATGATTTTCTAAAGTAGCTAATAACTAATTAGCTAAACCTCAATAATAAGGTATCAAACACAGGAAGGACAGGTCAAGTTTCTCCGAGAGGTATTAATTGGTATGCAGACATCACAAAAATTTTTTCTCTCAGATTTGGTGTTCATTTGTCAAAGTGCTTCCAGGGAGTAAAAAGCTTACTGCTTGTCTTTGGTAGAATGCACACAAATGATGAACTATATCTGGAATGTTCTTTAGAAAGCATAAATAAATAAATATGGTTGTATCAAGCAATACTACTTGTGCAACTTCCAATACCTGAAATTTTACACAACTAAAATTAGAATCAAGAGCATACTCCCCTTCCTGAGATAATATTGGTTGTTCAAGCTTCAAAGTCAAGACATATTTATTAACTGAACCTTGCTGTACCAGGTAGTTATCTACTCGGATGTACCAGTTACCAAAAGGGCCAAACAATATACATTAATATCTGTATTCTGTGTTCTGAATCAATACAATCAACACCACCTTTAACAAGATACTTAAGCCGGTAAAAATTTTCAGGTAAATGAGTGTTGCAAATGCTGGGAGTTTGATCCTCTGAAAATACATTTCACAAACAGTTTACCACAATTGTCAAGTTGATCAGGATAAGCACAAAGGATCTTGAACAATTTCATGATTTCAAGGTATCAAAAACAATAAAATATACAAATATAAAGTCATATATCTCTCTCATAAATTCACTGGGGACACACATTCCTCTTTTGGTTTAAGCTGCAAGTTGCACATTAATTCTTCACCAGTCCAGCATTTGAATAAACACTTCCTATAAACCTCTAGCAACACCCTATTTCAAGATACTTGAAATGAACAGGTTAAAACAAGTTTAGGAAAAATATCTTGATGTAGAAGTAAACATTTGAAGGAAATAGATATGTGAGTATTTTATCAACTAAAATATAATCTGCAACACTATCCTTTGATCTTGTCTTGAAAAAAGGGTACACCTGCCATACTTTAAGACGGCTTTTTTAGATAAATGTGATATTATTATCCTCTGGCTTAACAGTTCAGCAATTCCTGTCAGAGAAACTCTATACTTGAGTGAAAGTCAAACTACATAAACATCCTCCAAAGTAAAAAAGCATCGCAAAGACGTAACATTTATAATATGAGACAATGCAAATATTTTACTTTCACTTGCAAAGAACGTGGATGGCTCTCACAAGTTCGCATCACTCTGCCAATTTTTCTTTTACAGTCTTTGCAATATCGTGCAATATAATCTAATCATTTGAGCTCAAGCTGTCCGATTGCAACTATGCTCAGTCACGTAATGTTCTTTTCTCATGTCATATCAATATTATTATAAAAGAATGCAGCTTTAGAAATCTCATAATCAACAAAAGTAAACAGACTTTGTTTGATATAGATTTCAATGCTTTAGGGGTATGATTATAAACACAAAAACTACGTGGGGCCACAAGGAATTCGGAGGAAAGTCCACGACGCAAAGCGACTTAAACGCAATTCTTCACGGAATGACAAGGAATAAGTAAACAAAACACCACTATATCGCTGTATCTTGTTACATACATCCTGCTAACATATGTGCAAAGGTCTCTCTAAGTTATATCAGCTGTCTTAAGGTATTTTCTGTGTAAACTTCTAAAAACAAAAGTGCCGATTTGAACTCTAAAAGCCAATGCTCAAACGCGTTTAAACGAGAAGTCACGCAAAACGATGAATACAAATAGAAATATTTCAGATTTTTAAAAGTAATCCTTCTTGAAATGCTACCTTTATAAAGGATTTTTCCAAAAGAAGCAAAAATCGCTCAAAACAATGGCCAAAAACAACCAAAGGTTGACATAATCGTGAAAAACAATACCCTTTTGTAAACAAGTGGAGTGCGCGCAATGAAAAAATTGCCAAACTAATCGAAGACTAATGATTAACTCAATTGACTTATTGCTTTAATTATCGAACTCGATATGCCACAGAAAGGCGTAAACAACCAAGAATTATCGAAAAAATAACAAGGAAAGATAATAGTCTGAAACGAAAATTGCAAAGTTCGTAAGAGTGAATCACAAGTTGGTGATTTCCGTGTTGAAGTAACACCGAGAGAGTACGTGTTCAGCAGCGTTTTCTTAAAGTGTTTGTTCAAGCACCAGAATAATTATTCTCCATTAATCATTTTGGTATTTTTAACCTTTTCAATGAGCGACAACTTAATATTTCCTCTTCTTATAAGGTTATTACAGTTTTAAAAGCCTTGTATTCACATAGCGTTAAGACTGAAAACAAACAGCTCCATGTGCGCGCAAAATCGAACGCTCCAGGCACAGTCCAAGAGTAATTAGTTCGCCGCATGGATTGGAAGCAACGAGAAGGTTCAGAAAAACCGCGATCAAAAAGACAAACATAACAGGTATGCGGACGTTCTTCCACTTCGCGAGGAACAACATACTGAAAATAAATTTGCCCGGGCATATAAGCTGGTTAGAACACAATGATAAACCACTTCTGCACCAAGTTCAAACACTGCAGTTAAGTCCACAATAGACTGCATACCAAACAATTCCTTCACTTTTCATTACGAAGGTTGAAATCAAAATACTTTTTTCTAGATCTACAATGTCTGCAAACGGTTCTTTGTATCTATATAAATTTGAGAGAGAGCAGATCAGAAGGTCATCTTAAAACTTCAATTAATGCAGAGTTAGGCCAAACGTATTACACCTAATTAACCTTAAGATTCCATAATAATTTCCTCCTAGATCCACTAATTTCACAACTCTTCCGTAGAAAAAAATACCTATGACGTGAAATTGAAAACTTATTTCTGATCAGACGCGTATAAAATCTATCTCTGGCGGTTTCTGAAGGCAGAGAGCGGGCTTCAATTCAGATTTGGTATTGCAACATGTCTGAGTTACACATACTAACTTTGCCAAAACAGCTTAAGCAGCTTTCAATAAAAACTTAAATGTCAAAGGGTTAGGCATGTCTCAACCCGACAGAGACTTTAAGCGGGATATTAAGTTCCCTTCGAGTTAAACACACCGAGTATCAGGTACTTGCGTAAAACTGTAAATCACGATGTCGCAAAATATTAACACCTTACCCGTCCGCCATGACTTTCTCATCAGAGGACAAACATTCATACAAGTTTGAGAAGAGAAATCCATCGGGATCCAACTCTGCAATCGTAAAAAAAGCAGAACTACGTTCAATAAAATACTTTCCCAGGTTGAAATAATACACCTTGCGGTCCATTAAGTGACAGTATCAACTACAACAACGCTTCGATAAAATTTTCGTCCAACGGACCTAATGTTGATTGCAAGCTTGGATCGTCTGTGTGATTCATAGCTCGCTGAGACTAAGCCGTCAAATCAAGGGCAACCAGCCTCCGCTTCACGCTTGATGAGTCATTTTCAAACCGATAAGTCAACAGAATTAACAACGTGAGCGAAAACTCAAAGGCCGCTTCGAAGTTTGTGTGTCCTGGGACTCACTTGTAATACTACCTAAGGACCGCCGATGGCACGTGACTCGGTAATGTTGTGCACTGTCATCCCTGATCTTTTCTCAAATTACATCTCCAACAAGTGTATTGCACCTCTATTCTGGTTGCGCAATATCGTAAACAGATATAGGCTATCATTCGTTCAAATAAATCGCAAAATATTCTTCCAGAAAACTTCCTAGGTTTTGGTTAAAGGCTGCAACGACGCTGGCGGGTTGAACACGTGGTGCTTCGATCGACCGCCCATTGCGTGCCACAGATGTAGTTTTTCGCGCGCATACACCAAGACTCAAATTTCAGACCAATTTTTCACACTTTATACCCTCAGTAAAACTGCTGATCTAAAAAGGAAGGTGAAACGAAAAAAAGGAGAGAAAATTCATAGCAGCAGTAAAAAACAAAATTCTTTCACTGTACCTGGTGAAAATGTGTTCATTGTTGTTTCGAAGATTTCTTGAACAGTTGTTATGTAAAAAGATCTCTCTTTAGTTGCCCTATCTTTGATTTTATGCTCACAACTATGACCCTATTTATATGATAATCTTAAGTCAAACCCTGATGAGGTCATCCAACTCAAACATGAATTGAAAAACAACAAAAACGATTGAAATAATGGCAACTATCTGAACACGAAAGAAAGGATTAGCTGCAAACTACTAACTGATCCGAAATTGTAACGCATAAATAATTTATGGGGGCAGCATTGACTGAAGGTCTTGACAAATCTATACTTGTGTTTAGGAGAGATAACGGATTAAACAAAGGACAGCGTTTAATGGCAAAAGGGAATGGTGAATATTACCTTCGAGATATCGCGAGAAGACGCCTCTTATATCTTCTGTGCGACCATCGCTTCCATTCATGCTAACGAAATCAAGACTCCGAAGTAACTACGCTTGTAAAAACGTGGTTGGAAAACCATAGAAAATCTGATGAAATGGAAACTTTGCGAGACGCGTCCCATAAGAATTTGTCTCCTATCGTCCCAAAGGGCTCATATCTGTCCTTCGATAAATGCAGATTAGCAACGCGCAACAAATATCTTTGATTCCATTTTGTGTATGTGACCGAAGAGGCAGAGGAGAGGGTGCGTTGATTAGCCAACAATAAAAAAAGTCAGTGATTTGCTGAGGGGGTCGGCGAGACTAACATTTTGTTGGAGAAGAAAACTAACAATCGATTTACATTTCCCCTCTTACAGTATTTGCATTTTATGCATTACTTATTAATAACCACTAGTATACAGGAAGTGTTTTTCTAGTGTTTAGTGGGTATCGAGACTTCCTTTGAGATAGAGTTGGATAAACATTGGTCAATTTCGCGAAAGTTCTTTAAATGTTTGCCTGCCGTATTTCTGTTTTGGCAGACCACTTGACTATCACGTGTACAGTGCCCCATCTTAAGAAGGTCGAGCTTTGTTCTAGGCCGAACCCACGCACCGTATCAAGAGCTAAAAGTTCCTTATTAAGAATAACGAGGACTTTAAAGGAGCTATCAACGTCATAATATTGCGACTTGTTTCGCTATAACATACTAAATTGCCGTCAACGTAAAAATATACTTGAAAACACTAAGGGAGAAAATGGAAAAAGATCAAATTGGGCTTACTCTCTTTACAAGACCTATTTCGTTCACGAGTGACGCAATGAAAGTAAAGCAAAACAGTCCAAGCATTAGAAACAATGATCATGATGGCAACAGAAAAATAGAAAGCTTCTGAGGCTCTTACACCGAAGTATATCCCCAAAGAGAGCAGAATGAAAGCAAGAATCGTAAGGGTGAAGCTAATAATTAAGTCAGCGCTCTTCGGGGATATCACGAAACCCTCCCACGAAAAACTCTTATGACATCCCAGAAAACGGTCGCAAGGAGACTAGAAATGAAGTTATCAATCTTTTGACCCTATTTAATGACTCGCATCAAATTTCTCCTCGCAATGTAGCCACTGAATCACACATTAAGGTTGAGGACAAAGATCACCAGCTTGAGGTTCTTAATGTTAAAAAAAAAAAATTCTCCTTGTCAGCACTTTAAGAAAGGCAAAGAGAATGGTATGAAGATTATGCATAATGATGTTGGCCTGTAAAGGGTCAACAGATGGTATTGTAAATATCGAATTTGAAACGTAATTTTTTCCTAGAGAGATTAGCTGTCAATATATTTTGGGTCGCCAGGACCGCTTAGATCGTCTGACGAGCCATGAGTGAATAAGGGTCTGAAATAGAAACCATAATACTTTAGTACCCAATCATCATTCGACTTGAAACGTTTCATCACAATTTGCCCAAGCTCGCCAAATGAACCCTCGTGAAAATGTAATTAGCTAATATGTTTACGTGGCACTATGGCCGAAATATTAGGATTTGTATGGGAATAAACGGTCGCATTCACAACCGGAAAAACCTTTACTAGTCTAGAATAAAAACAAACTTACCTCGCTTAAGAAGTTGTTCCTTGGTTCCATCTGAATTTTCTGGGCTGAGTGAAGGCTGTTTACCACGGTGTTAGTTCATCTGGTTTAATTTGCATATTTTGCGAGCTTGGGCTACCTGTGGTTTCTCACGTCAACACGAGTTCTTGGAGCAAATTGAAGGGTTTTACGCCAAGATAATTAACCGTGTAAATAACAGGCGCAAAGCGGCGTCTTATTAAAATCGGCACTCATACATTATAAGTTGAATATGACAACAAGAGACGAAAATAGTAACGCTCTTTTAATCTGTATGTACAAGCACTCTATTCAACTGTACAAGATATGTTACTTTCTCGTCAAAAAAAAACTACCACACTTCTATCCAGTGAGAATTGCCCCTTGTTAGATACAACATGCGAGGATTGACATCTCTATCAACCACAAAGTGCACCCGTGACTTTGGATCAGAAAGAGTGATGATTTCTGAAATATTTAGTAAAGCGACTTCGTTTATGAACACCATTGTGATCTCAATTATTTCCTGTTCAACGCGTGGCTCGATTTCCGCCGTTTTCCCGATTACGGTCGGCAATTTTCCCGAGAAGGACTTCGGTAGGGTAAATGCAGACTCATTTCCCGAACAACGGTTAGTAATGGAACACACCTGTTTCATAATACCTTTTCTGGTAATTTTCCTCAGAGATTTATTTTACGAGATCACAAGATGCAATTTATACTCCCTTAGAAAGCAAAGAATAATTTACGTGGTACGAAAATAATGCAATGATTACCATTTTCAGTACTGTATAAATATAAACCTTTGCTTTCTGCACATTCGAGAAGAATTAAACGAAGAATTTGCATTTCTTCATTTGCGGCAACAGGAACACCGCTGAACTAAAAAAAAAACAAAAAAACCGAAGGAACACAACTCGACGCAAGATTTACTCTGTACACATTTAGTTCAACTTAAGACACTCATTTTTTTCAACGGTGTTGTTAAGCGCCACCATAACAAAGACGACAACCAAAAGTGCTTTGACCAAAGTACCATGACATCATCTTACATACGAGTTCACGGCTTGTGATGGGATGTCAGGCCCAGAACTGAGGAACTTTAAAACGTGAATTTTAACCGATGAGAAGACGTTGAGGGACTTTCAGAGAGAAAATGGAAAACCAATTGCATGTACTGCAGTACTACATTGTCATTCAATGCTTCTCATTGTTAACCAATGAGAAGCCGTTCACAGCTCGTTCAACTCTACCAACATGCCATACCTTTGACCTTACTACCACCCCGAAAAATTCGGGAAAACCAATGGTCTGTACTGCCGAAGTCCATTGTTCTTCAGAGCATACCGCTGAGAGAACAAACGTTTAACCCAATTGCAGTTTTTTGCCATTCCGAGGTGTCTTGGTTGCTACTTAATTCTACACAGACAAGTTGGCACCGCTGCTCCATTTACGCATGTTGGAATTATTTTCAGTATTTGTTTTGTTGGTTACGATGAACAACACAATTACACATATCAGTTCCTTGAGTTATTCTTGATGCGCTCGAGTCTTTTCTTGATGTCCAATATGCTATCTGGATCTGCTGTTATCGAATCAGTGGTATCCGTAGACTGTGAAATAACTGAGGGCTGCAAAAAATAATAAATAAATATACATAAAAGAAGAAATAAAGTATTGAATTAATGAGCGAGTGCGTGTGCGAGTGCGAGTGCGAGTGCGTGCGGGAGTGCAAGTGGAACGCGAGCGCGATTTTCTTCCATTCGCGTATCGAGGGCCTAGCGCAGGCTTCATTGAATTTATTAAGATAAAAATTCAATCGCACCATATGACTTACAATGTTTATGTAGGATGGTTTCTTATCAGCTGCACTCAGTGATCGTTCGTCAGTGGACGGTTCTTCGTACTCTGGTACACGCTGGTCTCCTGATTCCGCTTTCTAAATAGTGAAACGCAGTGTAAGAAGTAATGTCAACGAACTGTGCCGAAATCCGTACAATATAAAGAGATGCGTCTACAAACCTTTGATGCAGTGTTCGACTGATTATCCAGGCCAGCTCTCATTCTTAGAACCTTCAGTCTGTCTCTGTAGGCATCGGCATCGTCTTCGGATGAAAAATAGAAATATTCAAACGAATAACAAAATTCAAAAGTGTATACTCGTCTCATGTGAAAAAAAACTATGAATAGATGTGAAATTTCGAATGAGTGTTGCTAAACAACTTGAATGAGAGGAAAAAAACCTAAGATGCACATATATTCAAATGGACCGTTCTATGAAAGTGCAAAAAAAAACCAATAACACCACAACAAATTTAACTTACTTCATTCATCTATTTGTTTGTTTATTTATTTATTCGACGTAGAGACTCAAAACATTTAAAATATCAATCTTAAGACGAGAGCATTCCTTTATCTTCTCCCTAAAATATCCGTACACTATCCAGCAAACAGCTAACGAGAATACTCAGACTTATCAGGAAGAAGTTGTTATCTTGATTTAACGTCTCGTAACTAATTTACAAGGAAATGTGTAGCAGTTAAAGGGTAGAATTGACAATCAGATCGCTAGTTCAAGGGTTAAAGGAAAATATAGAAGTAAATCCGCATTATTTTTTTTTTACCGGTGCTTTCTCCCTCTGTTGAATTTGATGAGCTGAGCGCTGTCGTCGATATTCCAGACGAGGGAGCTGTCCCTGCAAAAAATAAGTGTGAATGAATGGTGCACTCAACTCCGATTATCAGCTCATATTCCGAGTCGCCTTATATGGAAATGCATTGCACTCGCTGTTGCTGAAAAAAGGCTCGAAATATCCAAACGTCCAGGAGTTAATAAAATTTAATGAAACAATTATTCCATTTGCGCTTTTTTGATACCAGATTGGTTATAGCCAACTAATATCCAACACGCTCTTGTGGAATACTAGTTACATATTCTTGTTAAATTACTGTGAAAAGGAATTCTGTAAAGGTCACTACCAAATTGATTGACGTTGGTCCAAAACCAAAAGAATATCAAGTTTACGATCAGAACGAAGTTAAAGAGCGAAGTTAAAGTGTCTGACTGGTTGGTCGAGAGGGGAGCCACGTTTCCTGGATCAATAACAGAGCACGGGGAAGCTGATCCAATGCAATCCCGACGTCCAATTGGAAAATGCTTAAGTCTGTGAGAGAAGGCACCGCAGGAAAACAAGGGAAAGATGAAAAATGAATTTTCCTGGATCAATCACAGAGCGCGGGGAAGCTGATCCAATGCAATCCTGACGTCCAATTGGAAAATGCCTAAGTCTGTGAGAGAAGGCACCGCAGGAAAACAAGGGAAAGATAAAAAATGAATTTTCCTTGGACTTCCGTGAAAGCCCTTCTCTAGGACAAGCCTTGGTTCTTTCGAAACTATTAAAAATTGGGGTTCTCCGCTCAATAAATGTATGATCCGTTGGTTTGCATTGTTCAGATCCACAGATAACAAGTACTCGATAAAAATTTTACGGTACTGTACCTGACACTTTCCTTCCTTTTCTCTCCATCTCGATATTCTTTAGTCCTCTTTCAATGTAACTCTGGAAGAACTCGGAGGTTCGCTTCAAGAATGGATCAATGTCTGCCTCAGGGTATTTTTGTTTGAAGTCATAGAGTTCAGCCAAGCCCTAAAAAGACGGGAAAAAAAGATTTAATTCCATACGCAGAAAGATTCGGGCAGCTCTATGCCGCTCCCTACGATTTTTAAAACTTTGCAAAAAGTGATTTCTTGACGTACTTGGTGTCACTGAATAAAAGCCGACAGAAAACGTCCAGCCTAATATTATGTTCAACTGTAACAGAGCGAATTATCAGAGTTTTAGGCTGTTATGACCAGGAAGCCACCCTACTATTTTGACATTTTTGCTTTGCTTCTCGAAAATGAAAACCAAAGAATGATTCTTTGAGAAGATCCTAACAAGACAATGTACAAATTATCTACTCCTTGACCTACTCACCTCTCTTGTGTTCTCTTTCGAGCCTATTTTGGCGAATATCTCCGCTAATTTGTCATTAATTTTTTCTTTGTTTTGAGCTTTGTTTCCGCCCTGAAGTAAACACCAAAAAAATAAAATTCTTACAACATACACTATAAAAAATCAAAAGAAAACATCAAATTCTTATAACAAGTTTTCATATACCACAATCAATATCTGAGGGAAGACGTTTTTAAAAGCGCCCGTAGCTATCCAAACGATGAAGATTCTTCTTCCATGCTGATTACGAAATCACCAGGAATTCGTGTAGTACTAAGTTATTCAAGTTTCGTAAAAACTGAATATCTTTTTTTATAGGGGGGTGTGGTTATGATAGATGCTCTTCGTATCCCAGGAGAACGATTGCTTTCACTAGCGTAGGGTTGCTGACTCGAACACTCTTTCAGCTCTTCATAATCACAAATATTAAGAATTCTGGCTCTACCATATCAGATTTCATTTGGATGGAAATGAGTCGATTTTTCCATAACGTAAATCCAAACTAGAAAAAAAGTAATAACAACTGTCGAAGCTAGGTCAATCACACCCGCATATCAGAGTAGGGATGAATATCACAAAAGGTCAATCAAGCTCTGTGTTCATACGTTTAACAAGCGCAAGTAAACGCGAGTAGTCACTTACATCGATTCCCATCAGAAGGTCTGGTACCGAGGACTTGTGCGGTGTTGTTGAGTCACTTCCGTTCACGTGATTCTCCGTAGCCTTGCGACCACTACTCTTCAGGATCTTCTTTAGATAAGCGGCGACCTCGCTACTCTCTGGATCATCTATCAAACCGAGGCAGTCCAAAATCTACAACGCAGAAGCAAAAAAATACGGTTGATGCAAAGGCTACTGCAACAGGAAAGAAGATGTTAAATTGTACCTACAAACCTCTTGTTTCTTCAGTTTGCCTAGTGTGTACAATATTGTCTTGATCGTTCTGAGCGGTGTATCGTCCGCGCGATTTTTCCACATCTGATCGGGGTGTGTCAGTAAGAACGTGTGTATGTCCAGGAGAATCTGATCCACTTTTACTTCTGATATGGTTTTCGGTAAATTACGAACAACCTTCCAAAGGCACTGAAACGATAATACAAACATTGTTCCACACTGACCACAAATGTTTTTAAAGACATCCCTTTTAATCGACGATTTAAAATAGATTTGTCTCGCTTCTGACAAATGTTTTAGCATGACGGTCAATCTATGATCGACCTGAACTTGTGCAATATTTCTTACTTTCTCTCTACATACGACGCATTTAATTCCACATAGCTGATCCTAGCAGTTTGCAGGACGTTTTTCAGAGCTCACCCACGAATTTTCTGTGGCTCGGTTTGTAAAGCATCCAACGAAATCAAATACTGTGAAATCAGAACGGGCTGCGGTTCGAACGCTTACGGGGAAATCCAATTTTACTTTTTCCCACAACTGAGACAAACACTGAATGCCTTTCTTCAAACTCAATTCTTGATCACACTCAGTATAACAAAAATCAAAACACACAAACGATTAAACAAGATCTGAAGATCAACCCTTGCATCCAATAATAGCAAGCTTTTCGTATTGATACAAAATCTACCCGTTGTGACTCCGTGTGAAACCAAAACAAAGGCACTAGTTATTCAAAGGGTGGATAACGCTATGCACTAGATAAATCGCTATCCTGTGGATAGCGCACTACTTCTTTTAACTGATATCCGCTGCGTATTGATTTATCCGTTGGATAGCGTTATCCCCCTTTGAACAACTGGGCCCAGAAAGAAAATAAAAGTTGTTGGTCTGATTTGTAAGAAATCAATTTAAAACTCCAAAACTTTACCGTGCTAAAGATTTTGCAAGCAGAGTACTAGTTGTTATTTTTAACAAATCTCTTTTAAAATGGCCCCTAGAAGACCTAGCAAACCCACCTACCTTCATTACGAGCTCAAGAAACTTTGGTGAACTGAGCGAGTTACCGGCGCTTTCTTGAAGTAACTTGAGACAGTCTTGCAGAAGTTTGATTAATGACCTGAAATACAAAGTCACCAATAAAGGAAGAGGTACTTCCGTTGTATTTGCATATCCTTGATCCGCACAGTTATCACGCGTGAGGAGCGCGCACAGTTATCACGCGTGAGAAGCGCACACATCAACCTCTATTAATTGCACCAAGTTTGAGAAGACTGGGTGGTACATGCATATCCTTGAATTACCCTGGGCCTGAATACTCTCTGCTATCCTGCAGTACAAGCTGTGAATTGATGCACCTTCTTCATCTAGTCACATCTTAGTCAGACGCTAGTTTTATTGACTGCTTTAGGTTTTCTCTTATAAGATTGGCAACAAGATGGTTAAGTGCCATAACACAGCAACACAGAAGAAAAAATTGAACCTTTTCTAAAGTTGATCCCTTACCCTAACACGAAAGTCTGATCCGACATTTCAATGACTTTCACCATCAGCACGTTAATTGCTCTCAGTATCTGCGGCCCGTCTTCCAGAGCAGCCAAGCGATCGTCTGACAGGACAGTAATCAACACCTGCATCAGCTGCTTCAAAGAGCTCCGCGAAACGGCACGAGCCAGCGCAGGGCTGGAGAACACTCCAAGCATGGTGTCTGTTAGGCAGTTGATGAGTCTAAGTACTGTGGCTTCGGGCTGCTGGTTCGATTCAATGTTGGGGATGTGTGTGGTTAGGATCATATTAAGCTGGAGGGATGCAGCATTCAGAAACTGAAACAATAAGATACACATTGTCATAATTTGTTTCAGTCCAGAAAATAAAAGCGGAGTAAGCCCAGCGCAGTTAGCAATTTCATTGTATTAAAAAAACCAACTTCATGGAAAGCAAGCTTACGCTTTGCACAACTTAATCGAAGCAGTTTGTCTATGCAATTTGCCTTCCAGCACGGTCTTGTACCCTGAGATCGCTAACTGCACAGGGCTCATTGTGGCTTATTTGTTGTCAGTTACACCTTTTTCACATTTGGAATGTTTTGGCACGTTCGCGACCTTCCCGAGACAGACTTTCAATTGCATGAATCCACGCATTTCTCCTCTAGAGGCGTACATTTAGCAAAACATTGTCACGGACAACTTTAAGCAAAATTTGCGGGAGAAGAATTTCCACTCAAAAGACCTTTAAAAATTTTCTTTCGAAGAGTCCTCTTTCAGTCATCTACACCAACAAACTTCATCCTTGACGAATTTTTTCATATGCAAAGTCTTTTTGTTCAAGACCTGACACGTCAGGACTAGTCAAGGAAAAAAGTCACACTCTCCATCTAAGCCCTCTAACTCCTATGAGTGACCAAGACAGAATTTCCCCCTACAATATCAATACAATACCACGTAGACAAGTAATGAGAATACAGACAAATATCAATTTGGGGATAATTAGTTGATTCACTACTAAATTCTCTGAACTAACATTCTAAGAATTGTATGGTTGACAGTAAGAAGAATTACAAATTTGATCTGGGAGTTGAAGGGTTAAGTGTCAAGAAAACGTCGACGACGGAAAACAAGTGTGACGTATACGCAAAGTGCACAAGTAAAGAAAACTATTCTAACCTGATCGATGTGTTTGCTGACTTCCTTGTGGTTCTTGTTTCTGATCACTTTTTCGAACTGCACTAAGGCCTGGGTACTAGCTGTGACGTCACCGCTGGCGATTTGTGATATGACGTAGTTGAAGGCAGCGGTAGGATTGGTTCGGCTGAATACACCCATGTGAGGAGAAGTGGGATTTCTGAGAAATAAAAAAGAAACGTATTAGGCAAGAGATGATTTTGAATTCTACGTCTATACGATAAATGGATTTTTCTTTTGTAGAATACCACTCGCTGAACGGTGGGGAAAACTTTCTTGAATTTACTCTGTGAATTGCTAGTTGTCTCATAATTGACAAATCTGAGTCACTGTTGCTTTCTGCCTTCATCTCGGTTATCACACTTTAAAACGCACCACAAAACAAGCGAAATGCAGAAAGGAGCTTGTAAGGCGATGAGGCATATTTTGGTAACCAAATTCTTGGATATATCACCAAATTCTCAAAGTAGAACTACACAAACGAACAGAAAAAGTAATGAGAAAATGCAAGTTGACCGCAGACAAGAAACTCACTTGGTGTATGGTTTTTTGACAGGCGCACTGATAAGATCATCCAAAGCGTCATTTGCCTCCAGGGTAGGGACAGTCACATCATGGTGCACATCATCCCCTTCAATACCATCGATGTCTAAACTGAATTCACGACGAACGTTTTCCTGCCTTTGTGCGGGGGCTGTCGCAGGCCTACAGACAAGGAAATTTCACCAATTTACCAATTTTTACCAAAAGCTTTTAAACAAGAGGTAAGGGAAACCGGTCAGGTTCTTGTCAGTCCACTGATAATTACATGGGGAGGTCCCGAGTTTCAGTTTTGGCCAACGCCATAAAAATGTTCAGTGTTTTTGATCAAAATGTTTCACTCCCATAATTATTTCACCCACCTACGGGTATGAATGAGACCGGCGAATTCTCTGGGAAACCTAGATAAGGGCCTGGGCGGAGGTAACCTAAAGTGGACTAGCAATACAACTAAGAATACTAATCTGAGTCGCTCCATACCACATCAACCGGGTTAACTCTGTAAGTCATGCGCAACACACCCACCTGGCAAGCTGTGGTTTTCCTGGCCTTTTATCTTCTTTTTTCTTGGCGGCATTAGCGGAAGAGTCGCTCCCTCCCCGCGCACTAACGTTACTTTTCGCCGTGTTTTCACTTGGAGCCGTACTAGGCCGATTTTTTGATGACCGTTTTATTCGCTCCTCTAGGTACGCCAGGTCCTTGTCTGAGAGCTGTGGAAAAGAATAATTCTAATTTACCTAAAACTACGTTTTAAGCAACCGATTGAGAAAAGGTTGCAACGGTGTGTGTGTGTAGTTTTTTTTTTCTTTGCACAGTGAATTCTCATCAACGATCACTAACAAGCGAGGACATCCCATTCCGGCACTCCCGGTCAGTAAATAAGTGCCTTATCGAATAGTGTTGACTCCTTGCCCTTGATTTACTTCCTGAAGACTTCTGAAAAGAAGAACCTTCTTGGAAAATATACATGGAAAGTTGCTAACTTTGTTACGCTGAACAAAGGGATCTTCAAATTCGGTCACCGAATTTTTAGCTGTAAAATTAGACACTTAATGAAGCTCTCACGCATCTGATTTGCATTAGAAAACTTAACCCTTCACTTAAATGTTAATCGTACTTCAGTTAATTGTGTTTAATATGTCCAGCACTATCATGCCACAATTTATCAACGAATTTTTGACAGAAACTCTCAAATAAACATCGTTAACCCAAGTGGTACAGCTAGCATCCAACTAAAATATAGCGTCTCAATTGACGAAAATTCCAAACCTCACACCTGTGAGCAATATTTGTAACAGGTCTTTTCTCCTACAAGAAAGTAAGCTTCCACCACAGCATTCAAAGCCGCGTTTCTAACTCCATTATCCCTGTCGCCTATCTGTGCAGCAATGGCAGCCAACGCCTTGGGAGGGGTTGGTTGACACACATTCATACCATAAACTTGGATGAGAGAACCCAGCTCTTCTAAACACTCTATAATAGAAAAACAGACGAAATTTTTCTTGAGGATAGACGAATGAATGTTGAGAATTAATAACCTGCAAAAGCAAGTCGCAGCGTCGAGGCATTTCTGGGGAAATAATGAGAGTTGGCTTGCATTATCTCAGTTATGAGTTGTAAAATGACTCACTCACGGTGCATACTTCATTTCTTTCGCAAACCCGGGCTAGATTGTATTCTCTTCCCTCTCAGCAAATTACATGTCGTAGGCCAACATTTTTCAAATTTGGTCTATACTACGGTAAGTTATCATGTTCCTCAAGGTTTACGACTAAAACACTGAGTAAGCGAGTAAGTTTTGAACAGACTTCCCTGGAATATTGTGAGAGATTGCGGTTACATCAAATTCAAATAGAGCAATTTTCAACTGAGAATCGACAATAATCTAGGATTGCACTGACTTTCTATTAAACACTCTTTGGATCGCACTGACTTTCTATTAAACACTCTTTGGTTTTCCTTGAGAACTCATCTCTCCGTACAAACCAAAGCCAAATACAACTCTAAAGCGACTTGTTCACGAGCGTTTCCCATTCGCCTTATCACCGACTCCCTGGTGGCCGCTGATTTAACAAGATTCAACTGAACATCACTTTACTAACAAACATGATATCATACCCATCCTGGTTTTGGAATTCTTGGACGGGAGGCCTTCCATAACATAGTTGAACAGCTTGCTGGCAGGGTAGATCTTTGTCAGCAGTTTGAACAGATTACGAATCATCTTTCTTATGGCATCTTTTGGATCCCCAACCTTTTGATAGAAATAATCATTTTCCGTCGTTATTCACTGGTTACTGTTCCTCGAAATTATAAATTCTTCAAACTTTTTGAAGCTTTTAGAGAGCGTATAATTTCAAGAGAAAAAAGGAAAGAAAAGGGTTGGGACTAAAAATGGTGCTTTCCTTGATGTCGCCGGAAGGAGCTTACCGCAGCGAAACGAACTCGAAATTTTGCAGTTAGATGCATTCAAGATCACTATTATTTAAATCAGCCACATTTTTATAAACTGAGTTGATAATGTTAAATGGCCACCGTAAGGGGTTTTTCAAAGCTTCAAAGCTGACGTTTCGAGCAATAGTCTTTCGTCAGAGCAAATGGCTGATGCTCGCAACGTCAGCCTTGAAACTCCTTACAGTGGCCGATTTACGTTATCAGCTCAGTTGAAAATACTAAATTATCCTGTTATACTCTCCCACAGACGCAGCACCACAGTTTCTTCAGAAACATACCCCCTTTACACACTTTTATTCTATCGATTTACCTTTTGCACAAGGTAAGGAATAAAGCTAGAGGCTTCAAACTCCAACATTTGATAATCAGCCTGTGCTAACATGACAAAGACAGCGTCCATAAGTTCCAGGCATTTGATGAGTACGGTGGTGTTGGTGTCAAAGAATCGTAAAGTGACCCACTTAAGGATCAGGTCTAACGACTGAACCACTTCCACCTGATATGGCGCATCTGACGGAGGCACAACACACTGAAAAGAGAAGAAAGCTAACAGTTGAGATAGAATGCAAAACAGGCGTGCGGGGACGAGCGCAAAAAGGGGGTCACGTGTGATAATTTTTTCCCCGCTCGTCTAGCGCGTCACTTGCCCTTTACGCTTGCGTTCGACAGAAAACCGCAGAAATGCTAAGTTATTTAGGAATGTTATGCAGGCTCTATTTTACAAGCTAAAACAATCCCAAAGATTTCCACGCCCGCTCCTTGATTCCTTCTTTCCTGTGAGATGGTAGGGCTCTTCCACCCACACTTGAGCACTATTAAACAGACTCAGAGCGATACCTCTTTCCCAGCGTAAACGATCACACAAATAACGTGGTACATTCACAGTAGTCCATTCAATCCTGGCAAATTTTGTACGATAATTGTTGTACCTGTTGCATGGTGTTTATTCCAATCAGATGATATTTGAAATCAGCGTGAAACAGATTCGAGTGCAACGTCTTTCCAAGACACGGCCTCATTTGTTCTTTGAGTTGCTCAACAAACTCAGCTCTGGGCGCGGTGAAATTCCACTTTAAAACCTAACAACAGACGAAAACAAACAGTTTTACCCGAGAAATGGAAAACATAACCTTGATGATAACTGACAACAGGAGGACTCAGCTTTAAATGTACACTTCCAAGTTCGTACCTTGAGATCTTTTTCGTCTTTGAAACGGCCATCTTTGCCATTATACCGTAAGAAAGGAGGGCCATCGCTTTCTACATCCGCTGAGGACTTCTTAGACGACTTACGGAACAATAAATAAATTATTAGGATGCATGGTATATTTTCGAGCTCATTGCAACTGATTTTCGTATAACCAAAACCTGTCTCAAATTCTAGTTCAAAATGAATGATTCGAATTCAGCAAAGGATAATAAAATAACACCTTATCGTAAGAAATATTTTCCTCACCTTCGACTCAGCTTGCTTCGCTGTAGACTTGGTTTTCTTGTTAGCATTGCCGCCAGAGGAGGAAGCTGATGCGCCTGAGGCCCCACCACTCCCTCCAGATGTGGCTGATGAATCTGCCTGAGCCTTGGTTGCAGCAGGTTTAGCAGTGGTAGCGGCTGCAGGAGCTTTGTTGGGAGCTTTGGAGGGTTCGGGGAGGGAGGCTCGTGCTTTCTCCAGTATCGTCACCACATTAGATTTAGAGGCAGGCTAAAAATCAAGGCCCAAAATTAGTCATTCGTGCAAATAAAACACTTTGTTAGAAGCATTCGTACTTTCTGTACAGATACCGACCGAGATAGGAAATGCCTCTGGAAACCTACTCCCTATCTAATCAGTGAAAGTGGTGCACTGACTAGGTTTTATCACATTTAGCGTTGTAAAAAATGAAAAAAATGAGAATAATAACAAAAAAAAAATCAAACTCGTATACTAGTACATCAACTAATCTGGCGAAAAGAGGTTTTTTTCAGTTCGTGGCAAATACAATGAGCAATTTCGCTGACAAGAGCTCTTGGAAATTTTAGGCTTGCCGTTTAAAATCTGTGCTAATCCTCACCTCTCCCTCCCCCCCCCTCCACTGCTTGTACTTCCTCTTTTTCTTTTCTCTTCCCTCTACTGCATCCCCCCTTCCCCTGACAAATTCGCTGAAGATGCAAGCTGAACAATTTTGAATTCTCTCGGAAAGAACAAAAATCGAATTCTACCTTCAGTTTATTGGCCTGTTTGCTCATACTGTCCCATCCGACATGTTGCATCATGACAGGCACAACAGCCTGGGCTTTCTTCCTCACATCGCCACTGCGATCTTCTAAACAGGAATACAAAGGAGCCACTATGGCGACTAAGGTAGAGGGAAGGTTCTTCTCCGCTGGTAATTTTTCCTCTAGCCACCCCAATACCTGGAATAAGTAAACACAAAGCTGTTAATAACTTTGAAATTGAAAGACGAACAAGAAATGGTAGGCAAACAAGTTGTCGTGGACACCATAATTATTGTTTAGTCCGATTGCTCCACTGAGAACTATACAGATAAAATTATGCAGGTGATTCCTTTCAAAACTGGAAATTGGCTCGGGTACAAATTTCTTCGATTACATTTCATAAGATTTAAAATCATTGCTTCAAAGATGCTACCTCTGTTCTTAAATTAGGGTTTTCGGTACTGAGAGCTCCAAAGATGACTTCGCCCTCAATGAAAGGCGTCAACCCTATTTCTTTGTGCCAAGCATTTAAGGCAGTGATCCCAGTGGCTCTGACTGTGTTCTAAAAGAAAAGGGAGAATAGTCAAGAGAACGTTTCAAATTAATAAAGTTCACTGCATCAAGTCCACGGGTTTCGCCTTCAGGCAAAGCCTTCCCGGCATTACACCATCGGCAGAGGCCGATAGAAAAAGTTATTGAAGTACGTACTTGAAGAAGCCCTAACGCAAAACTAATCAGGTAAAGAGCTTTTAAGCTTGTAACATGCTTCAAGTAAAACAATTGTGTTGTTATAGTAATTCCCACACTTGGCAGTCTTAATAAAATAGTCAACACGTCCAAACACCGTCGAAAAAAAAAAAAAAAAAAAAAAAAACGAGTACCGTACCTTAGCATCTGCTAACGTGCTGAATATTCCAGCACCCAAGACTTTTAAGTGCCTGTTTATTTGTGCTCCCATAGCAGTCGCCAATGTCGTGCAAATGTTAAGAGTGATGGTAACCTGGTAAATAGGAAGAAACAAACATGTCGTCAGAGCCCTTTGCCTAAATAAGTTCATAATTGGTCGAGAAAAACTCGTGCCTCCCTTTCAACCAATCAGATGCGAAGTTTAAACCAATCGCTGGACTGTCACTCGCGTTTTCCCGCGCTTCACGTTGCTTACATCTATTCACTTTTAATTCTCATTATTCCTTGTGAAAGTTTCATTCGTTATGATTTTCAACCATCAAACTGCTGTAAGTAATTTAGTTTTGGTTTAGGATTTAAAACTCGTGGTCGAAAAGCGTTCTATTAGTGATCGAGAAACAGGCATTCGGTAGAAATGCTCATCATCTTCAGCAGATAATACAGTCTTGGTATAGAACAATTAACAACTACAGCCGAACTACGGCGGTCCACAAACTTACCAGATTCTTATTAGAGTCACCAAGTCGAGCCTTGAGTGCAGGTGGTAGTTCTCCTAGCTCTGGAGTGATGAACTTTGCAGCAGACAATATGTCTATGACCTGGTGCAAAGGACAGTAAACTCAGGCATTAATGATTTGCATTGCAAATATTTCTAGTAAACAAGGTATCTCATTCTTGTACGTAAGCCACACGGTTGAGTTACCTTTTGAAGTGCCTCTCCTCTAACTTTCCAATTCTTGTCGCCAAGTTCCGTGATCAGAGCTGGTGTGATCTGAGCACTGAAACGAACACAGTAATTCTTTATTTCAGAAAAGCTTTTAACATAACAATTATCATTTTCTAAGCATTACCAGGAAAAAAGTTGCAAATCAGTTTGGTTTCTTTAAGTGGTAAGAATAAAAAATGCCATGCCATGTCATTTCCAACCTTCTACCATAACCATATAACAGCAACTATGTTCATTTTGTCGTAATAAAAACACCGATAGACATATTGTCGAGGATTTCGCATGAAAAACTTTCAAATTTCAGGGTGGATATTCGCTGATGCACAAACAGTGGCGTCATTGTAGCTTACCTTATATCATTCCTTGGAACAAGGTCGGCCAAGTTGACAGTTGGTGCAGCATTACCCTCTCCTCCCCCTCCTCCGCCATCTTCTGTGTCCCCCCCTCCCTCCTCAGTGTCACCTGCATTGGGAGACAAGCCTAGTGTAGGGGCTGGCGGTTTCTCGTCCTTCACCTAAAAGGCATCAATGGATCAACTTTCTTAATAAACGTCCTGTTGCCAAAAAAGAAAGGTCCAAAATTATGAATTGAGATGAAAACGAAGGTAATTCCTGCTACTGTAAAGTTTAATTTAACCGAGAGCTGTTTTAGCCGAAAAAAAGTTCATTTCAGGTTAAAAAAATATAGACATTTGTAACGCTGAGGGTATTTGTACTCCCATCCAAATCCAAACCACCATTTCCTCGATTGCAGAAGTTCCACTGAACTGTTTCCTTTTGAAACATTTTCCTTTTTTTCATTTTGGCCACCAATTTGGAGAAAAGTCTATTGGAAATAAGAAAGAGTAGAAAATGAAAAGACAAAGAAATAAAATTACCCTTTCAAATTCAGCATCAATTTGTTGCAAAAGAGCAGGCTTTTCTTCTTCGAAGAACACTCTAAGTGTTGCTCCTACGTACATATGTAATGTTCCAAGCAGTGAGATAGCAGCTGTACGAACAGCCTGGAAAAGAAAGGTTTGGTTATCACCGGTGCAAATGTTTTACTGGTCTGCATTCATAAACGTTTGCAAGTTAAGCAAAAGCATGAAGTTCTAGCTAGATTAGGTGAATTTTTCTCATACACCTACAAGTTCATTGTCAAACTGCTGGAAACTATTGAAAACACTGACTTGCCCTTACTAACTAACTACCTGAATGACTGACGGACAGCCTTACTAACAGTCTGTCGGTCAAACTGACTGACTCATTCACTCACCACCTCACTGACTGACAGATCAACAAAACTGACAGATCAACAAAACTGACAGATCAACAAAACAACCAACCAACTGTCTCTAATAACAATATCAAAAGAGCTTGACTTTACTTACAGGATTGGTATTAGCCAATGCTTCCTTGACATAGGCAATATGAGGCTTGAGGTCAATTCTTTGAAAATAAGAATAAAATATTTTTAAGACATATTGAAATTCAAATTTTGCAAATAAAAAATGTTAGTACCAACACTGCATGACCCTCTCATTTTTTTGTCCAAGGCCTGAGTCCACCAGGCTCTGACTAAACAATTAGGCACTTTTAGTTTGATAGAAAAAAAAAACGTTTTCCAAATTTGGCAAGAACATGCACGAGTTGTCAGTCAAGGTGACTACTATTTTTATGAATAGGTTCCGATTCATAAATTGACTCTTAAAAAATTATCCAGCTAATTCTGTGTCACTTACTTGAACCCAAATCCTTTTACTGCATCTGAGAGCCAGTTAAGAGACTCTGCTAGAACTTTAGGATTCTTCTGAGAGCCAGCATGCTTGGAGACCTGTTATCAAAACATGAGTACAATACGGGTGATTAAGTAATGACTGGCTGCACATTGTAACTGGAGTACATTGTATAAAAAAGAAACTCGGAGATAGCAAGGGGAGATAAAAGTGTAGTGATTGAATGTATCAATGGTGATAATGCCTTTTCTGAGTGACCTTGTAATCTCAAAACTATGAGGTCTCTATGATTTCAGACTTTTCTGTTAAGTAAAGTCGAGGTAATACAATTCTTTTGACAAAAGAAGTTATGACAACAACAGGTCTATCCTCTGAGATTTATGAAAATTTCAAATTGAATAATCAAGAGAAAGCGTCCAAAAATTTGCTTAAGGAAATATGGTTTGAAATCACCAAGAATGAAAGAATGTATGAGTTGTGACTCACCTTCAAACTGATGTAGTTTAGAGATATCACTTCAGCAAATGTAGTGAGGGTTTCTTTGCTTGCCTCTTTCAACTAATGAAATGAACACATTTGAAGAACTGTGAGTAAATAAAATGACAACATCAAAAGACAGGACAAAAGAATTAAAATTTACCTTAATATAGGACAACTAAAAGTACCTTTATATCTCCAATCTTGTCAACGAGCCCATCAAGAGCATAGAAAGCACTGCGCTTAGAGAATGACTTGATGTTCTGCGCTACGTACTGACACAGAGAAAACTTAGCTTTCAGCACCTGTGAATTCACAAATACTAATGAGTGTCTATTGCTGCTGAGAGTTACTAGCATCTAATTTTTCTTTAAAGTATCACCCTTGGATTAAACCTAAAAGTTAATAGAATAAAGGAAATTATCACCAACTAAATAAACTCGTGATTGTTGAACAAATTCTCCTTATAAGCATCTTAGGAAATGCATAGGAACAGCATTGAGAATATGCATATTGATGTTGGGTGTAATGGGTTAATGCACTCTGAATAATTCATTTCATGCCCTCTAAGTGTCATGACAGTCAGCTTTAATATCACAATTAACTTTGTACCTGGAAGTTTGTATCTTTCCAGCCAGGTTTTTTGGCAAGAACTCTGATCAGGACTTGAGATGAAGTTGTTTTGGGATCCATACCTTTGATAAGCTACAATAACAAGACAACAAAAATACTATCTAAAACATCAAAATATGTACTAAATGAAACTCATTTAATTGGGTTCTGATCATAGAGAGTTGTAAATGAAGTTGTTAACAGATTACCTTCAGTACTGCAACTGACTGAAAACATTAAAACATACTTGCTTAGATCAACTCAACCAGCTGAACCATCATTCTTTAAAAGCCAAAGGCAGTCAGGACAAAAAATACTTTAAAACAAGATTGGTGAAATTACTGAACACTCCTTGCAAATTTTCCATCAAGACAATACAGACCTTTTTGCCTAGTGGGTAAATGTGCTATTTCCTACAGTGAGTGCAAAACACAAATAAAAAATCATACCTCAGTTAACGCTTCAATACCAGCAAGTCTTTCCTTCCAGTTAGCATGCACAAGTTGATTCAACACAGCTTCAGAGATCAACTCTGCTGCTTTGGCATCTACTTCTTCTGGCTGTATGAAAACATTTTAAAGTGATAATTAATGTAGAACATATTAATTTTGGAATTATTAGCAAAGAAATAGCTTCACCTATCTTCAGTTATTCAAGATAATATCCACATGCATGTCTTACCGACATCTCTTGTTCAGTTGGTTCTGCACTGTCATTTGCAGCTGTAGATCCCTTATTTTTTCCCCCTTTTACCGCCTTTCCTCCGGCAGATGAGGCTGTAGATGTTGATGGCTTCTTCTTTGAAGGCTAAAAAACAGTCGTATTGAGCGATTAGAAGGGTAAAATAGACACCACTACTTTAAAGAAGGTCCTTCAATGGGAGACTATTGCTCAATCCATTTAGTGCCAACAGACACAAAAGGCCAAAGTGGATGGAAAAAAATTGTAGAGAAGATACAGAAAGGAAACAAAACAAAACTAAACAAAAACTAAACTGAAATGGAAAAATCTTCAATTTTGTTAGGGTTTATCCTCGTTGCAGGCATCTGTGTCATCTCTGCAGTGAACCAAGGAAATAAAAAGAGGCATTGTACCAGAGAACCTCACTGATTTTAACTTTCAAGAAAAACAGTGAACAGTTTAAGATGACCCAGGGTTAGGTAAGCTTGTGGTAAATCAATCTACAATTGTTCTTCAAGAGAAATTCCTCGTAGTTCATGTTAAAAAAAGTTTGAATAAGCTAAGTTTGAGTTATCAAGGTTCTTCTACACAGTATATTAATTACTCAATGATCTACAAAATTAAACAATACTCACTCCAGAACTGGTCGATGAAGGTTTTGCTGAATCAGCTGCTTTGCCTCCAGGCTTGGATGGCTTTGATGCTGGTTTCTTGGCTGGTGCTGCCTCTTTTTTTGCACCATCTGTGCTGGTTGTTCCTGCAGATGCGGGTTTGCTTGCTGCACTCATAGGAACTGCACTAACTTCAGCCTTTTCAGCACATTCTTTTACCTTTAAAGACAACACTGGATGTTAAACACTATGAAAAGGACTTGCACTATGCAAAAGTGAAAAGATGCATTTACAGATTGAAGCTTCAGTCTTCTTACAAGCCACTTTACTCCCACAAGGCCAAGTGTAAAAATGGGTACCAGCAAATTTATCAGGGAAGTTACATGAAGGCGTTACTTTGTGTTGGCCTGGCATTCCAGCCAGGGAGGAGTATCAATACTCCTTGTAACTTCACACTATGGAAATCAGATTAACTGAATAAAAACAAACAGATTACCTTATCCATTTTGATTTTATCAAGCTGCTCAATGTATGGATTTAAAGGCCTTTCCCCCATAACCTTCAGTAATGTACCAAGAGCTTCAGCAGTGGCATCTCTTACTGGAGCAACAGTATCATCCATCCTCTATAACATAAAAAATAATTATGCGAGTGACCTACCATTGAACTCATGCCAGTAACAGCAGCAACAAAATTCTTATGTAATTTGATTCAAAATACTTAACTCAGTTGCAGTTAGAACAATATTCACAACAATTTGCAAAAGCTGATTGTTCCCGGAGTTGTCCCTACTATGTGTCACACAACAAAGCAACTTGTCATCAGAAGTGTCAGCCTTGAAAAGACAAGTTTGTACCTTAAGGAGACTGCTGCAAACAGGCTTCAAGAAAGTCTTTGGCATTGCAGCTGGTGTGCTCTTGCTAAAGCTTCGGACCAGAAATCGAACAGTTTCTTCTTTCACAGAAGGGTTCTTATTTTCTAAAGTGGCTAGAATGTCTTCTTGCATTGCAGAAAAAGTAGTCTGATGAAGATGGAAAAAAAAGCTAAGTTACTTCAAAGAGGTTGGGTGTCAGTACTTTAACATCAAGCAGATAAATTTGCTGGAAAATTAACTTGACATCCTTTACACTTACTCAGTTAAACCTTGCACAGTGCCTCAATTTTTCATTTGTTCTTAAGCAGTACAGCATTTACTACTCAAGGTTTTCATTACAACATGTAACAGACCTATGATCTGAACTGTGGACAGTTGAATTAAATTATGTTTGTATTGCAAGCTTGCTGTATTACTGCTTAGCAGCATGCCCTTCTAGGGGGTTTGGAGGCATGCTTCCTTAGAGAAAATTGAAATTTGAAACTATGTGAGATGTGATTTCCAGCATTCTTTGAGTAACTTTGTTTAGCCAAACACTGATGTTAGAATCAATTGAAAAATACTTAGTTTGTCTTTGATCAAAATTCACTAAGTAACCAGCATAGAATGGTCTGACAGCCAGTGGGTTTTATTTGCCTGCTGGCTTCTAAAGACAACCCAGCTTGCTGCAGGTAAATCAGTGTCAGTCCTCAATCCCAAGTTCTTGATCGCAATATAACAAATGTCCATGTGTAACTAATTATAACATTCATGTTAAGCAAAAAATGAACTTCATTCATCTTACAGTAAGGAAAACAGCATCAATAGCTTCTCTCAAAGCAGCCACAACATTTGCTTTCTTTTCTTTGAATTTTTCCAAGATAGGGGTAGTTATCATGGATGAATATTGGCTAAATTTCTTGCGCAGCCCTGTTGCTAACAGACCAATGCATTTGGCAGCCAGGATTACAACTATAACATTGGCATCTTTAGAAATAATCTGTGAAAGAAATAACAAAATTCTTGAAACTAGCGAGAACATATCAGTTCTTAATAGTTTATGACAAATGTGATTCCCAAAGAATTAAATTCTTAGTTTCCTAGGCCTTCTTCTTCTTTTTTAACACTAATATCAAATGTGTTAGCCCTTAACTTCAAAATCAGTATTTTTGCTTACCCCACAGTCCTGAATTTTCAGTATTCAGTCAAGAAAACATGGCTCATTTCTTATTACCTGCTTACTTAACCTTTTAAAAGTTGTAAATCAAATCAAATTTACTACATGATCACCAATGGCAGTTAAAGCATACAAGAGGCAGTTAAGAGTATACTTAAAACCGGCCAAGGAAACAGAAATAAAGTTTCCCTAGAGTTTCTTTAGACCTTTAAATCTTGTTTTTGTCCTTGCCAAACATAAACTCTTGGGTATTGGAGAATACACCAGTCCTTGGTACAAGCTTACCTTCTTCAAGGATCCTAACAATTCTCCATATTGTCCTCCTTCCAGTTTAGGATTTGACGCAAGTTTTTCAAGGGCCTCCAATGCTTCCTTCCTTGACTGCCATTTCTTGTTCTCCTATGTATTTCATTTGTATTAATCAAAGTTTATCATTATCTTGTTTATCTTATGTTCAACAAACATCATAAATACACCTTAAAGAGTTTAATTCTTGAACTCTGCCATCCTTTATATCAATTCAGGTCCAGGAATTTCATGTTTTCTCATGATTAGATCCCAAACCTTGCTTATCTATATTTGACTGAAGTTTTCAGTGATGCTCATACAACAATTTCTGAAGAAGTTAGCTTACTCAAGGGAGGCAGTAAAACTTAAACATCATTTGACAATGCAGTAATAATTTATTCTCTTTTATATTTTTTTTATGGTACTTTGATGTTAATAGTCATCAGAATCATGAATACAAACCAAATTTTCATAAAAATCTTTGGGGAGTTTGGAAAGAATCTCAACAGCTTCAATGAGGTCATATGGATCGATTGCTTCCTGTTCTGGAACAGCCACTCCTGCAAAAGACAAAAGGACAAAAAAAAATACTGTTGCAAATCTACATGACTATACTAAAGCCCGGAAAAAACAAACACAAACACAGACTATTCGATGTAAAGCTCAATTGATTATAGCCCGACTGTTAAAACTGAAACTAAACTACTCTACATCTCCTCACCATTTCCATATCATGTTGCAAATAGGAGTATTACCACTTGATCAATCTCCCCCACCCCTACCACCCTTAGCATTTCAGCAGGTTATTCCAACAATTTGCTTCAACTGATGAGAGATTCCAATAGCTAAGGGTTTATTGATCAAATAGGGAGTCAGTGAGCTCTAATAAGAGCTCCCAATTACCAGAGGTTTGTAGGTCAATTGGGGAGACAACAAGCTCTAAGAAGAGCTCCCAATATTATTACCACAGGTTTGTTAGTCAATTGGGGAGTCAATGAGCTCTAATAAAAGCTCAAATTACTAGAGGGTTGTTGGTCAATTAGGGAGTCAATGAGCTCTAATAAGAACTCCCAAACACCAGACATTTGTTGGTCAATTGGGGAGTCTATGAGCTCTAGTAAGAGCTCCCAAACACCAGAAGTTTGCTGGTCAATTGGGGAGTCAATGAGCTCTAATAAGAGCTTCCAATCACCAGTAGTTTGTCAGTCAATTGGGGAGTCAATGAGCTTTAACACCAGCTCCCAATCACCAGACATTTGACCTCAGATAAGAGCTCCAGATGGCATTTGTCAGTCAATTAGGGAGTCAATGAGCTCTAATAAGAGCTCCCATACCAGAAGTTGGCAACCATTATCATGCTAATTGTTTAACTGACTATAATTGTCCCATGTTAAGCAAATGCAAAAGTTATTCCTCTCCCTTTTTCCCACAAATACATAATATTTGGTCAGAAATTCTAGAGATACTGCTCAAAAACCTTCCTGAACCTTTTCATATTGATACTTCCCAAAGCAACCCCACCCAACCCCTTAAAAACCATAGCGTAGCAAATCACTACCTCACCATTTGTGACTAAATGACTGACATAGCCAGGATCTCTGAGTATCAGCCCATCATAATCCAATGTTAAACCTTATGTGTAGTGGGGTGCTACAAAGTGTCCTTTAAGGCCTATTTTTAAAATATGCTCCTCAACTGTAAACCCTTCCACTGCTGAGAGTGATCATTTGTGACATTCTCCTTACAACTTACAACTGACACTTTCAGACAGGTGATTAATGAAAAGTAAGAGGATTGTTATATCAAGGACACAGTCCTGACATGATTCCAATTCTTGCGAAAAGTGTGGTCACCAGTGACGTAAGTTAACTTTCAGATCCCAATAGTGAAAGGACTGAAACATTGCACATGAACTACAGTTAAACCTGTATTAAGCAATCACTCATGGGGACTGCTAAAAACAGGTTGACAGCTCGATTAGCAATGCCACTTTATGCCATTATTGATGACTTAATGTACAGAATCTTGCTCAAAAATACTACTTTGATTTTGGAAGAGAAACATGGATTAAAAAGTACTTGAAAAATTATTGAGAATTTCTTAGAGGTATGAATAATAACCATGACAAAAATACTTCTGTCAAAAAGAACAAATATTAATTACAATAGAGTACTAAAACATTTGCATGTGGCATCACATGAGTAGTATAGCATGAACAGAGTCCTTTTGAGTGTTTCAGGTTATTTTCAATTCCCTAATGGAGAATATTTCATTCTGATTTGCTTTGCTTAAAATTTCTTTCATGAATCAAATTATTTCCAATGTTTTTTCAGTGTCACCGGTGCCTGTTTCCCTTTCCTGTGTGGCGGCTAATGGCTGGGTTGCCAGGATTTGCCAGCCATGGGAGAGCAGTCTTCATCTAGGAGCTGGCTGCCAATAGCAAAAGCTCCTGGATGTCTCAGGCACTCGACCTCCACTTAGCGATGCAGTTGTTAATTATTATTATTATAACAACAACCTGCCACATTAACATTTCAGCTCAAATTCTTTTACTACAAGAAAAAAAAAGACTGAACCTCCATCTGTGGCTGATACATCCCCATCAGGAGCAACTTGAGAAACAGGAGCTTGTTCTGCTATCTTCTGCTGCTGACTTCGTGTAAATCTGGTGGGAGCAGGGGGGGTTGGTGGAAGCTTTCCCCATTCTTCCTCAAGCTCTTTCAGCTAGAAGGACAATTAAGGCACAGAAAGCCATGTTAAACAGTCATTTGTCACAGAAAGTTACAATTTTTTCATTTTAAAAATGTGAATCTCTTTCTCAAAAAGTTTGGCATAAGCATTTTTCAACTATGATTTACCAACATAAGATAAGTGCAGTGCTCACTCATAGCATTACTAAAGTGGGTTATTGAAAAACCAAACTGAAAAACCCAGTCTACATACAAAGTGCCAAAGTAGGACTGTCCCATAGGTAATAGATCACATCAAGAAGGAACCATGAATGCAAAACACTAATCCCAGCAAGTAGTCTTGTTTGAACCTCTTCACCTACTACCAATAGATCACTGCACCTCCACTGAACATTTGCACACTGAACTTAGTTTTATGTTAATTTTCCTTTGCTCTTTATAAACATATACTGTCTAATAGTCATACACACTTGACTGCCCAATGTCAGAGCTTCTCTCACTCCTCATGAAGCAACATCTCGTTTAACTACCTATTCCCATTGGTTAAAATGCTAGACTGCAAAAGATAACCTTGCCGCATTTTTCAGATTTCCAATCCACCCATGCTGATTACATGTACATGTCACACTCTTACTCAGAGTGAAGTGCCACAAGAGCACAGTGTCTAACACAAGAACACAACACAATCACTCCCTCAAGGCCTTAAAACCACACTTAACAATCTAAAACCACCATGCTAACTAAAACAACACCATGTTCCATCAAATATCTTACACATATGTATGTCATACAGTAAAACGATCTTTAACTAAACAAAAATTACTAGAAAAAAATTTTAAACTTTTTGACTTCTATTTCATTTTACACCACAAGCTAAACAGACTGGAACTATAAGCAGCAATATATGAGCTCACGCCTTACACAGTGGTCAAAAAAGTATAATTCAACACTGTACTTTAAATTCCAAATGAAGACATCAAGACTAATCTTTTTAGAACAATTGAGTTCAAATGCTGAGTCTTAATCATCAAATATTACCGTTGTGTGTAGTGAAAGCCTTTCCACAGGAGTACCTGGGTCATTATGGCGATTTTCAAGGCACAAGAAACTGGCTGTAACTGAAATACCAGTCTTCTTTTTCTTAGTGTTATAACATTTGTTTTGTTTTCCTTTCACAAAAGCCTTAAAAAGCACATTGGCAATGATGACCTCCATCTATTACGCCTTGAAAACCTGATTAAGTAAAATTCATTAACAAAAGAATTTCAAATCCCAGAAAGCCCTTTAGTAGATGTTTTGGCCTTGAGCAAATTGCATTTGTGGAGTGCTTCCAACTCTAAGATCCACTGATCTGTTCTAAATCCAAATGAAGTAAAAAACTGAAATAACATTATAGAGCTACTCCCTGAAAGAAGGAATAATTCCATTCCATAAAAATTGGAAATAAGCATTAATTAATAATTAACAGCTGGATGTGAAATCTGTGGTTGGTTTACACAAGATATCACATTTTCCTTAGTCACTAAATTATTAATAAAAGCCTTACGTTTAGTCAGCAAAAAATTCATATTTTAACATGAAAATATGGTGTTAAAAGATAAAAAAAATATTCTGGTCCTAATTGTTTTAAACACCATAATAGCCATCTTAGTAAAATATAAGACTACAGTGGGAAAAAACTTTTAATTCCAATTTTGCGGTTTGAACACAGAACATTTTATTTCATTTGTTCCTGCAGTAAATAGTTTTTCATTACTTCGTCATTTTAAGAAAATCAAAGTTCACAGTTCAAAGTAAAATGGGCTATCATTAAATTTGCCATGAAAACGTTTAACTCTAACAGTCACAAAATATTGTCACCTTGACAACTGATGAGTGAAAAATATCTCAACATGAACATAGAAATCATCCACTTCAGGCACACAAAATTATTATTAAAAAAAATGTATCATCAAAATCATAATGACACTGACTTTAATGGCTATCTTTGAATTGCCAATTTATTTTGTTGTTTGGGTGAGAATATGCCGCAAGTCTGTCAAACATGTATGTCATCGTGTTCTCATTTATACTACTTGGTGCTGTCCTAAGCTACTGTCAAATGGAAAAAAATATATCTTTGAAAATGCAACTGCAAGAATTTAGACCTTTGAAACTTTCTAAAGGGAGCCCACTCTTCACTGTGAGGAGAAGATCCTCTAGAACTTCAAAACCTGCCTGCTATTCAAAATTACCTATCAAATTCTCTTGAAACCATTGAATATGCATACAAATTCCCTTAAATAATTACTAGGCTAAACATGATTGGAAATTTTTCTAGAACAGACAAAAGTTCCTGTGCTTGATAAAAAGAAAGCAGGGACCCCACCAAAGTCAACTAAATACAACTTTACATAGTTAACATTAACAGAAAATGACAAAATACATTTTTTTCCTGGACAAAAAAAAAAATGACCTGTAAATATCAGAGATATTACAAACCTGTACAGGCTTGATATTCTGTAACTGCTGCTTAAGTATGTCTCTTATCCACTTGTATATTTCTATTGCAAGGGTTTTAGCCTATAAAAATGAACCATAGCAAGCACAATTATAGTCACACTATGATACATGGAAGTCACTTTAATCAGTACTTACAGTTCTTTTCAAGGATGGTTGGCAGAAAAATGCACAGAAATACCTGCAACAATTCTGAAAACTAATATCCTGTCCCTAGTGCTTCCTTTGTATGGTGACAATCTTAGATGTCATGGCAGGCCATATGTGTAGTTTTTTGGAATATAGTGCAGATGAAATGGCAGATATTGAAATTCATTGATCATTTCCCGTTTGTAATTTGGTACTCTTTTCAAACAACTATTCTCAATGCAGCCATCTAATCAAATAAAAGAACAAATTTATTCATATTTGGGCACAAACAAACCAACATGTAAAATGATCCACAAGTTTTTCTGAGAAATCAAACTTTGAGAGCAGCTTTTCAGAGAGTTCATTCCTGTTAAGCTTACTGATCTGCAGGGAAAGGGTTTGTTTTATGGACCTGATTTAACCCTAAACAAGTAAAAATGAACTTTAAACCCTGTTGAAGTGTAATCAGTGAAGTACACTGTATCCTGACAGAAAGAGACTAAGGACAGTTGACTCACCTCTTCTCTGACCATTTTATCATTGTGATCAAACAGTTTGGGCAAAACTTTGACAATAGGTTTCAGACTAAAGACTTTACCACCAAACTCACTATTGAGAGAGAAAAAATATGATCATTGCCTGCTCCAAATTTTGTCAAATATTTTCTAACACTGAGAAAAGAAAAAAATATCTTTTGAGCCTGAATCCTTGGTAACCACCATATCAGTGGTCTCACAGAAGTTTGTGGCATCTTGACCTATCAATGTTCAGTTTGGTAACTGACAATTTGGTAAAAACCTAAGGCCTGTTCCTTAATAGCCCTTTCGCTCCCAGAATCCTCTTAGTAATTAACCTTACTATCTGATATACAATTTTTATGACATTAATAGGGTAATTTAGTATTACCAACTGAGTTGATAACGTAATTGGCCACCATTATGTGATCAGTTCTGTTGATAAGACTAAATTACCCTGTTATACCCTCCCACCAACGCAGCACCACAGTTTCTTAAGAAACTTATCCCCTTTATTCATTTGTTTTATGATGTTAGTTTGGAGAATTTGGTTTTAAATTAATTAATAATCCCAAAATTGATGTTGTTCATTATTTTTATCACTTGTCTGCTAGATGTTGCATTGATATTGTAAGGGGAAATTCTGTCTTGGTCAGTCATGGGAGTTAAAGGGTTAACCTTTTGACTCCCAAGATCTCATTAGTGAGTGTCCTTACTGTCTGCCATACAGTTCTTGTAATGTTAGTTTGGAGAATTAGGTATTGGATCAACTTATAATCCCCTGATTGATATTTTTCTTTATTCTCATCACTTATGTGCTTGATATTGTCTTGATATTGTAGAGAGAAATTCTGTCTTGGTCACTCATGGGAGTTAAAGAGTTAAAAGTACTGAAGATATCATTCCATCAGGACTTTTACCTTAGCATTTACCTTATTGCTTGACGTAACACACCGGTACAAGCTGCAACAATTTTTGGCTGTTTGTTTTCTAGTCCCTTTAAAACTTCCTCCTAAAATAGGAACAGGTATGAAGAGAAGATGATACCCTCTAAATCCTGCCAATCAATTAACTGCATATTACCGTTATTGGTAACATTACTACTGAGAATTAGGAATTTTGGACAAAATTTTGCAAGCTCTGCATCTGAGCCCTGACTGGGTGATTGTGTTGTGTTCTTAAACAAGAAATTTTACTCTCACATTGCATCTCTCTCCACCCATGAGTGTAGGGAATACTAGCAAACTGTCAGGGAGTGGGAGATGCGGTGACCTAACCCTTGGCACTCTGAATACTCTGAGTCAACAAGTCCAAGTTTAAGGCCTGACTAGGTCACTGTATTGTCTTCTTAGACAAGATACTTTACTCTTACACCCCCTTTCTCTACTCAGGAGTATAAATAGATAACTGTTAATGGTCAAGGAAGCCTCAGAAAATCCTGGGGAAGGGGTAGGTGGTTACCTTTGATCAACCACCTCTTCACTAAGAAAATGTGTACATACTCCAAGTCATTACATGTAACAAAATTGAAGGTTAACAAGGAGTTAGAGGTTACTTGGCTAGGACCAACCCCCCTCCTCCTCCCACCCCAAATGCATAAACAGCAGAGAATCTGAGTACTAAACATTCTGTATATTGCATGTGCCAGCAAATTTTACAGATGTTTTGCCAAAGACTCCAAATTGTATAAGAATACCAACAATAAAATCATGCAAAATCATTTCAAAAGTAAGAAAAGACACCACCCATTTCACTTACTTGAACAACATCTTGCTTCTCAACTTCTATGTACATCAAAATTATGTTAATCCCCTTTTCTTTGGTTTTTGGTCTTGCATTCAGACACTTAGTGACCACTCCTGCTATCAAATCACCAGCAACCCTTGAATGAAAGTCCACATCAAGAAATGTTAAATGCCGTCATTGTCTCTTGTCAGGGTGAACACTATGTACTTCCTACTCTAAAGAGCAGGAGGTCCTTAAATTTGTCCAATTGTCATACTTCTGGGCTCAGGGCTCTGGGCAACATTTTCTTTGTTTCTGCCTTAATTCATCTTTGTAATGACATTCTCAACCTGGTGCCCACACTACTGAAGAGGCCTTGTGTTGTTACTAACAGACTTCTAAAAATCACCGAATCTCAGAAATAAGTCATACAGCACAACTTTAATCTTTTGTCAAAAATTCAAACCCTGTACACCAATTGCATCAAGTCCTTGATTTCTGGTTCTTCTACAATAGAAATCAAACTTTGAGGTTTGACACTATCATTGGCAATATTTTATTATCTAAAAAACATTATAGTTAATAGCAGTGAGGCTTTGATTACCAAGTGATTGAGTTCCCATGAGAAATTTTAAAAACATTGATCCATACACCATGAATTATATTATCAAAGTTGTCATTATGCCGAATTTATCATATTCAACCAGTATAATAGGCATTAATTAGAAGCTCTCTTGTCTTAGAAAGAGACTGAAATTAGGTTGTTTATATTGTACTTTCGCCAAAATAACCCATATCAGGCTGTCTAATCGATGGCAGATTTGTTTACCACTTGAACACCTATTCAAATTAAAGTTTTATCGCGTTCGATTAAAATACTTGATTACAATGATTTAACGTAGAGAAAGAAAAAATCAGGAGGGACTTACCTTCCAGAAATCGAAGGAGAAGCAGCTTCTAAAAAAGCTAATACTGCTTCAAGACCCTTCTCTTGGGCAACAGCATTATTATCGATGACAAATTTCTTCAGCATTCCGAGATACTTGTTGAATTCATTGCTACTTTCATCGTCAATCTTTCGATAAATTTTCACAAGCTCTTCGTAGCCGCTCAACCTCGCTTTCCACACCTAGAAGATGAAAATACCATTTTCACATAAGCTCTAAACTTCCCTATCATTTCCAAAATATTGGATTTGAGCAAGGCGCGAAATTCATTCACCTTGTGACCTAAACGATCTTCGAGCGGGAGCTTTGTAATATCGGCATCATCTGCCATGGTATATCGTATATTTTTCAAACGAACAAATGTATGCACAAGTACAGCTCGTAATCCTTTCCAAGAGCGTGGCAAAATAAAATTTTGTAACGATAACTCCGCTGCACTTTGCAACGAACATTTGAAATGGCCGACTCCGACAGAGCACGTGATCAATAAGAACCAATCACTAACATGCTACCAAAGCAATGATATCATGTATGGAAGTGTAAGACTCATGAAATGTCACATAACAAAGTAAGTTTAAGAGATTCGATGAAGGACATAAAGAATGACTTGCTGGGTCTTTCAATTTAAGCGTCAAGTTTCCTTATCTCTTTTTTCTGGCCAGGAAAATCATATCCGTGCTTCTTTATAACTTTATTTGAGCGATATTTTCTCTAAACGAGAAAAATTTTAAATAAGGGTCCACGCGAGAAAACGCGCGAGACAAGGGTAAGTGGAGATGCGAGAATTAGGGGTCTCTTCTCACCGAGGGGATGGGGGCCGGAAGGACTCTATGAACGACTGGATTTCAAAAAAATAATTAGAAAATGAATGCCTAGGCACTCAATCACCTCAAAATCAAAGAGATTGGAAGCGTGTGTCACAAAGTTAGGTCTGGTAAGTACAGTAGTTCTGTACTTACATTTGCATTATCTATCACAAATTATATAGTAAGGTCAGTTGTGCACGCATTCTGATTGGTTTTCACTTATAATCTATCGGAGGACAGACATATAGATGACATCATCATTAAAACTTTTGTTAATTCTTTATTATACAAAACAGATAGATTCCAAGTTGCCATGCATCTGTTCAGTAATAGATCACAGCGGACGTCAAAATGTGGTAAGAACATCAGTGACACACTCAGCTGCGCCTTGTGTGCCACTTTTTTGTTCTTACCACATTTTGATGTCATCTGTGATCTATCACTGAACAGACACACGGCAACTTGGAATCTATTTGTTAAAAAGACTAAATATCCTTTACATATAAACTTAATTTTTTCTTTTTCTGAAAGAGGGACCATCTTCCTATTCAGTTTTAAGAAACAACCTGGTTCCTTTTGGGGACAAACTGATTATGGAATATAGTCAAATGCCTATGGGTTGCCCCTGGGGGAGGAGGGAAGGTGGGGGGTTGTTGAAGCTACGAATTTATCAGAGCATTATTGTAAACCCATACTAAACAATTCACAGCAAAAAACTGGATGTGTCAATAACATTTATTTGTGTTGTCAATAATCTGTCAAAGAAGTAATCTCATAATAAAATAATTGTACAGTAATTTTTTGATAATGCATTTAAAAATATATCTTAAAGTGCACCATACGTGATAACTATTAATTTGGAGGAAAAGAGTAAACTTTGAGACTATAATTCTATTCTGAGTAAGGTTAACTGTTATAAATTACCCCAGGAGCACTTTTTAATAGAAGCTCACCAAAAAGTGAATGTAATTATTTCATGTAAAAAAGGATATTGCATAATCAGTAGCAAAAGTTTTGTGTACAGATCACAGGGTGTAATATATTATGACCAAGGCAAGTCAGTGTTACCTTGCATACTTAATGAAAAATGTTCTAATTGCTTTTACGTTGATTTGCTTTACAAATGTAACACAGTACATAGTCATCCAGGAAGTTCGATGCTAAATCAAATCAGTGGTACACTTGTTTCATTGCTATCATCACCTGAGCATGCAATGGGCAGTTAATTTGAGTACCATTACAACTAAATTCAAAGGTGTCACAACAGCCAATAACAGCCTTAAAAAAAAAATAACACAAGGTACATTCACTGGGCAAAGCTACCAAAATCAATGTGGGTAATTCCAGATGACTTTCAATAATTAATTGAGAATTACCCTCACATTGGTAAATGGATCATCCCAATTATGTTGTACTACAGAAATAAGGAGAAGGTTTAAGTGAGGAGAACAAACACATTGACAGTATCAAATAAATACTTTGAAAATTTTTATAAGGATATATGCCTGAGTGTTAAATATTTAACAAGGCCCATAAGCCCATAAGTGACACAAAACAAATTTCAATTTGCAATAAAATGAAATCAAATCAACCCCTTACACCCTAACACTGGTATTGGTATTCTGCACAGTGTTCTCTTTACATTTCCTATGGTGCTGACAAGGAGAATTTGTTTTGACAATCAAGAGCTTCTTAACCCTTTAACTCCCAGAAGTGATTAACATAAAACCTCTCCCTACAATATCCATACATCATTCAGCAAACAGGCAATGAGAATATTCAAAGTTACCAGGTAGAAGCTGCTATCTTGATCTAACACCAAGTTCTCATAACTAATTTACAAGGAAATGTGTAGCAGCTAGAGGGGAGAATTAACAATCAGATCTTGGGAGTTAAAGGGTTAAATTGGTGACCCTTTCTTTTATACTTGTGACTTCAACATTTGATTTAATGGTGATATTGTAAGGAGAAACTAGAAGGCACACACTCTAAGGGGTTAAAGGTTTATCAATCAAGATAGTTATGAGTATTACGCATACATGGTGACCAGGATAAAATTTCAACATCCTTTTTTATTTTCAGGAATGACTTCTCCCTATCTCCCTTCAACTTCTAAAATGGAAGGATGAATTCTTAGTGATATATCTTTTCAGTAGGAATAGTAAGAAGCTCCTCTGTATGAACCAAGGCAAAGAAGGTGTCAAAGAAAGATAATGGCTCAAGGAGTAAAACTTAGGAAACATTCAACCCTGTAAATATCCCCTTTAAATTGCTGTCAACAGGAGGGTTGTGTAAATACATTTGGGGAGGTTAAGTTATCCAAATTATCAAAAAAACTGGGAGTATCAATTTCATGCACTGGGAGTCAAACCATCAGTGTTTTCCTGTATTGAAGGAAATGAAGGATGTCCATTTGTACTAGTAGATGACACGCCACCATAATTAACCTCACCATTCAATTCTCTGTTATGTGGGGCAGGAATGTAGCAGTCTTTGGCATCAACATCAGAGCGGTAACGCTTTTGCCTCCAAAGTGCCAGTAGAGGAATACAAAGGGCAGTTGTCACAAATGTGCACCAGTTAATCCATCTCAACCCAAACTTTGGCAGCATTGGAAAGATATAGAAAACAACTTGCAGGAAATTATTGGAGAATGTAAGAAAACCTGAAGTGATTCCCTCTGCAACTGGGTACGTAGATTCCACTGCTAATTCAAAGAACAAAGGAATTGTTCCATTTACAAACAGTCCTCCCAGGATGCTGGTTACAAACAGGACCACTTTTGAGTATGGAATAACACCAGCACAAATCAGAGTAAATATCATCAGTGATACTGTGGCACCAGTCAAGAGTGCTATAACAATCAGCTTCATGTAACGAGTGAAGTGGTCTGCAAATCTAAGGAAACAATATTACCAATAAATTGTAAGTGAATACTAACACAAATCAACATAGCTTTGGTATTTTGTTAACCCTTTACACCCCAACATAGTATGTATATTCTCCATACTGTTCTCATTAGTAACTCTTGGGGGTCAAAAGGCCTACATAACCTAAACCACAAGTGTCTTCACAAGTGTAACAATCAGAGATTCACACTGACTGGGCCTCATTTTAATTCCAGTCCATTTTTTCTCCAAACAAAAATGGTAAAGTTTATCTAGGTTTTTCTTACATTTTGTTTAGTTCTTAACCACTTTACCCTCATGATCTCAATTAAAATTCCCTTTACTGTCTGCGACACATTTTGTTGGGATTTTAGCTCTAGGAATTTGGTAATAATCAAGTTTGTTTTCCTTTCCTTTTTGTCACCCCATTGCATAAAAAAGTAAGAACAATGTAACCATGATTTCCTAAGGCATTCATTGATTAGTTGTGCTTTGCTGGCTTTAATGTTTTCTAATTGTTGGCATCCACACTTAATCTCCATCTCATTATCTTAGAAAATGTGTAAAGAACAGTATGGAGAATATGCATACTGATTTTAAGGTGTACAGGGTTAATGATTGGAAGGCTGAAAGCAATCCATACTCTCTTGTCACGGTTCTAAGTCTCTCTGCTGATTACCAGATACAAGAGGCAGATTGACTAGGCCGTCAACTAAACTTGCATCATGTAAAACCTTCTACGCATAACAATATAGTACTTACATTGAGAGGGAAATTCCTGAGACTGATCCAGCTACAACAGCCCCAAATCCCAACCATCCAGCTGTTTTCTGATCAATGTGGAACTGTGAGAGATTAAGATCCAATATCGAGCACCAACCGCCATAGACTCCTGTTCCCATACCATAAATAAAAACCAACAACCAGAACTGGCCATTCTTCAGTAAGTTCTTGGCACCAATTTTAAATTCCAGCCGTCCCATAGCAGCAGTAACGCTCGGTGGTAGCTTTGGCTTCTCAGGAAAATGGAAGATAACAAAGAGCATCGTTATAGTAGTGATCCCCAACTCAGTGTACATGAGATTCATGATTTTATGTCTCAAATGGTCAATCTCACTCTGGTTGAAAAGCTTTCTTAAAGCCAAATAGTCAATCCCTGAGTTAGTGGTTAAATTTTGTGCAGCTTTCATATCCCCCACATCTGGAACCATAAGGGGTCCAAGAATAAAAGAAAGTGCAGTTCCACTATAGCAGGCAAGGGAGGAAATGGCTGTAGCTGTTGTTCGCTGATCTGGAGGAAACCATGCTGCAGACACCATTGGAGCTGCTGCCATGGCAATGGGTCCTCCAATTCCAGTTATGAATTGTCCACAGTGGATGAGCCAAGTTTGAAGGGTAACATGTTCACCATTAAGGGGTATACATCGCAGACCTGCTCCAATGAATTCACAGAAAACAGCCGCCAGAACAGCTACTCTTAAACCTAGAGAATAAAGAAGCAAAAAGGAGGAGGATGTACAGTTACAACCACTACACAATGAATAGATCTTGTGTTCCTGGCAAATCCACCAGTTCAAAGTTTACCAGTTGCCCAATGGTCAACTTTTATGAACTGACCAGGATCCAGTTGTTCAAAGGGCCAGTAATGCTATCCAATGGATAAATCGCTATCCAGGGGATAAGCGTCAACAAAACATATTGCCATAGCCACCAGATAGAGAAGTATCCAATGAGAAGCATTATTTACCTCTGAAAAACGGGTACCAGAGGTCAGATGAAATCTCAGTTCATATGTTGGCTGATTACCAGAGCATTATCAAGTCACTTAAATTTTTCTTAGCTTCAGGTCAGTCCTATAGATTCTCACTGGCCTCGTAACATATTTTCCTTCGTTGTGATCGACTATTACGAACACTTTGGCTTTGCTTTCAACACTCAGTTGAAAAGATCTCTACCACAAAAAAAAACCTACGAAGCGTACAACAGATCATTACAGTGCTTCAAGAAAATCAAACAAACTGTAAAAGAATCACATGCTATCGCTTGGAATCTTGCAATCTATCTTTTAACTTCATTACTCTTTCTTCCAATTACCTTTCATATCCATAAGCCAGCACATTGGTACTACTGTGACCACGAACGAAATTGGACCCCAATCTGCAAGCAACGTTATGGTCGTACTATCCCAGCCAAACACCACTTGTGAAGTGCCTTGTATGGGTCCCCACGTATTCCAGATCAAATTATTCAATGCAGCAACGACTGAGAAGACTGCCAAAATGTACCATCGCCGCTTGTAAATTTTGCATTTATTCTGGTGAACAGATCCCATGGATTTGTATCGGCGATCATCAGAACGAAGCAATGCTGCTCTCTCCTCGAAGGATTTCCCTTGGTTCATTGTGATTGCGAAGCCAAAAGACAGGCAAATTACAAAGTTTCTCTTTCACTTTGCGTTTGAAAAGGCTTCTTAATTTTTTGGAAAGGTTTCTCTTCCGCTGTTTCCGGTTTTTTGCACAGAATTTTAGGACCCGACCGGCGTCCCAAATATAGCTTCAAAATGAGAAAGCATGCACTACTTTACTTGGAACAACGTAAGCCCTTTTTCCTCTCCCTCTGGAATAACCTTAGTGCAGAATTACACCTTAGGGGCAAGGAAAAAATCAGTAGCGAAGGAAACTTCTTACTTTACCGCCGGTGAGTTCACAGTATTTATATCGTCATGTGATCACCGTTCAGGAAAGACTCTGCGGGGGAGGACAGGGTAAGAATATAATATGACTACACTTCGTTTCAACTCGCGCGCGTCAACTCCAAGTCACGCGAGATAACATTTCTTTTCGTCTATTTCAAAGACGACAAGCCAAGGAGAGCTATTTAATATGTAAGTGATCGAAAAGTAAAGTAAAACTTGGTTTTATTCTCGCGTTTATTCCCGCAAGTGGCTAGCTTGCCTTCGGTCACGAATGCACACAGCGCACTTGATGCGGGAGGGCTGCGGATCAGTACCTGTTTGAGATTTTCCTTTGGGGTTTTAGTCTTTCTTCCCTTGACTTCATCCTCAATTAATAAATTCCATTTTCTTTCTTCGTTTGCAGTTTAGAGAATTAACTGGGAAACTGAGGGGTTTCTCGGTTCTTTTCTTTTCTTTCCTTTTTACACACTGAAGTGTTATGAGCGGCCGTCACCGCCAAAAATACAGGCATAATATATGGTTTGTAATGAACAGAAATGGTCTAATTGTCTTTTGGAGAACGATTTATCTTATTTCAAGAGATTTATCTAAAATACAAATGGACAAATCGCCTTTGGTGAAATGAAATGAGTGTTAAGTTATCGGCAAATGGTTAATCGTAAGCCGCAATGGCTTAGTATCGCACCAGTCTACTCACCGTAAAATGAAATGGTTTAGCGTGACGACAAATGGTTTAGTATTAGAGAAGATGGTTTACGCCGTAACCGCTAAAAATAAAAAAAGTGAAATGGACAAGTCAAGCTTGAAATGAAATAGTCTATGTGGGGTCTTACGTCCCAACCCTTTAGTTTTTATAGTTTTTAGGCGCCCTTTAGTCGTGGTTTCGTCGTCTTAAAACAATGAATCGCTTTATCACGTTTCCTAGCTATGGTTCTAACTGTCTAGACTTTAAATGTGTTGTTGCGTAAAATGATGCATTTTACAACGGTCACACGTAACAATGGTAAGAATTCTCCATTTAAAGTGCAGCAGTTTTAAAGTCCTAAAACCGGCATTGAATCGCTTTATCACGTTTCCTAGCAATGGTCCTTACTGTATAGACTGTAAGTGTGCTGTCGCGTAAAATGATGCATTTTATCTGTATTTTTGTCATTCCTTTTGTTTCAGATTCTTATTTTACCTTGAGGTAATACCTGAGTCTAATACAACGTCGAGTGGACGACTTGGCGAATATCTCGTTCTGACGAGTGTAGCGCCAAATTCGATCTGAATGACGTAAGGGTTGTGACGTAAGACCCCACATAGACTATTTTATTTCAAGCTTGACTTATCCATTTCACTTTTATATTTTTGGCGGTTACGGCGTAAACCATCTGCTCTAACACTAAATCATTTCGGTTTGCACAAGACCATTAGTCGTCACGCTAAACCATTTAGGGTCACGCTAAACCATTTCAAATGGTTTGCGATACTAAGCCAGACCGATTGACCATTTGGTTTTTAGTCATTGAGCCAAAAGCTTAGATGTTTGTCATTTCGACACTGAACCATTTCATTAACACCAAAGGTCGTTATTGAATCAATTTGGTTACCCATTTTAGATAAAACCATTTTTGTTTGAATAAGACCAAAACTTGTCCATTTGTATTGTAGATAAATCTTTTGAGATAAGATGAACCGTTCTCCGAAAGACAATTAGACTATTTCTGTTTATTACAAACCATTTATTATGCCTATATTTTTGGCGGTGACGGCCGCCCATAAAGTTTGTAAGCGATATGTGTTCTGATTTGAGTGAAATGAGTGCGTAATCAACATACGTTTGCATTTATTTTTTTCATAAATAAACAGAAGCTACGTTTTTGTGCCTGTTTAACTTCTTTTGGTATAAGTAGATATCTATCGTCTGTTTTTATTATCAAATGGGGAATCTTTTATCGTTCTATCAAATAAATACACCGGTGGATGGGGTGGAAACTTTGACTTTAACGTAATTTCCCCATTTTTTGTGATTCCTCTAGTTAACTCGACCGAAGCATTTTCCCTCCAATTTTTTTTGGCACATGTTAGGTACCCTGCCCGTTGCAAGCTTATTAAATAGCGCTCTAATCGCGCAGATGGAGAAAGATCACGATTCAAGCTTCGAATTATTATCACTGTTGAGGAATCGTCAATAGTAGCTTCCTTTTCATGCACAAGGCTTTCTCTGCGAGGTGCTGTTGTTCTGTTGTCCTTTTCACTTCTCCTGGACAAAACAGAAGACCTAACACGCTTGCTTGAAGACAGAGAGCGATTTGTTATCCCTAAAGGAGACATCATTTTATTTACAGTTGGTGCGCTGACGGATTTAAAGCCCAGACTCGAAGAGCGAAAACTGTTCGTTCTTTGCGCCGACTCTACAGGCTGTCCATTATCGTTATAAATATGGAAAAGGTAGTTTGTTGCTCTTTGTCGTGTTGCCAACATATTACACTCATTTGTCGTGAACCCAGATGGAAACATAACATCAGGGCAGCTATACGCGTATCCATTGTCGGAGATCCTGCATAAACATCTCGGTGAGACGTGTTGCGGTAAATTTCTGTCATCGAGGGTGGCTGTCGATTTGAACAAAAAATAATAAAGCGTTACAGTAAAAGCTCCGCAAAAAGAGGCAGAGGCGGTGGTGTAACGGTTCATAACCTGAGTCCTTGTTAGCCGGCTTGGTTGGATTCAATGTGTCGTTTTGCTCTCCAGCGAGAAATTTCAGTACCTCTCACAGCCATCTTCTAAAAGTATAATTGGGGTATTGGGGGAATAAATACAGAAAACGGAGCAATCAAAACCGCACGGTGTATGAATAAGCGAATGATGCGAAAACGGTGCGGGAGCCGAGTGAGGGCATGAGGCGAGAGCGGAAAAAAAGCGATGAGCGGAGGGAGGGGTAGGGCTTGTCGCTTTTTAGCTCACTTCGCCCCACGCATGCCCATAATTGGGAGAATTAATACAGAAAACGGAGCAATAAAAAACGCAAGGGGAGAAGACAACCTGCATGATTCAGAATTCTATCCGGAAGGAGTGGCCATACTTATAAACTGCTGTAGCAAACCTTATTTTTCCTTTTATCAAAGCGAAAGAAGCGAAACCGGAGTGGGAGCCGAGTGAGAACAGGGGGCGAAAGCCGGCGGACAAAATAGTGATGAGTGAACGGAGGGGTAAAGCTTGTTGCCTTTAAGCTCACTTCCGCCCCATGCCCTCACGTGATACCTGCTCCACTAGGACCCAGGATGCCGGGACAAGCCACGAAAGCGTGAACCTCAAAGCACCAGAAAACTTTAAAAGCCAAACCTTTGTTGTCTTTGCTCTCGTGAGATGAAGAAGCTCCTCGCCTTGCCCGGGGTATTGTAGACCGGGCGCGGCCCTGGATTCGAAATTCTATTCCGTGGTACTGAATTCCCCTGCTAACGAAGTCGTTCAAAGGCATCTTGCTGATCCATTCAAAGCTAAAATGCAACCTGTGAATAAAATTATAACAAGCATGAAAAGGGACAAGCACTTATTGATGTCTAGCCCAATGATACGGCTGGCAGTATACCGTGTGGAAATCTCTCTGAGATATTTTTGTATTCCCATTTTATCATACTTTCTTTTCATGTTTGGACACATCCAAAACTTTCAGAACTACATAGCCCAATTTATTCAGTAAAGAGCATAACTTCAGATTTCTTCGACTCCAGAGCAGTCTCATTAACACTAAATTGCTGTTTCTTTCCGCTTTTAGGAGTTCATTTCTCTAAAGCGTATGAAGTGTGAACGCAGTATATATAGATGTTGTGCGCACTCCGAGTCAGTTAGTGTTCCTTTGTAAGGAAGGTGAAAAAATTGAACCACAGGTGCAGTAAAAGATTATGTGTTGATAAAGGAAGGTTGCTAAGAGCGGGCAAACAATGAAGGGAGACAACTGTGCAAACCTGCCATTAACAACCGGATAAAAACCTTCAGGTGTTTACTGGCTCTTAATATTGGTTTGGCCTTTCCCTATAAGATCTAACAATGGCTGAAAAAAACAACAAAACACAATTGTGGTAAAATTCTCTCCAAAGGAAGTGTCGTCTAATGATCAAAGGATTTACAAGAATTATAATTTGGTGATCAAGATATCATTTTGAGTTGTATTCGAAGTGACTTGCAAAAAATTTTTTAAAGGCTTCTTTGCCCCAACCATGAGTTTACTCAAAAAAGGCATGCCTTCCTAAGAACTTTCTCTACACCAGGAGCCCGGGCTCCTGTCTATACTCAAAAGTTGCGTACAGAAAAAACAGGAAGTGAGGCTTACTGAGTTGTTGGGTTGTATAAAATCTCTATATTGTCGTCATCTCAGATTCCATACAAATTTAAGCATCAAAAATAAGAAAGTTTTTTCTGCAAGATGCAGAAAATAAGTATTTTCGCGACTTTTTTTAAGGTTACTCCTTCCCACCTACCATCAGATGACAAAATACGTATTCAAAGAAAGCCTTCCTTCCTCTTCTCTCTCTACTTAAAATTGCGCAAAAGCAAAAAAAGGAGGTAAGGCTTACTAAGTTTTCCCATTGCCGGTATAAAGTTCCTTTCCTACCCTCATCTTAAAATTACATTAAAATTTTAGCATTAAAAAAACGGAAATTCTTAACAAGATGGAGAAAATAAGTATTTTCTTCGATGACAAATTTCCCTCTGAAGTAAATGTAAAGGGAACAGAGGGTATGCGGTTAGCTTTCTTAAGTAATTGTAGTCGTTAAAATTCAGAAATAAGCGCTTTAGCACCTATTCATTAATAATTCAATGGCGATGACGACGTAAGTGCGGAAGGTATCATCTTAAAATTTTAACATGTAAGGTTTTGTGTTTAATTTACCCTGCTTTGAATGGAAAACGACCCTTTGGACCTGTCTTCAGTAACGTGTTTCGCTCAGTTTCTACCCGATATCGGTAAGAGCCTGTTACTTTTTCCCTCGGCTCATTTTCTTAAAGAAAAAAAATTAAACATCTCTATTGTTTACTCACCGCTTGATTCTCCTTCAGTACAATTTGCAACGCTTTTTTACAGCTAGATGTACATTAGAAACCAAAACAACATTTTGAATCAGCTTCCGCGATAAAAAAAATTCGGTAAGGTGTTGTTATTAAGCAGTGAGTTGCTTCAAATAAGATTAATTTCTTTGATATCCGCGGGCATATCAAGATTGCTGGATATTTGAAGAGTCCCAAGATCGTCCGGGAAACAGTGTTGTGTGTTGAATGGATGGACAAATTAGCACCTGTCGAGTATACTGTAAACACACCTGCTGTTGTGCCCAGGATACTTCGGCCAGTAATGAAAGCACTGGGCTTTATTCAAGATAGCGGAGTTTCGTCACGTAAAATGTGAAATTAAAACGTTACGTAGCGTTAAATTTAGTTGAGTTAAATCTAGAGTAACTTGATTTCCTACCAACGCCCAAATGAGCTACAATAACGTATTACTACAATCACAACATTATACAGATAAGTTTCTTTAGCTGTGCCGCAAAACAAAATGGATGCATCAGAAAACATAAGGAATGGAAAATGTTTCGCAATTGTCAGACTAAGGCGAAACCCCTTTGCTGCGAGACGTCAATGCCACCATATCGAAGAGGCGTAAAGTATTCGGCTTGTCACTACCGTTATCCTACACAAAAACGATAAATAGATTTAGATAATGAAAGAATAAATGAAAGAATAATTGAATGGTTGAATAAAAAAAAAAAAGTAAATATATGAACGAATGAATAATCGAATACCGCGGTGCAAACCTGTGTTGTTGAAGCCGTATCTTGTTGAGAAAATACACCTTTACATTCGCAACTAATAGAACTCGAAACGGAGAGATCGCGAATAATCTGGTATGGCCTTATTCTCCAAGAGGCTTCCCGTATTAAAGTACTAAATTTACACATTAGAGCAAAAACGTTTTTTTTCAGAGATTAAAAGAGGTGATCTTGTCCTTCTTTAGTTGCTGTCGCTGTTGTTGATGATGGAGGTGGCCGTGGCTGTTGCTGCTGGTAACAGGGTGTGTCCGTTGACTTGGAGGTTAGGATTTCGTTTCCACAAGGAATAAATTTTTATCATTCCTATTGTCCCTACACATTTTTCTCTGAACCACTCAGCAATTAAAGCGCGACATCGCCTTTATTAACAACTACCAGGGGCCCATTACTCAGGCTCCTGCAACTACAAATTATCTCTATATGCAAAGTAAGTAAATAATTAATTCATTATTAACTCTGTTTTGACTCGTCTACATCCAGTCTCTTGTACTTCGCTTTGTATACTGCAACAAGCGGAATACACACCACGGTCGAGGAGACTAGTAACCAGTTCATCCATCGCGGGCTCGCTTGCGGGAACATAAAAGCAATGAAGAAGATCAAATTGATGACGTATACAGATAGGACCATTACACCGGAAGTGATACCTTCAGCTACCGGATATGTGCACTCTGCTGCGAGTTCCATGATGAGAGGAACAGTTCCACAAAAGAGAACGACCTGAGAGATACCGGAGGCGAAGAAGACTGGTTTTGAGAGAGGAATAATCTCCTCACATGCGAGCGATAGGACTGTTTGAGCTCCAGCCGTAGCCACAAAGAGGAATATTAAGATTGGCTTGGTGAAACTCTGAATGCGATCGGCATACCTATAGAGAATAAATAAAATAATAATAATAATAATAATAATGGTTTATTAGTACTCCACATGGTGGCTCTTCTGTACTAATTCACTATAATAAAATAATATAATGGTTGAAATATATGGATAAACAAATAACGTGCAACAAGATGTATAATTACATAAATAATATATAAATAATATACATAAGTTATGGATAGTATATGTAAAATTGTATAATATTGATGCAAGTTCGTTCCCAAGCTCGCTCTTCTTCCTCTATTTTGGAAGAGGGACCTTGAGAACGAATTTGGGCTTGCGCCACAGATGGAATCATAAAGCGCGCGCGGGTCGCACATACCTTCTTCCCCCAACCCCTCCCTGAACCCTTCCCCTCCCCCCACAAACGATGATTCAGGCACCTTATGTAGAAACCCCAACGTAAGTCCTTATGCTGTTATCGTTCTGGAAAAAATAATTGTCTCCTTTTTTTCATTTTTACAAGTAAAAGTAAAGATACCAACATCCCTAAGTGATATGCATTTGGCATGGAAACTCAAATAACTAAGAAATGACCTTAAATAAGTTTTTACCCTATGGCGTTAAGTGTACTCAAAATTTGTCACTGATAATATTGAAGAGTGGAGTATGACGCTTGAAAAACGTAGTGTTAGCGAAAGATTGAAATCTGACTTCTTTTTCTACTTACCATGAAAACGAAATACCAAGAAGAGACGCGACATTTGCTGAGAATCCTAACCAGCCAGCAGTCTTCTGATCAATTCCCACTCCGGAAAAGATGAGGTCCTGGACACTAGACCAACCCCAGTTTACTCCGTTACTGACACTGAATATGAGCAACAATAACCAGAATGACCGGTTTTTCAGTAACGTTTTGGCGCCAGAACAAAAATCCAATCGTCCAGCCGCGGAGGAAAGGCTTGGAGGGCTGGGCGGTTTGGCAGGAAAGTAAATCAACACCGTGAAGAGTAAAACTCCCACCAAAACAGCTTCGATGAACAAGTAATCATTTATTCTTGACAAAAGAAATTTCATTTGTTCTGGAGTGGTGTGATTCCTCAATGTATCGATGTCGATGCTCTGTCCCGTTTCATATTTAGTCAAGTTGCCGTAATCAACGTCTGGGACGAGATGAGGCCCAACGATGTAGCTAAAAGCCGAGCCCAGATACGACGCCAGCGTGGCGATAGCCGTGGCGGTCATGCGCTCGTGCGGCGGGAACCATGTCGCGGACAGCACAAGCACTCCCGCGTTCTGAACCGCGGGTACGGCCACCGAGATAAGGAACTCTGCAAACGTTATAAATACTGTTCTCCATTCAGGGTGGGTCGGGATAAGTTCGCAGATGACAGCGAAGGTCTGAAGTGATATGGAACATAGCACTGCAAATCTTAGACCTAAACAATCACACGAAGAAAAATAATTAATGTTGACATATCGTGTATTTCGCGATCCTGTGTTGGTATATTTGCAAAACTTAAACATTTACCTTTTCATTTACTACTTCAATTACCAAAAATTTGTGGATCCCCCTTTGACGGGCCATCCACACAAAATAGAACCCATCTTATTTACGTGCAGTGAAATCTTATACCTTGTCATTATAATGGAAAAAAATAAAACGTGTGGGTGATAATTAAGTCACTTTTATGACCCTTTTGTCGGGTGACCAAAGAAATGAACGTTTAAAGGCTAATTTTCGTATCTTTCCCATTTCATCAGCTGATTGAATCCCTTCTCTCTGATAGAGCTCTAACCTGAAAACTTTTCTTCCTTTTGAAGCGGAAGTATGGCACATTAAAGGGCCGCAGTATCGTGAAAAACCCATGCGCATTAATGGACTATCCATAACCGATTTTATGAAGGGGACCAGGAGAGAGTCCAAAATTCATAGAAAAAATGGTTCGACGTTTTTTAACAGTAACCCACTACTCCGGCAAAGTGTCTCTGACCACATGTCGGTTGCACGATGCGCTCCTATTCCTTGCAGACTTGAGACCTTCCATTTTTTTTTTCATAAAAAAAAAATATCTAGAAAATTAAATTGAAGCCGGCACAACAGCCATATTCGCTGTTTTTTTTTTAACTACTTTTTCTGTTTTCAGGCGTATCGCGCCAGTGAAGTCGGGACAAGTCTAAGAGTTATACGAAAAAATATAATTACAACGCCTGTGTTCGAATTTCGTGACCCTGTTAACAACCTCTCTGTAGAATTTGATGTTCTGAAATGATACTGGCTATATTAACCACAGTGAAAACTCTGACATTTTGTCTCCATCAAGGAAAAGGCTTCATGTTCGAAGGTTCATAAGCATTTGCAATAGTATTTAGTGACCATATAATAAAAAATGTCGAGAAAATGAAATTGAAGCCGGCCTAACAGCCATAATCGCTGTTTTGTTTTGATTTGTTTTTTCTGTTTTCGTGCGCATCGCGCAAGGGGAGTCGGGACAAAGGATGAAAAAATTATAACGCCAGAGTTTGAATTTCGTGACCTTAGGCACAACTTCTTCTAAAATTTGATGTTCTGAAATGATACCAGCTATACTAACAACATTGAAAACTCTGACGTTTTGTCTTCAACAAGGAAAAGGCTTTCTGTTCGAAGGTTCATTAGCATTTACTATGGTATTTAGTGACCATTATCCTAAAGCGAAACTCAATCTCGATCGATTACCGTTTGGAAGCATACGAAGCGATCGATTCTCGTAATGCGTACAAATAGGAGCAGTAAAATAAAGCACAAAACTTACCTTTCGTGTCTAAAAGCCATGCGGACGGCACAATGCTAATAATAGATCCTAGCGCTTGAAGAGCACCGATTATCAACACGTTTGTTTTATTCCATCCGAGCACAAGTTGGCATGTCTCTTGAATCGGTGGCCAAGTATTCCACAGAATATTTCCTGTCGTGTTTAGCAGGGTAAAAATGATCAAAATGTACCATCTTCGTTTGTAAACTTTGATGCTCCCAGCCGCCATTCTGCGCTCGATATCATCGGGCGAAGAGTTAACCACGAGATGCGCTGTTTCGTCGACTTCACGTAATGACATGTTTTCTTCACTGAAACCCGATATTGTTTAAAATATTATGATGTTGATTAATGCGATTATTCGCTTTCCTATCGTCTGAAGAGTACATCGTTATCTAGACACATATTTCTCCTTTTCTTTTCCAACTTTCTCTCTCCAATTTCATGTCCATTCTGCTTATCAGCTGGTAGTTGAGAAATACCGGTTGCTGTTTATTTTAACGCAAATTATGCAAATTTATGCAAAGCATTTTTTGCAACTTTTCTTTAGACCTCAGGCCTGACTGAGAGACCCTGGACTCTATCGATACCACGCACGAGGAGCAAAACTACCACGCGTGTCCTCACGCGTGTAAATAAACGCTAGGTATGTGGTGCAACATACTTATTTCACTACTTGCTTTGCAAAATTCTCAGAAGGTGGCGTTTATAATTCGTCTGTCGAATTAATGAGTTAAATACTCAAATATGATAAGTACATGAACCAATATGGGCCAACATATGGACCAACATGGGCCCCTGGGAAACTTCGATGAAGGAAAGCAACACAGCCAATTCATGGCCGAAACTTACAAAATCTGCCTTCATAAAATGACGTGCTCGTATTGTGCCTTTTATTGAGTGCTTTCTTCTGAAGTCATCTGAAATAAAATTAACCAATTCAAGTAATGAATTTAAATTTCATCTGTTCATTCATTTGGTCTTCTTTCCAAAACAATTATTATCAAACTTCTCAATCCAATGTGAATGCTTGAAGAATACATCATAAATTCATTCCCACGGAAGGAAGAACTTACTTCTACAAGCCCGGTAAACGTAAAACTTGCATCGCAAGAAATGAAGGTTTAATTACAATAATATTGTCGTGAAATCCCATTTTTTCCTCCTACTCTATCCTCACAGTTTTCCGTCTAACTTTGTCAACAAGATGCAGAGTACAACAATTCTCTTCCTCTCGGAGATTTAATTTTGCAACTAGTTGCTGACTAATACTTAGCTTATCTGTTCAGTTTGGATTGGGAGAGCACACCAGTTAGGCTAAACAAAACCTTGATACTTAGCTATAGAGCTAACTCAAGACGACAACGGTCTAAAAATATTACAAGCTAAATTGAGGCGAAGGAGCCTTCCCTTTACAAAAGGATTTTGACATTAAAAAAGTGATCATGTTCTGCAGTAATTGCAAAAACACAACACCAAATGAATGGCACCTCCCTTGGGTTTCCAAGGATATGACTTTTCCAAAAGACCCCACTATTTTATTAAACAGGTCAATGTTCCAAGATGTTTTATTACCCTAAAGTTTAAGATATGTTCGCCTTTTTGTTTTAACTTGAGACTTCTATTGTAATTCAACACAAAAAATGGAGGATGACTTTGTTATTACGGTTTATAAGTGGAGGTAATACCTAAAACACATGGATCTAGCCGAAAATTAGGATGCAGCAGAATTCTTAATCGCATCATTAATTACACACTGAAAGTCAGAGTTTATTGCAGACAACCGGCCCACCGTGAATAATTTTATTTTTGTATCCCGTGTTTTTAACACTTATATCATGTTCCGCAGTCATTTACCAATTTTGGATCTACAGGCCGCGTCATGGGAGTATTTTTCGATAGGGAACTGCGATGCAGTGTTACTGGGAAAGTAGCTTGATTTAGGGTCTACTAATTTGTCGACAAGCTGAGAGGTTTGAAGGGAGTTGGTTTCTAAAGAAACCGCGGTGATGCGTCGGTGGAGGGGGGTGTGGGGTATTGTAAGATAATCTTGTTTTATCAACTAAATTGATAATGTTATTAAACTGGCTACCGTAAAGCTGGCATTTCGAGCGGTGTCTCTTCGTCAGAGCGAGAAAGGGAGTTTTTTCACTTCTTTCTTTCAGTCAAATCCTTTATTCCCTTCGAGGGAAACACCTGGCTTGAACGATATGGGGCAATTATGTAAAACTGTTAAGATTAAGCTGGTGGTTTTTCTTATCCTGAACAAAACCGCGGAATTAAGTTAGTACTAACAATCCATATAATAGGATGATCAGGCAATAACAGTCACTTGTCTTTGGCTTGGATTTCCGACCACACACTTCTGTAAGAAGATAAATGGCTGGCTTGTTTTGCGATGATCCTCATTGCATTGGCCTTTATCCCTTGAACAGTGTCAAGACTGGGTTGGTAGATAAGCAGAGAAGATTGAACGTTGTGTTTTAGGTTTGTTGGTTTCATTTATGTACTGTTTTATTACCCTTTGTAATCCTAGGCACTGCCTCTGCTTAAACAAAATGGTATTGTAAGAATACCATTGTAAGTATTGTAAGTGAGAAGTTAATTTAACATTTAGGGAAAAGGTAAGGGAAAACTTTATCGATCGCTCTTCATGTAAGAGAGTCATCTGATGGGGGTATAGCTTTGAGTTTATGGTTAAAATTCGGGCCTTTGGAAGTTGATAGTTCTCGGTAAGAAATTTTTCCTTTTTTTTTCCACCTTGATTTAGTGTATCAAATTTGCTCACGAGCAAAGAGGAAGTAAATGAGTGATTCAGTGATTTTCCTAGAATTCAGACATCAGTGTTGTTCTCGGCACAGCTCAAATGAGCCATAAGTTTAATCAGACTACGAGCAATACTTCCCTCACGAAGAAGTTTAGCCAGTCCCAGGCGTTCAATTAGTAATTCGGGGCGAAATAGTAAACGGCGCAATAGTAGCGGAGGAGTAAAAAAGCGAGAGAGGCTTGTGTCGGGTCGACATAACCCGAGCCTTCCTCGTTTTTGCACTCCTCCACGCGTCCTTTATCATCGCACTTTTGTGAACAAGCGTCGACTTCGTGAGTCGTTTCACGGCTCGCGTCCTACTGGACGTAGGATAAAAGCGCCAGCAGAAGCTTCTGGTACACTTCTATCGGAAAAAAATGTGTTGTTATTTCCTTCGATTAGGGCTGAAATAGAGGAGACATCTGTGCGTGTTTTACAAAAATATACTTTTTGTCTAATGTCAAGTACCCACTTCTTAAAAAAACAGTATCTATTTCAAGTTCCACTTCCGTTAACACCTATACTAAAAAAACAACAGGGATGTCCGGTTATCAGCGGGACCAGGGGAAGTTACAATCCCCTGGGGTGACTCAATACAATGATTATGCATATTACCCGCTCTTTTCACGTTTGTCATGTGAAACGGAGGAGAAGACCATGTTATCAAGACATATTTGAAGACAAATACCCTGTGCGAGGGACCGACAGAATACTTCTGTAGCTAATCTTCAGGCAGCACCCCTTTCCTGCCACTCCTCCCTCCTCTGATTTGCCCTTGAAATTATCAAAGTTCAACCACACCCTAAGCATTTCCACGATTTGGTCACGTTTTAGCACTTTTATGTGGTAAAATTTGTTTGTGTTGGTTAGGGTTTCCTGATCAACAATTTGGGTGTCCAAATGATTCGACTCCAAAATTACAACATTGAGTGGGTTAAACATCCAGAGTCTCGGCTAGTTAGGCTGTCACAACTGCCTTGGTCTTCTCCTATAGTGTGCTCTGACAATACTACCTTGGCTGACAGTATTGCAGGTGTTGAGTTGTACGAGTTAACATCTTTTCGCTAGGTAAACAACAGTCATTTAGTAATTGGTGAGTAGGTGCGAAAAAAAAACATTCTCTTTAGCTATTCACTGCATCGTATAACGAACTTTCTTTTTTTCTGCGTTTCTAATCATAGTTTATCGAAAGTGATTCAATCTACACATCACGTAAAATAATCACGTCACAAATCATCATCACTTTCACGAGCATTGTGGTGCATTTTGCGAGCTGAATTGAGGATTTTTACGGATTAGATCATCTTCACATTTATAAGGCGCTACATAAGTATTGACTAAAATGTATTTTCGCACGCTCGCTTGATCGCTCAGATTGTTGTTGTTGTTTTTTTTCATTTTTTTAAACTTTTATTTTTTCTCAATGTCCTTCAATGTGATAAAAATATCAATACAGTTTATTTTCTTTGCAATAAAAATGTTTGGGTCCTTCTCAGAGTCAAACCCAAAATATTTCTACCCACAAACAAAAACAGAATAAACTTTATTGTTTTTAAATGAGTATTTTTAAAAATAACTTAAATGTTGTCAAGGATCTTCAGATATTTTCTGTTACAAGTCAACTTATCAGTGCATGCCGATGGCCAAAAAAAAAACGTGAAAATATCGACCATATAACAGTTCAGAAGAAAAAAATCTCGAGAGTTAAATGGTTCTTTAGTCGTAGATTCGGTTCCTCGGATTTTTTCAGTCGTAGCTTTTTCGAACATTGTCTGTCCTGGAAGAACAAAAAACTGTCGCATTAGATAACTTCACTGAGCCGAAATTCTCGAAGGCCAGTTCTGAGTTCTGAAGGGAAGTTTATTGGTAGAAAAACTATCATCACATAGTTGAAAATATTCTATAAGCTTACAAATTGTGAACATGAATGAGAATTCATTATTACATGTATGAACTATTTCGAAACTGTACCTTCCCGAATGCTGCCATCTTAGATCGTATGACGTGTCAAAGGTGTTTTCCACACTAGCGGCAACCGTACTGCTTTTATACGGTTTACAAATAAGTTCCTCTATTGATTCTACACCCAACAACATCAATTTCAGTTACACTAAATTTGGTTTTTAATAAGGATTGTTTGCGTAATGCACGCTTAAAACTTTTCATTAATCTCTTTGACTCGTGCAACGAACTGAGATGGAAGGATTTCTCGACCTAATCTATTTATACACGTAAAAAGATTCTTGGACCTGTTTCTCGAAAGTGAGAGCAACTTAACAGGACCGAAACCATATTTTTTTCCATCTTGAATGTAATTTAGATGTACATTTTATTGCATTGAACAACACCTGGCTGAATGGAAGATACTTATTTTAGTGTTTGTCTACATTTCCTGTGTGGTATGATGTTTCGCGGTGATTCTAGAGTGGGTTTTATTGGTTTTGGCTTCTCCGTGCATAACTTTAATTACTGTTTTCATCGGTAGGTGCACGCTACAACTTGATTTAAACCTCGTTGTTGTCATTCTTTTAACAGTACCATGATGAAAGCTTCGACTTTAGTTTTGGTGCTCTTGGTTGTAATTTTGCTTTCATCTGTGAGACTTTCCTTTGGATATCCGAAAATATTGAAAAAGATATCAGCAAACGGAAAATCTTCATTGCAATCGCGGGGAGTGTCATCCGATGGAGATGAACATCAAGGTAGGTATATTAATGCTAACAAAAAAATATTTTTATCAATGTATGGTTTTTCCAAGCGTTCGGTAGCGCTTTTGGTTTAGTTTATAACTGATTTTGCCTCAAAAACGCACCTTCAAGCAAAAAAGAAAGAATGAGACTTTAAAAAGAGAAAAAATACAGAAGCCAGACAATGTAGACTGAAGAAGCTAAATGGCCAAAATTGCATCCATAACACGCAATCTTAGATGATTCTGATTAAAAAAGGATAAAGTAATAATACTGTCATTCACAGGACAATCAATCTAAACGTAAACTGATATAAAGGTGTACGAGAAGTAAGCGAGTCGCTATTGGTAAGCTTTTAAGAAGCGAATAGCACTTAATCAAGGAAGTGAGATCTTTCTGGCACTTTTAGAATGGGTTTTGAGCAAGGCGATGGCGGACTGGCTTCTGAACGAAGTGTGAAGTGCTTATGTGTGGTGTAAGGAAACGAACGTAAAAGCCATTTAGAAGCAGTCATTTTGTAGGGACGAACGAAAAAGTGAGGGGATCAAGATTGAAAACAGGGGCCACTCCTGCTGAAAACCCCGCCTATTTTATCCGGCCCGCTTATTTGTTCGCTGACCGAGAGCCTGGCACGAGCTGGGCACAAATTAGTAGTTTCACTGACTGGTTGTTTGAGAGGTTGGCGCATGTCTTCCAAACTAATCACAAAACACATCAAAGCAAATCAAATGCAGTCTAAAGGCACTTTTTACAATTAATCAAAAATTGCTCTCTAAAATGGCTCTTTTTTGTTATAGCAGTTAAACGACCCACTGACCTACCTTGCGTCGATGAAAAAGACAGATACCATTGTTTTTACGACATAGTGATGGCGGATGCGTGTTTGACGAAAGTGGAGGAGATGTGGAAAAATTGCAGATATTCTTGCAACTTTTGTAAGTGCTCAGAAATGATAACTTTGCTTTAAAAATTGCGTCAGTGATAAAGACCAATAAAAGAAAAAAATTATATCGAGAATTATCTACCCTGAACTGGCTGCATATTTCTTAAGATCTTCGATCACAATCATCAGTTTCGATTGTGTTTCTTTTCGATCAAAGCTTGATTTTTTATTTACTTTTTTTATATACTTGATCTCATTCACCTCATTTATTCGATTGGTTTTATTATCTTCTTTTATCTATGGACTTATTTTTTTTTATTTCAGGCTAGGTGAACTCATGAAGACACAACGCCTTGTTGGCTTGTGAGACCGTCAAACTATGGCATTGGAAGCGCTACATTTATATATATTTGGAAATAAGTAACTATTAAACTTGTTAAGTCAATCAGTAGGCGTAGACATCTTTGAATTTAAATATATCATTCATCTTAAGAAAGTGTGGTGTCTCTTGACTTTGTTATTAAAAGTTTGTATTCTCTTGTAGTGAACTCGTTGCGCAGAATTTGACTCATGGACTGAAGTATGCTTTCGAAACTATATCATATTTAAATTATCCATTAAAAAGTTTTTGTGAAATAATAATTTTGACTGCGTTTTATGCTGATTCCAAAGAGTAAAGTAACTTTTTGAAACTTTTCTTCAAAGATAAATTAGTAGGAACGCTAGTTCAACTGTAATCTTATTGCAACTTAAGTTGTGTCACTTTAAATTTTCCGCTCTTTAGGGCCTGTTAACATGGAGGTGGGGGACCCCAGGTAGGTGAGGTAACCCGCCTTGGTGGGGTAACCCGCCTGTCCATAAAATTTCTTATTCTATTTTGATCACGTTTACATGATAGGTGGGTTGCTGTCAGGTAGGGTAACCCTGTCAGCTGGGGTGACAATTTGCCATGTAAACGTGTCAAGGTGGGGTAACCCGCCTAGCCGGGGTCGCGTTCATGGCAAAAAGCTCAAAAGCGAAACATGTATGTTTTAAAACTTTGTACATTTCCTAGCCGTCTCATGGCAGAAATCGTCAGAAACCGCAACGGACACACAAGGAGTGTAAAATGTTCACATTTCGGAATATTTAGTGTTTTAAATCGACCATATTTGGTTTCCCAAACTATTCTGTATAACGGTTCCTCGCGAAACCAAACACCGCCTATCACAACTAGTGACACTTTCATGAATAAATACATACGTGTCCGAGAATTAATTTTTCGTCTTATTCGAGATGTGAGCTTGGGACGCCTCTGCTCAAACTCCTTAAATTGCAAGCGCAACAACAACCTCAAGAACCCTCACCCCAGCACCCCGGGGTTGTAAGATTGCATGTAAAGGCGTTTTATTTTTCGACCACGGTTACCTCCATGTAAACAGGCCCTTAGATAGGCCCATGCGTATCTCGGTTTCCTACAGCTGGTTTCCTAACAACGGGGGCTCTCCCCACTCCCCCTCTTAGCGAACCGCAGTGTTAATGTCACCTGCAATTCTTTAGTTTCCATCCACCGATAATTCCTCGACATGGATGTCCACCAATTGTTTAGTAGTCTTAAGAAGGAAGCTGAATGTCCACTGTGCTTAGATACAGTCAAAGAACCGAAAACGCTTCCATGCTTGCATTCGTTTTGTTTAGAATGCCTTGACAAACACGCTGGATACGCAAGAAGACAGGGAAAAACGATGATCAAATGTCCGGTGTGCTTGGCTGACTTCAACATTCCAAAAAATGATACGTTCTCTTATTTACCTACGTCGTTTCATCTCAATCGATTGGTGGATATTTTAGCCCTAAAAGATGATAGCGTGCAGATTCAGACATGCAATAGCTGCGACGATAACAGCGCTGTAACTTCGTATTGTTTTGTTTGTCAAAGCTTTCTCTGTGCAACTTGTCTTGAAGCGCATCAACGCCTGAAGGCGACGAGTGGTCACCGAAATGTTTTGATCGAGAAATTGCAAGCACAAGATGTCGAAGAATTGATTCACCGACCTGTCATGTGCACGCAGAAGTATCACGAAAACGAATCACTTGAGTACTTCTGCAAAGATTGTAACACTTGTGTCTGTATGAAGTGTGGATTCGTAAGTCATAGTCGTTACACAATGTTAGATATTCAACAAGCAGCGGAAGAAAGAAAGGTTCAAATTACAAAAGCCGTTGACAAAGCAAAGGCGGAAATTGGTGTTGTGCAGAGAAAAATGGAGAGACAAAAAGAATTCATGAAGAAAAGCACAGACGAAATGCTTGCTGCTGAAAATAAAGTCACAGCTATTGTGGACGAACTTGTCCGAATTTTAAGGGAACATGAAGATGCTGTGAAGAAAAGGTTAATTGAAATCAGAGAAGCACAGCAAAGAGATCATGCGACTCGAACAGAAGAGTTTCAGTTAACAGTTTCCCAACTCAATGGATTTGTTGAACGCGGAAATGCTATCCTAAATCGAAACATACCCTCTGAAATTATACGAACAGAACTGACCGTCACAAGTCGGCTAGAAGAACTTTCGAAAGCGGCGCGAGTAATGATCCTTCAGCCACTTCATTTTAGTTATGTTGCAAACGAGAAATTTGAAAAATACAGGACCATAATGAAAAATTCAGGTCCGGGCAAAGTTATTGCGAGTTTTACCGATCCTGCACTATCGTTAGCGGGATGTGAACCAAAAGTTTTGGACGTGATAAAACCATGTAGCAAAGTGGTTTTCAAATTAACAACAAGAGATTCAGATGGAAATCAGATTTACAACAAAGAAGACAACGTGACGGTGCACATCTACCCACCATCCGAAGTAGAAGAGGAAAAAGAAATAACAAATTTCAAAGATGGAAAGTACAGCATTTTTGTTTATCCAAAACTCGCATGTGATATTGTGATTAAACTGAACGGGATACCGCTGACGCAGAAAGTAAAGATTGCGCCAGAGGAAGACTTTACCTCATATGTCGAGCAGGAGTTAGACCCAAGAGAGATGCTGACTGCTAATTTTTCGCATGGTATTGTCCCAAAGGAAACCACAGGAGATATTGTAGAGCGCAAGAAACGGCACACCCCGAAAGTAAGGACTTTGAAGCATGATGACTGTACCAAAGATTTCGTGCGTGGATGCGAAGCTTCACAGCAGCAGTTTGGCCGTAGAAGAATAGACTATTCTAACTTTTCACGTGGTACTGCCCAAAGCAAAAAGACAGGAGATAATGCAGTGAGCAGGCAAAGGGAGACCCGAATGGTAAATACTGCATCCCGTGAAGACTATACCACAGATTTCGCGCGTGATTGCGAAGCTTCACAGCGGGAGTTTGGCCGTAGCGAAATAGACAATTCTAACTTTTCATGTGCTATTGCCCAAAGCGAAAATAGAGGAGATAATACAGTGAGCAGGGGATGGCAGGCCCGAATGGAAAGTGCTACATCCCATGAAGACTATACCACAGATTACGCGCGTGAATACAACGCTTCAAATCAGGAGTTTGACCAGAAACGCATTCGGTCTCGCGGAAGGCGAAGATGCAGTGAACAGGCAACCACAGACCTGGATAGTGAAGACTGCGTCGCATGAATACTGTACCACAGATTTTGCATGTGAATGTGAAGCTTCACAGCAGGAGTTTGACCAGAGAGGAATAGATGATTCTAGCTATTCGTATGGTATTGCCCAAAGTGAAAAGACAGGAGATATTGCATTGAGCAGGAAACGGCAGACCTGGAAAGTAAAGACTGCACTGCATGAATACTGTACCACAGATTTTGCGCTATTGCAGTGAGCGAAAATATTGTTGATGGGGAAAGTAAAGATTGAGTCACACTGTACTGCAAATGTCCTGCGTTAATGCAAAGCTTCCCAGCAAGAGTTTGACCTGAGAGGAAAAGGGAATTCTAACTTTCTGTGTAGTATTGCCCAAAGTGAAAACACAGGAGATATTACAGTGAGTAGGAAATTGCTGACCCAAAAAGTAAAGACTGTGTCGCATGAAGACTGTACCACAGATTTTGTGCCCGAATGTGAAGCTTCCTAGCAGGGGTTTGACATGAGAGGAAAAGAGAATTCTAACCTTTCATGTAGTATTGCCCAAAGCGACAGGATATATTGCAGTAAGCAGGAAACTGCTGACAGGGAAAGTAAAGATTGCATCACATACTATACCAAAGACTTCAAGTAGGGCAGTCAGTAGTTTGACCTGAGAGGAGAAGGGAATTCTTACCTTCAGTGTAGTATTGCCCAAAGCCAAAGGAGATACTACAGTGAGCGGATCATGTGTACTATAGGTGGACTCGGTCGACATATCGGGCGACAGTCGACCGATATATCGGTCGACTATCGGTCGACTATCGGCCGACAATCGACCGACAATCGGTCGACTGTCGACCGACTATCGGTCGATAGTCGACCGATATATCGGCCGACAGTCGACCGATAAATGTGTCGACCGATATAGTCTTAAACCATCGATACTCGACCGATACATGACCGATACTTGACCGATACATGACCGATACTTGACCGATACATGACCGATACTTGACCGATACATGACCGATACTTGACCGATACTTGACCGATTCACGACCGATACTTGACCGATACATGACCGATACATGACCGATACATGACCGATACATGACCGATACATGACCGATACATGACCGACACTTGACCGATACTTGACCGATACTTGACCGACACTTGACCGATTCACGACCGATACTTGACCGATGCATGACCGATACTTGACCGATACATGACCGATACTTCACCGGTACTTCACCGATACTTGACCGACACTTCACCGATACTTCACTGATACTTGGCCGATAATTCATTGCCCCCCAGGGAGGAGGGTTTATTCCACGATAAAAGATATAAAACTCTAATAAGTAATATGATTACCTCATAATTTAGATGTAAATTGCGTGTCTGGAATCCAGTTTTAAATTTCTCTTGTGCCGGCCAAAGCGCGTATCGTCTCCGGCAGCGAATTCCAAGTCCTTACAGCGGCGAAGTAACGAAGAGACCTTAGACCATGTTTTGTACATCTAACTTTAGGTATCAAAGCATATTTGTGCCCCTTTAATTACGATACGTGTTCTTTACTTGAAATGAATTAGCTGTAGTGGTGGGTGTCTTCTTTTGAAAACATCTGTCTATCGTAATTAACATATCTTGGGTGAGACGACCCTTTAATGTGTTTTGTAAACCAATCAAATTGAGCATTCTTTCTTAATGAAGGGTCTTTGCTATAAATACATGTCATACCTAAGTGCACGGTCCTTTACCCTCTCTAGTTTTTCAAGTATATTCAACCTATTGACTTTGCCTGTTACTTTTCCGGAGATGTAGATGTGGTGTGAGAATTAAGGATCTGTGTTCACTTACAATAGATCAAAATTATGAGATCTACAACGCACGATGTTTATTGCGTTGGAGACTTACTACACCCTTTTCAAAGGTTAGGTTATATTTGGTTTTATTATCTGTGCTTTGGAAGCTTATTTCATTGGACAATGAATGGCATTTTAACTTTTTTTGTCCGCCGCCGCTGTCATTATTCTTTATATAAAGGGTTAAAAACCTCCAGTTTGAGACATGACGGCAAACGGGACGTCGGTAGAGTGAACTCGCAATACTTCCAGCCGCACTCATAAAGTTTTGATTTCTATTTAATTCTATATCAAGCGCGTGTTTTTAGTAAACGTCAAAACAATTCTAACACTGTTTGTTCCCATTGGACCGCGAGTAAGGAAATTTCATTTTCCGATGATGTAGTCTTCAACGCTGGTGTACTAAATGGTGGTGACGGTTGAAAATATAGATCGTATTAGGTTCTGTAGCTTTGTAAATCCACTTTATAGGGATACAACTGTTTCGAGATATTTGTCCGACAAAATGGAGCAAAACAATGGCTGTGTGCAAGTGTTTTAAAAAACATTGGTTAATTTCCTTACTGTCCTCCGTAATACAAGATGTATACTGATAACTGCAGTTTGTCATCCAAAAAAAAATTACATTCCAAAACTCAAATGGGAAATGGTTTTTGATCGCATGCATTTTAGCGAAAGCTTAATTGACTTTCTTTCCTTTGATTTGTAAAAACAAAGTAAAATACGAGAAATTGGACCTTTCTCGGAAACCTTCGATTTGTTTTTACTGCTCGGTGTATTCATTGGTTCAAATGATATAGATATAGAATGTGAACCGCGAAGCACCCGTAATATAAATTATAATTTTTTTTAAATAAATGTTTGGGTGCTGGAAGAAGGCAATACTGCCGATACAATAAATCCTCCTGGGTTACTACCCTTTTAAAGGAAATTTGGGAGTCCTCACGGGGCAAAGAAAGGGGACGTCGACCTCGAGGAGAGAGATGGGTTCTTGGGCTTTTTGACACACAGTATGACCCCGCTCGACCGTATTTACAGCTTGTGAGAAGGCGAGATTCGCGTACTCTTTTGACCATTATCCAAAGACACGTACAACCAGGCTCTTTGGTTTATACTGATGAATGGGCGGCATACAGGCAAATGCAAAGGGTCTTGGGTTTCAATCATCAAACGGTTAATCACTCGGTTAACTTTGTAGACCCAATCACCGGTGTCCACACACAACACGCAGAGAGCAATCGGTCTGCAGCAAAGGACAAATTTAAGAAGATAAAAAAGGGAACACAAATCCTAACTTCCTACAAGAATACCTCAAGGAATTCATGTGGAGAAGATGGCATGGTGAGCTTCACCCGAATGGCTGTTTTGGACGGTTGATGGAGGACATTGCAGAACAATATCCACTTTAAATACCCAGAGGTGGGGGTACTCCCATATACATGTATGTGCCGCGGGATAGGGTTTGCCTCTGTTAGCATTGTGTTTCCGTTGTGATCTTTAGATAGGATATGTAAATTGTATCGGCTAAAATTGCAGTGTGTAAATGGCCAGCTAAATAAAAAGCAAATTCCGCTAAAATTGTCAACAAAGCAATTTTATCGAGATTTGTGTTTTGCCGCGCGTGGTTAGCCGTTGTTTGGTTATTGTTTTTCCTTGAATAGGGTGTCATATTTCGTGTTTGGACAATTCTCGTTTGTTTCATCCTTAAAGTGGGACAGGATTCAAGACTCTTCGAGGCACACACTTATTCAAAATTTACGGGAGTACCCCCCTCCCCCGAAACGGGACAGTTCCTGTGACCTTAGTGCAACATTGGTGAAATTTGGTATTTTTTTCAATTTTAGACTCAGAAGCATATACGGTAAAAACCCGCTAATAGGAACCTAATTTTTTCCAAGCAAGGCTGAGAAGGCTATTATAAAAGATGGTGCTTAACTGGAAAATTTGGCTACTCAGGTTCTTTAACAGGTTCTTGTTTTCAAATAGACTGCGAGCAGTCTCTTTTGCTGTGAAATCCCACTGGAACGAACGGGGAAAAAGCGGACGTGATCGACGAGCGATGAGGGGCGAGGCCGTGATCTGCGAGCAGCAGGGGCGCCAGTCACAGCGAAAAGAGATCGCAGCTTGGCCGCTCACCGCTCGTCGATCGCGCCCTCTGCTCGCAGTCTAGTTTTCAAAATAAATGAGTCGTTTGTCATTGGAGGGCGTGGCCTATTTTTGGTATTGTATGCATAATATGTTAAAAATCCAAGCATATGTTTACCAAGTTTACAAAGCTATCCAAGATAAACAGAACAAAACGCAACATTAATACATGGAACTGTGTTGTTGCTTTGACTGAATTTCTCAAAAAAAAGAACCTGTTTCAAAGTTGTAGGCTAAAACAGGTTATCGTGTAAAAGGAGTTTTAATGCACAATTTTTGTCTAACATTTTCAGTTAATCTATTTTTTCTTAAAATTTAGGTTCTTAAAAAAGGGTTTTTTACTGTACCTGTAATAAATTCAAACATTGCAATAGTCTAGCACACTCGAGTTATTTTACGCGAGGTATTTTGAGCATTTGACGTCATTTTCCCTAATTCTCAACCAGGCTATAATTGGAACGAGATAAAGAAATAGCGACTGCAACTTCTCGGAAATAAAAATACAAATAAAAAAAAAGATTTCTGATGGTCGTAATGGATTGATATTTAGCAAGGTATTTTAGACAGTCATATTTTACACGAAATTATAAAAAATGGATATGGATAGTTTGATCGTAGTAGCGCTTTAAAAACATTACTTTCCCCCTACACTTCTGGAGGTGGAAGTCTACGAGAAGTTTCCATTTACCCACTTTTTGTTTAGCAATTTATTAAAGCTTTGAATATCTATCATCTTGAGGCCTCCTTTATCGTAATCATTGATCATTTGTGTCCTTTTAAGTTTGTCCCCTTTGCTTTCCCAGAGAAAGTCATATAGCAGGGTATCGATTTCCTTAAGTGCACCCTGATGCGTTGGAACAATTTGTTGTACAATTTGGGATACTGCCAAAGCTTTTATTATCGTGATTTTACCTAGAAGAGTAAGTCTCCTAGCAGACCAGCTGCTTAGGATGTTTTTTACTCTCTCAATTTTCTCTGAAAAAATGGCATCGCCAGAACACATCAGAACGCTTTAAAGGTAGTGCAAAATGCGATGGAAAATTTGGAGCTATGCGATGTTTGGAGAATTTTTAATCCAAATGGCAAGAGGATTATCTGGAGGCAAAGACAACTAGATATTCATTGCAGACTTGATTTTGTTTTAATAAGTCAAACTACAGTACTTACCCGCTTATAAGAATCTGAGTTCTCAGTTCTAAATGTACTCGTAGGGTGTACTCATGTGAATTCTAATTCAAAACCAACATGTACATACTACTGTTTTTCATACACTATTTATACCAAATTTAGAGATTTCTATAGTTCATACATGTTTAAGTTCACTACTTTTGAGAGTCATGTCTTTTATCTTTGCCTGAAGATCTTTAAGGTTTATTTTCTTAAACAGGAACCTGTTTCAAATTTAGGCTAAATAGGTCCTTATGTAAAGGGGGTCTAAATTGATATTTTTAGGCCAACAGGTTCGGGAATTCTAGGTTCTTATAAGCGGATTAGAACTGTATTTCCGATAGGTGGGTGCCGCGGAGTTCCCTATTTAAGGATAAAAAAATTGATACCGTTGTTAAGGCCCAAACCCCCAAAAAGACGCCCTATTCTAGGTAAAATAACAATAATGAAAAAACAAACAAACAACGGCTGACCTCGCACTGCAAAAAGAAGTCTTTATAAAATCGCTTTGCTTATGAGTTTAACCGCCTTGTTCAGTTTCAAAAGATCATTTACTTTTCGTTTAGCTGGGCAGTTACACACTGCAATTTTAGCTGATACAATTTAGGTGGATCCCATTACCGACATAAACTGGACAGTTCATATCGGTAACGTTGTACAAGCAATATAACGTTGAGGACCTGTTAGAGCTATAAGAGCTAAGGAATAATAATCATTTTAGGTATGTTGGATTAAGGGCAGCATGACATCAGGGATAAAGCATAAGCCGGGTAGTTTTAGAAATAATGGAAATACGTTAAGGCACAACATTAGTTACACAAGAGCGACCAACTTTACAATGTATTTTTCCATTACCAAATCGGAACATATATCGAAAAAACCTCGCACTCTTTCTTAGCCTATTTTCTTCTGAGCGATATGGTCGGTAAGTGAACCTATACTTGGCCGATACTTGACCGATACTTGACCGATACTTGACCGATACTTGACCGCTACTTGACCGCTACTTGACCGATACTTGACCGCTACTTGACCGCTACTTGACCGCTACTTGACCGACACTTGACCGACACTTGACCGACACTTGACCGACACTTGACCGACACTTGACCGACACTTGACCGACACTTGACCGACACTTGACCGACACTTGACCGACACTTGACCGACACTTGACCGATACTTGACCGACACTTGACCGATACTTGACCGATACTTGACCGCTACTTGACCGATACTTGACCGATACTTGACCGCTACTTGACCGCTACTTGACCGCTACTTGACCGATACTTGACCGATACTTGACCGATACTTCACCAGCAGTTGATCGCTACATATCGGCCGATGCATCGGCCGACAGTCGGTCGATATATCGGTTGACCATCGGTCGACTATCGGTCGACAATCGGTCGACTATCGGTCGACTATCGACCGATAGTCGGTCGATTGTCGACCGATGGTCGACCGATAGTCGACCGATATATCGGTCGATAGTCGACCGATATGTCGACCGAGTCCACCTATAGTACACATGATCCCAGTGAGCAGGATACCGCTGACCAGGATAGTAAAGACTGCATGACACACTGTACTGCAAATGCCAGAAGCTGTTAGAGATATATCATCTGCATATAATCTAATAGAAAAATAAGTATTTAACTCAGGAAAATCATTGATTTAGATAAGAAATGGGAGAGTTCCTAATATGGAACCTTGAGGTATGCCAGAGAGGGATAAGGAAGGTAAAAGAATCCAATCCTACCAATGCATCAACCAACGTGTTGGCCAATGCGTCAGACAACAGTCAACCGACTGTTGGTTGACATGTTGGCCTTATAACATACAAGATGCATCTTTGGTGTGTCAGTGGTGCATCGGTGACTTTGTTTAGGCCTTATTTATCTAAAGCATTGGTAGGGTGTTGGTGATGTGTTGGTAGTGTGTTGGCTGATGCATTGGTGGGATTGGATTCTTTACCTTTACCCAGAGAAGATTAGATGAAAATCAAATGTAACACCATGTACATAAACTTATTATTTGTTACAGCGTAGGTAAGATCTAAACCAATTTACTTCACGTTGGTACAATCCATAATACTTAAGTTTCTCCAATAAGATAAGGTGGTTAACAGTATCAAATACTTTACTAACATCTAAGAACAAAGACACCATACTATCAGGGAAACTACCTTTAGAAAAAATCTGATCTGAATTTCTTAGAATCAAAATGACAGAAATTTCTAAATTTAATAACATCAGGAAAAGGACTAAAATTTGGGTCACATAAAATACTGGTAAATGGTCTGCAATCTCAATGGCAAGACTACCGCTTGAGCAAGAAGTTGAATAGTTAGTTAGAATGTGATCAATACAGCACTAGGACAGTTCAGTGAAGTGAGTTGCTTTAAAATTAAGTGACTAAAACCTTGAATTAAATTGAGATGTTCCTTAGAAATGATATTATTCTTAAAAGTATTCATGTATGTCACCCATAATTATGAATTTTTTTCTTTCAGACTCTGAGATAAATGTTATATGGATTTGTCTCTAATTTATCTAGAACTTTTGTGTTAGAATACTTTGGTGGTTTCTAACTTCGGATATGGTAAAAGTTTAAATCAGTCTCACAATTGAACCATGTCTCTGCGCATCCAATAAAGCCCAAACTAATAGAGATTGAATCCAGAAGAAAATTCAGTAGCTGAAAGTGCTGATTCAGACTTCTTGTATTCAAATGAATGACAGACAATTGAGGCCTTACAGTGAGAGATGGCTGTTTAATTTCATCTATTGTGTAAATCCCACGATCATTTAGTATTTGTAGGATCAGAGGACTTATGAGTCCTTAATTAGCATACCACCACAAACTTAGCAAATATTTGAGTTTGGTTAAGGTGAATTAAATAAAAGAAATATTAGAAAATAATTGATAGTACAAGTGTCAATAAAAAGGGACTTACTAAAAAAATACTGCAAGAATGCATCAGGTTGATTAAATTTTTGAGGCTTCGTAGAGCTCACCGTTGATATACAAATTTCCGTGGTATTTGGTACATAGGCTCATATTCTCCTTCACTTTATCTTTAAGAGATGTTATGTCTCTCTGCATTGAGATTGCTTCTTTACATTGATTGCTTCTTGACAGGACTTCTATATTTTTCGCTAATTGTCGCATAGTTCTTCGTCTTACATCAGGTGTTTCAGATATCCAGCCTCTTAGGCTGTGTAACGCAACGCCAAATACTCGCGAGTTATTAGTCATGATCATCACATTTAGTTCAGGGATGGATGAGAAGTAATGGAAAAGAATGAATCCAGTCATAATTTCAAAACATTGCAATAGTCATCTATTTTGATAATTTTAGGTTATTTCATCATTTTTTTTTTAATTGAATAAATGGCACGTAATTTGTCTCGTCCGTATCCCTTTGTCCGATCCAAGATTTATTTTGGAAATGCCAAATGATTGGCGGGTTCTTCTGTGACAGTCCCAAAGGACCATGTTGTCATGGAGTTTACGCGCTAACTGAGCCGAGCGGAATGACTTTTGCGGCGAAGAGCTGCTCATTCATCTGCCGATTTAAGTAAATTTTCTCGTCGGAATGCATTTAAAGTATCCAAGGAAGAGGGATTTCTATAATTGGGAAGAGTTACGGTAGGTTTAAAAGCAGTGTTATGAAACTATCGTTTTTTCCAGCAGTTAGCATCCAGCAGCTAGCATCCTGTTGATCGAATTGCGATAGCTTTGTTCTCGAATCTTCTTTCTACTCACTGGATTCGTTCGATTGCGTAGTAATTGGGCACAACTGACATCAACACTCATATTTTTGTTTTTTGAATCAAACAGCTGTCTGGCAAAGGCTTTGGGGGTAAGTTCTCTTCATTAGATGACTTATTTCATTTTGCAACCCTCAATTTACACGTCGTGAAGACAACAAAGTAGATGTTCTTTTCGGGTTTTCTTTGTTCTTCTTTGTTCGTGAGGGGTTGTGAAAGCTAATTCCAGTGTGTGAGTAATTTTCTTTGCATTTTGGCTCCGATAATCCTCATTTATTTATTTATTATGTACTGGTAAAATGTGTTTTTAGATTTCTGTGAGCTCAGGATTGGGACGCAAACTGTTCGTCATATAGAAAACACCGGATGCACGGACAGAAGTAATTAGTCTCGAATTAGGTGACATGGTAATTTTTGGTCCTCACTTATAATATTTTTCTTTCACATGTAGTTTAGAAAGGATCTCTTTCATAAAAATGTTCCCCAGGAACTTGAGAAGGATAGATCCAATGGCCTCAGCACAAAGGTATGTACATGAGAGGCTGAGGAGCAAGAGGAGACATCTTACTTTTTACCTCTGCGAGGGTAGATATAATATTCAGATCATTAAAGCATCCGAGACCAAGCTGAAGTGTTTGTGGGTTTGTTTGGGGGGAAGGGGTGGTCCAAGGGTTCCTGTAGCTCCCACCTTGGCTAAAATTATACTTTGAAGTCAGTAACACACAAAACTGTAAATTCAGGCAGGAAAAAAAGACAACAACATAATCTGAAGAATCTATGCTGCATGCATTACTCTTTGCGCTTGTAACAAAATGTCATTTTTAGTTAGACACAACATGACAGTGATGGTCGCAAAGGTACCTTGGATGGTACTTGGTGTAACCCCCCTTTTAACAACCCAAGCTGCACCCGTGTATATTGTTAATCCTTCATATTAGTTCCACAGATTTAAGAAATTTTTTTAGTTGATAAGTGCCTCTAGTTCTTGGGCAAGGACCTAATAGATGCTTTCTCCTAGTGCCTCTTGCTACAAGTTTAATGGGCTGCCGCAAAGACTTGCCAAATGGTTATTATTAGGGAGGGAGACTGGGAGAAGCCTGTAACATACTTTTAAAGTATCCCTTCCTTTGTAAAGTAGCATTACTCTTTAGTTAGTTCCTTGGTATTTCACTAGCCAGAAAAAACTTAAGCAGCCATGTGAATCAGTCACATAGATGGATTGTCTTTATTTTTAAAGGAGACAAAAAATTTGACTTATGTTCTTTTCACTTTTTTTCATTCCTGGCTTATCTTTGCCTAGTCCATTTCAAACATGCTGGATATCAAGTGTCTCCATGGTGACATTCACCGTACATACAATATGCATGATGCACTGTACAACTCAAGAGTCATAGAGAAAGCTGTTGAAATGCTTTCAAACAGATATTTAAGGTAAACTGACATGATCCTGATAATCTTGGGATAGGGTGAGTAATTGTGTAAACAATCTCTGTAATGGTTGCTAAAAACAGTCAGTTGAGTGATTGTAGATAAAGTACACTAGTTGCTCAAGTTAGATGAAAGAGATAAAATGGAATAAATTAGGTAAAAAATTTATTTTTTACACTGTTAGTGATATATATATATATATATATATATATATATATATATAAGGTGTGTCTCACAAATTTTATTTTTTAAAAATTTAAAGAATCACAGGATTGGGTCTGACTTTTATATATTTTTATATTTCAAGGCTTAAGACTCTGGGAAAAGGAAATTCCAGTAGTTGCCATGAAATAAATTCTGAAATTTATGACAAAGTGAATGGTTTTTTTTTTTTTAATATCATGAAACAATGGTATGTTTCCTATAGATATCTAAAATATACTTCTTAATACCAGACTTTGACCCCCCTCCCTCTGAAAATCTATTAAAGTTCCAAACTTTTTGCACATCCCTTCTTCCCTGAAATTTTTAGTGACTCTCCTCCAACTGGGGAGGGATATTTTTCAAATCCATTTAATAAATAGTTAAAAAATTTGTCACAAAGTTAGAAAACAATTAATCACATCTTTTTGTCTCAGTTTTCAGGAATTAAGAGAAGTTCGTGTAGCTTTTCAGTTGTATGAACATGAAGACATGCTGGGTTTGGTTACTGATGAGCACACTTTACTTAGAACTTTGAAGGTGATGTTTATTTTTATCTCAGTAGGAATTCATGATATGAAGTGAATAAAACTAAACCCTTCACACCCTGACGTTAGTATGTATATTCTCCATACTGTTCTTGCTATATTTTCTAAGTGATGACAAAGAGAATTTGTTCAACAATCAAAAGCTTCTTTAGTTGGTGATCATTTCCTTTGTTCTCGTGATCTTAATGTTTGATTCAGGGGTGATATTGTAAGGAGAAATTAGAAGCTAGTCACTCTTAGAGATTTAAGGGTTAAATGCTCTTGATAATAATAACATAGTTTCAAATAATCTTTTTCTCCCCATAAATAATGATCTTTGCATTCAACAGAGAAAGCCTAATCTTGTGTTTGATATATGGGTAGTCCTCCTCTCTTAAATAGTGAATCTGCATTATTTTGTTTTCAGATCTGTGGAAGAGCTGTTTCACCAGTAAAGCTGAAGCAACATGTGAGTGGAGCTCTTTTAACTTGTTTTAGAATTATGACTAAATTCATCTTAATTCTTGTCAATTTTAAATTTTTTTTATCAAAAATTAAAAGTTTTAGAAACCAATATGTGATAAAATCGGGAATACTAATTTTGATCCAAAGAAAAGTTGACTGAAAGCCAGTCCTACTCTTAAGCTTGTGTACATATTGCATGCCTATCTTTTAAGACATTTGTGGGGTTTTTTTTTTGCAGATCAAACACATGAAAAGACAAGTTGCTGATCGTGTGATGCTTTATGAATTCTTGGATCTCTTGCTCTTGTGAGTAGAAGACTTAATAAAACATTGAAGGAGCTGCCTTTTTTCCAATAGAAAAGTAATAATCATAAATCCATAACTGTTTTTTCTTCACTTACAAGTTAACTTTTTCTTTCAGATCACAACTGATTTCTTTTTTTTATAAAGTTCTCAAGTAGATCAATTTATATTAATTTAATTTTAACTATTCCCTGTTAGTTTCTGTGCCACTTGTTTCTGATACTTTGTAGTGAATTGTGTTTGAATTATAAGAGATTTGTGACAATCATCAATGGCTTAACTGTAAGGTTGATCATCACTGTGTTTCAGGTGTGAACGGGACACAGATGTGCAGCTTCAACCTCTTCCACAAGTCATTGGTGTGGACAAGAATAATTTGTACAAGGTACAGACTGAATATGACTTTCTACAGAAATGCTATTTTTTTGTAATTATTTGAACTGTAACTATAATTGCATTCTCAAAATTTAGCAAGGTAAAATTAATTCTAATAACAGTTTGCATTTTTTGACATTGTTCTCTGTGTCAGCTGTGTGATTTTCAAGCAGTCCTTTGCACAGAAGATGAGAAGAAGATTCGTCATTTAGACACTTTGTATGAGGTAAAATTTTGTATTATGATAGTGATATGATGATGATAATAGCAAAAATTATGATATTAACAAAGAATACTAAAAAACATGTATGTAAACTATTTAGATTGCCATAGAGGTTGCCCACCTCCTCTCACATGTATTTTATGTTACACTATTAATTGTCTTTTTTTTCATGCCCCATGCACAGTGACGCAAACGTTCCCCCTAGAAAATCTCAAGAATCTTTTAAGAAGAGTTTGCACATTTTCTCTCTTTTAGCAAGGATCTGTTAGATCGAGTATGAGCCATAACAAGGATGTTCCTTCATGGAGACTTCTACACCAGGATTATTTTGTGGATAGTAACCCAAGAATAGAACTGGTAGGGAAGCTTAATGACGGTTTGCTTGTTTGGCTTGAATGTTCTGAATGTTCATAATGGGCGGAGAATCTATCGTGCCATTACCATGAGCTGTAAAGTGGAACAAGGTAGTGTTTGAGCTGCCCTCTTTCACAGTGCATTCTTTTTCACAAGTCAAAGAAGGAAGAAAACTAATAGCAAATGGCAAAGGTTTTGAACAAATTATTTTGCACTGCACTATGTTGTAATAATGATTCATGATTTTTTGTTGATTTCTTTTGACTTGTGCAGTGTGACTAAACTCAAAATAAGGGGTGTGGACTTATTGTCTCAGAATCAGGAGTGCCTTTTGACTCCTTGTCATTTTATTAAGGAATAACTTGACTCATGTGATGATACACTACAACCTTTTCTTATTCACAGCAAACAAGAAAGGAAACATAACAGATTTTGTGAATCTTTCTAAGTACCTGTTCCTTATACTTCTTCAAACTTCTTCTAGGTTAGCAGGCAACAGCAGAGATCCTTGGAACTTTGTGATCATTTGGATCACTCAAATAAAAAGGTACATTTAACGAAGAGAAATGTTTGGTTGTTGTTACCATGAACTTCTGTATACATCATGACATGAAGCCATATACTGTAGGTATGTAATGTGTGCGGAGAGATACTGACACATGTATACATTTAGTCTGCTAGTTTTATGTTGTGGCTCAACTTGTTTTCTTGGCATAAATTGTTTCCTACCAGTTTGTTTTTTATTTTTCTTTGGCTTGTAATTATGTGATAAATTTTGAATCGAGAAAAAATTTAAACTAGAACCTATGCATACACTGCCTTACATTTCTGCTTATTTTTGCCAGGTGATGCATGCCAGATGTGGCTATACAGGAACTTCCCGAAGAACTGCTTTTGTTGACCTCAATGATGTCAGTAGAAAATTAAAGCCACTGGAAAAACCTTCCCTCAAATTTGTAAGTTATCTGAGAAATTTGACAAAAATCAATCAAACTCTCCTTGGTGGTGTCATTCATTCTTTTCATGACAAAATATGCTGTGTATCATTCCTTGTCTCAGATGTTCAGGTACCTTAGGTGCTGTAACTGATCATATAATGATATGTGATTGACATTTCTTTTTGGCAAAATCCAAGAATTGTTATGACACAGATGCCCTGGTTTAAAATCAGCCACCTTGAAGACATATCTGCTAATTAAAGAATGGCCTGAAAACTTGGAGAATTTCATCATGCATTTGAAAAAAGTTGAAAGTTTATTAGACCTACAAAAAATAGATTTATGTCCATGGGACATTTTTTTAAAATATTATATTGATTATAAATCTCTATTAATATTAGAAAGCCCAACAGCACAAGGAAGAAGTTGAAGGTAAGAAATATTATCAATTTTGTCACAAATAATTGGTTCAAAAATTGGCTTGTGGTGATTAGTTTTCTGAACCCTTATTCAAGGTAAATTTAGGCTAGAATAGCCAATTTCATTACCAAGCCTCAGTGAGTGTTTTCTCTTAGTATTTTAAGCACTACAGGTGAACTGAAATTTTCAAACCAGTAGTCAAGAGTAATATTTTAGCTGTTGTCATTTTCAAGAATTTCAAGCAATCTTTGAGTAATAAATTAGGTGGTAAATATTACTGGTTACCTCCTGAAAGGGAGAACACTGAAGCCTTGCAGTAATTTTTTTGCTTGTTCCTATGACATGACTGTTTGCAACAGGCTTTTAAGAGTGTTTCACTTGTGCAAAACCCAATTTCAAGAGGTCTCATCAGTGATAGTTATTGTCACTCAGCTGGTATTCACTCTGATATTTGTGCATTTGTAGATGAAGGAGTTACAAAAGAAGAGGAACAACACCAGAAAATTGACATAACAAGATTAAGTGCTTCATCAGTAGGATCTTTCAAGTTTTATAGAGAATTTGATGGAACCACATCAGCAAAGTTATCAAGGACTTCAAAACTTGGACATCAGGGAATCCTAGTAACTCCAAGGGTAACGAAATATTTGATTGTACAAAGGCTGTTATTTCTAATCTAGGTTTGAATTTTTAGCTTATTTTCTATTTCTTCTTACTGTGCTAATGAATGCATGTCGGAGAGTCCACATTTCAATTCCTTTTTTTCTTGAATCATAAAACTCCCAGGAGTGATCAAAAAGGAATTTAAAAACAATTTCAAGCATAAAGGTATCAAGGAGATAAGAATAATATCAACTTGGGGAGTTTTTAAATTTAACATCAAATGCTCAGTGCCAAAATGACAAGAAATGTATGGCAGACAGGGTGAAGAATTTATTGTCAGACCTTGGGAGTTAGGGGTTTATGTAAATCAAATTGGAGGAAACAGAACACATTTCGTAAAATAACTGTCTAACGTACAAAAATTTAGAAAGCTATCAGCTTACGAGCAATCCCTCATTGTTAGCGCCGCAGGACGGTCGTTTCTCCGCTTGCAAGAAGATTTGAGACAAGTCGGGGGAGAGGTTCGCCAGGAGTCTGGCACTAAAAGTAAGGCTACACTCTTTGCGAACTTCTCGCCAGCGCGCGTTGCTCAAGCGGGCCAAATACTTTCATACAAAATGAAAAAATAATAGCGTTCGTGCTGGAGCGCTGATAATGAGGGCCTGCGAGAAAAATATAAATCAAAGACTTGCATCTAACAGAGGGTCTGAAAATGGGTTACCTTGATCACGTTTTGAACAAGCCAGTTCAAGTTAAGTTTTTTGAATTTGTTTATCCTAATAGGACCTCTACAATTCACATGTGATGTCACAGAACTTACAGTGGGACATGGAAACACAGGTTTGTCTCTTACAATCTGCCATGCTTTCATATATATCCAATCCTAATGGCAAAAACTTGTAAGGTTATCAAAAAGTGGATTATTCTAAGTGACAGGTTACACAATCCATCTTTTTTTCTTTGCAGTCCCAAAGGTTAAAACAAAGAAGTGATAAACACATGAAGGAGAAGTACTCTAGTTATTACAAAAAGCTGAAACTGTTTCAAGATCCTAGCGAAAATCCGGAAAATGAAGGTAATCGAGGTATTGTTGTTGATGATCTCACTGGCAAATATATTTGACTATACGGAAATTCCCTCTTGAATTGTGAAATCAGAGATTGTATTGGTTTAATTTTTTAGCGTTCCCACAGGTAATATTTGTTGACTACTCGCCAATCAGAATCTTTGTTCTGTCAGAGAGCTTTTTGATTGAATAACGTTGAAACAATATTATTTACATGAGCGCTATTAAAGCAGTGTTCTCATGACGTCTTTTCTGGTGACATTCCGCAGATATCAATTTGGTGTCTGATTTTAACTTTCCACGCACAAAGAACAGCCAATCATAAGTACCAACTGAATGACGATCAGTTTTATCTCTGATCTGTGTACATCAGAATGTAACTTTCCTTTTTGAATACGATTCTAAAGAAAAAGAAAATCAGTGTATAGTATGTTCTGTTTGTCGAGAAAGTTACAGATAATGTTAATAAACTAGCTGATTTATTTAAGCGCAAAACACTCTCGTTCATTTATGTTACTTTAACTGATATCCATGCTGTTATTGAGAAACATTTGCTTGAATTTTAGGTTCCAGGCAGTCCAAGGTTAAGGTATTTATGCCATTTTATCATTTTAGGCCAGAGGCCAAGTTGACGAAGTGTAAACGACAGTGTGCTTCAAAGTGAATTTGTGCGATTGCTGCATTTCTTATTCTGAAAATCTCTAGGCTGAATTCTCCTTTGATCCCTCTCCTTGAATGCTCACAGTATTCAGGATTTTAGGAGCAGGCGGTTAAAATTTAATAGATAAATTGTTATTAGTGATTCAAAACGGCGCGCTAAATTAGCGACGAGACTCTGCGCGCTAGCCTGTGTCACAGTTATTTCCGTTTCCCTTAAGTCAAGCGCGTGAGTCGTGAGGTGATCATAAGTCGTGAGCAGGCCCTTTTCTTTTGGTCTGCCATGGTATTTATCAGGGAGGAAGTGAGCTGCTAAAGCTAGATTTTCCAATGTTTCAAATGCGTGTCACTCTCAAAAAGAGAGTGACAGTACAACCTCGTTTGTAAGGTCTCTCTCGTCGTTTCTCTTCGAAAGAAACGAGGCTTCTGAGAACGAGAAAGCTCCCTCCAGCTTTCGGTGCAGGGAAGAGAGAAAGCCTGGGCCGACGAGGTTGAGAGGTAGTACTCTAATGTATGTTTGAATTCGTGATCTAACAGGAGATGCCAGAAAACAGTACAACTGCGGTCAAACCAGCAGATTCCGCTCCAGTAGAACTAGTCATTACACCACGAAAACAAGTTCCGGAATTAGATTCAATATACAACACGTTAATGGAGAGATTACAGAGAACGGACACCTTGTTAGACTTCGGCGAAGTCCGAGTTCAGGAATTTGGTTCATCAATGCCATCCAACTTCAGCGATGGTCATTCTCTGACGACCCGAAAGTTGCGCTCAGAGCAAGTGACTCCTCAGAGGTTTGGAATGACAGGGAAGGTTCGACTACAAAGACTGGGTTCCCTGAGGTCAACTCAACCGAAGGAGAGTGATGCTACAGAGAAACAAGACGAAGTTGAACAATTGCTGGAGAAACTTCAAGAAGCGAACCATGTAGCGAGTGGTAAAAAGGGTTTTTTAAATCCAAAACCCTTCGTTTTCGCTAAATGATGAACAATTTTTTGACTCGACAGAATCACGCACAGGCTACGAAGTTGTGCAGGGGTGTGTGTCAATATTGGATTTGTGCGCTCTCCTAGTGATTGGATGAGAGGACTCGCGCGCCCCTCCTCCCGACCAATCAGCAGACCAATTAGATGCCTTAGCTTCTCTTTGCTTTCCACGCTCGAAGCAGTTGCCGACATCGCTTTACGTTGAGTTCTCATAAGCTTCTTTCAACTTTTTTCTTCTTTTTCTGACTGGCAGGTGTAGGTACATAGTTTTGGTTTTAAGACACGCTCGAATTCGCTCTATCTTGAAACAGAAACATTTGGAGGTACAAGAATCCTGTCGTTTGTTTCAACAATTTAACCCTCGTAATGCAAATGACCTCACATGAGAAATGCTGTGTAAGAATTAATAGCCGAGAGAAATGTATGTAGAAATTTATCAAGAACACCTTAAAACACAATTGAGTTTCTACTGTAAAAATGTGTATATTTTTTCAGAAAATTAGAGTTTTAGCAAATATTTAACTTGTATTGTAATTCTTAAAAATATTAATGCACATAAATGAAATTAAAAATTTGATACGCAAAATATAAAGACGCAAATTGTAGGCGCTTGACTGATCATAACCCCCCCTTTTTGCCTACGGCAGGTGCAATACCATATTTGATATTTTTGTTTGAACTGTTACCTCATATTCTGGCAAAAATAGCTTCTAGGCTATGACAATTTATATGATTTATACGAATTAGTGTCGTGCGAGGTTGCGCTTGGCGCTGGCGCCAACTATCCTTTCAGAGACGCGTTAAGACCCCTCTAAAGTTTCTCTTCATACCAATGGTTTGACTTCGCCGAAAAGTCTACTCGCTTAAAAAGTAACAAACCAAATAAAAAGTTCCACCGTATATCCTTTACTACTTCGCCGTCCTCGAAATCAAGCAAGCCGCTGTACTTTTCTTTTCGTATTTATATGATTAAACGTCGCAGCGTTTTCTTCAAGAGAGGTGCCCATTTATTTCCGATTCATATTTCTGAAATCACTGACATCACAGTCATAAATAGAAAGTAAAATAGACTGAACATGTTCAAATTCTAATGTTTTGGGTGTTTTTTTAGTTGCTAAAAACTGCAAGGGCTCTTTAAAAGATGGTTCATATTGTCGGATAGAGCCTTACCATGAAGCTCATACCTGATCGTACCTGTAATATTCCAATAAAGGCCGCTTTCTTATGACTTGAAGGGGTGTTTATTCGAGGTTTTTTTTGTTGTTAATTTTGTTTCTTTAAGTGAGGCCAAATCAATGGGCGGCTTTTAATCGAGTATGACGGTGATGAGCAATTTCACGCTACGACAAGAGTTCACAAAATATTCTTCACCTCAATCCCCCGCCACGCTAACAAATAAAATATGATTGAAAAAAAATGTGAGGAATTTCGAACTTTCTGAGAAAATACAATCCGCGAAATATTGCAAGATAACCTGCCTAGTGCCATAAACCTTATTCTAGCTCCGAAAGGCATAACTTCAGGTAGTTCTTAGCCTTCAGAGCAGGCGTAATTTTGGCGGTCGAGTGCTCAGCATCTTCTTGGCGAAAATTATGGCCGCTTCTTAGGGCGGAAGACTAAGGAGAGAAATAAATTTGTACCAAGAGGGTGAGTGACGGTCAAAAATAAGCAGAGGATTGGGAGTGGGGGAGTGCAGGGCAGGCGTAATTTTGGCGATTGTCGACTCTATTTCCAAACAGACATAGACGGTTGAATAAACGTTCACGAGCTTCCCAGCGCCAACTCGCCCTAATAGGACGCCTATGCTGTAGGTTAGGAAGTTCTTGTCTCCCCTCCCACTCCTCCGGTACGTAACAAAAACCGCTTCATAATTTTTGACCAATCCGGAAAGAGTTTACTGAAACGTTCGAAATTCAAATTTGTTGTCGTATGGATGCTTGGCCGATCAATCGCCTAATGAAAGAACGACAAGGAGAGAATTTTAAAGCGTATTTTAAATTATAAAAAGCAAGATGGTCCAAAACTCTGACAACTGTCTCCGTCGTAAACGATCGTCAACTGCAAGGCGATCACAAGTGAACGGTGTAAAAGACAAACATAACAATATGAAAGTTGTTGTGCGAGTAAGGCCTGCGAACGAGATGGAACTCTACAAGCAATCTTCCACGGCTGTTCGTGTTATGGACGAAAGAATGCTGGTTTTTGATCCAAAAGAAGAGTCTGTAGATTATCTGTCCGGCGATCGACCACGAAGGCAACCACAGTTCCTGACGCGAAGAGCTAGGGATTTGAGATTCATGTTTGATCGAGTGTTCGATTACGAGTCCAGTAACAAAGATGTCTTCGAACACACAACTAAAACGATCGTAGATGGAGTTCTTGGTGGCTATAACTGTTCTGTGTTCGCCTACGGAGCGACAGGGGCAGGAAAAACTTTCACAATGTTAGGAGATCAATCTAACCCTGGAGTAATGTTTCTAACGATGATGGAATTGTACGGCAGAATCAACGCTTCGAAGGACGACAAGATCTCAGACGTAGCTGTCTCGTATCTTGAGGTACTGTATGTAAATGTATAATACGTGTTCAACCAAGCCAGAAGGACCAGTTCTTTAAAGGAGAGTCGAAAGTTGTATACAGCTTTGATTTGCAACTTCACTGCCGGTAATACAAACTTATAAATGAGTGTGAGACCCTGGCAAGGGGAAGACGTAATGAGCTCAGGGATTCTCCCTTTTCACTGACAAGCAGAGATGAGGGGCTGTGGTTTTCAGGGAAATGGCCAGGTAACCCCAATTATTTTATTTACCTGACCCCTGCAATTTCTCATGTGCCTGCTTTTTCGTTCATTTCATCGCAATGAGGACCCAGCCATGAAGGCTACACAGGCATGGGCAGCATTTTCACTTTAGAGGTTGTGAGGTGCATATCCCCCCCCTCCCCTTTGGCTTCACTCTTGTGTGCTGTCCAACAATTTTTGAGATTTAGAGGTTGTTAACACAGGCAGGAAAGACATATACATGTACAGCTGTATGGTACATGTATAGTGTAGGATCCAACTGTAAGTTTGACTGTTGCCACTGCAGGTTTACAATGAAACGATCCGAGACCTCTTAATGCCTGGCAAGCCTCTGGCTGTGAGAGAAGATCCACAGAGGGGAGTGTGTGTCAGTGGCCTTACACTTCACAAGGTAAGTGGCCTTATTTGCATTACATTTCATTCCAAAAAGTGAATTTCTGATCAGTGTTGTTAAAAAATACCTATTTTCATTTGCATGTCTCCTTTAATGTGATCATTAAGGTTGATATGCATGCAGTGAAAAGGCCAAGATACTAGTCCCTCTGATATTTCTCACCAAGGGCCAGCCATAACTGAATGTTATAAGTCTCCAAGATTTGATCTTTTACCAAAATAGTGAAACACATTTGATGTCCTGGCAGGCCAGGTGCAACAGGCTATCAACTTTTTCTTTTAGGGACTTTGGATGATTAGAACCTTTGTGCACTGACCAATCCTTCCATAGCAGAGCCTTTAAATTTTGGAACGTGTTGGGGGGCCAACTTTTCATGACCTCAACCCTCAATCCTCTTAATTTGAACAAAGTGAGCACAAATGGACTGGTTCAGAGCAAACTGGTTGCAAGAACAAGTCAAGTATATGTAGTCCTCTCCCCTGTGTTTGAAAATTCAATAAATACTAAATGTTCCTTGTCTTTTCAAGCCAACTTCTGCTGAAGAACTGCTGGGGATGCTGGAGTTTGGAAACAACAACCGCACCCAACATCCCACAGATGCAAATGCACAATCTTCAAGATCCCATGCTGTTTTCCAGGTAACAATATAATTCAGTGTTAGGAATGTCAACACAGTGCTGATTTAAAAGCTGCTAATTTGCAACCTAGAATCATGATTGCAATTTTACTTGGTAAGAAAAAAGTAGAAAATGACATTTTTGTACATTTTTTGATCATATCATTCCAAGCAAATGTGTAACACCCTCTGACTTTCACCCTTACACCCTAAGATAAGTATCCATATTCTCCATACCCTTCTCTATACATTTCCTTTGGTACTAACAGGGAGAATTTGTTTAAGAATCAAAGATTCTTAAGGTGGCAATCATAATATGAGAATATCATAATAATGAGAATATTTAATAGTGTAGTTTGATCGTCCAGGTGAGTGTAGTCCTGAGAAGGACTGTTGTCGGTAGTGGTGACTGACGTTTCGACAACCTGAGTGGAAGTGACCGCTGATGATGACTTCCGCTCAGGTTGTCGAAACATCAGTAACCACTGCTGACAACAGTCCTTCTCAGGACTACACTCACCCGGACAATCAAACTACACTATTACATGTTACCCCCAGGTTAAAACCATTCACTAAATGAGAATATTCTCATTATCGTAATAAGTGATTCGGTAGTATTACTGTAAGGGGAAATTAAATGCTGGTCACTATTAGGGTTTAAAGGGTAAAACCGTTAATACTGAATGATTATTTAAAAGTTACAGCTTGCTTCATGACCCCCAAGTGCAGGCTGCCAATTTGGTAGCTTTTGCTCAAAATTTAATCCCCAAAGTTTTTATATTAAGCAGATAAGTGATTTAATAATTAGTAATAGATATATAGGATTTACTTGAACTTGGAAGTATTCAAACATATTCTCACATTGTATGTGGAAACATTTTTTCCTATATCATCGTGTTTATTAGGTGTTTGTTCGACAAAAGGACCGAACTGCAGGATTGCAAACAAACTTTACCATGGGAAAAATGTCCTTGATTGACTTGGCAGGGTCAGAGAGAGCAATAGTGACATCCAACAGAGGTGAACGATTCCGAGAGGGGGCCAACATCAACAAATCCTTACTGGCTCTTGGCAACTGCATTAATGCACTTGCTGATAAAGAGGTAACTCAAATTACTGTTGCCATTAACGAGCAGCTAGGAGTAGGCTCCCTTGTGCTCCAAGTTCATTTTATCACAAATTCGCCTTTCAGTAACCTTCAATTGTGAAATGTTTGCCTCAAAAAAATTTTGGTCATAGTATGAAATGAAGTTTATCTCAACAAAATTAGTTCAAATTGATCCCTGCTCATTTTAAGTTGCTTTATATTAGGATTCTGGTACTGTTTGCATGCATTTGTTTGTTTGATAATTTGAACAAAGAACGATAAATCTTTCTTTCTCTACCTTTTTTTTTCAAATCTGTTGGTCACCACTTAAGGACTCTTGTCAAAATTTTAGTTGCTGGATATATTTTTAAGTCACCACAGTCACCAAAATGGTCACAATTAACTTGGGACACTCCCCTTGGTGAATTGGCACCACCAAGTGATCAAAGAAACATTTTCCTGTGAATTTCCATTTTTTTTATGTCTTTTATTTTTGGTAATCACAAGCGTAAGGCATTTTTTCTTAACATGAAAGGAATACACAGTTAGCACAGGATCAATACAGAATCACAAGATAAAAATTACACCTGATGAAATGACACCAAAAGCACTATGAATAGTTCTGTATATTAAGCCCAATTGAAGCAAAATGTTTGAGCATGTATTTTGAAGAGGTGATGAATCAATATTCCTAACTTTTGATCTTGCATCTTGTATTTTGAATCTGTTGTAAGATAAAAAATGAGAGAGATTCATGAACAATCAACCATCAATCACTAGATATTATGTGAAGTACAACCAGTACATTCCTGGGAGTAAAAATTAATGTTTTTTTTTAAAAGAGGAATTATTAAAACATTTTTCCCTTAATCATCAGCTAATAATCAAACTCTGTCTAACACTTGTGCTCATCTCCCCAAATGAACTTGGCCCTAACTCCTTCCCTATTAACCTTTGAACTTGTTTGTGATTCTGTAGAACAAATCTGGGCACATTCCATACAGAGACAGCAAACTGACAAGACTTCTAAAAGATTCTCTTGGAGGAAACTGCAGAACTGTTATGATAGCAGCAGTCAGGTAGACTTGCAGGTTCTTGGTCAGTGGAGGAACAAGTGAAAAACCCTGGCTGTCTTAGAAACAACTGATTTTCTTTCCCTCAATACTACCATATTTCACTGACTTAAACCCTTTAATAATTACCATTACTGATAAATTATTTGTTAATAATGAATGATATAAAATATTTTAATAATATTTAATTCAAATAAAATGTTGTATTGAAATAATGTTATACAAATAAATAATAAAATATTAATAAATAACAAAATGATAACATTCATTTGGGGTTAACATTTTTATCACTTTTTACAGCCCATCAGGCCTCAGCTATGAAGATACATATAACACCTTAAAGTATGCAGACCGTGCAATGAACATAACATGTAAGGTCGTGAAAAATGAAGTGTCAGTGGACATGCATGTGAGTCGGTATGCAAAGATTGTGGAGGAGTTACGACTTGAGGTAATGCATTGGTCTCATTTAACCCTTTAACTCCCATGAATGACCAAGAAAGAATTTCTCCTTACAGTATCAACACAATATCAACCAGATAAGTGATGAGAATAAAGAAAAATATCAATTTGGGGATAACAAGTTGATCCAGTACTAAATTCTCTGAACTAACATTATAAGAATTGTATGGTTGACAGTAAGAAGAATTACAAATTTGATCTGGGAGTTAAAGGGTTAAATGCTTGTTAAAATTGGTTGAACTTTCTCTACTTGTTGCGTTGTTGGAAATGAATTGAGATAATGTGGTGTGGAATCCTTGTTTGCCCAGAGCTTGAAATTAGTTATACCATATTTTTCAGATCTCTGAGCTTAAAAAGAAGCTTTTTAGTCCTGAATCAGGACCAGTTTTACCAATTAAACCTGCAGACTCTACTAAACAGAGGGAAGAAGTGCAAAGGTAATGAATTAATATCATTAAAAAAACCTTTTAATTAGTAGTTGATATTATTTATTAGTAATTTACTGCTAACAAATTATAGTATCTCTAAGAGGTTATACTTTTTTTTAACCCTCTAACTCACATGAGTGACCAAGACAGAATTTCTCCTTACAATATCAATACAATGTCAACCAGATAATTGACAAGAATAAAGAAAAATATCAATTTGGGGACAATAAGTTGATTTGATACTAAATTCTCTGAACTAACTTTATAAGAATTGTATGATTGACAGTAAGGAGAAATACAAATTTGATCTGAGAGTTGAAGGGGTTAAATTATTTGGCAGATTATGCTCAAGCTTAAAGAGTGTCATGAAAGAGAGAATGGCAGTACGAAGAAACATAATAGACATTGAGGCAGCTGACAGGGACCTTCAAATCAGACTGTACAGAAAGGTTTGAATTTTGTTGATATTTATCAATATTGATAAAATAAATATTTCAACAAAACTTTCTTATCATTTGTATTTAATTTACTAACCTTATCTGTCACAATAATTCAATCAAGGTTATATTGTACTATTTCAAGTTAAGAATTGAACTGTCAAAATTTAGTTTAAAGACTGAGATAAATTGAATCGATTTGAACAATGTACCTATATTAAACTAATTAATTTGCTTCAATTCTGCTTCTGCTGAAAATTTTGACATCAGACAAGGGTGCAACAGAATTTCAAGTCAGTCAAGGATTACCATGCATTTTGTAGCCAATCACCACTCACAAAAATTAAATTTAAAAACCTTGAACATTAAACATGTATGTTTCTTGAGAGGTCCACAACATGACATATGATTTATATATTAATGAAAAGAGCAGTTACCAAATATTTTTCATTCCGCATAACTTCATCTTGTACTTATTTAGTAGATCAATCAAGTTGCCATTAACAATGTTTCTCAGCTATTTTTCAGCTATTCTTACTACTCATGTTTTACACATTTGATCTATTCTAGGAACGTTCCTTAAAAAGAATGCAGTTTGTGTGTGTTGAAGGGCAGAAGCTCAATGAGGTATCAAACACTTAAAGCGCACCAAAACTGCTCATTAAACATGCTTGTTGCCAACAGATCTCTAATGTAAAACTTTGATTTAGCTATGGTAATCAATCATCTTCAAGAATTGATTCACCGGTATCTTACTTTAGACTTTACTTCCATCTTTATGAAAACAGTTTTGCTTTCAACCAACTAATGCAGTCCAAATTTTCCACAATTAACAATTTTATTGTGCCTTGTGAATTACATCTATATCAACTTTCTGTTAGATGTACGTGACACCTTGGAAAAATGCTGGTGCAGTGTTTTCAAGCTTTTGAAACTCCTGCAACAATCCAAAATCACAGGCAATGAGTTGTATGCATTACTTGTTTACTAATTAAAAATTGGGTAACAACATTTTGGAATCAGGATAAATTTGAAATTTAAATTGTGTTCCATGCGTTTATCGCATTCAGTGATAAAACATTAAAGTTGTGCTGGGTGATCAATGCTAAACATTTAATATTTGATAACCTCTCTTTCATTCCCACTTCACAGGCCTTGTCTAAAGTCGAAACATGTATATCTTCCACTAAATCCAAGCAAAAATACCTCGCCTGCAAAAAATCTGAATTTGAGGAACAAATAGCAAAAAACACTAAGTGGTTGGACAGAATTAAATCAGAGATGACACATCTTGACTCTGACATGGGTGCAAAAACTCAACTTGATCAATGCCAGTCAGAAGCTCAGTCAAAGCTAGATGATATGGAGCTGAGAAGAAACTGTCAGCTTTACAAGAGACACATTCATGCTTTAGAAAAAGATGCTCAGAGTACAGAAAGGTGAGCATGCCTACACTAGAGAGTATTGATAATGTAAATCACTATAATTATAATATATTACTGACGGTGACTTTCACTCGGAAAACTGTTGTAAGAAAACTAATCTCTAACCACTATTGACAGATCCTTTACCAACACAAAATGATAACTAAAAATGTAGCATTTCCTTACCACCTAATACATGTAATTCCTGTAAATTAAAAGCCAAGGCATTGTCTTAAAGGGTAGAAACAAGTCAGTAAAATAATCACAACAGAAAAAAACATTTTCCTTGCAAATCTTCAAATCCTGATGATCGAATTCCACATCTATGTGTATAGTATTCCGCACATTTCAAATAAAAGTTTGAGTTTTGATTTTGTAAACAGGTGACACAATCACTTTTCAGTAAACTATATAAAATAAGTGGCCTTGAATTTTCTTGTAGTTAGACCAGTCATTAGTTTATTACTACAACTGATGGCAGTGATTTCCTGTACAGTGACCTTACATACAGACATACCTCTCAAATTTGTTTTGTTTCCAGACTGGTTGAAAAGTTACTAGGAATGGTACAGAAGCAGTTTTTTGCTCTAAAAGGTGTTGGTCTCACAACCCAGGAGCTGACAGATGAATACAACACTATTATTGAAACAGTTGAAAAGGGCCGTGAGGTGACATGGGCTGATCAAAGCACATTGAATGATAGTAACTGCTTTGATAAAACATCATCTAATGTAAGCTTTCTGCTGCCAACTGCTGGTGAGTAGGGAACACAAAGAAAGTGTCTATTAGATAAAATTAATTTAGGATATGGTAAAAAATATATTGTAGTGCTACTTGTACATTAAGTAGCAAGAAATGTTATCTATTAGCATCGGATACAAAAGCATTACTCTCCAGTTTAGAGAAACCTGGCATACATTTAAAAGTTTTTAGCTCAGTGAGGTACTTTCCCTGACTTACCTGTACCAATATTTTCTTACTATCTTTGGCAAAGGTTTAATCTAGAGGTCTCAAAAGTCAATGGCTATTAAAATAACTTACAGTATTTTTGATAAACTATGTAAACTGCCAAGTTCAAACCACAATCTGCAAATGACAAAAACAAGTGACATCTTTCTTATAACAATTATTTCTGTCACAAAAGGAACACCATTGTCAAGAACACCTATCAGAAAACGTCAGTTCAACACACCAGTCAGTAATGTTCATAGTGACATGACACCTTGCAGAAGCACTTCTAAACATCAAAAGATCATCACAACCAGTTCTCAACCACCATTAGAGAATTCTGATACTTGCATTTCTTTGATGAAAGAGTATGAGGCAACACAGTCACTAGGAAAATCAACAAACTCAGTTGGAGGAGGGTTTGAGAGACCCAAGATGGCTACACCAGGTGTAACCAGTAGCATTCCAAAGGATCAAAAACTGGCAACACCTTCACGAGTTCCATCAGCTTCACCATTCCTACCTTTAAACAATAACAACTGTTTAAAGTCACCAGCAATGTTTTACACCAAGAACAATGCAAATGAGCAATCAACATCTGCCCCAAGAAAGGCAACTCCCCATCCCAAAGTTCGTTGGAGTGAAAGTCCTGTCGAAACAAAGTCCTCCTCACCAACATGTAATACTGCACATAACAACTTAGGTAATAGCACACCTGTAAGAGTCTCTAGAGACTTAAATCTGTCAGGAATACAAGCTCTAGATGAAACTCCAGCAGATAAAAATCAACAAATGGATGCAAGACAGGTAATAAGCATATATATATTTACTGCACTTTTAAAATGCCATGCAAATTACAGATATGAAAATAACATTATGTACTGTAGTCAGTCATGTTGTGGACCTCTGAAAAAGATGCTGCTCTTGAGTTGTGATCCACACATTTTCATTTTGTTTTGGTTTCTGCTCTTAATTTTCTGTTATGACATTGACTTATGAGCAGAAGTCATCATCAGAGTCAAGGAGAGTCAAGAGTCATCAGAGTCACTTGACTCTGACGATGACTTCCGCTCAGGTTGTCGAAACGTCAGTCACCACTACCGACAACAGTTCTTCTCAGGACTACACTCACCCAAATGATTAAACTACACTATTACATGTTACCCCCAGGTTCAAACCATTTACTGTATAAAATGTATTTACTTCCTTTTCCTGGCCACAATAACTTTCTTACTTTCTTGGTTTAGAGGAGAACTGAGACTTGAGAGTTGTCTTACAGAGACAATGCTCTTTAATTCAAAATTTTCTTTATGTCATTATTGTTTTCTTACAGATTACACCACTTCCATCAAGAAGCAATACAACACCTCTCAAAGAACTGTCAATAAATACAGTAAACAATCTGAAAGATCAGTTGCCATCTGTGCTGAGTCAAAGTGATCTTTTGAAAAAAGGTAAAGGTTTATCAAGGCTGTATTTTAGAGCTACCATTGAATCTGTCACAGGCACTGAGTCCTACATACCATATCAGAACTTTTCAAACTCTTGTCTTGGATGAAAACAGAATAGCTTTTAATTACTGGCCTAGTAAGTTACATAAACCTTCGAGAAATGAGTCTCAGGTCCTCAATGTGTGGTATCTAATTTCTTACACAGAAAAATCAAACAGCAGCCAGGAAGTGAAAGACATGCTGCCAAAGAGGTCAGTTGAAAAACACCATGCTTTGTATCAGTATGGTCCTTCCAACAATATTATGAATTTTGCATTGAAAGCAAATTTCTTGTGGTTGAAATACTCGACTCTAGAGTGGAGGAAAAATTGGGATCCCTTATATCCAACATCTCTTGATTTCACTATTCTTCATAGCATATGCAAAAAAGTATTCATATTCATTTTCAACATGTACAACTGAGAGGGTTGCAAGAACAGTGACTGCAGGATAACCTCTGTCTTCTCTATTAACACCTTAACATCAGTATGTACTTTCTCAATACTGCACTCTATACATTTCCTAAGGTGCTGACAAGGAGAAGTTCTAAAACAATCAAGAGCTTCTTTAGTATGTGATCACTTCCTTTATTCCCTTAACCTTAATGAGGGATTCAGTGGTGGTATTGTAAGGAGAAATTAGATGCTAGTCACCCCAAGGGAGTCAAAAGGTTCACTATTAGTCCCAACTATTGAAAAACACTTTTTTTCAGAGTTTTCAGTTCCACAAAAGAGAATGTCCAAGCACTCAGAGGACCATCAAGATCATCTAGCGCTTTGCAGCTGGACAAGGTTACATTCTAAGAAAGTCAAGAAACACTTCAATGGACTGAGAAGGGCAATGAGCAGCACCTCAATTGGAACAAGCAGAAACTTTGCACCACGTACATCGTAAGTGATTCATAGGACTGGTACAGTCTATGTAGCTCATGACAAGTATTTCAGGGACTAAGGCTTTCCATTTTTTAAAAGCCCCAAATCACTTTGAAATATTTTGTTCCACTAACCAATTGGAATACTTTGAATGGCAAAGAAGTTCTATTCATAAACTTTTCGCCTCACAGCAGTTTACAAAAAAATGGAAAGCTCCAAAAAAGGTGTCTTTGCTTAAAACAAATTCATACTGGTGAACAATCACTAGTTCATTGATAAAGGTGCTATGAAAAAATTACAGGTCAAATATCTTGCTTCTCCAGCAAGACTTCAGAGTTGTTAGTATAAGATTAGTTAACCCTTTAACTCCCAAAAGTGATCAACATGCAACTTCTCCCTGAAATATCTGTACACTTTTCAGCAAACACGTGATGAGAATGTTCAAACTTATCTGGTAGAATTTGTTGTAATGATTTTACACCAAATTCTCATTACTAATCTACAAGGGAATGTGTAGCAGCTGGAGGGGAGAATTAATAGTCAGATCTTGGGAGTTAAAGACCGGGTTAATTCATAATTTTGTTTTGCAACTATTTTTCTAGAGCCATTTACCAGAACTTACCAAAAACAAAGATTTGATTAAAATGTTAGAGGGCATGTTGAAACAGGTGTGTGACACAATAAAACCTGGTATTCTTTCCAAAGTCATGAAATGCTATCTCCTAGTGATCAGCAGCTAGTTGTTAAAGGGAAGACTAGGCCAGCATATTCAAGGCTGACCATAAATTATCCTGTTTGGTTTTTGGAAAAGAAGCATTACTATCACATTCAACTCTCCTTGTCATTAACCATTAGGCCCAGTTGTTGAAAAGGGCAGATAAATCGCTATCCAGTGGTTAAGTGTTAACCAGAATGTACTGCCCTGTACACTAAATAGGGATTTATCCAGTGGAAAGCATTATCCACCCTTGAAACAACCTGTGCCAGGAGTATAAATTATGTGGCATCTCTTTTATGTGACAGAAAACTGAAAAAAAAAATGCATGTTGAGTGAGCATGCAATTGACTACAATTCTGCAACTAATCTGATTGTTTTGAGATGACACTAATACATTAACTACAAATGTATTGGGCCCATTGAACTGGGCCTTTCATGGAAAGGTTTTAAAGTTTAGTAGGTAGGAATTCCAAACAGCTGTCACAACATGTATCCGAAGCTTTGAAACTCTTACAGTATTTATTTAGCTTACAGTGCGAAGCAACATGAAACACAATAAGGACAAAGATATATTATTAGAAAATTATCCACTTGATAATTATAACATTTGCAGCTCAGTTTAAAAACAATCCATCAAGTATTCAAACTAAATTGTATGAACTGTAGTTGCATGTTTTTAGCCCAAACATGTCTATGATTATCCATTGATTTCACCCTTCAGGCCAAAAAAAGGGAGTTCAAGATCTTTCACAGAGAGACCAAGATGGCAGTAAAATTAATTCAGCACAACAAAAATAGTACTTATCAGCAATGACGATGATCATTCTTGACTATAATTTGGATGTATGTATATAACCTTGGTTTTACAAATGCAGCTGTAATTTAAAGCAACAACCAAAATAATGTCACTCTGTGATTTCAGGCTAGTTCTTCTTTTTTTAAAATGTCACTTTTAGCTGCCACTATTAGCAATATTTCAAGTTGACTTTTTTTTCCCACTGTGTAAATTTACCTCGGAAGTTATAGAATTTTGTAAATGCTTTGTATGGTAGTTCACAAGTTGAGAGTATTTTAATTTTATTAATGGGTTGCTTGGAAAGGAACTTGGCAGAAATTTAGAAATGTGAACATACCATTTGGATTTAAATATTTTTAAAAAGTTATTTTTCATACATGTCTCGTTCAATGTGAAGGCTAGAAATGGTTGATGAACTGTAGCCAGGAAAATTTTAAAATTACAACTTCAGGAGACTTTGCCAATATATGATTCTAATGAAAAAAACTGTGGTGCTGGGACAAGATAATTTGGCTTTATCAATTGAGTCTATAAATTGTAAATTGGCTACTATTGATAGCTTTTATTAGAAACTCTTTATGGTGGCCAATTTACATCATAAAATCAGTTGATGAAACCAGATTATCTTGTAATACTTAATCCTTTAACTCCCAAGATGTCATTAGTAATTCTCTTACTGTCTGCCATACAGTTCTTGTTATGTTGGTTTGGAGAATTTTATATTGGATCAACCAATAATCCCCTAATTGATATTTTTCTTTATTGTCATTATTTGTCTGCTTGATATTGTAAGGAGAAATTCTGTCTTGGTCACGCATGAGAGTTAAAGGGTTAAGGTTTATCTACAGCTGAGATGTGAAAACAAAGAAGGTGAACATTTAGTTAACCTTATTTGTCTTCACATGTCAGCTGTTGGAAGGAGAAAATTACCTGACTTACAAGTTATTACTGACATAATTTTTAATATTAGTGTTTCAATCTTAATGACAACAGTGATCACCTTAAACTTGGGGGATTTCAATAAAAATTTCACAGATGAAAATCAGTGATAATGACAGTGCTCAACATTCTTATGATTCCACATCATTATTTTCAAGTTGGTGTATGTTAAATGTTGCCAGGTTGCTGCATGTCATATATTAGCCTAAATAATTTACCATCAAAAAAAGAAGGCATGGAAAGTTAACTTGCTTAATTTTAAAGAATGATTTCATCACCAAAACGAAATCTAAACTAAAATTATAAATGCTATAGTAAATATTCTCTGCATGTCACAATGTATTATCATCCTATGCATTTGAAGTTATGCACACTTCTCCCTGTAAACAAACCCCTGCCTTCTTCTCTAGATAGATTTGAAAAGAAAGACAATAGGTCAATGAAATGTTGATTGCATTATTATAATCCTCTTTTTTCATTAGGGAGCATTTCATTCGTCCCCCCTTATTCAAAAAAAATTTTAATAATACATTGACAGAAGGCTGGTTATATGGTTAGATAAACATTGCAGTAGAAATCATTGCTACTCAGAAAACTGAAGTTACCATGTTGTACATTATGATTAAAAAACACTTACTTGAATCAATTTTTAGATTCATATAACACTGACAATCCATTTTATAAACTCATAACAAAGCTGCCTATCTAGGGCTGTGAGTGATTCTGAGTTCAAACATGTCCATAGGGCTGTGTGAATGTCATCAGCTTTAAATTTTGCACCTAAAAAAAATTGCAACATAGGATAGTTATATTTACAATTTGTTACTTGAGGAAAATGTTTACTAATGAAATGGCATTATAAAAAAAACTATGTGAGTAAATTTAACTTTGGTTTGGAAAAAGGCCTCACAGTAAACATTGATGAAACAAATAATTCAATTTTAACCTGCATCTTATTTAGCTGGGCTGGGTTGTTCAAAGGTGGGTTAAGATAACCCAGGGTTAGAGTGAAATTTGATTTCAGATCTGAAAGCTTAAAAAGAAAATTCAGTCTAATTTCATTTGTCTACAATTTTATGATTGAATGTTCTAAAAAGAATTGGGAAAATTATCCCTAGACGGCTTTTGAACAGGGAAATATAGAAACCTGGATTAAAATTTTAACCCTGCATTAGTGCTAATTGGCCTTTGAACAACAACTAGTGACTATTGGTGACTGTCATAGGTAAGGAAATTGTTTGCCTCTCAAAAATATGCTAATTCAATTTGAAAATATGTATTTAACCCTTTCACTCCCAATATCTGATAAGTAATTCTCCTTACTATCTGCCATACAATTCTCATGATGTTAGTTCAGAGAATTTGATATTGGATCAACTAATAATCCCATGATTGATATTCTTCTCTATTCTCATCACCTGCCTGCTGATATTGTATTGATATTGTGAGGAGAAATTCTGTCTTGGTCACTTGTGGGAGTGAAAGGGTTAATAATAATTAAATTAAAATGCTTAACTAAAGCTGGTTAGTTACATGCAAAGAACAAGACTGTGAGGTCAGTGTTCTTAAACTTTGTTCCTCACCTTTCAACCCCTGGACAAGCTTTGTAAGGAGTGTACACATTTCCTTGTCTTCACACTGGATATTAACATCTTCAACTAAACCATGGTAAGAAGTGATTTCTGCCAACTGCAACAAATTCATATGATTATCTTTTCTAATTGACCAAAGAAAAAGTTAAAATAACACCAGCCAAGGAGTAAAATTACGTATTAAAAGGCCAATCAGCCAACAGAGCCAAAGATTGTGGCCAGGCTCAAGTCCCACTTGAACAACCATGACAACAATTGCTCACCCTTGTCACATTGAAAAGGGGAATAAATTGTTCCTGTCTCTACAAAACATCCTCCCACAGCAAGCAAATTTACACATTAAAACCAAGCTTGCAAGTGTAATCTCAAGTGGACTTAGCAAAAGTGAGGGAGAATTCTTGTTAGTGCAGATTGTCAAATCATTGGGCAAAATCACTGTTTCACTCTTACACCCAAGATCTGATTTATTTCAATTGGTAATTCTTCCCTCTAACTGCCCTAAATTTCCTTGTAAATTAGTTAAGAGAATTTAACATTTCAACAGCAAAACACTCCAGCAGACAGGTTTATCTATTCTAATCGTGTACTAAATACTGTTGCTGTAAGCAGAAATTTTAATCAAAGTACTGAAACTGTTCCTCTTTTCTCCTGAACCTTCACATCCTCTCTCACCCCCAAATTACCAGTTATTCATATGGAACATTACTGAGAAAAAGAATAAGAAATGAAGACTCTTATATTGTGGTCTGGTCTATTTCATTAGTACTAATAAGCTGATTGGGGAGGTAAGATCATATTGTGATGAATGCAGTTTCGATAATTGTCTTTACCAACTTATGTACATTCTTACAAATGTACTTTTGAAATGAAGGCCACACTCACCATGTGTCTGGCTGATAAAGTTGTTGAAAAAGTTACACTGAATCTTGGAGTTTTTCCATAAATCCACTTCCACTCCTAATTAAAAATAATGAAATAGGAAAGAGTGAATTGTATTTAAAAAGTAAAGACTGGAATCAATAACACCTCCCCATAATCTCAGTTTTTACAGGTTCACAGCCCTGTTTCTAGCCAAACAAAAACTTTTAAGACAAAAACAGTTTTCTGTACAGCGAGGGAGGCACAATGGAACAACTGTTTGCATTCCACTACTCGGCCCCAGATTAAATTCCCAGTCCAAATAACTGTATAAGTTCATTCTTGTTCTCCAGAGACATTTAAGCAAGCCAACTGTTGAAAAAAACAGTTGGTTGTAGAAAAACTGGGAAAGAAGTAAGTACCTGAAGGGTACAAGCATCTATTCTATTAATATTTATCCCCATTGCTTGCAAAAAGAAAACTGTCACCATCCCTCATCAAAAAGATGGCCAAGACAAGATGAACCACTTCACATTTACATGAAATTTCACTTTTCCCCGACTTCCTTCAAAGATGTAAATTTTCCCTTACTCAAATTAAATTCCCTGACTTTTCCCTGACCTTAAAGAAATTTATTTGTCCTTGAAACCAATTATTGGTTGTTCATGAAAGCAAGTTAACTTTTGGTACTCTGTGACATACTTCAAGCTCTTTCCTCAGATCCACTATTCCAGGAAATTGTTCATCTTTTAATGGATCAATGTCCACCATCTCTATGTTCATCTCAGGAGCATAACTCTGACAGAACATCTGAGCAACTTCTTTTGTGACAGACTCAAAGTGTATTGAGTGATCTTTTTTGGATAAGTTCATGATGTTTGATTTGACACTTTGGGTTGCTTTACTAGAGATATCTGTCTACAAAAAAATCACAAGTAAATATAAAATAAACAATTAAGATTACAATCAAATCACTGACATATGTGGTGCTAACCAAGACAGTTCCACCTCAGTAAATAGATTCAGGCCTTGGCAGAGCTGTCAGCAAGAGTTGGTAAATGGCTAAAACTGCTGGTCTGACTTTTTAGCCAGTCACTTTCACTTCATTTTACCATAAGTGCAGGGTAAAGGCTTCAATTATTGAGATAACATCACAGACATTTGTACAGTGGCTATTTCCCAGTTTGGAAATAATACATAATTTACTGATAGCAGGTTTGAACAAACAATTTCAATTGATTCCCTGCTCAGAAAGCCTGGGACATTTTATCAGTTAGAATAGTTTCCAGTCCTGTGTGTAATCTGACAAGCAAGGTGGCATTCACAACAACCTGGCAGCCTACCATTTCTTAACTGCCTTCAACTTGCAAACTCGCTGGTGGTGAACATTCCACTCCTTATTAAAAATAATTTATCTAAGAGTGACTAGCATCTAAATTCTTCTTACAATATCACCCCTGAATCACACATTAAGGTCACAAGAATAAAGGAAATTATCACCAACAAAATCATCTCTTGATTGTTAAATTCTCCTTGTCAGCACCATATGAGATTCATAGAGAACAGAATGGAGAATATGCATATTGATGTTGGAGAGTAAGTAGTTAAAAGAAACTTACATAACTGGGATGGAGCAGAGATTTGAGTAAGACTTCATCAACATCCAGAAGTAAAGTACAGTGGTGAAAAGCAATATTTCTCCCAAGCTTAGATGATGTACCTGAGATGTGAATACTCTGTCAAGGACTTAATGGTAACATGAGAGGAAACACATTGCATCTGTCAGACCACTCCTGTACATGTAGTTCAATGCATTCTTGGGAAGGGGTCATAAGGGCAATAAGGATATTTGGGTCAATTTTTGCCGGGTATCTGCTGCTGGCCTCTCAGTTTCTTTCCCTTCCCCCCCCCCTCCCCTCCACATCATATTCTATTCCTTGATCAACTAGAGACCCCATCTTAGTCACTTTTGCTAATATAGTAACAACTTTTTAATTGCAAATCTTCCCATTTTTAAATTCCTTCTTCCATATTTTTCTTAATCTCCAAATCCTGAAAATGTTTCACCCCATTCTTGTTTCCCTTAGTCTATTGAAAATACAACCCCATTATAGTCAATCCAGTCATGAAAATAGAACCTGATGTATTTCAGACCATAGCATAAAAAGGATATTTTAAATTTTCCATCAATAAGTATGTCATCTCTAGGAGAAGCTTCAACATCTAGTTTCCATCTTTCACGTAATACTTTCACAATAAGAGCTAAGTTTTCTTTGCGATCGTAGAGTTCACGAGCAGTAAAGAAAGAGAAATTGACATTTCCTAAATCCTAAAAAATAATCAATCAAAATTTGAACCATATGTAAGTAAAAAAGACCAAACATTTAAAAATGTTATAAACATCAGTGCTTTGTTGCAGAAAACTCTATGAACTTTGCCAGACAGCATCTTTTAAAAGACAGTCCTTAGAGCGTTAACATAAAAATTTCAGTCTACGACAATTATCATTATGATGATGGCTTCAGTGAAGGAGAAAGTACATCTTTCAGAATCACCTGATATTTGGCATCACCTGTCATACAAAACTGGCTTTAAATGACAAAAAACTGATGTTTAACAAATACAACTTCAAAGTTTTCACTTGGAGTGAATGGATGGATTGGTGTTTATATGTGGTTTTTTTGGGGCTAAAAAAAGTAGCAAAATGGGTGAAAATAGATTTTGAACAATCTTTATACTAAGAGCATTACATGAACGTTAATTAGTATGTACCGCACACATCAGTAGTACTTTTTGCACATGCTGATTGGCTAGTTCAGAAGTGATTAGCAAGTACCATTCACCTCCAGGCAACCAGTGAGACAAATTACTGCATTATGAGTTTAATTTCCAATAATTTTTTGTTGTATTGTCCAGAAATAAACTAATTTTTTTGTGTCTGTGTGGTACATACTAAAGCAATTATTTACCTAAAGAGTCACAGAAAGTGGTGCATATTCACCTCACTGCTTTGCAGCTCTGTAAATATCCACCACTATTCGCCTCCACTTTGGTGGATAATTACTAATTATTTATTCCAAACCTTACTTTATTGAAAGACAGAGGAGAGAAAGTCAAACTGGATCACTCACGTGGTAAACTGTCCCACCACCACTTTTCCTCCTTGCCAAATGGACATTAAATTGCTGAAGACTTTAAACTACATTCTGCCCAGGGATTCTGATGGCAAAAAAAAAAATTAGGTCTCATCAACATCCATTATTCATTTAATAAAAATATATATCAAAAGTTATGAGATGAAATTAACTAAAATAAACAAAAAACCCTCTATTTAATGCAAAGATATGCACATATATGTGTCCACCATCCACACAAAATAGAGGCTACTGCATTAATCATCCTTCAGATATTTTGCAATGTGCGTGAAAAATATTGACAACCAGCTTTTTGTATTCAGCATGGAATGTTTCTCTTTTGAGTGTTATCAGGTACAACTTAATGATGAACAAAATAAAGATTTTCCTTCTCCTGTTGTAACCATTAAATCCTCTCTCATCTTGAATTAAATTCGAAACATAGACTTATCATAGTGGACATAAGGTTTGAATATTGGAGAATATCCCTTGGGTGATAATATTAAATATCACCCAGTTTAAGCTGGGGATATTCAGTACACTAGGGAGCATTGATAATGTAAATCACTATAATTATGTAATATATGAAAGTGACTTTCACTTGGAAAACTGTTGTAAGAAAACTAATCTCTAACCACTACTGGCAGATCCTTTACCAACACAAAATGATAACTAAAAATGTAGTATTGCCTTACTACCTAATACATGTACTTCCTGTAAATTAAAAGCCAAAGCATTGTTTTAAAGGGTACACACAAGTCAGTGAAATAATCACAACAGAAAAAAACATTTTCCTTGCAAATCTTCAAATCCCGATGATTGAATTTCACTTTTATGTGTACAGTATTCTGCACAAATAAAAGTTTGAGTTTTGATCTGTAAACAGGCGGCACAATCACTCTTCAGTAAACTATATAAAATAAGTGGCCTTGGATTTTCTTGTACTTAGACCAGTCATCAGTCTCTTACTACCACTGATGGTGGTGATTTCCTGTACAGTGACCTTACATACAGACATACCTCTTAAATTTGTTTTGTTTCCAGACTGGTTGAAAAGTTACTAGGAATGGTACAGAAGCAGTTTTTCGCTCTAAAAGGTGTTGGTCTCACAACCCAGGAGCTGACGGATGAATACAACTCTATTATTGAAACAGTTGAAAAGGGCCGTGAGGTGACATGGGCTGATCAAAGCACATTGAATGATAGTAACAGCTTTGATAAAACATCATCTAATGTAAGCTTTCTGCTGCCAACTGCTGGTGAGTAGGGAACACAAAGAAAGTGTCTATTAAATAAAATTAAGTTAGGATATGGTAAAAACTATATTGTAGTGCTAGTTGTACATTAAGTAGCAAGGAATGTTATCTATTAGCATCGAATACTAAAGCATTACTCTCCAGTTTAGAGAAACCTAGCATACATTTAAAAGTTTTTAGCTCAGTGAGGTACTTTCCCTGACTTACCTGTACCAATATTTTCTTACTATCTTCGGCAAAGGTTTAATCTAGAGGTCTCAAAAGTCAATGGCTATTAAAATAACTTACAATGTTTTTGATAAACTTTGTAAACTGCCAAGTTCAAACCACAATCTGCAAATGACAAAAACAAGTGACATCTTTCTTATAACCATTATTTCTGTCACAACAGGAACACCACTGTCAAGAACACCTATCAGAAAACGTCAGTTCAACACACCAGTCAGTAGTGTTCATAGTGACATGACACCTTGCAGAAGCACTTCTAAACATCAAAAGATAATCACAACCAGTTCTCAACCAACATTAGAGAATTCTGATACTTGCATTTCTTTAACGAAAGAGTATGAGGCAACACAGTCAGTAAGAAAATCAACAAACTCAGTTGGAGGAGGGTTTGAGAGACCCAAGATGGCTACACCAGGTGTAACCAGTAGCATTCCAAAGGATCAAAAACTGGCAACACCTTCACGAGTTCCATCAGCTTCACCATTCCTACCTTTAAACAGTAACAACTGTTTAAAGTCACCAGCAATGTTTTACACCAAGAACAATGCAAATGACCAATCAACATCTGCCCCAAGAAAGGCAACTCCCCATCCCAAAGTTTGTTGGAGTGAAAGTCCTGTCGAAACAAAGTCCTCCTCACTAACATGTAATACTGCACATAACAACTTAGGTAATAGCACACCTGTAAGAGTCTCTAGAGACTTAAATCTGTCAGGAATACAAGCTCTAGCTGAAACTCCAGCAGATAAAAATCAACAAAAGGATGCAAAACAGGTAATTGGCAGTATCAATATTTACTGCACTTTTAAAATACCATGCAAATCACAGATATAAAAATAACATACGTACTGTAGTCAGTCATGTTGTGGACCTCTGAAAAAGATGCTGCTCTTGAGTTGTGATCGACACATTTTCATTCATTTTGTTTTGGTTTCTGCTCTTATAATTTTCTGTTATGACATTAACTTATGGAAGTAGGAAATGAATTTTAAAGTTTGGCTTGGAACCTGAGAGTTTGCATGCTTAGCCTATTGAAAGACACTGAGAAGAATTTACATTCAAAATGTATTAACTTCCTTTTCCTGGTCACAATAACTTTCTCACTTTCTTGGTTTGGAGGAGAACTGAGACATGAGAGTTGTCTTACAGAGACAATGCTCTTTAACCCTTTCACTCCCAAGATCTCCACAGTAATTCTCCTTACTATCTGCCATATAATTCTTGTAATGTTAGTTTGGAGAATTTGGTATTGGGTTGACTAAAACTCCCATGATCACTATTTTTCTTTATTCTCATCACTTGTCTGCTTGATAGTGCATTGAAACTGTGAGGAGAAATTCTCTCTTGGTCACTCATGGGAGTTAAAGGGTTAATTCAACAATACAATACAACACCTCTCAAAGAACTGTCAATAAATACAGTAAACAATCAGAAAGATCAGTTGCCATCTGTGCTGAGTCAAAGTAATCTTTTGAAAAAAGGTAAAGGTTTATCAAGGCTGTATTTTAGAGCTACCATTGAATCTGTCACAGGCACTGAGTCCTACATACCATATCAAAACTTTTCAAACTCTTGTCTTGGATGAAAACAGAATAGCTTTTAATTACTGGCCTAGTAAGTTACATAAACCTTCGAGAAATGAGTCTCAGGTCCTCAATGTGTGGTATCTAATTTCTCACACAGAAAAATCAAACAGCAGCCAGGAAGTGAAAGACATGCTGCCAAAGAGGTCAGTTGAAAAACACCATGCTTTGTATCAGTATGGTCCTTCCAACAATATTATGAATTTTGCCATTGAAAGCAAATTTCTTGTGGTTGAAATACTCAACTCTAGAGTGGAGGAAAAATTGGGATCCCTTATATCCAACATCTCTTGATTTCCATATTCTTCATAGCATATACAAAAAAGTATTCATATTCATTTTCAACATGTACAACTGAGAGGGTTGCAAGAATAGTGACTGCAGGATAACCTATTCTCTATTAACACCTTAACATCAGTATGTACATTCTCAATACTGCACTCTATACATTTCCTAAGGTGCTGACAAGGAGAAGTTCTTAAACAATCAAGAGCTTCTTTAGTATGTGATCACTTCCTTTATTCCCTTAACCTTAATGAGGGATTCAGTGGTGGTATTGTAAGGAGAAATTAGATGCTAGTCATCCCAAGGGAGTCAAAAGGTTCACTATTAGTCCCAACTATTGAAAAACACTTTTTTCAGAGTTTTCAGTTCCACAAAAGAGAATGTCCAAGCACTCAGAGGACCATCAAGATCATCTTGCACTTTGCAGCTGGACAAGTTACATTCTAAGAAAGTCAAGAAACACTTCAATGGACTGAGAAGGGCAATGAGCAGCACCTCAATTGGAACAAGCAGAAACTTTGCACCACGTACATTGTAAGTGATTCATAGGACTGGTACAGTCTATGTAGCTCATGACAAGTATTTCTGAGACTAAGGCTTTCCATTTTTTAAAAGCCCCAGATCACTTTGAAATATTTTGTTTCACTAACCAATTGGAATACTTTGAATGGCAAAGAAGTTCTATTCATAAACTTTTCGCCTCACAGCAGTTTACAAAAAAATGTAAAGCTCCAAAAAGGTGTCTTTGCTTAAAACAAATTCATATTGGTGAACAATCACTAGTTCATTGATAAAGGTGCTATGAAAAAATTACAGGTCAAATATCTTGCTTCTCCAGCAAGACTTCAGAGTTGTTAGTATAAGATTAGTTAATCCTTTAACTCCCAAAATTGATCAACATGCAACTTCTCCCAGAAATATCTGTACATTTTTCAGCAAACATGTTATGAGAATGTTCAAACTTATCTGGTAGAATTTGTTGTAATGATTTTACACCAAATTCTCATTACTAATCTACAAGAGAATGTGTAGCAGCTGGAGGGGAGAATTAATAGTCAGATCTTGGGAGTTAAAGACCAGGTTAAATCATAATTTTGTTTTGCAACTATTTTTCTAGAGCCATTTACCAGAACTTACCAAAAACAAAGATTTGATTAAAATGTTAGAGGGCATGTTGAAACAGGTGTGTGACACAATAAAACCTGGTATTCTTTCCATGCATATTCAAGGCTGACCATAAATTATCCTGTTTGGTTTTTGGAAAAGAAGCATTACTATCACATTCAACTCTCCTTGTCATTAACCATTAGGCCCAGTTGTTGAAAAGGGCAGATAAATTGCTATCCAGTGGTTAAGTGTTAACCAGAATGTACTGCCCTGTACACTAAATAGGGATTTATCCAGTGGACAGCATTATCCACCCTTGAAACAACCTGTGCCAGGAGTATAAATTATGTGGCATCTCTTTTATGTGACAGAAAACTGAAAAAAAACGCATGCTGAGTGAGCATGCAATTGACTACAATTATGCAACTAATCTGATTGTTTTGAGATGACACTAATACATGAACTACAAATGTATTGGGCCCATTGAACTGGGCCTTTCATGGAAAGGTTTTAAAGTTTAAGTAGGTAGGAACTCCAAACAGCTGTCACAACATGTATCCAAAGCTTTGAAACTCTTATAGTATTTATTTAGCTTACAGTGCGAAGCAACATGAAACACAATAAGGACAAAGATATATTATTTGAAAATTATCTACTTGATAATTATAACATTTGCAGCTCAGTTTAAAAACAATTCATCAAGTATTCAAACTAAATTGTATAAGCTGTAGTTGCATGTTTTTAGCCCAAACATGTTTATGATTATCCATTGATTTCACCCTTCAGGCCAAAAAAAGGGAGTTCAAGATCTTTCACAGAGAGACCAAGATGGCCTGAAAATTAATTCAGCACAACAATATAGTACTTATCAGCAATGACGATGATCATTCTTGACTATAATTTGGATGTATGTATATAACCTGGGTTTTACAAATGCAGCTGTAATTTAAAGCAACAACCAAAATAATGTCACTCTGTGATTTCAGGCTAGTTCTTCTTTTTTTAAAATGTCACTTTTAGCTACCAATATTAGCAATATTTCAAGTTGACTTTTTTTCCCACTGTGTAAATTTACCTCGGAAATTATAGAATTTTGTAAATGCTTTGTATGGAAGTTCACAAGTTGAGAGTATTTTAATTTTATTAATGGGTTGCTTGGAAAGGAACTTGGCAGAAATTTAGAAATGTGAACATACCATTTGGATTTAAATATTTTTAAAAAGTAATTTTTCATACATGTCTCGTTCAATGTGAAGGCTAGAAATGGTTGATGAACTGTAGCCAGGAAAATTTTAATTATAGGAAAACTAACAAACTCATTGCTTTGTTAAAGTCAGTTGTAAAATGAAGACAATAAAATTACAACTTCAGGAGACTTTGCCAATATATGATTCTAATGAAAAAACTGTGGTGCTGGGACAAGATAATTTGGCTTTATCAATTGAGTCTATAAATTGTAAATTGGCTACTATTGATAGCTTTTATTAGAAACTCTTTATGGTGGCCAATTTACATCATAAAATCAGTTGATGAAACCAGATTATCTTGTCATACTTATCCTTTAACTCCCAAGATGTCATTAGTAATTCTCCTTACTGTCTGCCATACAGTTCTTGTTATGTTGGTTTGGAGAATTTTATATTGGATCAACCAATAATCCCCTAATTGATATTTTTCTTTATTGTCATTATTTGTCTGCTTGATATTGTAAGGAGAAATTCTGTCTTGGTCACGCATGAGAGTTAAAGGGTTAAGGTATATCTACAGCTGAAATGTGAAAACAAAGAAGGTGAACATTTAGTTAACCTTATTTGTCTTCACATATCAGCTGTTGGAAGGAGAAAATTACCTGACTTACAAGTTACTACTGACAGAATTTTTAATATTAGTGTTTCAATCTTAATGACAACAGTGATCACCTTAAACTTGGGGGATTTCAATAAAAATTTCACAGATGAAAATCAGTGATAATGACAGTGCTCAACATTCTTATGATTCCACATCATTATTTTCAAGTTGGTGTATGTTAAATGTTGCCAGGTTGCTGCATGTCATATATTAGCCTAAATAATTTACCATCCTCAAAAAGAGAAGGTGTGGAAAGTTAACGTGCTTAATTTTAAAGAATGATTTCATCACCAAAACAAAATCTAAACTAAAATTATAAATGCTATAGTAAATATTCTCTGCATGTCACAATGTGTTATCATCCTATGCATTTAAAGTTATGCACACTTCTCCCTGTAAACAAACCCCTGCCTTCTTCTCTAGATAGATTTGAAAAGAAAGACAATGGGTCAATGAAATGTTGATTGCATTATTATAATCCTCTTTTTTCATTAGGGAGCATTTCATTCGTCCCCATTTATTCAAAAAAAATTTTAATAATACATTGACAGAAGGCTGTTTAATATATGGTTAGATAAACATTGCAGTAGAAATCATTGCTACTCAGAAAACTGAAGTTACTATGTTGTACATTATGATTAAAAAACACTTACTTGAATCAATTTTTAGATTCATATAACACTGACAATCCATTTTATAAACTCATAACAAAGCTGCCTATCTAGGGCTGTGAGTGATTCTGAGTTCAAATATGTCCGTAGGGCTGTGTGAATGTCATCAGCTTTAAATTTTGCACCTAAAAAAATTGCAACATAGGATAGTTATATTTACAATTTGTTACTTGAGGAAAATGTTTACTAATGAAATGGCATTATAAAAAAAAACTATGTGTCTGAGTAAATTTAACTTTGGTTTGGAAAAAGGCCTCACAGTAAACATTGATGAAACAAATAATTCAATTTTAGCCTGCATCTTCTTTAGCTGGGCTGAGTTGTTCAAAGGTGGGTTAAGATAACTGAGGGTTAGAGTGAAATTTGATTTCAGATCTGAAAGCTTAAAAAAAAATTCAAAATTTGTCTCAATTTTATGATTTTATTATTCTACGGCTTTTGAACAGAGAAACATATGATTGAATGTTCTGAGAAAAAAAGAATATCAATTGGATTAAGTTGGTCCAGAACTGAACTAACATTAGATCTTGGGAGTGAAAGGGTTAACAAACTGTTGTAGGTAAGGAAATGAGAGAAGAGTAATTTTTTTCCCTTTCTCCTCCCCCTTCTCTTCTTTCCCCATTCATCACCCCTTTGGTAGATATTTCCATCCCTCTCCAACCTTCCTCTGCTTCAAAAAATCCAGATAGTGGCTGAAACCTTTGCAAAGAAATTGACTTAGTGTTTACCTCTTAAAAATATGTTAATTCAATTTGAAAATATGTATTTAATAATAATTAAATTAAAATGCCTAACTAAAGGTGGTTAGTTACATTCAAAGAACAAGACTGTGAGGTGTTCTTAAACTTTGTTGACACTTTGTTCCTCACCTTTCAACCCCTGGACAAGCTTTGTGAGGAGTGTACACATTTCCTTGTCTTCACACTGGATATTAACATCTTCAACTAAACCATGGTAAGAAGTGATTTTTGCCAACTGCAAAAAATTTATATGATTATTTTTTCCAATTGACCAAAGTAAAACTTAACATAACACCAGCCAAGGAGTAAAATTACTTATTAAATGAATATTAATTTCAGTGCAGTATCATGATCAGCCAACAGAGCCAAAGATTGTGGTCAGGCTCAACTCCCACTTGAACAACCATGACGACAACTGCTCACCCTTGTCACACTGAAAAGGGGAATAAATTGTTCCTGTCTCTTCCAAAAGCAAATTTACACATTAAAACCAAGCTTGCAAGTGTAATCTCAAGTGGACTTAGCAAAAGTGAGGGAGAATTCTTGTTAGTGCAGATCAAATTGTCAAATCATTAGGTAAAATCACTGCAGTAAGTTTCACTCTTACACCCAAGATCTGATTTATTTGGTAATTCTCCCCTCTAATTGCCCTAAATTTCCCTGTAAATTAGTTAAGAGAATTTAACATTTCAACAGCAAAACACTCCAGCAGACAGGTTTATCTCTTCTAATTGTGTACTGAATACTGTTGCTGTAAGCAGAAATTTTAATTAAAGTACTGAAACTGTTCCTCTTTTCTCCTGAACCTTCACATCCTCTCTCACCCCCAAATTACCAGTTATTCATATGGAACATTACTGAGAAAAAGAAAAGAGAATAAGAAATGAAGACTCTTATATTGTGGTCTGGTCTATTTCATTAGTACTAATAAGCTGATTGGGGAGGTAAGATCATATAGTGATGAATGCAGTTTCCATAATTGCCTTTACCAACTTATGTACATTCTTATAAAATATACTTTTGAAATGAAGACCACACTCACCATGTGTCTGGCTGATAAAGTTGTTGAAAAAGTTACACTGAATCTTGGAGTTTTTCCATAAATCCACTTCCACTCCTAATTAAAAATAATGAAATAGGAAAGAGTGAATTGCATTTAAAAATTAAAGACTGGAATCAATAACACCTCCCCATAATCTCAGTTTTTACAGGTTCACAGCCCTGTTTCTAGCCAAACAAAAACTTTTAAGACAAAAAGAGTTTTCTGTACAGCAGGGGAGGCACAATGGAACAACTGTTTGCATTCCACTATTCAGCCCTATATTAAATTCCCAGTCCAAATAACTGTACAAGTTCATTCTTGTTCTCCAGAGACATTAATTAAGCCAACTGTTGAAAAAAACTGTTGGTTGTAGAAAACTGGGAAAGAGGTAAGTACCTGAAGAGCACAAGCATCTATTCTAATAATATTTATCCCCTTTGCTTGCAAAAAGAAAACTGTCACCATCCCTCATCATAAAGAGGGCCAAGACAAGATGAACAACTTCACATTTACATGAAATTTCATTTTTCCCAGACTTCCTTCAAAGATGGAAGAAAATACATCCTTTCAAAAAAAGGATGTATTTCTTATGTAAACAGAGGTGTTACGAGGAATTTTGTCCCCAGAAAAAAAAAATGTCTTCCAGATAGAGGTGTCTCCTGCAAATCTTCCCTAACTCAAATTTAAATTCCCTGACTTTTCCCTGACCTTGAATAAACTTATTTGTTCTTGAAACCACTTATTTGTTGCTCATGAAAGCAAGTTAACTTTTGGTACTCTGTGACATACTTCAAGCTCTTTCCTCAGATCCACTATCCCAGGAAATTGTTCATCTTTTGATGGATCAATGTCAACCATCTCTATGTTCATCCCAGGAGCATAACTCTGACAGAACATCTGAGCAACTTCTTTTGTGACAGACTCAAAGTGTGTTGAGGGATCTTTTTTGGATAAGTTCATGATGTTTGATTTGACACTTTGGGTTGCTTTACTAGAGATATCTGTCTACAAAAAAAAACACAAGTAAATATAAAACAAACAATTAAGATTACAATCAAATCACTGACATATGTGGTGCTAACCAAAACAGTTCCACCTCAGTATATAGATTCAGGCCTTGGCAGAGCTGTCAGCAAGAGTTGGTAAATGGCTAAAACTGCTGGTCTGACTTTTTAGCCAGTCACTTTCACTTCATTTTACCATGAGTGTGGGGTAAAGGCTTCAATTATTGAGATAACATCACTGGTCTGACTTTTTAGCCAGTCACTTTCACTTCATTTTACCATGAGTGTGGGGTAAAGGCTTCAATTATTGAGATAACATCACAGACATTTGTACAGTGGCTATTTCCCAGTTTTGAGTGGAAATAATACATAATTTACTGATAGCAGGTTTGAACAAACAATTTCAATTGATTCCCTGCTCAGAAAGCCTAGGACATTTTATCAGTTAGAATAGTTTCCAGTCCTGTGTGTAATCTGACAAAGCAAGGTGGCATTCACAACAACCTGGCAGCCTACCATTTCTTAACTGCCTTCAACTTTCAAACTCACTGGTGGCAAACATCATATTTTATCTACGAGTGACTAGCATCTAATTTCTCCTTACAATATCACCCCTGAATCACACTTTAAGGTCACAAGAATAAAGGAAATGATCACCAACAAAATCATCTCTTGATTGTTAAATTCTCCTTGTCAGCACCATATGCGATTCATAGAGAACAGAATGGAGAATATGCATATTGATGTTGGAGAGTAAGTAGTTAAAAGAAACTTACATAACTAGGATGAAGCAGAGATTTGAGTAAGACTTCATCAACATCCAGAAGCAAAGTACAGTGGTGAAAAGCAATATTTCTTCCAAGCTTAGACGATGTACCTGAGATGTGAATACTCTGTCAAGGACTTAACAGTAACACGAGAGGAACACATTGCTTCTGTCAGACCACTCCTTTACATGTAATTCAATGCATTCCTGGGGAGGGGGGGGGGTTCAAAAGGGCAATAAGGATATTTAGGTCTATTTTTGCTGGGTATCTGCTGCTGGCCTCTCAGTTTCTTTCCCTTCCCCCCCCCCCCCCTCACATCATATTCTATTCCTTGACCAATTAGAGATCCCATCTTAGTCACTTTTGGTAATATAGTAACAACTTTTTAATTGCAAATCTTTCCATTTTTAAATTCCTTCTTCCACATTTTTCTTAATCTCCAAATCCTGAAAATTTGCAACCCCATTCTAGTTTCCCTTAGTCTATTAAAAATACAACCCCATTATAGTCAATCCAGTCATGGAAATAGAACCTGATGTATTTCAGACCATAACATAAAAAGGATATTTTAAATTTTCCATCAATAAGTATGTCCTCTCTAGGAGAAGCTTCAACATCTAGTTTCTATCTTTCACGTAATACTTTCACAATAAGAGCTAAGTTTTCTTTGCGATCGTAGAGTTCACGAGCAGTAAAGAAAGAGAAATTGACATTTCCTGAATCCTAAAAAATAATCAATCAAAATTTGAACCATATGTAAGTAAAAAAGACCAAACATTTAAAAATGTTATAAAAATCAGTGCTTTGTTGCAGAAAACTCTAGGAACTTTGCCAGACAGCATCTTTTAAAAGGCAGTCCCTAGAGCATTAACATAAAGATTTCAGTCTACGACAATTATCATGATGATGGCTTCAGTGAAGGAGAAAGTACATCTTTTAGAATCAACTGATATTTGGCATCACCTGTCACACAAAACTGGCTTTAAATGACAAAAAACTGATGTTTAACAAAGACAACTTCAAAGTTTTCACTTGGAGTGAATGGATGGATTGATGTTTATATGTGGGTTCTTTTGGGGCTCAAAAAAGTGGCAAAATGGGTGAAAATAGATTTTGAACAATCTTTATACAAAGAGCATTACATGAATGTTAATTAATATGTACCGCACACATGAGTAGTACTTTTTGCACATGCTGATGGGCTCCATTCACCTCCAGGCAACCAGTGAGACAAATTACTGCATTATGAGTTTAACTTCCAATAATTTTTTGGTGTATTGTCCAGAAATAAACTAATTTTTTTGTGTCTATGTGGTACATACTAAAGCAATTATTTACCTCAAGAATCAGAGATCCACTTTGGTGGATAATTACTAATTATTTATTCCAAACCTTACTTTATTGAAAGACAGAGGAGAGAAAGTTAAGCTGGATCACTCACGTGGTAAACTGTTCCACCACCACTTTTCCTCCTTGCCAAATGGACATTAAATTGCTGAAGACTCTTTAAACTACATTCTGCCCAAGGATTCTGATGGCAAAAAAAAAATTAGGTCTCATCAACATCCATTATTCATTTAATAAAAATATATATCAAAAGTTATGAGATGAAATTAACTAAAATAAACAAAAAACCCTCTATTTAGCGCAAAGATATGCACATGTATATGTTCACCGTCCATGCAAAATAGAGGCTATTGTGTTAATCATCTTTCAGATATTTTGCAATGTGTGTGAAAAATATTGACAAACAGCTTACTGTATTCAGCATGGAATGTTTCTCTTTTGAGTGTTATCAGGTACAACTTAATGATGAACAAAATAAAGATTTTCCTTCTTCTGTAATAACCATAAAATTCTCTCTCATCTTGAATTAAAATTTGAAACATAGACTTACTATAGTGGACATAAGGGTTTGAATATTGGAGAATGTCCCTTGGGTGACAATCTCAAATATCACTCAGTTTAAGCTGGGGATATTCAGTCACGTGATGTGTTTAGAGCAATCACAGGCAAGCAAAAATATTTGATGGATCATACAAAAAAATAACCACTTACTATAAGAAAATTGACCACTGTATGTTACTTAAATTTATATCTAAAATCAATCTATCAAAAGAGCTATTTTTTAAATGTTAAGTACATATTTTTGAAAATTGTTCATACCATTTACAAGAGGATTCCTTTATCCTAGGCAAAAGGGTGTAGAGAGGGTGAGCTGAGTTGCTACTTAATGTTTTGAAAAGTCTTCTGACATACTGCTATGTTGACAACCATTATTGAAAGTTAGCTAGAAAGAGTTTATGATAGTAAGAAATAATTTCCCAAACCTGGTGTCTGCCAATAACTATCTGAAACATAAAGTTCACAATTATTATTTTATTTGTTTTTCATTCATTTGATAATCGTTGGTCACATATTTTAACCCTTTAACTCCCATGAGTGACCAAGACAGGATTTCTCCTTACAATATCAATACAATATCAACCAGATAAGTGATGAGAATAAAGAAAAATACCAATTTGGGGATAATTAGTTGATCTAATACTAAATTCTCTGAACTAACATTATATGAATTGTATGGTTAACAGTAAGGAGAATTGCAAATTTGATCTGGGAGTTAAAGAGTTAAAAAAACATAAGCTACATCAAATGTGTCTGTATCATAAATTATTAGGATAAAAGTGTGCAGTGTACAAGTACATTAAAAATAAAAAAGGTAGCACATTTAGAAAACTGCAGTTTGTCTTAACACCTTCAATAAAAACATTTAAAACTCAGTTGATATCTGTTGACTTTTTTCAAGTCAATGCCTGTTGTTTTTCTTTTCTTTTCTTAACACCCAAATTGACAAAGAAATCTGATGCTATGTAAACATCACTGAAGATATTTAAAGATGTTGTTCCAACATCAACTTGTTGAATTCTGAAGGTTACTAAATGTAACAGTGTGACAGACACTAGACTGTGGCACCATGTTGCCATTGTAAAACAACCTTTCAGCATGTCAAGATAGTTTGGTTTTATTAACTGAGTTGATGTTTGTAAACTGGGCACCATTAAGAATTTCAAAGGTGATTTCTTAATCGCTAGCCTTTCGTCAGAGCAAATGACAAGAAGCTAATGCTCAAAGTGTCAGCTTTGAAACTTTTTATGGCAGCCAATTTACATTTATCAACTCCATTGATCAACTGAATTATTTTGTTATATTCCCCCACCAACACAGCACCACAGTTTCTTTAGAAACTTAATCCCTTTATTCATTTGTCCTTTAGCTTGTTGTTTTGGTATACAGGGGTTCCAATAAAAGTCAGTTATGGGCAGTCAAGCGCCACCTATAGGACTTCTCACTACCATCTGTTTAGCCTGCAATCAGGCTCTCTTGTTTAGATTTTGGCTTATGGCTCAGCTACCTATTGCATCTATTGGCAGCTGCTTCTTAATAAAGTCATCGAAATCCCTGGATATTTGACATTAAGTGCCATTCACTGGATTATTTTTAGTTAAACATGTTTCACGTAATTGGATTTCATAGTGACATAATCAGCTTACCGTGGGTTCATTTCTCCACAAAAAGAGAATTCTCCTATATGTTAGGTCAGTATTAAGATATAACCTGTGATGTTCAAGAGAAGAAAAGAAAAACTTCGCCTGTAACTCTACAAGTTTGAATATGATTTATGTTTCAAAAAATATGATTTGTATAACTACAAGTACTTGTAATTTGGCAGAACTGCAGCTATTGGAGCCCTTTGGATTTCACTATTTTAAGTCAATACTAACCACTCATAATAAAGAAAACCTCGCAAGAGAACCAACCATACAACAAATTTGGCTTTAAGTAGACAGTGCAAGAATTTAGCAGGTTCATAAATTCAAGGTTGAACATACTTGTAATTTCAAATCAGCCTCTATACAGCATGCTCTACCAAGTTAACATTTCATTCTCCTAATTACTCCCTTGCCATGTTTTCCACAAGCATGTTGAATAATTATTTAAATATAAACTAAAAATATTTCTAAATTGTACATACCAGTCTTCAAAGGCCAAGTTTTCATAAGGATTCTGGGATATTGACCTATACACTGAAACCTAATTAACACAAAACAACTAGTTAAATGTGTTGCTATAATTAATAATTACCAAACTACCAAACTAAGAAGGTATATTATCTTGTGTGATGCAAGAGAAATTATATTTATAATTATTTTGATGTGGTGAAGATTTTCCAAACCATAAAACAAAAAGAACACTGTGAAGACGAAACACCAGAGATAAAGGAAAGCTTCTGAACATGGGGCATTACATTATTTGCTTCTATCCCAATCAAGGAGGTAACTGCAGAGAACAGCTCTCTAGAAAACCGACAGTCGACGAAGAAACTTTGAATCACCCATCAAAGAAACTTTTATAAATTGTGCAATGGCTACCCCACCCCATCCCACCCCTGAGAACGTGTGGGGTAAGACTGCACGTTGTCAAGTCGTGCCGTAGGATTTTGCTTATGTATTTGTATGATGTTATATGAGTTTATTTGTGTTACTCTTTGAAAAAGTTAACATTACATGTCAAGAACTGAATAAAGTCAAGACCAGCGAGTGATGAAACCAGCAAGCTTTCCATTACTGACCTCACCTGTCCACTGCGATAAAGCTCGACATTTCAAGTAAACATATTTGCAGATATTGACCTTGTTAAAAAGATGGCGCATATTTTTCTGCAGATTTTATGGCAGTTTCTGCCGCGAAAAACCTTTCGTAGACACCCAAATATACTTTCATCTCTACGCTGAAATTGTGTCCGCCATTCTGCCTATCTCGTTCCCAGAGCTCGTGCTCTCCCGCAAGAGAACAGAGGAGTGTGACCTTTGATGTGCAAAAATGTGGTCAGTGTTTGTTCGCGTAGCCTCTCCGTAGTCAAGGCTAGAACTTTCTATAGGATTCATTGTTTACCACGAGGAATTAAATTTTGGTGGGATTTCACGGATTTGCAACTGTTTTTGTCTCGTGGAAGCAAATGTTGGTGAAGAACTTGTCTCTTTCGTTCGTCACACAACTCGTGTCACGCAGCAACATACTCCGTTACGTAATTAAGAATCCTGGCACGTTGAGCAACCTTGAATAAATCGAACAGAAGGTTTGAGTTTACTCAGTAAACTAAACGGTAAGAACTTCGTAAACTAATGCAAGGTGAATAATTTGTATTCATAAGCCATAAAAGATTGTGTTAGGCAAGGTTTTAGCACTTCTTTGAGCGCTCTATTTGGGGCAGTATTTGTTTTACACAAAGTTTCTTCTGAGCTACTTGTTTGTCTACGTGCTGTCTACATGGCCATTTCGTGACTGCACCAGTTCATGATCTTGTACAAAGAAAATGGCATGTAAAGAGAACATGGGCATTTCCAAACGTCAGACATGCCTACTGTGTTTTAACTATCACGCCATCGAAAATAGTGAAAGTCAATCATTTAAGATATTTTTAAACTATTGATGTATAAAAAGCCTGGTTACCATCTGTGGGATTTTTCTGCTGATGATTTACTGACAAAAAATGTTTGGCCAGAATGCAGGCGCTATGTAGGTAAATATGAAAAAGGCAACAGTCGCGTGCGTTTCTGGAAAAGCCAAAAATAAAATAAAAAAGGGAAAGAAAGAAAAGAAAGGTACTGCACCTCACCTTCAAAAAAATCTTCTAAGGTGCATTGAAATTTTTCTCATTCGGGCATAAGTAAGTTTTTTTTCTTCAGTTGTCTTCTTCGGTTTGTTTGCCATACATTTTACGTCAGTTTATTTTTCTCAGACGAAGCTTCGCCTGTAATGAAAACACCATATTGGTGCTTTACGTAACATTCCGAGAGGAACAGCAGAGATATCTGTCGAATTGCGATAAGTGATGCAACAAATGAAACCCAGTTGTTGCAAGCTGATGCTCACGTGAACACATTCTCTGATGCTTTGAGTGCCTAGGGGTTAAAGGTCACACGATAAGGGCACTTTGGTGTCACGTGACCTAATGTTGCACAATATATGAAAAGTATGTTTTTTTTCTTTCTTTTAATTCAAAATCTTATCACATTGAAATTTACGTAAAGCTCAATTTTAAGCTTTTGTTTTCTCCTTTTAGGTGGGAAAGTTTTCGATAGGTCTTGCGATTTTTAATGGTGTCATCTGAGAACAAAGCGATTCGGATGAAAGGCTTAAATTTAATCGGTCTCTCCGGTGCAAATCGTGTCACTTAACATTCATTTCAGTAAGAGCAATAGATCTCAACTCCTGCTACGAGACGGAAAACAACCGCTAATAGTTTCGGGTGGTGACAACAGCGTGCATGCAGACTGGACTTGCTGTGATCTTTCAGAACTCATTGCATTTGTTTAGGAAAAAAGGCATACCGAAATGTAAATTAAATTTCTGCCTTGCATATGTTACGCTTTTTCGGGGGCGGAACTCGGATTAGAATTTTGCCTTGAAATGCGAAGTTCATTCTTTACCGCACTGTCTAATGCATGTGAATACCTAATGTGATAATAAAAAGCTTTCGAAATCATTCTCTCCGATTGAAAGAATCGTTCCTTTCTAGGTTGTCAATTTTCAGATTAAAAAAATTCCTTCGCTGTAGCAAGCAACCCCACTTGCAAACTAGAAAATAATCTTCAAACTATAAACAGTTTCAGTGGACAGTGGTTAGCGGAATCATATCTCAAAATAATTTTCTGTTTGCAATGGTATGATTCAATCTGAAATTTGCACAGGAATGTCAATACTAAAAAAAGATATTTATATTGCATACTTTGTCTATATAAATCGATGCCTGCGTCTCCGTTTTCAATGGTACTGGGAATCCCTCGGAGAATTGATTGTTCCGGTCTCAACGTGACCTTTTAAAATTAACCAATCATATTTGACAATTGTTTAACAAAGCTTATTCACTTGCCAGGATCCCGTCTGGCCCCGAGATTCCGAGAGAAACGAAAAAATTTGTAAGGGAACATGAAGCCGTCGAAGCTCGTGCGGCCAGAGTTGGAGGACAGTGAAAGTAAACGAATTGATCGCAATCAAACGGAGAAGAAACGTCGTGGTAGATTCAATGGACTGATCGACGAACTTGCTATTTACTTGACAGACAGATGCCACACGAAAAAAAGCACCGAGAAGAGTTCCATTTTGAAACTTACCGGTGAATATTTTCTCGAGCAGGAAAAATTAGCGGCTGAGAAAGCTGCGAAAGGATGGCAAAAACGCGTGAAGCCTGCGTTCGTAGCGGACGATGAATTCAACTTTGTTTATTTAGAGTCGATGAACATGGTAATAATTGCTCTCAACCAGACAGGACAAGTTGTTTATGTTTCAGACAATGCGCAAGCTTGTTTAGGACATTTACCGCAGAGTATACTTGACAGAAACGTGTTTGAATTCATCGGCACGCGAGATGCGATCATTTTCCAGAGAATACTGTCCATACTCGCGACGACTAGACAGTCGCAACGTCTGGAGCCATTTTGGTGCCAATTTCGCCGCGGTTCGCACGAGTTTGAAACGATCTACTGCGTTGGAACAATTCTTAAAAATTTTCCCAAGCCCCAGAGCAGCGTGGATATTGATGTTTCCGAGTATCTAGTGCTACTAGCGAAACCATTAAGTGGCGTTCCCTCTGAAAAAGTTCTGTCGAAAGCGGATGGTGCTCAAACAAAATTCACGGCGACTTTGACCATGCAAGGTAAATATGGTTACCTGGACAAACATGTCGCCTCGGTTCTGGGATTCTTTCCGTCTGAGTTAATTGGCAAATCTGTTTACGAATACTGTCACACGGAAGACCTTGAAAATTTGGTGGAATATCATCGATGGTTGCTTTCAAACGGAAAAATCACGACTTGTTTTTATCGACATCGCACCAAGGGACAATCATGGATCTGGCTTCAGTCCCGTTACGATGTGTCTTACAGTGAGTGGGATTCCAAACCACACGCAGTAACCAGTCTAACATGGGTGGTTTCGCAGAGTGAAGTTTGCGAGAAACAGGGAGAAATTTTGGCACGCGATAAACGGAAATTCGCGTCGATTGAATTAAGTGTAAACGAGGGAAATGCACGAAAAAATAATTATCCGAATAGCTCATTAATTCCCAAAAACATTGATGCGCAAAGCTGTCAAAGCGAAGTGATGGAAATCGATGGTAATAACTTGTCAGGAAAATCAGCTTTGGAGAAAACGGCGAGACGTCAAAGAGCTGGATCACTAGATTCTCAGAGTGACTGCAGTTCGCCAGTGTCTAACACAAATGGTTCAGAAGACAATCAACTAATTGATATGCAAGAAAGCTTCCAGTTTCTAAGTAGCATTAACTTTCCCTCGGACTTGACAATAGCGCAACACACCCTCCATAAATTCCTGGAAGAAAAGTATGTACAGGTTATCGAAACGATCAACAAGCAATCGAAAGAGCTTCTTACGATTCAAAAGCAAATAAGTATTCAGGGTGAATTGCGAGATTTGCTTGAACGTCTCGAAAAGGAGAAATCTGCAGAGAAAGTCGAGAACGAATACAGAACGATTCAAGAAATGATGTCAAAATATGGAGAATTGCGGGAAGTTTGTTATGATTCGAGAGCTGAAAAATTAACGGCAGAAAGTTCTGCCATTTTATCTGCGAGAATTGTGGGGATGGAGGTGAAAAGTGGCTCTAGTGAAGCCCAAGGTTCTACTGCTAATTCAGAACAAAACCATCATGAGATCGCCGGGAGACAACAGAGAAGTTATTATGATCAAGAACGTTGGCTTCAAAGACAAGTTGACCAAGTTCAGTGGCAGCAACAGGCGCCAGTTATACAACAAATGCTCTACTATGAGTCAACACAACTTACACCGCAGGACCAAGTGATGTTGTACCGGCAACAGCTTCTAGCAGAACAATTTCAAGAACAAATGAATATACAACAACGTACACAACAACAACAGGAACAGTTTCAGGGGTACCAGCAACAACAAAAACAAGTACGATTACAACATTTACCACCACAACAATTGCAGCAACCACTTGCACATCATCAAATGCAACGAATACAACAACAGCAACAAATGCTACGATCGCAAACAAATCCATCGTCCAATTCAAATTGCACAAGTCCTCTGGACTCTAACTTTCCACAGGACAGACTTCCTGTTGCTAATAGCTCACCACATTCAAACAACACACAAGAAAACTCCCCTTTTAACAATCACTTTGCTCAGTCTCCTTGCAGTAACGACTCATTGTATGATTATCAGTGGTTTTAGAAACAATTATTTCGTATTTTGCTTCACTTCTCTATTCTTACCGTCATTATCAATGGTTTACTATCTCCAAAATTAAGATTTTCTGAGAAAGATTTCCATCAAATGTATATTTTGATTTAAATTTAAGCACCTTCTAATAGTAAAGTCCTTTACATAAATTACATTTGATTACATAAATTACATTTGATTACATAATTTACATAAATTAAATTCTCCTATTCAGTCGACTTCTGTTTACTGGGAGCTCAGCTTCCCGTAATTGAGAGTTAACGATATTGGGAGTTGTGAACAATTGTCTAGCGAAAAATGAATAAAAAATGGTGTTCACTGTCTTACATTTGTCGATATTTTCGGGTATTTTAATCGAGTCTAATCACGAGGTAACAAAGTCGGTTGAAAATGGGGAATTTTTGAAAAGGAGAGCAAAGCAAAGCTATGTGCGGATACCTTGCATTGTAGGTCGAATATGCCCTAAGTAAAAAAACCACAGAAAAAAACTGAGAAAAAAAGGAATGCTTGGAATAACTTTCTGCTTAAGACTACAGTACTGTAACGTTTGTTGTGACTGTTAGGTAGGATTTATAAACTTGATTCAATTGATCGAAGCTGAGATTCTTGAAAAAATAAAGAATAATATCCCAAAGGGTAACTGGAACTGGTTGGGACTAGATATGGAAAAGATGATTGTAATTGTATCAAGGAAACCCAGGGGATAGTCAGCAGAACAAGCGCTATTTTTTCGTTTGCCTGACGCGCGCATTTTTTCCCGTACCCACTTTACGCTTGGTCGTATGGACCGAGAGCCTAGGCTTGGAGAGCAACGTGATTACCGTTGTTATGCAGACTATGTAATTGAAATTAATGGATTTTGGTTCTACTTGCCGCGTAGTTCGAGTCGGGGGAGTATACTTTGTTGCGATCATTAGAAACAGTTCTTTGTGATTCATAATGTATTCAGATCAAACTTAAACCTTTTGTTTTTTAACTGATTTTGCCGATGTCAATACAGCTTTTTTTTAATCTATCGGAAATGAAATGCGTCATTTTTAACGAACAAGTTTTTAACTACTGAGTTCGTATAATGATAGAGATGACGGATTATGTACAATGGGCAAACGCTTTAAAGGAACCAATCTAAAATGCAAAGTCAGGGCAGTTTCTAGAAATTATTCGTCATTACCTTCGCGTTGGATTTGAGCTCTCTTGATTGAGTAACTACACGGGTGTAGTAGTAATTTCAAGGGAGAGCATACGGGCTGACCGTGGGAATTGTTGTAAATTTACCTTAATCTATGCCGCTCTTGAGACTCAAGAACCTATTTTATGTGTAATTAGTTTTTCCCCAGAAAATAAATGAAATATTACGCACTTCAGCTTTTCTGGTTTCTTTTTTTACTGTCTCGAATAATTGTGCCAAACATTATCCCAACATTATTCACAATTCTCCCAATCGATCTGACGAAGGGCTAACGATCGAAACGTCAGCTTAGAAACTCTTCAACCTCGGTGGTCAATTTACACCATCAACTTAGCTGATGAAACCAAAGTATCTTAGGTGCTTCCTATGACGCAAAACAATAGATTACCGCCGATCTTTAAATCAGCTGTCGAAACAAATGGCCTTGTGAAGATCCACACGCAACGTTGCATGTATAATGGCGAGGCGAGTGTCAAGTAAATCAAGGAGCAAACAATCACGAAGTTTTGCCAACCCATTTGCCAACAAAAACCTTCTAAGTGTTTGCCCAGGTTGACCGGTTGGCATCGGAGATTACATATGTTGGAGTCGGGGCCCTCAGAGTAAAGGCAAGTCTTGATCCCATGGGGGAAAGAGCAGGGGGGTTGGGGAGTATTTAAAAGGGTTGACAGACGATTGGGACGAGTCAGATTCGATTCCTCAGGAAAAAGGAAAAGGGAGAAGCCCTTAAGGAAGAGCTTGGCGACAAGTCAGAAGCAGGGTAAAGTTTTCGAGATGTTATCTTTTAATTGGGTAGAAAAATCTGCCTTTTAACTGAGTTTCTTTTAAAGTGGAATTCTGTAACTGTTGCACTTCCGAGACCTAACAAGTCATTCTCCTTACTGGTTCCCATACATTTCTTAAGATGTAAGATTGGGGAATTTGGTATTGGATCAATAAATAATCCCCTAACTGATATTTTTCTTTATTCTCGTCTCTTGTCTGCTTAATCATATTGTATTGATATTGTCGTAGTCACTCATCGGAGTTAAAGGTTAAAAAAGTGTTGGCGTCAACGATACGCGGCCTAATGTGTGGCAATTGGCAATTACGTTTTTAATCCTAACTAAAATGATTTATCTGAGTATGATACACTTAATAGAATGAAGTCGATCTTCCACACTACACCAATTTTTCTTTTGTCTAAATTAGGGTATCAAAATGACCGGGTTTCGTCTAAAAGAGAAAGAAAAGAAAGAAAAGGTTTAAGAATCCAGACACAAACTCTCTATCTTGCAAAGTTCCCGATGGATTATTTACCCCTCCCTCCTCCACCAACACACTTTCTCACAGAAGGGGAGAAAGGAAAGTATTGACATGGCAGACGCCAATTATCAAACGAACCCACTACAGTTTATTAAAGTACACCAATGTTTGGATAAATAAAATGTCATACTACTACATAGAGTGCGATCGAGTCATTAGCATATAGAGGAAAAGAAAAAAAAACCTGTTTTCACCTCTAAATAAGGTGTACACTGTTTCTTTAAACCTATATAAGTTAAAAAATTACGACTTCCTTGTCGAAAAATGATAAAATAATAAAAACATTACGATGTGGTTTAACAATCCCATCGCACTCCACCTTAACAAAAATATTTTATCCCACGTTGCTTTAAGCAAACCAAAAGCCTAAATAACTTAAATTTGCTCGTCAGCTCAAAAAAGTAGTAAGATTTCTCTGAAATTATTACCTGCAATCTAAAATCACAGATACACCCTATGACATTTAAACGAGGTTTCAGCCTCTGAAAGAAGGTCTTTCCAGCAATCATGCTTCAGAGCACGACTGAAAGATTCAATTTGAATGCAATGGCGACCCGATAGTGCTTGTATTTTTCATGAAAAAAGTTAAGAGTTCTCGCTTGACCAGTTCATTAAAACGTATTTTTCTTGAAGCACTTCTAAGCTACAGGAAAATGAGAAAAAAAGAGTCTAGCTATTTAATTTCCATTCACGTATCAGTGTCAAGCGCGGGAAAGCGCACTTGAAAAAACTGCATCACAGAGGTCAAACGTAAGGCACGCGCAAGGAGATCAACTTTTACCGGCCACGCACCCGCTAGCGCCCGCTAATTTTTCAGTATTTAATCCACAAATTCGCTCCAAGGAGAAGGATTGCGACCATACTGAAAGATAAAACATGAAGATAATGATATCAGGGTAGCACTTGTTAAGAAGATGACGCTAAGAAAAACCCCTTTGTGTCTGGTATAAATTTGTCTTTTCAATCGCTAAAGCCGCGATTTTTCGTGCCGGCTAAAGAAGCGAGCCTGTGATAGGGTTTGTGAAGAGTCTGGCACGAGAAATTCCGTACCACATGGTTGCTACCGTTATGCGTTTTTGAAATTCCCAGACGTTTCCCTAAAAAAACGTAAAATGTCCTTGTCCACCTGAATTAATAATTTCAAAAACGAGTCCTAAAAATTTCCCGTCATACCATTCCTCTCCACTAATAAATCTATGCTTTCAGCAAGTAACAAACAGCGTACATGAACAGACAGAAAAGATTGATTTTCTTGGAAAAACAACGTCACCTTGTCGTTCAATTTCATAAAACAGTATCGTGCCAATGCCAGTACCCCGTTAACCATAAACATACCTGTATCGCAGTTAGTTCGTCGTAAAATCTCTTAGTGACTTCCAAGTTTTCCATGGTGGGAATCATGATATTCTAAACAACGACATAGAGAATTACAAGGACGAATAAGTCCCTCAAGAAAAAGAGCATCTATAAAATGAGGGACAAAATGGGAGAAGTGCCAGACAGGTTATTGGAAAGAAACCATCAATGGGCACTACCGTTTGAACTGTGCAAGTAGTTTCGACTCTTCTGACTTGCTGCCGCCAAAATTATTTGGACTTTATTTTTACGCTATTCGTTTTTCGCCTTTGTCGCTTTTTCATTAAGTTCTTTTGTTTTCACGTCCATTACTTTCATCGATGTTCTAATACTTTTTTTTGTGCATAATTTTTTTTCGTTTGTGTCATTCGTATAAGTTCTTAGCCGAAACTTTTATTCATTCGGCTTTATCGTTTGACTTGCACCGTGCCATCGTTTTCTTAATCATTTTTTATTATCTTTAGCCAGCCAGGATCTCGTACAACGTTTGTAAGTGTCTTTTGTCGTCCTTAATTTTTCTTTTTCATTTGATGATTTCTTTGCGTATAATTGTGGTAACTTGTTATTTCTTATTTTATTTTAGCAAGCGCCTCAAATGTTCATTTCGTGCCAATTGTTACCTCTGCTTCAAATGTATATTTCGCTCCAATTGTTACCTTCGTTTCAATACTTCACTTTATTTCGTTTGCTGAATGATATCAAAAAGTGTGTTGGACAAGTACGAGTGACTTTGGCCCCAATATGACTGTTACCGATCACGTCGCCGACATATCAACTCGCCGACAACCAACTCGCCTACACTATTAGTCAACTCACGTTCACCATTTGCCAACTCGCCGACACCTTCAGAATGTCGGCGAAGTGACCGAGGATGCCATCGAAGTGACCGGTATGTCGGCGAGTTGACCAAGTACGACTGTTGGTAAGTTGACCAAAGGCATCGGCGAGTTGACATGTCACCGTAGTGACTGGGTACCTAAAGTTCACACTGGTCTTGCAATTCAGATTTCAATTGTTTCTCTTATTCTCCTACCTGTCCCTCGTAAAGAATTCTGTTCACTGGACACACCACACAGGCTGTTCCTGCTCCAAACATTTCCTTTATCTACGAAAGGGTTGACAAAATATAACATTAAGTTTCGCAAAATAAATAAGAAAGATGAGAAATCTTGAGCTTGGTAATGAAACGGAGAAAGACGTTTTCAACCTTGTCATGAGCGCGGAACAAAGGGAAAAATCTAGAGCCTCCCAGTGAGTCAGACCTACGGATTCCACGATCCAACGCTCTTCCACTGAGCCACTCGACAGTTTCAAAACAAAAAGTGGCTTAACAACAGATTTATGATGACTTGAATTAACTTACAAATATATACCAAGGGCGTAGCCGGGGTTTTAAAGGGGAGGGGGGGTGTTACACTGAATCAAACGGAGAGTAATCACCAGTTTTCGCCACCTAAATATTGCAAGTTGTGCAAGTTGTTTGCTTACAAAGGGGGGGGTGTCACGGGTACAAGCACTTGTATTCTTTCCTAATTCTTAAATCAACATCACATCTGCAATGAGAGCCTGTCGCGTTTTGCCTATACTTTTTTCCACGAAAAAGTTATCATAATTAAATGTTTATGAACTAAAGCAGTTATAAAAGTCTAGTTAGGTAGTGTCAAGAGTGAACTTCTTTACCCTATTTTCTTGTGAAGCTTGTATAACATCGTCCATATTAAATTCCTTTTCTACAACTTTGAATTCTCCCTGTGGGAAAAGAGGAAGTACAAACTTAGTTACAAAAAGTATACTAAAATGTACAAATATGTTGTTTTCCTATTTCACGAAAACGTTTGGTTAAAAAAGTTGAGGCAATATGACATCACTTTAAAATGATTCAAAGTCCATGAGATAAAATCTCAGTGAATAGCAGTTTTTTGATATTAGGATGTAAATAATAATTAAAAAAGTATGTAATTTCTTAAGGTAAAAGCAATTCCAAATTCCAGAAACTGAGATTCCACAAAGTATTACCTACTCTCAGGCCCAAATCAACAACCTCTTTTAGAACAAAAGTTGTCTTACAATATCCTTTGTTGTTCCTTTTCCTATCCTCCTCTCACCTTCAACTCTCATGAGTGACCAAGACAGAATTTCTCCTTACAATATCAATACAATATCAACCATACAAGTGATGAGAATAAAGAAAACTATCAATTTGGGGATAATTAGTTGATCTGATACTGAATTCTCTAAACTACCATCAAAACAATTGTATGATTCTTAGTAAGGAGAATTACAAATTTGGTCTGGGAGTTAAAGTATTAAACAAAGGTTTCCTACCCAGCTTTTGGCCAGTTCTAGTAAAGATTTTCGTGTAATTCCAGGAAGAATTAAACCATTGAGGGGTGGGGTGATCAGTTCCTTCTCTGAAATAAAAAACATGAGAAAAAAAACCAGATTAAGAAAGGGATAAACTTCATAATGGTGATCACTTGAACGAAAATTTAAAAAAAAAAGCCTTTCTATAGAATGGCTAGAATGTTGTTTTAACCGTCTTAGAAGTATGCTGTGTTCAGCATTTTTTCATCTCTTTGTCATTGATCATTTGCTGGATGACATTAACCAATGAAAATATAGTGATCTATGCAACACTATTAACCCTCTAGCTCCCAAGATCTGATTGTTAATTCTCCCCTCTGTCTGCTACACATTTTCTTATAAATAAGTTATGAGAATTTGGTGTGCAATCAAGATAACAACCTCTACCTGATAAGTCTGAATGTTCTCATTACCTGTTTTCTGGGTAACATATGGATATTATGGGGAGAAGTTACATGTTAATCACTTCTGTAACCCTTTTAACTCACTGGGAGTTAAAAGAGTTACCTGAAAGTCCTTGTGTTATCATTTAACTATTGTATCATCCTATATGTTTTTGGTCACCACTCTTAGCTAGGTCAGCAACATGACTAGCCATTTTCCACCGACAGAACAGCTAAGATACAGTAACACGCAGAGATAAAATTACTTGTATTGCAAAACAGTTAGATGGTGTTACCCATGATCAGACTATTGTTTGTAAGCAGCAATTTACAATTCACTGATCAGCTATTGGCTTATGGAATGCATCAAATGATAATAAATCCTATGCTTACCTCCATCGTTATTAATCCAAAACATAAATATATTCATGGTTCCAACCTCTGTAATCTGTGAGGAAAAAAATATGTGAACTGTGAATATCTATTAAAGTGGTGCTTTGAGAATCATAATCAGCTGATTATATTTTCTTCCTCTATACAAAGAATTCTCTTATTTTATATTTTCTGACCTGTCGCTCTTCACCATACAACCACAGAACCTGTTGTAAGCCTTGCATTTCTGCATGTCTTTGAGCAAGTATGGTAGGACCATAATTTCTGTTATGAAAATAAACAAAACATAAATATATCTAAAATAATTGTATTTTCTAAAAATGTTGGGAATCATTTTAAAACAGCTTAGAGAGGAATCTGCTATTTTTCACAAAAAGGACACAACTACCCATGAGCTGAACATCATTTGAAGCAAAACTCTTAAACCATTATTTGTGAAAGCATTACTTAGCAGGTTGCATGGTATGCTCTTGTCCAGTGAGAGGGAAGAAAAGAATTCTTTGCATTGTGGGTTATCAGTAATACTTCCCAAGCCATAATGTTTTCTACAGAGTAAATTCTAAGATACAAACCCTCCCATCTTACAGTCTCCAACACCTCCAGGCCAGGCTCTGACAAAAGAAGGATCAGCTAGCAGTGCAACTGGACTGAATGTCCCTGTCTTGAAGTATGGTCCAACAGGAGACAAGATGACATACAGCAAGGCTGAGGACGTCTTGTTTACACCAAGATTGGGCTTAAGATTAAAAATTTAGGATGGAGGAAGGATTAGAAATCTTGCCACTTTACAAACAGGCTATAAGAAAATTGTTACTTCGGTGAACAACTGCATTCTGATTGGCTGATGCACTCCCTGTCAATTCACTCAATTGACATACAATGAAATAGTAATAGAGAAGTAAAATGGTTTTAGCTGAAGAATACTTAATGAAAATTACTAAAATAAAAAACAGTTCGAGTCCAGGAATGATAGTTGAATTTTACTGTGATTTGAAGGCTTGCTATCTCGCAGAGTGTAGCCCCATAATTAAACAAAATAGTAGTAACCCATCAAGCCGAAAAAATTTGGATGTACGACCGTACGACCGTACATGGTACTACTTTTAACATGTTTGGTCAACTGTACCGCAGGCACACCAATGCCACGGTTTTGTCCAGTAGTCCAGTGGTCAGTGTTCTGGGGTCCAAGTCAGATGACCAGGGTTCTAGTCCTGGCTAGGGCAAGGCGTTGTGCCCTTGAGATGTGCAGGAAAAAAAAATATGCAAGCTCTGCTTTTAGGCTTGGCTAAATCTATATATTAATTATTATAATGGTCCACCTTACCTGTGTTGCTATAAGAGTTGGTCGAATGTATAAGGAACACTTGTTTGAATAAGGCACCCATTCTCTTTCAATGCTAATAAGATGTTTTATACACTTGACAAGTTCTTCACCATCAAAACCCTGCCATGAGAAGCAACACAACAGTTCTCAAGTGGGAAAAATTCTGATAATTTTAAAGCAACAACATCCATGTTTAACAGAGGTAAGTTTCTAAAGAAACTGTGGTGCTGCGTCGGTGGGAGAGTATAGCAGGTAATTTAGTGTTCACAACTGAGTTGATAATGTAAATTGGCCATCATAAAGGGTAAAAAAAGCTGACGTTTTGAGTGTTAACCCTTTGTCACTCGCTCTGACAAAGGGCTAATGCTTGAAATGTCAGCTTTTTCACCCTTTACAATGGCCAATTTATGTTCTCAAATCAGTTGTTAACACTAAATTACCTAACATCCATGTTTGTCCATCATGGAATTTTTAAGGTCGAAATTGTTTGAGCTCATGGATTGAAATCCTAGTCAGTCATCCTCATCATCAATCACTTCAATCCAGAGACAGATCCAGGAATTTTTTTTACAAAGAGAGGGAGGGGGGAAAGAATGACACCAAACCATGATTCAGAAAACAAAGAAAATATTTCCAACTTAATAAGCTAAGAAATAATCAAGATAAACAACATTTGAACACTTCATATTGACTACAAACATGCAATCCAGTCACTGCAAGACTTTTAGTGTCAAACAAGAAGTACAAAAACCAATTGGTCTCATTAAAAGGGGGAAGGGGGGCTGTTGTTTAGACCTCGTGGCCCTCTCCCTGGATTTGCTGCTACAGTACCACCTCTCTCAAAGCAACTGGTAACATGTAGAGTTAAACTGTTCTTGATATTCAAAATATCATTCTGTTAAGCTCATTTAAAAGAACAGAAATATCATTTTGAACTCAGTTGAAAACAAAAATATGACTCACTGGTAGACAAGCTCTGTCAGCTGATCTGTTCATTCTTCTCATGTTCTCCATGGGTCTAAATAACCTGATCTTGTCATCATCTCCCCTGTATGCCTTCATGCCTTCAAAAATCTATCCAAACAAAGACAACATACAATTATTTCACCATAAGACTATTTCTTGAGGGTTAAGCATTTGAGATAGTTTACAAGGTTGTGATCAACAGAGTTTGGTCTATTCAGCTTGTTTCAGTTTCTATATCCATTAATTGATGGCAGTTTAATATGAAGGACTACAATGTAGTTTATTTTGAATTACAAAGTCATCATGTTAAGGTTCTTATCATTTTAGGGTTCAAAATAAAAACAAATTATTGAATAAACACAATGCTTAATATGAACAAAGGTTAGAACTGTGAGGGGCCACTGAAAATTTGAGGTATAAACATATAATTAAGTAACATCATGTGCAGGAAAATATGTGCAAGTGTTGCCAAATTGCAATTGGTTTTAGTTTTGTATCTACCGGTAAATTATTGAGTTTCTTCAAACCCAGTCACAAAGGATAAATCCAAATGAGTATATCAAAATTAATTGAAAATGGTTCTAAAGGAAATAACTGTGTTTCCCTACCTCTAGTGCATAGTGAAAGACAGAGCAGGATGGAGGTAATGACAAATTTTGGTATGGTTTAATTTTTGGATCAGCCCAGCCATTCTCTGCAGTCCATTCAATACTAAGCATGTGATCTGTAAACTCAGCGCCAAAGACTAATGTATTATAGTCTGATTTGGATTTTGGAGACTTGGTCGGTTCAACTACAAGCCTATCATACTTAAAAAAAATATATAATACATTAAAAACATGGAAACTTACCATATTTACATAAATAAATGCACAAGTGCTTAATTATTAGAAATTTGATGGGTGCTTATTGGGAAGAGGGTGCTTTATTATGGGGGGCACTTACTGTTGTTCTGTTCTGATCCTGCTGAAGCTCAAAAAGTTATAAACAAAGTGACTACAGAAAAAGGTGTTCCTTATATACCCACTGAAAGCAAGGAAAAGAGGGGTGAAGAGTGTTTATTTGAGAGAAGCAAATGTTTACATTATGGCCCTGTGGGTGGGGGTGTTTATTCAAGGAGGGGTCCTTATAAGAGTGTGGGTGTTTATTCAAGGAAAGGAAGTGTATCATGAATGCTCTCATAAACCACAAGGGGACTTATTATTTTGTAAGGCTTCCAGAGGATGCTGTATTTGGCCTTGTGGATGGGAACTTATTTCAGGGAGGGTGCCTATTAGAACAAGGGCATTTATTTGAGAAAATGACATTCTCCATTCTAGAGAAGAGGGCTAATCAGATAAGAAGGGCAGACTTAATCAGAACAAATTGATGAAAAGAAAAATCATAGGAAAATTATTACAACCACTCTTCTGACCATTACACAGTATTACCAGTAATTATCATACTGTGTGCAGAACACATTTCCTTGATTTCAAAACATAAAACACTAATATGGGAAGTAAAGGAGCCTTGAAAAGACAAGCTGGTAAATTTGGTTATACAATGCCACCTCACAAAAATAAATAAAAATACCACAACGTAAGTAAGGGAGGGAGAGAGGATTTTTAGTGATGGAAAAGTCTCATTATTTACTTTAAAGGAACATAAGAGACTGAGTATTTTTAAGCAGATAGTTTGTATCAAAAACTGTTGTGCTATATTGTTGGACCACTGAAAGGAGATTTTTTAACTGACTTGCACAGTCTGTTTAACCCTTTAAACCCTGAGAGTGACCAGCATCTAATTTCTCCATACAGTAATTTGGCTAAATCATTTGTTGAGATCATGAGAATAAAGGAAATGATTGCCACCCAAAGAAGCTACGGTTGTAAAACCAATTCTCCTTGTCAGTACTAAAGGAAACGTATAAAGAAGAGAATGGAGAATATGGATACTGATGTTCGGGCATAAAGGATTAATGTCTCCTTTTAACTTTTTCCCAACTTTCTGATTAATTCTATTTGCATGCCACTCTTAAATTACAAAGGTGAAGAGACAGAAATAAAGAGATTGTTAAAAAACACGACATTAATCAAATAGATAGGACTTATGATCCCTAACAGGCCACCATGCCACATAGTGTGTAACATACCTTAAAATCAGAATCTGAGGACAAGCCTCGAATCTACAAATAAAATCAGAGAAAGAGGATCGGAAAACTGAGCTGAAACCTTCCGTAAATTAGAGTGATACCAGAACATTTTCAGCTTTATTGTGTAACTAAAAGAACTAATGATATCTCTTAATTCCCTGATCGTCAATTTCAAACACAGACGCTAATTGGCTCCTTGTAAGTATCTTTGGCCACTGTATGTAATTATAAAAGCATTAATATTGATTTGACGGTAGCAGCGTTTCTTAAAAGTGCAAATTTGAGAGGATCTTATCACTTTGAATTTATTTCTTAGAGAGAAGATTTATCGCAATGAAATGAACTGTCTGTCGCTCTTTGTCTCAAAGAAAAAAAGACTAGGATCTTCTACTGGAGCGAGGAATCCTAGAGGGCTCAATTGAAGGTCATGTCACAATCCACGCGTTATTTTACATCTGATAGCTAACTCAGGAAAAACTCCAAACCACTCATAAAAGAATCTTACCAAAATTTGTGACCTTAAACGTCTAAAAGCTTTCCATGGAGAGGATTGAAGGTGAAAATTATTCACACAGAACTTTGTAAAACGTGACGCCATGTTAGTTTCATGCAAATTAAGTTTACGTGGGCACCTGGGCCGAGTTTTAGTGTATGCAAGCCGCAACCTGATTGGTTATTTTAGTGGGCGGGTTAGAGGTGTGGTTGGGTTATTGGGTGTTACCAGAATGGCTGCTTCTGTTCGCGACTAACTTTTTCATTTTCGTTTTAACCCGCTACTGTAACCCTGCGCATATACTGTAATAGTTTTGGCAAATCCTCCAGGGGCCCAATAGAGACTTGAAGATGTAGAGATAACCTGGGAGGGGGAGAACGAATATGAGTCTAGTTTTCCTTCTGAGTCGTCCCCTGTCCAAGATGATTACGGTACAAAGTCTTTGCGTTTCTTTGGTTGGAAAAAACCTACACACATCAGACGGAAAGTCCTACAAGCGTCCAAACAGAACAAATTCATATAGTTCTGCAGCTACCTCGCCTGAACGAGGAAAACGATTTTAGGATGTTATCTTTTGCGTCAAATTATCATCATTTTTTGTCCTTAATTCCAAAGTCCAGAGTTTTAAATAAAGTAAGTTCAGGAACCTTACAAACCACCTAAATAAAAATAGCATTATCACAAATCAAACACCTGCTTACACAGCATACTATGTTTATTTTATACACAACTGTACAAAAAATGTCTATTCTAGATTTCACATATCAGTACAGTGATATTCCCTCCCTATGTAGCATTTACAGCAGACAATTGAAGCTGAGAACTGAAACACTTTCAAACAATGAGATACAAGACTGCTAAAGGACAATAAAATCAATGACCATTCCTTGTCTCCTAAATTTAGCTTCATAATCTAATCAAGTGTATTTTTATAGATAAAGACTAGAAGAAAATTATTTTCTTAGTCAGGCAAAAAAAATAAGAAATCTAGCACTGCATTTCAGGAACTTTATAAAACAACCTTACACCTAAAGACTCAAACCACAGATTAGTAGATGGTATTTCCTCTATTATTTTTCTGAGAAAACCCTCACAATTATTCATTCATACTTGAGCTACTAAGCTGTACTTTTCAATGATTATAGCAGGGCAACAGTTTCTCTGAATTCTGTCCTGCTTAATTTGGGAGAAACTTAGGAAATGCTATCAATCACAGGAGTTGAAGTTTGCCTCCAGATAATTTCAGATCGAGTAAAGAACTAGGGGTTTCCAGTCAACTACGTTAACTTTGAAACGTGATTATTTCCATAGAAAGAAAATGGTAACATTCAAGAGAAAAAGAAGGTTAAAAGCTTGGGCTAAAAGGAGGATAAAGCAAAACAAATCTTGATCTGGAAAATTAAGGGTCTAAGATTTGTTTATAGTAACTTTAAAGTCCTCCATCTGTGCCCAGTGTCCCTTGAATTGTTCAAAAGTGCCTGGTGCCAAACTCCTCTTTGGCTTTGATTTTAGCAAATTTGCACTGCAACAGTTTTAAGTGTTAATAAATAGAGGGTAAGCTCTCTGGAGTGTCCAATGAAGGCATCACTTTACAAGGCAACGTTCAAAGTAGACACTTCCTACATATCCTCCTCTCATGGATTTCCCCACATTCTGTTCAAACAACCGCCTGTTACTTCGAAGAACTTCAGCAGCATCTGTGGCAAAGGAAAGACACAGTGAAGGAATGAGGCTAGTACACAGCAAACTTATTGACTTCTATCAATATTTTTTTTCAAGAGCTTCAACAAAACTAATTCCTCAAGACTGGTCTACATCCTTCAACATTACAACTTTGTTTCCTGGCCCAACACCTAGAGTTGGGGGAAGTGAAAACTTCACCATCAACCTCTACTTATATGCACCACCCAATTATGATGGTGGTTTTGGAACTTCTAATTCTGCAAAGGGTAAACCTGAAGATGTCAAATCTCCTCTTGAAAATAAACAAAGGAAGTATTAACCTTTGTTAAGAGGATCCTCTGGATTTGGTTCCTGCAATCAAAGAGACAAGTCAAGTTATGTTATTAGCTCACACCTTAAAGGAGACATCTGAAAGGCCCATTTTTCGAAAGTACCACTAACTTGAAAGCCTGAAGCCATACTTCAAAAAACAAAAATTAAAGAATAGAGAAGCAACTTATGGCACCCTAGTCAGTCCACTTTGTTTCTTTAGCTGATAGTTTTATAGTATGATTTTCAAAACTTTTGAAAATCCTGTCTTGATTGGAAAGAGGGGAGCTTTACAAGCCACTAAGTTACCAGGACCTTCGAGCTAGGGGTTCCAAGATTGAGTCCTGATTGGTTCTTTTGAACAATACCAAAAATACAAAGTCACCCACTGACAGACTGATCAAATGACTCAAAAATTCACCTCATAGGGTTTATTACAAGCACTCACCAAAAACAGATATTGTAATCCAATTATTATTGCATTTATTGTAAGAACAGGTTTCCAGTCCTCTCTGCAAATACAAAAGATATTGGGAGCTTAAGGATTTTGCATCATGAAGTAATTTTAAAGGAAATGAAAGAACATATAATATCAGTAATCATCATTTATCTATACTTACCTCAAGATGTTCAAACAGACATTTCCTTCTAGATCAATGTTAGGATGATAAACCTGAAAAAAAGGGAGTCAAATTACTTTCAAAATCCAAATACCATGAACACCTGAAATATTTTGAGGAGAGGAGTCCAACTGTTTCAATCAACCAAACTGGAAATTAGTAATTAAGAGCAAATCTTGTCCACAAATAACAACTTCAATGCCATTGCTGCTAATCCTGCCATTATTGGTTTTTCTTTTCTTTTCCTTTAGAACTCCTTTACAAAGGCCTTACTGTGGTATCCCATTAACTCTTTGATTCTACTTGAGTGCATTTTATCATGCATAATCATGGATAGAAAAGTTGCACAAAGCAACACTAATGCAAGAACTTAAACCTTTGAGGTTACCAGGTTTATGGTGACAACCAAGAGTAGTGAAGGTAAATGTCATTAATAATGAACTCAAAATAGTCATCTGTTTCAAATAGAACTGATCCTGCTGGATCATCAAGTTCCTGAGTTGTTTCTGCTGTTCTGTTTTGATTTTCAGGAATATAGACAAAATATCATGAAAAATCTTACCCACTTTTAAACTGAAATGTCTGGCCACATAGTTTAAAACATGCTACCCATGCAAGAGTTTTTTTTTCTTTTTTCGTATCGGTGGTTTGAAAGGGAACACTAAGGAAATGATGTTTTCAATTTTGTAAAAGAAAGAGGGCATTTACTTTCAAAATGTTCCAATGAAAATTTGTTCAATGGAGAGCAAAAAACCTTCAAGTTTATCTGAAGTAAACTCAGACATATTTTTTGGCTTATTGCCACTGGTGTCTGAAAAATTGCACAAATAAACTGCATTAGTGCCATGGTTCCTGTAGTCTCCTTCACAGCCCATGCAAAGATATTTTGCAGGTGGTTGTTGCCCATCTGGACTTTGCTCCATGTTTGCCGAATATGTGATAAAAAGCAGGTTGTTTACAAGGAATTGACTAGTAAAGTCCAAGGTAGCTAAAAGCTAATTTGATTGTTAAAAAATGTCTACGCATGTGAGAATTGCATGAAAAATTGACTAACAGTAGCATTTAGTTTCATGTGAATTTTTTCAGTGCGGTTGGATTAAGACATTAAATCTATGTTGTTTATCAGAAAATGGTATTTCATCTGATAAAGTCTATTTCATAGTGACAAGTAGACACATAATTGTATTGGGAAAATACAGTTTAAACACAAGATGTAATTCATGGAGAACTTTTAAAATTATAGCAAAAAAATGGATATTTAACATGGCAGTCAAAATAGTTTTTCTGTGATCATGCCTGAAAGTAGCCGTCTGATTGGTGCAAGCAATATACCACTTGACATGCTAACATAGAGTTGTTGTAACAGTTGTTGTTTTTTAAATGAAAAAAGTAACTCAACAAATGGCAGGTGCTCTTAAACTAGAAACTCACTTTTGTTTCACACTTGACTTTTGGAGCATCATGAGGATATCCTGGACCAACCTTTTACAAATTAAACAGACTGGTATTGATAAAGGGATAATTAGATGTGTTGGGGCAAGTCATCAACATTCATGGAAAATGTTGAGACTTACTAACCAATATGATGCATGGTCACTGTGGGATCCCAGAAAGGGTTCAGTGGCTTCAAAATCTAGCAAATGTATCTTTAGGATTTAAAGTTGAAAGACATATCAAATTACAACAAAATGAAAATGACAGTAAAAGAACTTCAAATGAGCTACTAGAAATTTCAAAAGACAGCAATGAGTCCCTGAGAGCTGGCTGAATGCATTTTCAACTACCTAATGCACATTGTTGCCACTACAATTTTTCAAGATAGTTTCCTCTGTCTTTCTAAGATCTTATAAAGGGAGTAACTCACCTTAAAACTAAAGATAAATCTTCCATTTCTGTAAAATCCCTGGAAGTTAAAATTAAATTAAAAGCAGCACTAAATTCAAAAAACTTATATTGGTTATTATCATTGAAACTTATGATGACTTAAGAAAAATGAGAAATCAGTTTGAATGCTGGGGCTTAAATTTTTTCAAGCAAATGAACAAAGTTATTGTTTTCTTAAGAAATTGTGGTGCATTATCCATGGGCAAGTCAGTCACAGAACAATGTCTGACTAAAAATTGCACATGTCTGATGAAATGTTTCGTAGGGGAGTACAAATGTTTGAACAAATTTTAAAAAGAAACATTTACACACCACTTCAACAAACATTTCCTTCATGTATTCTGGTAATAAGTTTTCACTGCAACAACAGAGAACTGTGACTTACAAAGCCTGTTTAAGCCAACTACTTAGATATTAGTAAAAAGACTAGAATAGTCTCTAAATGATTATAGTACCTCATCTGGTGAAATATTGAGCTTGAAATTTAGAAGATCATCTGGATCAGGAAATTCTATCTGACATGTTTTTGGTAGCTCAAGATCCCGTACATCTGAAATACAACACATTTTGCTTATGACAACAATACAAACTTTAGGTGGCAAAAAATATTGTTTTGGTTATATGAAGAGATAAGTGGTATTGCCTTAGTAGTTCTCTTGGGAAATTTGAAAAGAAGTGTATGATAAACTTCTTGAATATATCATGTAAGTGATAAACCCTCCCTCTATGAGAGACAATAAAAAAAATTAAATTAAACAACTTCCAGACTAAGCACCCAGAGAGAAGAGAAACCCCAGTATTCAATTTCAGAATTTATGATCAGATTTATGATAACCTTTTAGAATTTCAAAAGGTGTCCCTGTGGTATGTGTAGCCTACATACCCATAAAGAGAACACAGCACTGCAAGAGGAAAATGTCAAAGCCAAAAATACTGCACAGTAACCCTGACCAGGGCATTCCAAAATGGTACTTAGTTCTGCATTTTATGCATTATTCCTGAGACCTATGTGTTTCCATCATATTTAATAACAACTTCCTTCTTTCACTTCATCCAAAAACTATTGAAGGAGGCATTTCTGTGGCACTTTCAACCTGTTCCTCAAAAATTATCAAATTTCCTTTTACAAAAATCTAAATTTCTGTCCATCTAGGATACAAAGATCTTAAAGAGCAGACCTGCAACAGCCCTAACCCTTATCACCTTAATTAAAAGTGGACTTTGAGTCTCTACTTCACTCTAGACAGTGATAAAGTGATAGCAATTTGTCCACCAAGCTCTTGAGATACAAACAATGTTTTAAAAACCAACCCCGAACAAGAACAATGAAGTATTGTAGCGGTAATTAATCGTAACTCGAGACCGACGTATCAATCAAGCTTATCTATGTCTCATGAAATTTAATGATTTCGGTGAATTCACGAGTATCTACCTCTTGGGCCTGTAAACAAAACAAATTCCACACTAGATGTCCTTCATGTTGACGGCGTTTTTGAGGACGAAATTAGACAATATACAGAATCTTATTTACGGTTTAAGAGGCCAATGTGGCAACACAGTGAAAACGTGAAAATGTACCAGAAATCAGGCTTTATTTTCGCACAAATAACAAAAAGATTACTTCAGAAGAGACTCTAGGAGAAACTCAAAACTGTCAGGATTGACTTCAGGACGAAACAAGTAGTGAGCATGGCTAATACGGCAAGAATTACAATGGGTTATTTCTCGCTGTTCATTCCTTAAGTCTTCAAGGATATACTTAAACAATAACAAAACAGATCACAAAACGTACCATTAAACGGATAAGATACATGATGCAATGGCAGCACAATGACTAAGCTTCTTCTACAAGAAAACCACACCATAACACACCTTTCGTTATCCTTAGTTGCGCCGCAGAAGCCCTCTTCGTCCCTGTCTTTGCACCTTCTCCTTCCTTCTTTTGTTGCTTCAAAGAGAAAAGCTTGATCATGGCTCTAATATAATACAGACCGAAGAAATCACCAACTTCCCTTTATGTGCTCGAATGTAATCGAGGAAAGAGCCGCGAAGACTCAGCGAAAATTTTGCTTCGGCGCCGGCTCACATAATCTGATTGGTTCAGAATTCACGGAGAACTCTCGCCGAGTGTTCGGAAGTATGGAGGGAAAAGCCGAGCAATTATTGACTGAAATTGACTGAAATTACTTGTCTCCAGTCCTTCACTGTTGCGCGACGCGGTTACCAAAAAATGGCGCGCTTTTTGATAACTTCGCGCGAACTTCGCGCGTAGCAATATCCACAGGGAAAGGGAGACATGGGAGACAATTTTTCTGACACCTTTAGATCAACTTCTTTCGTCTTTGCTTCGGGCTGCACTCTTTCAGGTAAGTAGTCTCGATAAAAGGAAAGTAATCAAGTCAATTCTTTTATTTCTTACGAATTTAAGTAAGTTTTCAAAGGTTTTTCTGGTTAGCCAAACAAGTGGAAGTCATTTCAAAATTCGGTTCAGTTTGGAAGCCATTTCACAGTACGCATTAAAAACTTAAAGCTATGTTTTTTTTAATCGCTTTTTACGAAATTCAGTCAATGTTATTTTGCACTAGTCATTTCTTCTGATCTTTCGAAACGTCAACGTCTATTTTCAGGCTACCGGCATTTGGTGCAGAGAAATCTCTTTGCGAAAGAGTGACTTTAGATCATGTCTCGATCAGTTACAATGTATCGTTACATGAGAAGTGTGAAGAAAAACAAATTCAGTAGGCATGGAGCACTGAAGTCGGCAAAGGCTGCATTAAATGACATAAACCAAAAGCAGTCCATGCATACAAGAAGTCCTTTTGGTCTGTTTGCTTTACTACCCCGAGAAATGCGCTTTATAATATTTGGCTTCACTCCACTTTCCGATCTCGGGCAACTTTCCTTGACATCGAGACTTCTCACGGACGAGGTTGTGAACTATATCCACAGCAAAGACGCTTTACACGCCATTGTTCCAAATATCCAATTTAGGAGTGAACAGGAATCTTCCGAGCTTTTCATAAACGCGAAAACGGAGTACTGCTGGAACCACTTCAAGGACCTTGGTGAGACTTACAACTGCATCAAATTTCAGTATTGGAATAGCTTATAACTCCACTATCATCCTCTCTAAAATGCATTATACAAGCGTTTTTAAATTATGCGCTGCCATGCTTTAGACTAAAAGGGGAAGTACAATTTATTTAAACAAAACAAAGTGGTTTATCAAGATCCAATTATAGCCTGATTCTTAGACAGTCCAAAGTCACTCGCTCAACTGAAGTAAAGCGGATGACTTCGGATCGATTGAATATCAGGGTACAATCCGCTCGTAATTAACGCATAACATTCACGCAAAGACTTTTTAAGAAGTGGTAGGAAATAAAATTACAAAAATTTACTACAGTTTGCCACCATACCCACCTTCAACCATTCAATGTTGTACAATCAGAAAAAAAAGTGCAATATTGTACGGGGAAGAGGGGGGGAAAGTGAGAGTGTTAGGAGTAAAATTGGGAGGCTATTTCAGATTTTCGCAATCTCAGTGGTAATGTGCCAAAAAATTAATCACTGTAACTCAGCCGTAAAATTATATTTTTTTACAGGGATATTACTTAAAAGGGCAACCTGCCTCTTTTCCACTAAAGAAAGGTTACAGGAAGTCGGAGTAGTTTTGGATAAGGTATGAAATCAAGTTATACCGCGTTCCTATAACTTACCCGTCATAAATGATGATAGGATCCAGTTGAGATCAATAATTCTTGCTTTCCCTTTGCTCATGTCGCTGTTTCATCGCAACCGACTTTAGGTCCCATCATCCAAGGACTAGCATTTAATTCTAAACCAGTTTTAATGGGCTGTGTATTTAAGCATTATTTTCTAGACATGCCTAGTTAAACAAGTGTTAAAATGTGATACTGACAGAAATCCTTACAAAAACTTGAGCTAGGCAAATAATCACATGGTATTCTGATATCTGGTGGTTCACTGACTGAGGGAAAGCAAGCAGGATACATGAGCTTGATATGAGATTTCCCTCTCTAATGAGATTTCCCTCTCTAAGTCATCGTGTGTTGAACAACTCAGTTCTCTACGACAAATTGTGCGATTCTGATATCATGAAATCATGTAAGGACATTTACAATAACATCCAAACTCATTTAACCGTCTGTAGCTCAAAGACACACACTCAAAGATCTGCACCACCCTTGGAAGTGATACTGCCTACAGCTGTTACGGAAAGTTTCTTCACTCCTTTGTTGCAGGATGGGAGGATGATGAGAAGTTTAAAGCCTATCTTGCTATCAAAGGTATAAACCGGCTAAAAAAAGAAAGACACAGACAGACGAACCGACTTAAAATTCCGTTGAACTGTTCCGGTAAACAGGAGACTAACTGACTACTGTTTAGCTTTGGTGGATTAGATGGGGTTGGCAAAAACCGGACAAGGTATCTGGAAACGTTGGGTTCCTAGTTATCAAGGATAAAACATGAATGACTTTGAAGTGAAGATATTCACTTCGTTTTATGCTCAAGCGAGCCAACGCTTAGATTACTTGCTTTAGAAAATTTGCATTCTTCGTTAACGTTTATCAAACTGTAACAAGCACCCACGGTGAGTTCCAAAGCGTTAGTGTCCAAAAGCATAATTTCCTGCCTCCTCCCTCTAGGTCACTCCTCCAGGCTCTGTTTGAATTTTGTTAACATAGAGCCCAGGGCTTGTGCCTGTACTGCTGGATGTAGAGTCCAAGGCAGTGCAGCACCTGGGCGTTCCTCTTCTCACGCACACACCTGCATTTTATTTGACTTCATAATCTTTTAAAGGGGCCTCATGTTTGGATGACAGAATTAGGCAGGTGCTTCGCTCCCCGCCAGGATCACAACCATGGTACGAGAGATACATAAGAGTATTCTGTCGAGAGATATTCTTGGACAAGGCTAGCGATCACACTGAGAGAGGATTCTGGCTTTGCAAAATACTAAAACCATGGCCCCTTGTTTTCCAAGCCCGACTAATTTACATTCTATACGGACCCGTCAATGATGAAAACGGTAAGTATTTATCAAACTGTCTTAATATTCACTGATGACGATCCAAAAATCTCTGACTAAAAATTGGCTCCTCAGGGCCTACCTAACGTGCCTCCTATTATATTCGGTTAAGGAAGTCTTCTGGCCGTTTAATTTTGTATAAGCAGCAAAATCATGTCAAACATTTGTAGAAACTAAACTGCCCTTTGTTTACTTGGTTTTTCGTCCTCGATCCGTAAAGAACGAGGAACTTACCCTTAAACTGAAGGCATAGAAACCGCGTATCCGACTCACCCTTACAACTTCTATTGTTCTGTCGCTTATGATTTCAGTACCAAACGCATGAAATTTTCCTACGACAACCATACTTTGTCTTACCTGGTTTTAACATGTGGACTTATAATTTGCAGGAACTGTCGCCTGGAATGTGTTACAAAGTTGTCCAACTTATTTTGGCGTCGAAGACGCCGAACTAATGGACCTTGCAGACGTCCTCAAGATATTACATGTGTATTGTGACAGCAAGGATTGGAACGAAGATGATTTTATCAGCGTGTTCGAGGAATTAACCGGTATTTGCTTTTAACAGTACAGTACATGTCTGTAAGTGAATGGAATTTGAAACATATGCTATGGGCGCGGCTTGATTTAGTGTAACCTTTGAGGTACGCCTCACACCAATTGATCAACATCTACTTTCCGTTTTTTTTCTCTTTGGGATAACCGTCAATCGAATTTGATATCTCACCGCGTTAAAGCTTTTGGACTGAGCAGTAGTATAAAAATGAATTCAATCGCATAGCGTTGCGTTGAAGCTGCCTTTCTTTAAACAAATTAATGCCCCTTTCTGTTTTCTTCAACTTCAGGTACGCCATCTGACTGGTGCTTGGAAAATATCGCCAAGCTGCTAAAACTGTGTGGAGAATCAGTTTGCTTTGAAGTGCTAGGAAATAAAGCTATGAATGGGAGAGTCCATGAATTATCATACTTAGGTTACTACCTTGGTCAGGTAATGTTTCCATGATATTTAGTCAAAGAAGTGATTCTGTAACACGTTTAAATAGGTTTGTTGTATGGATGTTGTTTGCAAACTTGGACTACAGTACTATGTATTTCTTGTATTATAAATATCACAGGTTTTAGGACAAGATGACATGATATATGGCAAAGGGAATGGTATTCAATGCTTTTCAAACACCATGAGACAAGTTCTGGCTGTCATGCCAAGCAGCAAAGATCAAGCTGCCTTGACATCATCCTTGTTCAATGTATGGGAAGAGAACATACTAAGCCTTGGAGAGGGACTCCAAGAAGACCTAGGTACTTAATACAATAACTATTACATTCAAATGTTCATTTTCAATATAATCTTAAAACAACTTCCCTCAAACAAACAAACAAACAAAAACAAGTTCATTTATTGGAAATAAATTGTTACCTCAAAAAGTAAAAAAAAAAAACCAAGTACATTCATTGAAAAATGTTAAGTAAAAAAGTTGATTTTGATCATTTACTCCAGTTTCACTCTTAAGTAATTGAGATAATGTAGATTACAGGAAACAAAGAGGAACAGGAAAAAACTTAGAGGGTGGATATAGGAAAAAAAAGTTTAGTTGTGAATTTTTTTTTTCTGTAGGACTCCCCATATTGATATGTCTGCTCACTTTATTCCACCTCTTTTTGATTACCCCTCCCCCCAGGAGCCTGAGGCAGTGCAAGGAAAATAATCATGCCTGATAACTTAATGAGTCTTAGGGAATATAAGGGGTCTTGAAAACCAAAAGTTTAGAAGAAAAGTAATCATGGAAATTAATATAGGAAATTCTGAAGCTAAGGAAAAGATATTTTCAGTCTGCACAAAGTAAAGAAACCCAATTAAACAACAATTACAGAGTACAATAAGAAAATTAATCATACTTAGCAATAATTGACTCTGTTTTTTATTTCTAGATGTTACTATCCCAGAAGAGCAAGAACAGGTTTTTGCTGCAAGTATACACAACCTAACTAAAATAGCAGCAATCTTTCTTAAAGAATGTACAGTAAAATGAGACCTCACAGAAGAACAGTTCTAAAGATCCTTTGAATATCATATTGAAAAAAAAATCAATTTATAAAAGATTTTGACATATTGCATTGCATCTCTAAAAATATTGCATCTCTAAAAATATTAAAATTTACATTTTTTGTGGAAATTTATTGATGGATACCTTAAAAAATGTTTAATACATTGTTAATAAATACTTTGTTTATGCTTTTTTCCCCTTTGTTATCAATGTATCCTGGTAATATTACTCAAATCTCAAGACAATAAATGTAATAATTAAAAATCATTAGTGATTTTAATCACAACAAGGTAATAACGACTCCTGTATTGGTTATAAAATATTATTGAAAGTAAATGTGTCACCTGCCAAAGAATTTTTTTTACTTACTTTTTATGTACTTGTCAAATTAATTCCTTACATGAATTTCCTATTACTTTACTTTTGGTATACTAAGTCATTGGTATATTCATTGTCACCTTTCAATCAATTATAACACCTGACATCCAACAACTCACAATCTTAATTTTAAATAAATTTATTCAGTTAATCCCATTATGTACATTCAGTGTCAGTTGCCTTGACTAAACGCTATGCAGACCTACATGATAAGACGAGACAGGGAAATAATTGCAATGCAGTATTATCAATAATTTTTGTCACATGTACAGCTTCAAGAAACTAGGGATACCATTGTTGATGAATCTATGTGAGCCATTACCTCCCCCCCCCACCTCTATTCCCCTCCGAAAAAAAAACTGGCATGCGTCACAAGGTAATGACGTGAAGTATCAGCACCTCTAGCTGCAAAAGAGAGACATAAGTACAACTTGAAAATGAGGAGAAAAATGGATGCTTACTACGAGCCAAAACCGTAATCAGAACTGTCCGGCAAATCCAAATTTTCAAATGAATTATTGCTCAACTAAGGAGATCTGAAACTCGTTTGATGTAATATTATTTGATCTCTCCAAATTTGGGAGATGGACGAGACGAGACGAGACGCGACGTGATGCAATGTAATTTGCATAATGCGCAAGAGCAAGAATTTATACAGATCGCGATTGTTCTATTACTTTGTTCTGTTCGACCTTTTGTTTTGTTTAAAAAGTTAATTGAAACTACAGGCGTTAATCAACAAAATGTAAGGTAGAAATTAACAAGCGCTAATATTGATTTGTAGCCTTTAAGACGCAACAAATTACTTACCTAAGTGTTTCCGGTGTCAGAGAAATGATTCAGTTGTTTCACCAGGATATCATGCGGGTCAAATAACTAGTAACCTTTCCTCGACGTGAAAACAATTTCATACCCAAAATTCATGACTCTTCGAAAAACGAATGTTGAAAACCTGTATGTGCCACCAATAAACTGTAAAATTTGTTATCTCGCGATGACAACTGTTCTTGACAGCCTTCAATTGATAAACAAGTTACGCGGGTATTCCATGACAAGAGACTGTTTGTGGTAGTGACGTCACTGAGTCAAAATATACTCAGTCGTAACTATCGATCTTCGGGAACGACGACCTAATTTGTTGCTGCTGGTTCAATTTCTCGCCGACTATTGAGTAACATGGGTGGTAAACCTGATAAAGACAGAAAAGACAAGATAATCGAGGATGATTTTGTGGATGTAGAAAAGTTTTCAGGACGCCACGATGAATTCGGCGAACGGAAAGGTGAAGGAGCGTATTTCTTCCCTAATGGGGATATTTACGATGGAGATTGGAAGAAGGGCAAGAAGCATGGCTATGGAATGTATACATATGCAAATGGTAAAAGGTATGATAAATTTTCTGGGCGACGGAAACATCGCAAGAAAAGTCTTTTGCGTTAAATTTTTGCCCGGCTTTATCTTTACTTCCGGTAGTGCTGTTTCGAACGCTTCATTGTCCTTAAAGAACAATACACTGCTCTTTGAAGAATTGCGTTGCGGTGTAATATGCTGTTGTTTAATCTATGGCCTCTCGAAGAGATCTAACGTCGAAACTTGTAAAAACAATACATTGCAGTATTTTCCTTCTTGGTAATATCATCTGCCGAAGATACGCTATACCATCGAGAAATTCGCAAAATGTGCCCGACTAGTCAGATATGATGACGAAGGGCTTTCGCCGGAAACTCGGAAACTTAAAAATACGAAAACTCCAATTTTCAAAGATATAAAGATCATGGTCCTTTTCAAACGAATGTCACTGAATGTAAATTTAAAATTTATAGTGTGCTTGTTGTTGTTTGAGATCTCTAAGCTGGTTTGAAATCAAGCGAAATGACTGTAAATTACAGGATTACCCACGGTCTCATTGCAATTGACATTGCTAATCAGGCAGATAAATATTTTAATTTTGGTGAAAAGAATAATTCTGAAATTCGTTAATAATAGATTTCACGAAAGTTAAAGTCGTAGAACAAAACACTCCAAACGAATTTTCTCGTTCTCAAGAGTGTGTTAGAAGAGCAGTCACTACTGAGATTAGGAATTTATTTCGTACCTTTACTCAACTGGAGAGTGAATGGGAAGTACAAAAATGTTCTTCTCTCCAAGAAATCTTGCGAGTGATTATTGAGACGGTTAATTAAATTAGTCACACTAATCAGTCTTATGCCTTTCAATAAGGAAACTCAATATTTCTTAATCTATTTTGATTATCTTAGTTGACGCTAGACGGCCTGTCACACAATCTTCGTCGAGGGGTGCACGGCAGCGTCACGTAAAAATTACTTCCAAGGTTCTTTTTACTTGTTGGTTGCTTTTCAGTTTATACCGTCTTAGTAATGTACATTCCTTCTGTGTGTAGCTGAATCCAATATTTTGTTTTCTTTAAGCATTAAAGGATGGTTTTACAAGGATCAATTCATAGGATCAGAGCCAAACGAAAAGTTAAAGAAAAAATTGAAAAAGAAAAATAAAAAATGTGAAAAGGATGCCGCAACGCTTCCTCCACCAGCAAGTCTTGCTTTGTAAGTTTATCTCAAGTTTCATTTAATTTTTATTTTGATAACATGGTTATTTATAATTCATAACATGCAGGAGCCTAATGGACTCTCGGAACATTTCAGTGCTAATAATATCAGTCACTTCCGCCATTTGAAAAGGGATTTTAAAAACTGCTCGAAATAATTGAACTGTCGTTTTCAACAAAAGGAAACACTTGAAAACTGCATCAGAACTATGTAACAATCTGCAACGACAATTTTTGCGTAACGTTGCTGCAACTTTTCGTGGAACGTCACAGGTGAGTGAATTCCAGAAACTCGCAAAATGTTGCCAAGTATAACAACATCTTTGCGATTTCCATGGCATATTAAGGTCCGATTTCAACATTTGCTTCAACGTGTATTCAACACTTTGTTGAACCAAATGTTCTGTGCGTTTGAACAGGTCGTCCAACATTGTTGAAAACATAAAAAAATGTTGAAAGCTTGTTGAAAGCGTGTTGAATCACGTTTAAATCGGTTTAAATTTTCATTCAACATCGATTCAACTTTTCCTTTGTCGTCCCGCGTTGTGATTCAACTTTAGTTGAACGAATGTTGGTCAAATGTTGAAACCGTATAAACGGGCCTTTACAGTATTTGCCGTTTTAGTATAAATTGAACAAAAATGGTGCAACACCGGTAATGTTGAATTCGTGTCCCCCTCTCTTCAAAGAAATGCACCTTTATCTTAAGAGGGCGTTTGGTGGAATCATGGCACCCTTGGATTCGATTTACAGTCACTTATTTTTCGCGTTTTTCGTGTGTATTGACAAAGGCGAACGTGAGGAAAGCGCGAGGAGAGCGTGAGGGACGGGTGCAAGGACATTGCAATGGGCGAGCGTGAGGAGAGCGTGAATTAGGGAGCGCGAGGAGGGAGAGTTACGCGCTTCCCTCGCATTTGCCGCTTATATGATAACACGCAAGTATATGACAATGAAGCCTGTTTCAAAGGCTAGGTTTGCATATTCCGTTCGTCAATTAATCCGGAAGACTTTGAAAAACGAGGCTTGCATTGGATAATATGATTTGTCCAGTCATCTTTTGAGAAACCCGTCTAATTATTGAAGTTTGCTTCCCTATAGTTTCCAGCCTGATGAGAGAGACTCCAAGCCCTTCCCTACAATTCTTAAATCCAACAGCCTCGAAGACGTTTCAACAGCCGGCCGGCACGAGCCTGATGGATTCCGACGGACGAAAAGTGAACGCCGAGCAAAGAGCGCCTTTAAGAGAAATTACAGACTTCCCAGCAAAGAAGATGAAAAGATGGAGAGGAAGAGGAGCGTGAGGCTAAGGCAGTCAATCCGCGCCAAATATGGTTTGCCAGTACCTTCGAGAAAAAATCCCTTGCTTAGTGGTTCTGACTAGGATTGAATTGATATTAATTCCCCAATGCATTTATTTATGAACCATTTAGATATATACAAAACGAACTGAAATTAGAGCGCGGTGATTGGTTGTTGCCTCTGATCTTTCGGTGTGCGGGCGCATAGCTAATGTCTCAGAGAATTTTTAGAATCAAACCAGTTTTGCTGGGGCTTTTTATGAGCAAATAAAAAAATCAAACAAATCAAACAAGCCCACAAAAATACAGAAAAAGGGAAAGAGTCTGAAAAACCAAGATTAATATTATCTTCACTTGGAGCCTTCAAAAATCCCAGAATCTGGAACAAATCTACAAATTGTCGAGCCACAAGGCGAGTAATTAACGTCACTTATTTTACTTTCTGGTCAGGTTCTAGAACAAATCGATCACATGCTTTGTGTCTTTGGTTGTAAGAATTTTGATTTCAGATAAAAAACCTTTACCTCCGTTGGGTGGGTAAGATACGAATCCGTTTTGATCTATGAGAAGATCTCGGTTCCAAATCTTTTCGTTACCTATAACACAAATTTCTGCTGCCAGGATAACTCACTCCTGGGACAATAGACTAAGGTTTACCTTTTTATATAAACAACGCGTGTTAATAAAAAATGAGTTTTATGACTTTTACTTTAAAAGAAACATTTTGTCAACATAACATGAAAATTGTGAGATTAAAAAAAAAAATACAAAGAAGGGCCACAAAATGCAAAGGAGGCACCCCGCAGCATTGGACGAAAAGAATATGTATGTATAGTTGATATATAGTCTGGGTAGCATTAAATAACAAACGGAACGTAAATTGAATTCTGGATTTATTTGTTATTCACATCCCAACCATCCCCACTGCCTAGTGATACAATTATTTAAACGGTATTTAAAAAATTTACGTGTGTGGTTTTCTCGTGAAATGTCGTATAACTACACTACAAGCACTTCCCTTCTTTTCGGCGAGGTCCGTCGCGCGAGTCAAGAAAATAAACGGGGAAAAAAATAAAAGTGGGGTTAGTGCACCGCGCGGATTTCTAGGAGTGCGCTTTGCTGACATCAATCGTTTTTTCTTTTTCACTCGCACGATAGTCTTCGCCGAAAAGGGGCGACTGCTCGCAGTCTACCGTAAAGGTAGAACTTGACAAGACAACGACAACAACTAACGCGTGAAATCAACGGGTCGATATGCGAGTTAAAACTTGGGAACACCTGGGCGCATCTGTGTTCTTTGCAGATGACAGCACGAAACCGTTTCCCATACAGTAAAGACCTCAGTAACTCGGGCTGACTAATGCATCTAGTAATTCCAGTGAGCAGGACGATGAATTCCGAATCGATTTATCACAACTTAGGAGAGTTTCACTCAAAGGGAGTATGTTTGTAACCGATTGTTTATCGTTTAACGTACAAATGGAAAACATGAATATATATTATATATTTGACTTCCTGAAAAATAATTGTTCCCCTCCCCACCCCTGTAATAAAATACTCTTTAAAGAAAATTACGTACTAGTAATCTCGTACCCAAATCCTACCGCTTAGCCGTGGAAGGTCTGGGTGCGAGACTAAATTACTAGGATCATTTTTGAAATTTTAATTCCTCCCCAAGCAGGGCGGTTACCGATGAGGTTGGCCGCCACTTTATGTTCCGGGCCACCACGAAGCTGACTGGACTTTTCTCACTTGACTCAGCTGCCGTAAGGTAGAACAAACAAACAAACAAACAAAAATCACACGTTAACGAAACAGTCATGATATTCTGAGTCACTTTTGGCGCTGTGCAAAACTACCCTCGACTTAAATGAGACGACAAAATATCAATTCAGTCTCAAAAAAAAAAAAAAAAAAAAAAATCGCACAAGCATAAAAGGCACAAAGAAGAGGGACACGGGCAGCAAATGACGATCTTATATTCAATGCACGAGAGGCCCTCCTAATTTTATCAACGCTTTGAGAGCAAGGTACCCCACAATGGACCTGAGTCAGTGGAGCGTATGGCTAACGTGCAGATAGACGACAAGTAAGCCCTCTCCCTAGCTTCGCAAACCCCCCCCCCTTCCCCAAAAAAAAAAAAAAAAAAAAAAAAAAAAAAAAACCCAAAAAATGGCTCGTTCTGTGCGTTAAACGAAACAAATTGCTACGTGCTTTCTTGTTTAAATAAAAAAAAAGGAAAAAAAAGACAAAACTGGACGATGCTCTACACATTCCTATTGTTGTTATATTTTTTCAAGGGAAAGATGTGAAAATACCTCTTTGGGACTGAATTCCAAAACGGTTGCTATGGCAGTGATCATCTGCTGTTTGACAGAGTAACTGGTGCTCATCATAAACCTAAGCACGATATTCTTAAGGTATTCCAAGTTGGCACTCTCGCGAGATCTGAAAAAAAAAGCAAACGAGCATTTATTTAGTAGCAGTTCGTAATTCAACTTGTTAAACGGATATCGCACCCTTGACGTAAAGTTTCCTGGAAATAATGCTGCATCTGCCCAGCACGTTAGTTTTATGTTTTGGTAAAAAGTGAATGAACGCCCCGCAGGTTGACAAAATGAGTAAAAATCCCTTTCAAGGATGTTTGCAAGTTCATTGCAGATCACCCACCCCATCCCCTCGGTAGAACGACACTGTGAGAATAAAAGCAACCAATAGATGCACATCCCTCTGTTATCCAAGTTACGATTATTTTATCGTAAAAAGGTTTATTACTTCCTTCCCAGTTTTTGTGTCTCCTTTTACTATTACCTTTTGGAAATACTGGGAATGTTACACACTACATCAATCTAGGTTTTACATTAACGATCCACTTAGAAAGGACAAAACTTACCTATCTCTTTCCAATTTTCTGATTTCTTCCTTAAGAACGTTGGTTTGATCAATCAGCTTTTCACCTCTTTCAAAAGAAAACAATCAATGTTGCTTAGAAACGCTTACATAAACAGGATGTTTCGGGACATGCTGTCATGTAGTTAGTTTGCTTGCATTCGCTCTACAGTTTGTTCAGAAACACACAAGCCAATAGGAGAATGCATGATATGAAGTCATTCTTAAGAGAAATATCGTGCTCTTCAAGAGATTTAACACACGTACCACCATTGAAAAAAATAAGTTCACATAATATTATCAATGGGGCTACCTGGCGGGAAAGAGGAATAAAATAATCCTATGGCAAAGGGTTCAGTGCAGTAAAAGCCCAACTGACTTAGCAGCTTACTGCAAATGCATGACTAATCTCGACTTGCGACCTAAAAATTTACACCAACCTTAGTTCAGCATCCCTCAGGGACGCCTCCAACTCGTTCTTCTGACGTCGTATCGCAACGCTTTCTGCATCCCTTCTGGCTTGTTGTTGAGCGTAATGTACTAATGTGCTTTCACTGTTGCTGACCTAAAAATCACGTTCCATTCAGTTCATCAGTTTATTGGGAAACGTAACAGAAAGGAAAATAAAGAAATATCGTGTGTTATCACAGAACTCGAATGGTCATTACTTTTGAAATGTTCTAGATTTTTTTAAATAATTCCTTGCTCAACTAAAATAATTTTGCGGATGAGTTAAACACACGTACCCCAGAAGGCTTGGATAAAAGTTGATGAACAGCTACATCCGCATCTGAAGACTGGGGAGAGTCCAAAGTGGCCTGGGACCCACTGCTCACCTCCACAAACTTTCTCGGGTAAGAAAACACTGGCCTTGTTTTACCCACATTCTCTACTGAAGGACTACTTGAAGGACTACGGCTTCTCAGCGTCTCAATCTCTGAATCTTTTTCTGCCACTAGAGCAAGAGTTCTTTCCCTTTGATTTAAAACCTGTCTTTCCAGTTCCTCAAGTCTTTGTTTGTAAACAGTACTTGTTTCTTCTTGTTCACGTTTGTGTTTCTCTTCCAGTAATTTGACTTGATCTCGTAGGTTGGAGATCACCTTTTTATGATCCCGTTCCTTTTCAATGCCCAAATCTTTTAACTCTTCAGTTTGCTGTTCCAAATCCCTGTTACGTTTCTTTAATGTTTCCAAATTTTCCAACTGTTCACTTAGTTCTTTAAAAGATTTGTTCTTGTGTAGGGCTTGTGTTTTTACTTTATACCGTTCAAACTCTTCTTTTAGTTGGCGCAGCTCTTGTTCACAAACCTTGTGAGACGGGTCGTTGGCAAAGAAGGACTCTAACTCTGACTTGCTTAGCTCCTCTAATTTTGAGAAGAGAAGAGAAGAGAAAAAAAACAAAATATCAAAATGATGTTTACCCACTCCTTACCAATCCATCGAACTGAAAGAATCTGAGAGTTCCATGACAACATTGCTTACCCAGAAACCCTTTAAACCCTAACAACAGTATTCATATTTTCCAAACTCTTCTCTCTAAATTTTCTTTGGCAATGACGAGGAGAATTCGTTCAATCAAGATTTTCTTTAGTTGGCGACCATTTCCAGTATTCTCATGATCGTAATGAATGATTCAGAAGTATTTCAGTATGGAGAAATTAGATGTCCGTCACTCTTAGGGTTTAAAAGGTTAAACATTAGGCATCTCCTTTAGGAAAGCCTCACACACTGGGCAACAGAATATTCAAAAACGTTTTCAGAAATCGTTAAATGGAAAGACAAAGCAAGAGAAAAAATTCAAAAGCAAATTCAAAAGTGGGTCAAAATCATACCTTCATTTTTGCCCTGTTTAACATGGAACCCAGTTATCAACTGAGTACCTTAGTCAGGGTTTAACATTGTAGAGGGTGACAAAGAGAAGGGGCCCTGATCCCGTTTCACGCTCGAATTTTAGAAAAATTCACGCTTCACGTGTAGTATTTCACGCGTCGCGAATTTAAAAGAGAAAACCTCAGACCTCACCTCTCCTAGCCTTACTGCAAAATTCACGTTTCAAGTAACAAATTTGTGCTTAATTTTATGCTCTCATCTAGAAATACTACTTACCTAAATTCATTGGTGTATCAGAAGAATTAAGAGCAATCTTGAGTAATCCTTTCAACTTAAAAACTTGCTTTTTTAATTCCTCTGGTGTTTCGTTTTCTCTCAGTTCTTTTTCATTGTCTGGCATCTGATTCTCATCTATACTTAGCTGTCTTGATAACGTGGCATTTTCTGAATCTAGTTTCTGCAAACGATCTTTCAGTTTCTGTATAGCTTGCTGGTCTTGTAGTCTGAGCTTTTCATAATTGCCAACAACTTCTGACAACTCAGAGAGTTTCACCTCTATTCAGCAACAAGAAATAGTGAATTAAAGCAATAAGGATATTGAGAATGTACAAATACTAATGGTAAATGTAACAGTTATGTGAAGATTATTATAATAATTATCATCATTATTATTTATAGTATTAATATTATCATTGATTAGATCTATTGACAAAGGATGTACCTATATTTCTCATTTTCCTTCACAAGAAAAGGCTTCAATATAAAATAACCCCTTTTTCCTCAAAAATATTACATGATTGTACATGTACTAAAATGGATTGTGATTTATTTTTCTCTGCTTCGGAGTTGGAATGTGATAGTGTTCAAAGTTGGCAAAAAAAATTTCTCTCTTCATAGGACATTTGCTCAACCAAGTCTTCATTTTAAACAGAATTGTTCAGGTGTGGTCTATGCCCCCATCCCCTTTCACCTCTTCCTTGCCTCTTGAAGTCTTTATGACCATAAATAGGAAAAAGTGAGGGGAATGCAGTCTGCTTAGGAGTTAGAGGTAGTAAAGTACCCCATAAAAGTCATTTAATTCATTACATACCCAAATCTGCTACTCTACACTCTTCTAAACTTGTAATAATCCTCAACCTTTCTTCAGCATCATTGGCTCTCTTCTGCTCCCTTATGACAGCCTCAGCATTTTCCTTCTTCATCTTGGACATTTCCTCTTGCAACTGAATCAGTAGGGGCGAAGGTCTTGTGGAAGCTTGCTCTGCTTCCTTCAACCTCTTCTGAACTCCTTGTAACTCAAGCTGCAGCAGGGCAATCTGACATTCATATTCCTCTGTTTTGCTACCAGGTAACTTTTTTGATAGTACAATCTGTTCTTTGGCATCTTCTAACTGTTGTTCAAGATCTTCCTTCGTGGAGCGTTCTGTAGACAACAGCATTTGAAGTTCACGCAGCATGAGGACATGGTTGTTTTGTTCTTCTTCACGAGCTTGCTGTTCATGTCTCATGCGCAGCTTGAGCTGTGGGCAGATGAATGAAATTGATCATTGATTGATTTTTTTTCTTGACTACCTTACTGCATCACTAAAAAATTTACATATGTCACTACATACATGTTTAGTTACATGTAAAAAGCTACATGCCACTCCTGTCAAGTTATGTCATTATAAATTGATGTCACAAACTGCATCTGAAGAACACCTTTTTGTGCAGCCCCTAATTGTTTAAACAGACAATCAAGTGATGGAAAAAGAGAGGAGTCTGTGGGACTTCACTGTGCCACAGTGCCCAGGTTACTAAAAACATTAAAGTTTTGGCATCAACTGTTGTATGTTACACACATTCAAAGACAATCTTGGAAAAGGTAGGTTACTCTTTTGGAAATCAAAATGTGTCATAATTTTGACTATTATTTTTGGTAGTAGGGATAACAATATTCAGTCTTTTTGTAGCATACTTCTTCCTTAAACAGAGAAGCATTTTCTCGTACAGACCTCCTGAAGTTGTTCTTCAAGTGTTTCCACATTCTTATTCAGCTTTTCTGTTTCTTCTGCATACTCTGTAACTTTGGCCTCATGTTCTTGCTACAATTGTTAGATTTCAAATAAATACAAGATGATGCTTTAATCATGGAGGACACATTGGATGAAATAGTTTTAAAGAAACCATTTAGTATCTTGATGCTTGCCCTTTTGTCTTACTACAGACAATTCATGAGTACTTGTTGACTGACTTAGTGTAATTTACATGCATGTTACACTCTTGTGTGTATTTTTTATTACATGTGGGTGAGTGCAGCAATGTACAGTGTGGGTGTTTAGCAAATGCATGTCAAAGGAATGTAATGCTGCAGTTCACAAGAGCAGTAATGTAGTTGATCTTCTTCCTAACAAGACTGTGAAACACACAAAAGTGATAGGTGTTCAATGTATCTGAGAAGCCCCCTTAGATATGTCCCTGCACTTAAGGATGTACACACCATCATTTTCTTTTTATCAGCCTGGTAGCTGGCTTCCATCTTTGATTTCTGCTCCATAACAGTGGCAAGTGATGTTGTAAGAGTTACTATCTTCTCTTGCAGGGTTTCCAACTCACCATGTTCAGATGAGTTGTCTTCCTGGTTTAAGAAGACAAGACAAACTTATTACAAAATTAGAAGTAAAGCTCTTCTGTTTGAACACAAATTCAGACAGATATTATAAAGATGCATTACTGGACTGAAACATAACTAATTTTTTTTACCAGAGTGCACAGACTACTCAGTACTCCTGGTGAAATTCTATCATGCAATAGCTGTTGTTTGAGTGCAAAGCCAAAAGGAATAATTATCTCTTTATACCAGGTTAGGAAATTTATCAATTTGCAGTTACTTCATAAATTTTGGCACTAGTTCAGTTCTACTTGAAGAAAAAAAAGAGTTTGTGCTCATGCCAAGGGGCCCATCCAGCCAGAGCTTATCCCAGTTTCTGCAGTATGAACCCTTTACACCCTAACATCAGTATTCATATTCTCCACACTGATCTCTATACATTTCCTATACAACTGACAAGGAGAATTTGTTCAACAATCAGGGGCTTCTTAAATTGGTCATTATTTCCTTTATTCTCAATTGACCTTTGCATTTGATTCAAGGTGATACTGTAAGGAGAAATGATAGAAGCTAGTCACTCTTAAGGGTTAACAGGTTACGCTACAGGGATTATTGCTAACTCCAGGACAGTTGGCTTGTACTCATTTTATAACTCCCCAAATTTGGCCTTGGTTATTCTTATAATGGAAAATTTAGTATTGACACTATCCAATTTATATTTATTCTCATCCTGGTTGGATAGTATATGTCTTGGTATCATGGGTTAAGGGTTTAGTTATATGCTGGATAGTGATTTATCCATTGGATAGCATTATCTACCCTATGAAGAACTGGGCCCTAGGTGGAGAGAGGTACTGTAAGAGAAGGGTATCTTGCCCAGGAAACAACATAAAAACCCGCCTAAGTCTCAATCCTGGACCTCTTGACCTGGAATCCTGTGCATTAACCCTATAACTCCCAGAGATGATTGATGTGTAACTTCTCCCCATAATTTCCAAACACTTTCCAGCAAAACAGGTGATGAGAATATTCAAACCAATCAGGTAGAAGTCATAATCTTGATTGAACACCAAACTCTTGTAACCTTTTTTACAGAGAAATGCATGGCAGCCAGATGGGAGAATTAACAACTAGATCTTGGGAGTTAAAGAGTTAACTGTGAAGCAACAGCATCTCTCAGTTCTAGTTAAGTGTTGATTATTTATAAGTGTTTGTTAAGTGTTCAATCTGTTTGAAAATATGGTAACTAAACTTACACAAAAAAAACAGCCACTTTAAAGGATAAATTAAAGCTCTTTTCAGGACCAATCTAGCCTATTAAATTACCTTACGTTACCAATTTTTACTCTTGGGATCAAACAATTTAATATTTAACAACTAGTCACTGAAGTGGAGGTGGCTTGTGGTAGATATTTAGTGAGCCATGAAGCCACGAGTTAATTATCTACTGCAAGCCACTAACACTGAGGTGAATACCCCCTGCCCTAAAAGTTGCTTTAGTATATACTAAAAGAGTGAGATAATATTGCACAGGAAGATGATTTTAACTCATTTGTCACTACAGCCATTAAAATATTTCTGGGTGCAAATCCCTTGTGAGTTGCCCAGAGGTGAAGAGCAAAGGATGTTCTAAGTTTGAGTAGCCAATCAGAGTGTGCCTTCAACACTATCCACTGTTTTAGTATTTAGTAATGTATTACATCAAACCTTGTTGGATAGTAATTGACTTTTATCATTTCCTTCATCATCCTTAACTGCTAGGGGATGATCCAGCACCTCTCCTTTCTTAAAACCATCTTCTTCCAAAGGACTTGGTAGACCAACACTCTTACTAGCCTTATCACTACTAATTTCATCTTTGACAACTTCCTTCTGATCTCTGCTATGGGTTGGTTCATTTTTCTGACTACTTTTTGTTGGCTGGCTGTTACCACTTGTTAAAACCTTGACAGTGGCTTCTAATGCTTCTTTTTCTTGTAACAGATTCTTGTAGGCACGGACAACATCTAAAGAGAAGATGGAAATAGTAATATTGTGGACATTGGTCAGAGCTCTCCAAAAGACATCAGCCTGATTTAAAATTACGATTAAACAACTTATAGTGAGAACTCCTTTTTTTGTCCCAAAAGGGATGAAAACCTCAAGCCAAACTGGAAAGATCTTGAAACATTAACCATTGCTCTAGCAAAGCACTGTCTGATATAGAATTCTTATCATATAAGTTTAGAGAATTTGGTATTAAATCAACTAGTAATCCCCTAATTTAAACTTTTCTAAATTCGTGTTACTTTTCAGCTTGATATTGCATTGTTGTTGAAAGGAGAAATCTGTCCTTGACACTAAAGGGAGTGGTAACCAGTCAAGTTGCCTGAAAGTCATCTCACCCAAAGTCATGTAACCAGTCACCTGAGTCATGTTGCCTAAAATGTAAGTCATGTCACCCGCAATAAAAAGTAAAGTCACCCAATGCTCAAAAGATCAGACTTACAGACTGTAAATAGGTTATATAGTTAGAAAATATTTATCACTAAAGCACTGTTTGGAATGGAAATATGTTTGTCATGACTCTAAAAGTGTTGTTTGTTTCTAACAACAAAATGAAGTGTTGTTCATTTGGTATGTACATGTTGTTTCATACTCAAGGACATTTCATAAACTTAAGAAACTTTATCACTCAAGTGCTGTTGGTTTCTAACAACACCATGAAGACTTTGACTATACAGAAATCTATCATACGATCAGAATTGAAATATGTTTGAGTAACAACTGTAAAAGCGTTGCTTGTTTATAACGACAAAGTGAAGTATTGCTTGTTTCTATAACAACAAAATGCAGCATTGCACTGTCTGTTTGGTATTCACTTGTATCATACTCACAAACATTTGCCAAACTTGAGAAACTTTATCACTAAGGCAGTGTTGATTTCTAACAACACCACAAAGACTTTGAATAGACAGGTGTTTTTACAAATGATAAAAAAAATAGGGCAACTTCACTTTTTGGGCAATGCAACTAAAGTTTTGGGCAACATGACCCAGGTTCTGGGCCACATAACTTCCAGCGACTTGACTATAAACCATGGGAGTTAAGGATTAAAACGTTAAATACAGTCAGTCTTTGATAACCCCTGCCCAGAGCATATATTTCAAGCAGTTTCAGCTCATATACAGGAAATTACTTATCATTATTGGTGACCTGCATCACAAAACTGCCTTAAGAAAATGGGCCCACATTATCTCAACAAGTATATTTTAATTGATCTTTGGTTTCAGTCATCACCCTATACTTAATACTAACTCAGCTGTGCTTAATGTCTTTCCTGTTTTGGATTCATGATCTTATATCTCGTTCATTTAACATTATCTATTCTGCTCACTGTGCCAAGCAATGTTGTCACAATCGCTGCTGGTTAAATCAATCTTGGTATTTTCATCAATTTTACTGCTATTCGCTGCAACGAATTGCACTTCGATACAATACGACACACAACGTGATAGTGTAAGTACATGTACTAATCGATCACTGTCGAATACTCATTCACCTAAACATATCATTCTAAATAAAACTTCAAAAAATTTCCTCACCTCTAAATCTTGTTTCATAACGATTCTGTTGCTCTTTCTGTGCCTCTAGAAGTTTTATGAGCTCAAAGCGTGATTTTTTATCCATATTAACACGAAGAATTATTCCTTAAAATATTTGTTCTGACTTCTTTAGCATCATACTTCACTAGCAGTGCATCGCCATTTAATAGGGAAAAGTCGGTCACTTGTAGACCCCACAATATTCTTAAACTATCATATGTCAACGGTTTGTTTTTTTGACGAGAAGAGAGCCCTACACCAGCGACATGAATTCTCGGTAGGAAAATTGAACTATCAGAAGCGTTCGACACGTATGTTTACATCACTTAGCGCGAAAGACTGGGTCATATGTGAATGTAACATTAAACGAAAAGAATCCGATGCTTCTCTTTCTCGTCACGTGACGAGAAAGTTAATATGGCGGCCGCCCACACTGCAGGTATTGATGGAATAACAAAAGTTTTGGAGAGTATATGTCGAGAAAGACGAAGAGAAAATCTTGATAAAGAAAGTGAAGGTAATTATAACACATGTAGATAAAAATGGATATATTTTCGGAGATCTGACGTTTCAGTTTGACCCTAACCATAGTTGAAGCATGGATGACAATCAGATGATGAGTCAAATTACTTGTGGTTGTTTTTGGTATCCTATGTTAACTTTCACACAAATCAAGTGAAACACCGTGGAGAATGTTACGGTTTAGCTGCAGACGCTGATCTAGCCAACAACTAGCCGAATATTTTGAGCTCGTACAATTTTACCCTTCAGGAGCTCGAGAAAGGTCAAACTGTATGCAAGCTCGAATGAGGTTAATGTAACAAACTCTAGTACGGATTTTCCCTATTACTTAGAAAGAATCTGGACAGCTGTATCATGAAGTATGATGCTATTTTCTCTCTCGTCGAGTTTTACGTGTTTTTCTTCATAAAATCATTCAGATGTTTGTTCATTTCAGCTGTGTAAACACGTTTGATTTTCTGCTCAATTTATCCACCCTGTTTATTCTTAACCCTTTAACTCCCAAGATCTGATTGTTAATTCTCCCCTGTAGCTGCTACACATTTCCTTGTAAATTAGTTATGACAACTTGGTGCTAGATCAAGATAGCAGCTTCTACTTGATAAGTTTGAATATTCTCATTGCCTGTTTGCTGAAGAATGTATGGATATTGTAGGGATAAGTTTTATGTTAATCACTTCTGGGAGTTAAAGGGTTAAACCTGACAGCATCCAGGTCTTGCATATGAATATGGAGCTGTCTGGTCAAGAGAGTCACTTCACCATCAGTGACAAATTGACTTAGACATTATGTGTAGTGTCTTAACCCTTTAAACCCTGAATGTGACTAGCATCTAATTTCTCCCAACATTATAACCCCTGCATCACATAGAAAGGTCAAGAGAATAAAGTAAATGATCAGGAACTAAATTTTCTCTTGATTGATAAACAAATTCTCCTTGTTAACATCTTAGGAAATGTATAGAAAACAGTATGGAGAATATGCACACTGATGTTAGGGTGCAAAGGGTTTTTTATGGAAGGTTAACTGTTAGAAGCAAGGAGAACAGCAAGTTTCAGTGTTACATAAAATGAATTAAAAGATGTAAAGATTATGATCAGTTTGCTAATGTTAACACCCAAGCAAATTTTGCTGTGTGATTTTTGCTGATGTTTATGAAACTCACAAGCTAAGATGTGGTATATTGGGAAACTAGGCATATACAAATACAGGGAAAGTATACAGAAAAGGCCTCGGTGTCCTTTATTTGTAAAGCAGAACAAATACAAGCATGACCTTTGACATGAGTTCTGTTCCTATGAATACAATTCAAACCGAATCTGATGAAACTTACATTAGATGAAAGCTTACATCTTGTATTTTATTAATTTTTGGTTTTAACCCTTTACACCCTAAAATCAGTATGCATATTCTCTGCACTGTTCTCTAAACATTTCCTAAGACGCCAACATGGAGAATTTGTCTAACAATCAAGGGCTTCTTTAGTGGGTGATCAGCTCCTGTATTCTCCTGAACTCAATGTTTGATTCAGGAGTGACATGGTAAGGAGAAATTAGATGCCAGTCACTCTTAGGGTTAAAGGGTTAATGATGCAAAATTAAAAGTGCACTCAAAAAAGGTGAAATCCAGAGAAGGAGCCTTAAATGTTGATGGTCAACAACTCAATTTGACAAGTTGAAATTGGTTTTTATCCTTGCAAGTATCCTATTTGTTAAGTTACTTAATATGAAATTATGTTGAATGAAAACTTAGATTGCCCATTTTGTAAGAATATGTTTCTTTTCTTGTTTTATACAGAGGGTTTCATTGTCTTGGCTATTGAGTCGTTTTGGACAAGACTATTCTCGCAGTATTTTGTTTGCTCTGAAGATGAAACAAGAGATGACCTTCTTTTCTATGTGAGAGGGAAAAGTTCAAATAAAGATGGAAAAGTTGATAAAGATTATCAGGAGGTCAGGAGTGGTAGTTGTTACTAGAAAGAAAGTGGATATAATGCTGTAGTGCAAAATCAGGGTCACATATTTGAGCCTTTAACTCCCATAAGTGACCAAGACAGAATTTCTCCTTACAATATCAATACAATAATTATCAAACAGATAAGTAATGAGAATAAAGAAAAATATCAATTTAGGAATAATTAGTTGATTTAATACTAAATTCTTTGAACTGACCTTATAAGAATTGTATGGCTGGTAGTAAGGAGAATTACTAGTTTGATCTAGGAGTTAAAGGGTTAAGGATGTGGAAGTTCTAACTTCCATATAATTGCACAAATAGCTCATATCATCAAAAGGGAGGTCATTGTGGTAAGATTGTGCACAGCCCCATTCTTCATTATGCATAAAGTTCTTGGATGAAGAAAACAGTGGGGAAAACCATAGATTGCCTTTGGGACTACAGCTTTGTTTTACAGTAGTATGGGACTGTGCAGAAATCTTAACACCATTCTCCAAAGTAAGCAATAGAAAGAAACACAGAGCATGTTGATTGAATTGAAGAACAAACACTTTTGTAAAATATTGCCAACCATGGTCAAGGAGGCTGCTATGGCAGAATGTAACAGTCATCAAGTTATAATGGTCGTAGAGAGAAGAGAGTTTTGTGCATTCAAAGAGATGCAACTGAGACTAAATTTGTGCATCTTTTTGTAAATTTTGAGGACATGCAGTTAGATGAATCACTGCTGTCAGAAAGTATTTGGTAGTGATGTGAACTTTTACTTTGTTCCATTATCAATGTTACACTTTGTTGTATTTAGTTGTGTTTTAACTATACTCTTGTACAAGGTTGGGGTCATGCATTTATTATTTCACTATTTATAAGAAATCTGTTCACTTCAAAAGTTTAGCTGAATTTTGAATGGTTTTTTGGTTGCAGAAATATATTTTTGTTCCAGAATTGTAGAATCTTCTATAAATTGTTAATTTGATACTAACCATGCATTTTTCTTTTGCATCATTCCACAGTCAAAAGTAGCTGTGTTTAGAAAAGACTCAAAAGTTCTTCCAAGGTTTGTTTCTAGAATTTGTCTGATATAAACAGTTTGTTCATATGGTATGGTTTTGTTTCTGATTTCGTTATATCTACTGTTAACCTTAAACATTCATGAGTGGCCAAGAGAATTTCTCCTCACAATATATCAACTATGGGATCATTAGATAGTTGATCCAATGCTGAATTCTCCAAACTAACTTTTAAAGAATAGTTTAGCAGACAGTAAGGAGAATTACTAATAAATGAGATCTGGAGAGGGAAAGGGTTGTTAGTACATTGAGTGCCATGAGATGCATGTAATTCCATATACTTCTAGGAGTAAACCTTTGATACCTTTACTGTTAACAGCTTGGGAGACCCAGGAATTGACTGGGAAGAATCTGTTTATCTCAACCTGATTCTGCATCAAGTAAGAAATAAAATTTTGAAATTTACTTCATTTGCATTATCATCTGAGCTTGCTTATGTGTAAGGTACAGTGCCTTAGTAGTGAGAGTGCTCATTGCAACAAGAGCAGCATTAAGGTGATTCCTCAGTATTGCGCTGCACATCCTGTACTGCACATAACAATCATGTGATCGGGCAAAATAAGGGTGAGCGCAATCCAAAAACATGGTTATCATTGTTTTTAAATCAATGGACCAGGTTGAGAGGTACAGTGCTCTTTACCTCTTGAACAAGCACAATGACCTATAACTTTTATTGCTTAATTTCTGTGTACAAATTATCCCCTATATATTGAAGAAATTTTTAAAAAAATTCATTTAAGGGAAAAAAAAGGGTATTGCTGAAAGTGTGCACAAAGCCCTTTACTCAAGGATGCAAATTAAGATCTTGAAAGCAATAAGGTGAAGAACATTTTGAGTCAATGTCGTTTGAAATTGTGTAAGTTTTCCTTGAGACTTTCTCCCTAAAGTATCAAGTTTTTTTTCAAGTGTTACCTAAAAAACTCTTGCTTCCAGCCAACATAAAAATGTACTGTGAAACAATGAAATGACGCTTGTAATAAGTACTTGCAAAGGTTCTAATGGGGCAAGTTTGGCCCATCATATATCTTAAACAAATCAGGTGACTTATCTTTTTCATAATTGTATATTTCAAACCAGGCATTGGATAGGAACATTTATGGAAAGTTTAAAAAAAAATTGTGCAATAGCTTTTTTTTCTGAGGAATCACCTTAAGCTTAAGATTGAGGTAATGTCAGCAATCCAAGCTGCCACCATTTTGGCTGAATTCAAAGTAAGATAAACATTTTCCAATTTTCAGTTGCCACTGAACATATTGTTATGCTTAATAAAGAACCCTAACACCCATGTGAATTGGATTAAGTGGGGAATAGAGATAAAAAAAGTTCCCAAAATTCTCCTTCATGAGGGATAATGAATACCAATGGTTTTCTTTCTGGTATATTATTGACTTAAAAATAATTGCACTGTTAGTATTGACTACTTTGTTTTCCTTGAAACACTTGAAATAAAATTTATTTGTTACGCTTACAATGTGCCAGTAAATTTGGTGTTTATTTTTTGTGCAGTTTGAATACACACTAACCTGTGCAATATGTACAAAGCCTCAAGAGAAAGAAATGAGAGTACTCAGTAGAATATCACAGGTCAGTATAACTCCAAAACAGAATCAACATCCATTTTAATTTATACTTACAAATTTCTTTACTTGACATGAAGATCAAAAAGTTTGCCACAGATTTTGTTACAACTTAATAATGTCCCTAAAAGACTGAATATTATTTCTGTACTTTTAAATCCACAGAAGGTATATGCTTCACCTAATCGAAGGAGGTGAGTTGTTTCAGTCCATTTGAACTTCGAGATTAGAGAGAAGCGCAGGGAACCCGATTGAGCAAAATCCTTTAAAAAAAATGGGATAGTGCAATAAGAAGTGGTAGACTCTTTAGAGCAACATTTAGGGCAAGTGTTGTATGGCAGCTGCCTTTGTCTCTAGGTTTGAATTATTTACAGACTGAAATTAAAATGATCAACATTAATTTTATATAGACTTTGAGAGTCCTTTTGATTCTTGTGCAATTCTGATATCTGTAAAGTGTGACACCACTTTTCTTTAATTCAGAATGGATTCAAAAGGAAGTTCTGCGGAGATTTCGTACCCTAACATATTTTTTATTCTGGACAATTTTGAAGAGGTAAATGACAATCTTGGTTACTTAATATCTGGCTCTACCATTAAAAATGCCAGCTATCTTAACAATACTGAAAATTTTGTTGTTTTTGTAACAGACATTCCGAGACTTTGCACTACAAGAAAATGAGATGGTTTGTGTGGAATTGGTTGCTAAAGATAAGGTATTGCTTTTTGAAATCAACATTCAAACAATGGGATGACAAATGAAGATGTTGTAAAAAAATTGCACTTGGCCTTATTCAACTCTGACTCACTGAAAGTGGCTAAAAAGAGTCCTTACATTCTGTTACAAACACTTGAATCAGATTTCTTTATTTATTTGTCTCTAGACTGAATCAGTGGAAGGAGTTATCTTCCTAGGATCAATAAGATATGAATCACTCAAAAAAGTTTATGATGGGAGAGTAAGTATGCAGCACAGTAATTGTTTAGAAAAAGTGCAAGATAGTGTTCTATTTTATACCCTTTTTAAAACCCTTTACACTAACATCAGTATGCACATTCTCCATACTGTTTTCCATAGTTTAATCATTATGATCTGTGTTGTGTTTTTGACCCAGGCTAGTGTAGCAAGTAAGGTTGCTCGTAAAGTTTCTATGGGTTGGTGGAAAGGTCCAGCTAATGTAGAGTTCATCAAGATGAAAGGTCCAGGTGGAAAAGGCCATGCAGAGATGGCAATTACACAACACAGAGGACTGGAGGAGAGAAGTGGTTTAGAGGACTCTGAAAATAGTGACTGGTACGTTACAGTGTAGATAAACCCTTTCCCTCCTAAGATCTTACTTTTAAAAAGTCTGTTGTGCATTTTCTATAATTTAACTTGGAGAATCTGTTCTTAACCCTTTAACTCCCAGAAGTGATCAACAAAAAACTTCTCCCTATAATATCCTTACATTATCCAGCAAATAGGTGATGAGGATATTCAAACTTATCAGTTAGAAATTGTTATTTTGATATAACACCAAATTCTCATTACTAATTTACAAGGAAATATGTAGCAGCTCAAGGGGAGAATTAACAATTTGATCTTGAGAGTTAAAGGGCTAATTCAAGCACAACTCCCAACATTGATGTTGTTCTTTCTTCTCAGCACCTTTCTGCTTGACATTGTATTGTTACTGTAAGGAGAAATTATTTGTTGGTCACCATAGGGAGTCAAAGGGTGAATGCTTACAAGTATAGCGGTCCATTTGGTTGGAGAGAAATATGGAATGGGATGCTTCTCTATCACTGTTTTAATTTCGAAAAAAAAGAAAGAAAGAAAGAATGTATGGTGATGAAATCCTCATAGCTTGTTACAGGAGGACCAAACAAAGAATGACAACTTTCTGGCTCTAGTTGTTTGAAGGGTGAATAACTCTATCCACTAGATAAATATCTATCTGTTGGATGGTGCAGTATGTTTTTAAAGACTTATCCACTGGACAGTGATTTATCTGTTGGATAGCAGTATGTGCCCTTTGAACAACTGGGCCCTGACTGTTAGATTTAGTCACCAAATTTTTTTTTATGCTTACCATTGCAACCAAAAGGTCACAGGTTGGAGAGTTTAAAGTTTTCAGTTTTGGAGAAGTTCATATTTTGGTTTTGAAATATTCACGATAAATCTAATTCGCTTTTGTTTCTTTGTCCTCAGGAGAACATGTGCTGAGTGTGGAAATACAACTTTTTCCTCTTCAACTTTTTCCTCTTCGACAAACAACCAAGTGCCAGTTCAAGATGAAAAATGCTACAATTGTGGTGTAGAGTCCAGATGGACAACAGATCTCGATGGTACAAAATACAGTGATACAAGTCAAGACGAAAAGAAAAAAAAAGGTTTAGTGTAGCTGTTGAATCAGAAATACTGTTTTTTGTTGCAAGATGTAGGTAGTTTTGTCACATAGATACTAAATTAAGTGAAAAAAAGGTGAAAAAAAGAACAAATAAATCAGAATAATTAGGTTCTAAGGTAAACTTTTCTTTCAATTGTCATCCCCCTGAATGTCTACTCTTTGTTAGTACCAGTCTGTAAGGTTTTTTTTTTTTCATTTTCTTGTCAATGCACTGCATTATGCAGAGTGTTGCCAAATATGACAGAGGCTTTTAAATTATGTAAAGCACTGATTATAAATTTTGGCATGAGTAACCAAGCTGTTCAATCCTGACAAGTTTGATTTTTTTCTTTGTTGCCTAGCAGGTCTATTGTCATCATCTCAGCAATGGGTGAAACTCAGGTATGCTCTGATGTATAGTATATAATGTGTTAAAGTTCTGGCAATCTTGGAACACTACAGGGTTGTCAAAATGGTTATGTGCCTTAACTTCCATTGTGCCTCTCCCCACCCTGGAGTATAAATTACACTCCAGCTTGCAATAAACTTGCATCCCATCTAGGGGGAGTAGTAATAGCCCTAGTCACTTCATGCTATGGAAACCACCATAATGAGCTTCAACTGGAAAGGCTCTAGTATAGATTTTACCCAGCCTTAGTTCATCATCATTTCTTTATAATTGGTTTGCAAACCCCCTCCCCTCTCCCAGGTTCCAGCTCCTTTCACTCCAGCTATCAAGTATCTTTCATAATTCTATTTCTCCCAGGTTTGATTTCTACCATTGAACCCCAAGGGTTCTACTCCATTCAGACCTTAATATTGTACCAGGTAACCCTTATTTTTTTTTTTTTTTTGCAGGAAAAAATCCCTTAATGGTGTTGCACTCTCTGCATATTTAACATACGTGACACTACCATGGAATAAAATTATGAAAGGTCAGTTTTCTTGTATGCCAACTATGAAGAGTTTCTAGTATGATAAACTAAATAGTACCTGATTGGTACTCACTTATGATCTATTGGAGGACAGAGGCATAGATGACATCACCATTACCAACTTTTTGCTCTTTATCATGCAAAACAAATAGATTCCATGTTGTGGTGCATCTCTACATGAGTAGATCACAGAAGACGTCAAAATGCTGTAAGAACATCAATGACGTACTCAGCTGCACCTGATTTGCCATGGTTCTTACCACACTTTGTCCGTAACTTGATCTATAACTGAACAGATGTGCAGCAACATGAATTCTGTTTGTAATCAGCTGAATATAGTTCTAAGCCAGAGGCATTTTCAATTGAGAACTTATTGATTTATTATAAATTTGTTTTTAGTTGGCTATTGGTTTTTTTTCTCTCATGGTGACATTTTTTAATCTTTGTTGCAGATATTTTGGAAGTGAGGCAACCTCCTATATTATCTTAGTATTAAATCAAATAAATCAGTCATACAGTTTATGTACAAATTCTAAATTATTTATCTACGTGCATTGCCAAATATAATCACCCCTGTTGACACAACAATCTTGTGCTGCTGAAGGCACCTTATGTTATAATTTTCAGACAATGCTTCAAACCTTCCTTTTTCTAACAAGAGAATCTGTTTATGTCTTAATGGAGTTATGTGAAAGAAATTGTTTGAGTCTGCCACATTGTCAGTTAACCTTTTCACTCCCAAAATCTCATTCTTTTGATGTTAGTCCTGAGAATTTGGTAGTGGATCAACTAATAATCCCCTAATTTATGTTTTTTTTCTCTTTCTTTTTCTTGATTTTGTATTGATACTGTTGGGAGAAATTCTGTCCTGGTCAATAGTGGAAATTAAAGGGTTAAAGCCCTCTGAAATGTGGCACATGTTTTGCAAGAGGTCCATGGCATTTTTGTTGGCAGCTTAAAATGCATATTTGCTAATGCATCTATAACTTCCTAGGTTGCATTTTATCGAAAAGCACATTAAATCACATATATAATTATGTATAGAAAGAAATCAATATTTTTTATATGGATAGCAACCTTCTAATTACCATCTGCAGTGCAGTGTCTACTTTGTATTTACCTCTATTTATAATATGCCTAGAATGCAAAACTGAAAATGCTGTATGTACACTTATTGATGTTAGAGAATCAGATTAGTGCAGCAGGAAGAACTGAAAGAGAAAGCATTAGTGAAAACAGTTATGTTAACCCTTTATTCCCTAACAGTATTGGTTTTTCCCTTACTCTTCTCTATACATTCCCTTTGGTGCTGACATGGAGAATTTTTTAAACAATCCATGCTTCTTAGGTTGGCAACCATTTCTTATATTCTCATGATCTTATTAAATGACTTAGCAGTATTTCTGTAAGGAGAAATCAGATGTTGGTTACTCTTAGGATTTGTAGTTTGACCGAGCTGTTGGTGGAAAAGTGATCATCACTGGCCATAAGAAAAAAAAACTGTTTCAGGCATTCAATTAGTAATAGTAGTGGCAGAATGAGATAAAGAGGGAGGGTTTGATTACCTGGCCTTACAAACTTATACTACCTTACCCTTTCCTCTTTTTTTGACCTGACCCAAGCTGTCGCGACTTTAGTGCCATTTACTGTTGTGCTAACTGATGGTCAAGAGCAAACTGACATCAAAAAGGGAGAGACCAGCCTGTGTGATCAAGCAAATAGATTTGTTTTGGATAAGAGTAAGGCCCGACACTGGTAGATCATTTGTGAAGTGATTTATATTGTTGGCCAGTTCTGGGAATTATAGGATTTGTAGCATCTAATTTTGGTACAAGGTTAACCCTTTAATTCCCATGAGTGACCAAGACAGAATTTCTCCTTACAATATCAATCAGACAGATGATGAGAATGAAGAAAAATATAAGTTTGAGGATTTTTTAGTTGATCCAGTACCAAATTCTCAGAACTAGCATAGTAAGAATTGTATGGCAGACAGTAAGGAGAATCACCAATGAGATCATGGCCATTGAAGGGTTAAATTACCTCCCTCAAAAGTGCTTGTCAGCAGAATAATAGGCAACCAATCCCCCTCTTTCTAATGTCATTGGAGCAGAAAATCCAATTAATCAATAATTTGTTCCTGTAGTTATTCACGACACATTAATTGGTATATTTAAGTTGTGTATCAGATGCAGGCATTTTTAGGTCTTAAAATGTCTTATTGCAGCCAGTAACATTACAATCAGATTAAGATTGTACCATAGAACTACTCTAGATATCATAAGCAATGAAAAGTTGTATGAAACAATGACCAAATAAAGCAGTGTATTGCTTCAGAGGTTTCCACATTTATTTCAACACATTGATCACAAATAGTGACTATCCTGGTGCAACTGGGGCAGGATCTCGATCCAATCCCAATCTTATGGGGAGCAGAAGGGGGAGGGGGGCAAATCAAGTCCTGTAGTTTTGATAAAGGAGAGTAATCAGTGCTTTAACCTTCAACTTCTAGTTTTAAGTGGCATGAGCCAAACCCAGCAGATAATAGCAACCATTTCATTTTACAGAGCTGATTAAAAGAGAAATAATTCACCCCTATCTGGAAATCAACTGGTTCTAATAATACACTTTATTTACAAAAATATGTCGCAGAAATAAATTATACACTTGATAATCATGGGAAACTTGTAAGATGTATTAATAAATTGAGTAAGGATTGCACACAAGAGTTTCATGCTTATTTACAGTGCATCACTGTCCACCAGTGTTCCCTTCTTTTCCATGTGGAGAGCCCAGATTTTGAATTCTGTTTTATTTCTAATTTATATCTAAATTTGGTAATAATTGAAGACTATGTCTCACAGTTGATGATTTTCAACCTTCTTACTTACTACACTTACTCCCTGTTTCATTAAAACTATAGGGAGACTTTTCACCTTGATCACTCCTAAATGTGAGCGAGTTATTGCAGGCAGCAAAGCCACAAACTAACCCTTGAACACCCATGAGTGACCAAGAAAGAATTTCTCCTTACAATATTTATATAATATCAACCAGATAAGTGATGAGAATAAAGAAAAATATCAATTTGCTAATAATTAGTCAATCCAATACTAAATTCTCTGAACTAACATAAGAATTGTATGGTTGGCAGTAAGGAGAATTACAAATTTGATCTGGGAGTTAAAGGGTTGAGAGGCAAGAAAAATGGTGAGAGGGCCTTCTTAATCCTTTCAACAATATTCATCCTTTCCTCTACAAATGGACCTTAAAAACAGGAGACAACGTAAAAGAAAATAAGTCAGGTCATCAAAGTAAAACAATCAAACCCTTACTAGGCAGAAACCCACTAAAGTCCCTTCAACACGTCCACTTAGTGCAGCACGTCTGCCACTAAAACAAAAGTGATTAACTTTAATTTGTGTCTGTGTATGCTCAATGGTGCCATGCACTGAGTACAGGTTCATTTTGCAGTAAATATGGAAGGAAATTTGGGACTTACTGGTAAGGTACTGTTTTTTTTTTGTTTTTTTTTTTTTTTTTTTTTTTGTTTTTTTTTTTTTTTGATACAGAGTGTCTGCTTAACACAGGGTCCACTAAATTTCTCTGTCAAAGTAATATAATACTATACAATATTACAAACTAATTGTGATTTTAAAATGTCATTACCCCCTTATTTGGTGGCTAGTTGTGAGAAAGTATTTTAAAACTTCAAAACTTTGCTGAACAAGCAGTGCATTTTCAGCAGCTCAATGGGAAACCCATTTCAAAGCTGCAATGAATATTTCTAATTTTTAGCCACTCAGAGGTGGGAAATGTGAGCCCACAATTATTTTAACACAATACATTGTCATCTCTCTGGTCAACCAAAGTGAAGGAAGACCATGATCTAATGTAATACTGGAAAGATTTTATCTTTAAATTGTCTTTTCTTTCAGATATGCTTCCTATTTAGTGATAATTACTAATAATACCTTGTGTAATAAAGACCCCTGGATAAATTTCCATGAGAGTTGACTGTTGCAAATGTTTTTGCTCTCAAAGCAGACATTGTCTCACCTTTTGTGTATAAAGTCTTTCTGACAATTTCTTGTGTAGAGATGACAATTCAGATGTGCTGAGTGTTGACTCCACCAACTCACACACCTTGAGTAAAAATCAGTACAATACATCAAAAAGTAGTCACTATGAGGCTTTACTTCCATATTATATTACACTTAAACTCTTTAACTCCCAAGATCTCATTAGTAATTCTCCTTACTGTCTGCTATACAGTTCTTGTGATGCTAGTTTGGAGAATTTGGTATTGGATCAACTTATTATCCCCTAACTGATATTTTTCTTTATTCTCATCACTTGTCTGCTTGATATTGTATTGATATTGTCAGGAGAAATTCTGTCTTGGTCACTCATGGGAGCTAAAGGGTTAATGACGAGAAATCATTAAGTATCTGTCCCTCTAACATATAACACTTTGCCTTCCAACAGTAACCAAAGCCATATTTCTCCATACAGTTCCAATACAGTTATGGGCAGAAGGGGTTGAGAAAAAGAAAACCAAGAAATTATTGGATGCTATCTGATTCATAGGATTAATTCAAACTTGGCCTTAAAATTTGTAAACATATTTGCTGAACCAACCAGTGTGTTGTAGACTGTAATCCTGCTTGCATAATGAACTATCTTCTGGAGAAGAGTTTCATGAGGTGCTAACATGCTTGAAACACATTGTGGAGCCTGAAGGAAAAGTGATATGAAAATGTAAGTGGATCAAGAGCAAACACTAAGAGCTTACTGGTTATGGAAGAAACACTTAGATGAGGCTAGTTCCAGAGGTCTATGTCCATGCTTGTGAATATTATGAAACACCATGATATCTTCTATGTGTTCCTTTACATAGTTCTTACCTTAGCAGATTCAGAAATGACATCTTTTAAGAAGCTAGTAGCCACTGTGAAGTATTGATGGTGGACATCAGTAATATTGACTTGATCACTAATTCCATCATTTTGATCTTTCATTGTTTCTTGGGAAGAACTGGGTGCTTCATCTGTTGTTTTACTCGTGTTAGTTTCTGAAAACAGGATTTAAAGTGAAGTTAAGGATGCACCCAGGTCCTTTCCTCCATATAATTGTAGGAAAAATTACATTTTTGAAGGAAAGGGTATAAAGACATAGCCCCTTTAAAAATGTACACGGAAAGGTGAATAAACAGTAAGAAACCCTTTCTCTCACCTTCTGCTTGATCCACAAGGCTACCTTCATGATTGTCTGCTTGATGATCACTTTTTTGTACATTTTCATTTAACTCTGCATTTTCTCCATGTGCCACATGTGCTTTGTCTGTTAAAGGTTCTGAATCAGCATCTGTAGCCTTGATTTTTTCTGCATTGTTTTTTTCATTTTCTTCAGTACTTTCTTCTTTGCTAAAACTTCTTTCAAACTTGTTTTCAACAGTTTCTGTGAAAGAAAGCCTGTTCAAACTGCTCTTGCTTCTTTTGCGATGTATCTTGCAGGAATATCCTAGAAGACCCAGAAGTACCTTCATAATTCTTGGATCTGAAAAACAAAAACATCATGAGAATCACACAAAAAGATTGAAGTAACAAAAACTTCTTTCCATGTACGCCATAAAAAGTAAGTCCAGCATTCTTCTGCAGTATTACACTGCTGCTTGTTTACAGACTCTTGGCTGGGTATCCAACTTTTCCGTACTCACAGTCATTCCTTATTCAAATTTAGTTGATTTGCATCCAGTTTGAGTCAGTTCATACTGGAACCTCAGGTCGATTCATACCTGTCCCAGTATTCAGCTGTCCCTTATTGCACACACTAAGTTATTAGTGTAAAGTGAGAAAGATACAAACAAAATTCTGTTGTGTATACTTTTGACCTTCTTACAAAAATGACTAAATTGTTGCCTAGCCCAAGTAAGCAGGGTTAAAGTGATATCTTGAATAGAACAGTCTATTGTTTATACTTGTAACAGCTAGTGAAAGTGTGATTTTTTTTTCTCCCTTTGGTGGTCTCATATCAAAAATGGACCCCACTTAAACAAAACTTACTTAATTAACCCAGGTTACATTGCTATTAAAAATCAGAAACCAACCTTCCTTTAAACACCAATGACAAACACTTTATTAATTAGCAGGGTACAAAACAACCCAACTGATTGGGTACCAATCAACCTTGACTAGCTGGGTACAAAACAACTGGATACAAAACAACCAGTAACCCTTAACTGAACAGAATTTACTTAACATAAAATCCTTTACCTCCCAGAAGTGATTGTCATGTAACTTCTCCCAAACAGGTCATGAGAACACTCAAACTTATCCTGTAGACGTTGCTACCTTGATCTAACATCAGAGTCTCGTGAACTACTTTATAAGGAAACATATAGCAGCTAGAGGGTAGAATTAACAACCAGATCTTGGAATTAAAGGGTTGAATGTTACCTTTTTCCATGGCTGTCAGCACAGTAATGGGATCTGCCACAAGGATAACATTCAACACTGAGAAGGATTCAGTAAGTGACACTTCACGACCAACAACAATGCCTCCTTCATCATGCCCACACTCAGCAATAAAATGGCACAGAAGTGGAACAACAGACACACAACTCACTGAAAAGAAGTAAATCATTTGAAAGTGGTAATGACTAATGGAGTACATTTCAATTGCCTGTCATCATTTTAAAGGATTTAGTATCATCTGATGATCATTATATAACATTTTGCATTGGAATGTTGGATATGGCTATTACCCACCTAACCCCTGGACACCTTGTTCTACAGTGGATACCATTTGAAGAATGTGAAGAAGTGTCTCTACTATATGGAGCTGTTCAGATCTGTGAAAGGTAGACATACAAAGAACCAAAACAAAATTAATTTCACCATTGACATAGTGTAAGGTTACAGAAAATAACCTGTAATCATACCCATACTATACTATGAAAACTCACTAGAAATTCTGCTAGAAAAGGGAATAAGGTCACCAAGGTGTCTTTTAACCCTTTGACTCCTGAGAGGGATACACATCTAATTCCTCTCAACAGTATCATTGCTAACTCAAACATAAAACTCATGAGAATAAATGAAATAATCATGAAGTCAAGAAACTCTTGTTTGTCAGACAAATTCTCCTTGTCAGCACTTTAGAATATGTATAAAGAACAATATGGAGAAAGTGCATACTGATGTCAAACCTAAAATTCTGTCATGTAGGGAGCCCTGTATCTAGGATACAATTTTTAACATTTAAATTTGCCTTTTTGGTGCAAAAGAGGATTCAGATAGACGCAGGATGTGGGAAAGAAATCTGACATTGGAAAAAAGTTTTCATAGGATTTAAAACAATCCCTTGGGATGTATGGGAGATATATATTACAGCATCAGAAATCCTGAGGTGCTTCTGGCACCAAGGATTTCCGGAATGCTATAGTTAGAGTATGGATTAGAATGGCCCATATCTTTGATAACAGTTGGTAAAGAAATATAATTAAGTGAAGTCAAAAATTTGATGACCCAGGAAAAACCAAAAACAATTGACATGATGAAAATTATGACCTCATATGCATCTGTTTCATGGCTTCACAAACAGCAGTAACCAAGGGTAAGTCTGCCCAGGCTCGCAACATTTCATCGTTTGTATCCAAAACCTTATCTACCACTTGGGAGCAGTTAGTGAGGAGATCCACTGCAAAGCAAAATAAAATAACAGCAAGAAATAAATGCTGAGTATTTCCTAGGAACACCCTCTAAACTTCTAAAATTCAGATTGCAAAAGAGTTAAAACATCTTTAACCCTTTTATTAATTCTCATAAGTGATCAAGATAGAATTTCCCCCATAACAATTATCAATAAAATATCAAACACTCATGTGATGACAAAAATTTAAAAAAATATTTCAATTAGGGGATTTTTACTAAATTCTCTAATCCAATATCGTAAGAGTCATAAGTTTGACAGTAAGGAGAATTGGGAGAGACAGGGTTAACTTCTTTCAGGAAAATGCCTGAGATGGGTACATAATTTTCCTCAGTGTGCATAAAGATCTCCACAAGGATAAAAAAGCAAAAAAAGCCAGCCAGTTGAGGAAAAAAAAAAAAAAAGCAGAGGTTGCTACCAAATCCCTGATGATTGCAGCAGCCCAATCTTTCATTTGTCTCTTATGTACTTGAAAGCTATACAGTTTGAAAAGAATTTGAACTAGTTTGATTTTTTTTCTTTGTTTAAGGACCATGGTAATATACCTAGAACAAAGGGAGACACAAATCAAACTGGTTTAAAATTAGAGTGACTTTAACCATAACCATAACCTTTCCAAAGACCAAGACACTGAAACATGCAACTTTTTGCTTGTCCCAAGTGTATCCTCTAAGAAGAGCTTGATGTAGTATAGGTGACGTTGCATAGTTTTAGTGAGTCAGTCCCCTTCTGGTAACTCATAGTTGGACTCACCATTTAAAGAGTTCTCCAGGATGTACATAAAATTCTTGAAGACTGTTTCTGCCTCCAAAACTACCATCCACTGTGATTCAACCTCATCATTACTCAAACAAACATGAATCAGTCTAAAAAAATTGAGAAAAATGGATGGTAAATGTAAGAAAAAAGTCTTTTAAATGAGTAAGAAGAAAAAAAAGTGGTTTTTCGATATTTGGCTGAATAAAGAAGTAATTTCGAACTGTTTGCTGAGCCTCAATGGGAAAGGGAAAATAGTTAACCCTTTAACTTTGAGGAGTGACTGGTATCTACTTTCTCCTAACATCATCACTGCTGAATCTAACACAGAAGACATGAGAATTAGGGAAGTGATCATCAAAACAAAAAGCTCTTGATTGTTAAAAAAAAAACAACACACTCTCCTTGTCAATACCACATAGGACATGTATATAGAACAGTATAGAGAATATGCAAACTGATGTTAAGGTTTTAAAGGCTTAAATCCTTGCCACTTTGAACCAGACACAAAAACTCCCTCACAAAGGTTTTACAATATATTAATTCACCAGTGTACCTTGTAACCTCCACCAGGACTGGAGCATCTGGTTCATCAAGCAGAACTGTAACAATATCACTGCAAAATAAGTTCAAGGATTGATGGCGCAATAAATTCTTCACTTGTGTAGCTAGGCAATATCTATTGTCTATTTGTTTACATCTATTTGTTTCATAATATACCACAGATGACTTCAAAATGCAGTAAGAAAAAAAAAAGAGGCACATTAAGTGCAGCCAAGTCTGTCAGATTTCCTTACCACATTTTGACATCTTCTGCAATCTATTACAGGACTGTGGTCTGGCAGAGCCCAGATGCCTCAGGCAACCAAGTTTTGTCTTAATGGACGACTTGCATAATTTCATTTTTATAAAAGCATGGGCACCCCAGATTCCCTAGATGATAACCTCTAGGCAGCCTTGTATTACTTTACAGACTCACAAACACATAGAAACTGTTTGTTTTATATGATAAAGTATCAGAATGTTGTTAATTATGATGATTCATGTATGAACCAATGAAAATTCATGTAGGATTCAGTTGTACTGTACTGTGCTATAACCTAAATCAATACTATAATAACTTTTTTTACAATAAATCAAAGGCCATTTTGGTACTATAAAAGAGAAATATTGCAGTAAGAATAATCAGAGATCTAAATAACAGTAAGTTTACAGATAAAACTGTTAACTTACACAAGATCTTTATTACTCAACATCTTCACACAAACACCATGACTGCAAGCCATGTTTGCCAGAATTCCAACACAAATTTCCTAGACACAACAAAGAATTAAAACAACCTGTCACTTATTCTCACCAAACAAATGAAAACCAAGTGGGGAACATTCGACAGGAATTTGTGATGTTCTGGTGATGCCAAGCTTTTCAGAGTAATTTGGTAAATAAAATCCCATATTAGCATGCATGTATTACAGAGATCTAAAATCTTACAATGAAAGTTAATTTCAGTCATAACAGTACTTCATTACACTTTGTGAATCACAGTGTTTTCACTTCTTGATTCAACCTTGTAAAATAATAGTTGATCTTTGTCACTGCACAAGAACTAAATTTACATTATCTTGGTGGTAAAAATTCTACACAATGCCGAAAAGGGATTTGAACTCCTTCAACCCTTTCGACCCTTGGAGTGACCAGCATCTAATTTCTCCTAACAGTAACACTGAGAATAAAGGAAATGATTGTCATCCTAGGAAGCTTTGATTGTCCCCAGGAAGCTTTGATTGTTAAACAGATCCTCCCAGTCAGTACCAAAGGAAATGTTAAGAGAAGAGTATCAAGAATACAGATACTGATGTTAGGGGGTAGTGGGTTTCAGACTTGAATCCAACACATCATGCCAAAGATACCGGGACTTATTGGACCTAAACAACCCCAAACAATCCAGTATGGATATTATGAAGTGTGTTTCTGAGATATATTTTTTCTGTTCATAATCATGGGTGTAAAACATTACCAGAGGCCCTCAGTGTCACTAACTACTTACATATTAACCCTTTCACTTCCAAGATCTCATTAGTAATTCTCCTAACTGTGTTCCATACAATTCCTGTGATGTTAGTTCAGATAATCTGATGTTGGATCAACTAATAATCTCCAAATTTATATTTTTCTCTATTCCTATCACTTATCTGCTTGATGTTTTATCAATATTGTAGGGAGAAATTCTGTCTTGGTCACCCATGGGAGGAGGCTAAGGTAAAAAAATAAAAAAGCATTTATTATCGTACTGTAACTCTTGGATTCTGTGACTTCAATACAGCATCTAAGAGCACTTCAGTAGTTTCCACTTCTTCCAAAAATGCTGCTACATCCTGCAAACAAAAGCAAAATTATGTTTAACTTCCTACCTCATCACCATCTCAATCCTCCAGTCTCCGCTCCCCCTTCTACCTGACCATTAAAATTGAGCATGCTATGAAACGTGATTGTCTATCCTGTCTTGTACTTTATTGAGTGCTCTTAGCTGGCGAAAAATTTACTTTATTGTCATAATTTCAGAATTTTTTAGGTGCCTAATGGTGACTTCGAAAATCTTTGAAGTTGGTACCCTAATAGTTGTTATCTGCTCTTCCGGACACAGCTTAGATACTTCCAGGTTTTCGCTGCTAAACGATAACCTTACCATACCCCGTAAGGTTTCTTCATGTCACGCATTCTCTCACTAACAAAAAATCGCTTCTCTACGTATTTACTACTCGAAAATCATTTGAGATCATTGCTTCTTTGGATTCTTACACCGTTCATTGACATATCCCATAGTTCACACAGCTCTTTTTCAAAATCATCGCTAAGCTCGTGTGATGCATTATCTTCTCCCTCGCGCGATGAAGCACGTTCGTCGTTTTGGCCCTCCTCGGAATCTTCAGTAGTGGACTGAAGAGATTGAACCAGCTTCATAAGAGTTCCTAGCACCCATTTCTTGCTAAATACTGTTTCACCGATGTTGTCGTATTGTATTAGCTCAATTTCCTCCGCGGATAAACGAGGAGGAGAAGGATTCCTATCTGCCATCTTACAGCCCGGTCTTATAGAATCTATTTTTGATCTTCTAGCAAATCAAACTTCGGAACTCTCCGGAAGCATTCGGCAGTTCCGACGTACAGCTGGTGTCCAGTCTTCCCCAGAATGCTTTGAGAAAGGAAATACCCAAAATGTCGGACGGATCGTTAGAAAGTGTTTTGAAACGAAAGCTGGACGAAGGTGAAACTCAAACGGCAAACGACACAGATCTAAGCTCACCGCCAGCTAAAGTGCGAGTGACAGATAATAAAGCTAGAGAGACAGTTCAAACCAAACCAAATACTGTTGATGTTTCGCAAAATAGTGTTGGACCTTCAAACACTGCTTCAAGTCAGGCAATTGCAGAGGGCAGCGATGATGAACGAGAAAAAATGCAGTAAGTACCAATGCTTAGCTTAATTTGAAGGTGGAAATATAGTTTGGTTTGTAAATGTACCCGTGATCTTGAGGAATACCGCTTCTGTGGCCGATGCGACTTGAAATTTTTAACATTATCGACAAGAAATATTTACCTTTTTCAACAAGGAGATTTCGATTATTCCTTATTTGTCAGGTTGCTTGTGTCCTCCTTCTCAGAAGAACAACTGAACCGCTATGAAATGTACAGAAGGGCAGCATTTCCCAAGGCAGCAATTAAACGGGTGAGTTTAAGACACCTTTCTTCGTTTTACACATCTACCATTGTGCAGGGCACAGATATTGAAAAATATCACTCTGTATGTTACAGTAACTGTAGCTTCTGTTCCCAACCATGGCATTCACTTGGTAATTTGGTATTATAAACTGAGTTGACGATGTAAATTGGCCACCATAAAGAGTTTCCAAGGTGACGTTTTGAGCGTTTGCACCCCGTTGTTGCTCTGATTAAGGGTTAATGCTCAAAACGTCAGCTTTGAAACTCTTTATAGTAGCCAATTTACATTATCAACCCAGTTGGTTTGTTAGCTCAGTTGGTAGAATGCTACACTGGCATCGCAGAGGTCATGGGTTCAAATCCCTTACAGGCCTGAATTTTTTTTTCAGGCCTTATTTTCACTTATGCACAAGCAGTGTTCATTACTGCGAAGATTGCCTTCATATTCACATCTTTATCTGCAGTTCAAATATCTGACTTTCATATATATACAGTCATTTATTATCAACTCAGTTAATTATACCAAATTACCTTGTTATACTCTCCCACTGATCCAGCACCACAGTTTCTTTAGAAGCATACCCCTGTTTTCTCATGGCATTCACTGCTTGAATTAATTGTGTGGGAGAAAATAATGATGTGTTTTGCTATTCCCCTTTCCCCCCTAAAAAGATGTTTTATTTTTACATCTGATTGGTTGACAAAGTGGCACAAGTTGGGTAAACCAACTGCAGAGTGGCACAAAACCAATGCAATCAGATTTCTTTTGAAACAATAAAAAAACACCCATATGGCTAGTTTTACTGTCTTATCTATCTTATTTAAGTAATATCCTGATTGAATTTCTGTTTTCACCTGCAGCTCATGCAAAGTGTCACAGGAGGAACTTCAATCCCTCCAAATGTTGTCATAGCTATGGCTGGAATAGCCAAAGTATTTGTTGGAGAAGTTGTAGAGGAAGGTACATGTAATTTTAAGTTCATGATCAAAATTCTAATCTTCTCTTTGCTTTTAAATTTTAATATCTATTCTCTTCAGTAGGTTGGCCCAAGGTTAAAATACTTTTAAAATTCTGTGCTTCTTCCAAATATTCACATTTTATGGATGGAATTTCATGGGTAATACCAAACAGAGGGACAGGGCTTTTGTATAGTACAAAGTTGAAATTGAGTTTCTGAAAGGGGATCTGTGAACGTAAAGTGTAATTTTATATCAAGGCAAAAGGGCAAAATATTCCATTTGCTGTTTCTTTTCACCACATGAATATACTTCCATTGATGCAGAAGAAGGAGCAGTAGTATTAAACCCACTTCACAGGAGACACATGGAAATTCTTAGCTTTGACCCAGATTTGAAACATTTTAGTTGCACCCCTTTATCACTAAGCTATTTTTCTGTGATGTCAAACTTTAAATAAATAAACCCCATTCAGATGGCTGGTCTGTTGGCTGATAATGTCAGCAGCTGAGATATTGGCTGAAAACATTAATATTTGGCTAAGGAGCAAAGCTTCAAGGGAAAATGTGAAATTTTGAGGATAATCTCTCAGCCAAGGACATTATGGCATGCCTGAAAATGGTTTATTTATTTTATAAGCCTCCCATGAATTTTCATATTGTGGGTTGACAGCAAATGTTGTTGACTTTTTTGTTCTTTGCAGAGCAGCATTTGAGATAAGTTTTTAATGTCACTACCAATGGACACAATGAAAATATTTTGTTTTCCTTCCATGTAAAGCAACAAAGATGAAAACAGTGAAACTCTCAAACTGGCTATTTCCCACTGGCTTGGTTTCTTTACAGGAGAGATAATTGGGGGACAAAAATCTCTGTAGAAGGGGGTTATTGCATGATAATTGTCCATTGATTTTGCACCAGGTGGCATTAAGTAGCCAATAGAATTATGTGAAAGTTGATAGGTGGGTTATAACCTGGAGTATTTTGTTTGTGGGATATTTGTCAGAGTTTATGGTTGGGTATGTCTTTTAGCTGAAGTCCAAAGTCCCAAATTTTCAAGTGAATGTACTGGTATATAGCATATGCTGTTGCTGTAATCTTGACAGTTTCTTGGCCTTTCTCTAAAAGAAATCCAAGATTCTTTGAACTAAGTTTCTTTTTCCATGAAGTTAGTCATTGAGTGGTTATTATTCTTGATATACAGCTTGTGATATAATGGAAAAGTGCAAAGAATCTGGGCCCATTCAACCAAAACATCTAAGAGAATCTGTCAGGAAGTTGAAAAGGAAAGGTCTAGTCCCAAATACAAGATATCAGAAGAGACTTTTTCACAGGTACAATTTAATTGTGGCAAATTATGCTCCTCTTCTCCTAGATGATAGGAGAAGTTGAGTTAAAGTCAATTATTGTGAGTGTGTTCCCTAATAGCAGTTAATTTCCAAAGTTGTGGTCTTCACAAATTCAGGACCTGTGGGTGATCCCTATCAGTTAGAGATACAGGAATCCTACCCCCTAACCCTTTGCATTTCTTATGGCAGTGATAAGGAGAGTTTCTTTATCAATCAAGTGTCTCTTCCATTAGCAATAATTCCTCTTATTCATGTAACATAAAGGTTTGATTTAACATCAGAATGCATATTCTCCTTATTGTTTTCTTCACATTTCTTATGGCAGTGATAAGGAGAATTTGTTCATCAATCAAGTGTCTCTTAAATCGGCAAGCATTCTCTTTATCCTTATAACCTTAAGGTTTGATTCTACAGTGATACTGTGAGGAGAAATTGAATGTTGGTCAATATTAACCCTTTCACCCCTAAGAGTGACCAGCATCTTATTTTTCTTTACAATATCTCCCCTGAATCAAACATTAAGGTCCAAAAATAAAGGAAATAATTACCAACTTAAGAAGCCTTGATTGTTAAACAAATTCCTCTTGGCAGCACCGTAGAGAATGTATGTAGAACAATATGGAGAATATACATACTGATGTTAGGGTGTGAAGTGTTAAAGGGTTAAGTTAGTACGTTTTCCTGGTAATTCCTCAATTGTTACAAAACTGCAGGAGCACTGTCCAGAGAAGGGTGCTCTTTTTAGACGAATCAGATCGAAGACTTAAGAAACGTGAACACTTTTGTTTCAAATTTAGGTGTAAAAATGTCGCGTTGTCTCTTCAATTCCTAATTTTATCTTCTAGTGACTTCTCTGGCTCTTCTGATCTTGTCAAATGATATTACTTTGGTTTTAATTTAAAAAATATGATTCATTTTTTCTCCCGGCTGAAATTGGTCTTTACCAAAACTTCCCACCAGCGAGTTATTGCTTAGAGCTATTTTCTGCTTGAACGTGCTCAGTATTTTAAAGCTCATTGCATCTTAAATTCTCTTTAGGTGAAATGCTACGCCCCGTGACCTGAGGGAAGAAAGATGTGACTTAAAAAAAAGCTCATTGTTGGAAAATGTCTAAACGAGAACCCACAGATGACAGTGTTTCAGCTCAAGCTCTGACAGAGGAAGTCCAAAAGGTCCTGGATTTTCACTTAATTTGTTGAAGTAACAACAAAAAAAGACGCACAATGGCTGTTTGGACAATGTCTGAATGATAATAGAGCGTAAAGAGTGGGCTGCTAGAGACTGCAGAAGTTTTTTTAAACATGGGGGCGTCGTTTATCATACATAATAAAATAAGTGATATGCAAGGAGCACCTTGAGTGGTGAAAAACCTATCGTTTATTGCACCGGTAAACCCATTGAAGATTGATGTTTGATTGATGATTGATTTATTCTTTTTTTTTTAGCAATAGACTGCATTTTTTATCGGTTTACCAGCGTAATAACCCACTTGGGATGTTTAGAGAACACTCGGAAAAGTTTGTCGTGTTCTCGCAACATCCCGCGTGGGTAATTAAGCCGGCAAACCGGTAGAAAATGCGGTCTATTGCTTAGCTAACCCAAGTTCATGCCCCCCTCAAAATTTCCTCAGAATTCCTTTGCGTAGGTTGTTGGCACCAGCAAACTCGTTTCTGTTGTGTTCAGTGAGTCCGTAATCAATTTTTTACAACACTTAAGGAGGCAGTTGCTCAAGAAGAGGCCAGGCGCGATCCTCAGGAAACAATTTGTGAAAAGATCACGAGAATGAGGTTTAGTAGGGGGTACTATGTAATTTTTTTTTTTTTTTTTTTTTTTTTTATGGGGGAGGGTGCGTAGTTCTCATGGGAAACACTGAGAAATTCAGACCTTAGGTCTTTTCAATGGGTCGCGTTAGAAAGCAATTTTATGCGATAGTATTAATGCATGTCTCGTTTGACCAAATCACTTATTTCCTTAATTAAGCGTCCGGGCGCTCATTTCAATTTCGGTCAAAAGGAGAGGCGCTTATTTGGAGAAGGTCGCTTAATTGAGGGGTTGCTTATTATCTTTTGTATTGATTCCGGTGTAGTTAAAGCTTTAAAAAGTTATAAAAATTGGAAATAGAAACAGATTTTCCTTGTAGCCCCCCCTAATTAAGAAAGTCAGGGAGGAGGGGGAAGGGCTTATTGGAGAGGGGCGCACTATTTGACATTATGGCTGTGGGCACTTGATCGGGGCGCTTATTCAGACATTTTGTTTGAGTGGGCACTCAGGGAAAAAAGGGGTTCGTTACATAACGTGACTCGTTTTATGCTTTGCATTTCAGACGCACTGTGAAGTTGAAACTTTTATTGGATGTCTGAACTACTCATAATGAAATATTTGTCCCAAATTTGGTCTCCTTTCCTTGACGATACATTGGAAAATGGTCCGTGATCTGTAAAAATGATTTCTATGTATAATTTTAAAACAGCCCGCGGTAGAGAGTTTTGTTTCCATAGTTTTCGCCTAAAAACCAACGCAATTTGCACAGAATATAGAAAGAAATTAGAGACAAAAGTGTCGTGGAGAAACTGTTACAGAGAGGGGACAAAAGTTCATTACAACGTTTTGTTAAGGGAGGCTTGTGACAACTAATCATCAGCAATGGTTGTGTGGCAACTGGTTTAATTGAAAAGATGGACGGTGTTTTTTAAGTTGCAAACAAAAGCAACTCTACCTGACGCACTGTCTGTGTTCGTGTACACAGTTGTCTGAGAAACAATTTATTCATATTACGTGAGTGGTCCCCTCACGCCAAAGGTCATCATCGAAGGTATCGGTAAAATTGAAAACCATTAGTTATCGAATAACGAAAAAAAAACTGATAATGTAAGTTGTACATTTGATTGAGGCGATTAAAAGTTTGCTTTTCCAATAATCACTTTGATTCTTAGAGCGTTGTAGAATCAGGGTATGCTAATTTAGTCTATTCATAATTGATACGATCAAGATGTTTTAACAAAGTAGGGTTTTTAGGTCTTTATTTTCCTAATTTAGATACGTCCACCTTCCCCCCTCCAACCAAAAAAAAGCAAACAAATAAAAAAACATAACTTGTCTATCTTTTTATTTTCTCCCCTGATCAGTTCAGCAGCTGAACAAGAACTAAAACAAAAATATAAAAACAGGGTCATTTATCTTGTCTCCATTGGTTTTAACAGCTACGCATTACCACAAGCAAATAAACGTTGATTGACACGTGGAAATGTCTAGGGGATACAACCTCTTATGACTCCTTCCGAGTACGTAACAAAAGATCAAATTTTGGTATGTTTTAAACAAATTTAGTCCAAAAGTCCGTTATTTTGTGTAGCGATCGTGCTCGTCATCAGGCGCTTTTATACTTTTCATTGAGACATTTTAAGTATTTACCCAGAGTCCGGCCACGAAATAAGTTGTTTCAAATATAACAATCTCGATGTTGAAGAGACAATTTTGTCTGGTTTCAGCACGATAAAGAAATACGCACTTATTAATAAAACCTATTTACAATAAGTATGAAGTTTCGCACCATTTGTCGTACAGAAGATGCCGTTTTGCGACTCTTGTCCCGAAAAAGTGACGGCTACTCGCAGAGTAATTACGTGTCAGATGAAAATCATAAATACTGTGCAATTCTTGTTTGCCTAGATTCTACAAGTTTGCATTTGTCGTGTCTGTCTGGATTGATTGGCGCGCGACTTTTCGCAATTTTCCGGCTCATGTAAACCACGTGTCCTTTGTGTACGTTTATATGTTGATAGCATTGATGGGGTTGAGCGAGAAACACGCCGGCAAGACATCAGGTGAGATTCGACAATGGGTGAGGGAGTAAAAGTAATTTTTCTGGCTTCTGTAATTATTTGGATGTCTAACGTTGTACGAATACGTGGAAAGAGGAGGAGGATACGTTGTCTAGACATTTTGAAACCTGAAGATGTTAGTGTCGCCGGCTAAGAATACTGTTCATTTTCCAAAGGGCCTTCAAACAGATCAGTAAAGTGCCTCCCCCTCGCATGTTATCACATTCACAACTAAAAATTTCATTAGTTTATTTTCCGCGATTTACACTCGCTTTTTTTTCCTTTGGAAAGCAAACAGAAAGGACCCGTAAACGCATTCGAAATCACAGTAACAGAAAAGCATAGCCACAATCTTGGCCCTGCCCCCACAATACTGGAAAAGCCTGATTAGCCAGAACACGGTTGACTTTATCTTTAAGAGGAGTCGTCGAACGACTGATAGCAGAGAACGATAAAAAAAGTCACGAACAATTGAAGTAATCATGATTCCCAACAGCGAAATTTAAATCCCCGAAATTTACTCAAAATTGCGCGCTGATTCTGATAAGTTATCACATAACAACTATCGTCTTTTTCAATCAAATTGTTTACCTAAGTCGGTGTGTTCAAACGTTTGTTTATAAGAATAGTAAAAGGCTTGTTTTTTTTCGTTCACTAGCGAATTCAGTCCCTGGGAACTTAATTCACCCCGCTAGTATTATATATATCGACAACTCGCTTCTCGAAAGCCCAGCAAACGGGTCGTATTTAATTTAAGTGGCAAGCGTTCGGCTTTTTGATTAAAAAATTTGTGGCCTTTAGTTGTTTTCTGAAAAAGGAACAGGAAATAATTCTAATTGATAAATCTTATCGCGTGTGCTTTTATGTCGGATCACTGAATAGTATTCAAACTAGAAAAGCGTTTGTACCACCTACTCAAAGAGCTACATCTTTTCACCGATGTGGAGTACTCATTGTCGGAGCGAAGCTGCAACACACTCCTATGTAAAAAGACTTTCTGAGTAATCATTTCATGGCTTCCATAAACCTAACAGACAACATATTAAAGTAATTTTTCCGCATGCTCGTTTGTAAGACTGATTAGCGATATCGGGAACTGTCCTAACCTTTTTTTTTTCATCTCTCCTGTACGAAATTCGAAAGTGCTATTAAAAGCTCGTAGAAAGACACGTATTCTTTGGTTAATATTCATTAAAACTCGTACGGAGATGCAAAGAGAGAGGGATGAAAAATGATTCCAAAACCGTTTTACTCCTATTATGGGGAGGATTTATTTTCCTTTAGAGGCAGTATTCTTAGCACGACCAGCAGACCTATAAAAAAGTTTGTTTGATTTCGTGAACAGTCTCGAAGGTGAAAATTGGTGACAAGACATGTCATGAAATGACCTTTTCTTCACCCCTAAATTGTTTATATCATAATAGAGATTTCATCATTTTCTTTCGAATAAATTACCTTCTAGCTTCGATATATGGTGATTATTTATGTAAACTGAAGGATTCCCTGCGGAGAAAAATCTCTATAACAGCTTAAACATATCAGGATTTCCAGGCTAAAAATGTTTAGCTGAATAAAAAATGTATTTGAATTAATAAAGGATAATTTTTTGTGATTTGTAGTCATGCCAGAATCTTGGCAATCGGGGTTTCTATTCAAATGTTATGCTCATGGCAATTTTCCCCCAACGATTAGTCGTTCTTAGGCCGTTTGAGCCGGATCTATTCATTTCAATCTTCGTGATGTAATTTTTTAAGCAAATTAATATTGATATGATTCTCTTGGTTCCTATGAGCTTAAGAGTTTTGTGCCAGGAAAAATTAATTAATTTTTTTTGCCGTTCTATCTCAGCTGCGGCGCGTAATTTTTTCCTGTCCTATCACGTGACTAAACATTGAACATGCGCTGTTAGAATATTTTCCTCGAGTCGGAAGCGGATCGAAACGTCGAGTGATGGAGGGAAAATGGTGGTTTGGTTCTTCGAATTTATATGGCTTTTCTGGATTTTGACATCTTCTGAAGCGAGATCCACGCATACCAGAAAAATCCAAGGTTCCCAAATTGTTATTGTCCTAGTTTATTTCGCTGTGATCAATGACAACAATTTTTTCGCTTAGGTTTGATCGTCTAATGTTTGTTTCTAACTAACTTCATCAGCTGTTGGTCAATCTGCCTACGCTGGTTCGTATGGCAGCCGTACTACAGGATTTTTCCATGGTGTAGGACAGGGAAAGCCGCCAAGAAATAGAGAGAACCTTCAAGGGAAGAAAAAGAATGAAGGGAAAAATATTCAAATGGAATTTAAGCGAAAAGTTTCCTCTTTCAAGTCGACAGAAAGCGCTACTACGATCGCTCGTGAAATCAACAGCAACCTTACAGCGGGTCATCGTGAGGACCTGCCGGAAATTTATATTTTAGTGTTGGTGAGTCTTCTTTTTGTGTTCTTTATTCGCGTTGGTGGTAATTTTATTAGTGTATCCGGAGTCTTTCCGGATTTTTTGTTTGTTTGTTGAGAAAAGGTTCTGTCCGAGCGAGCATACATTGAGTTGTCGGTCGACAGGTCTACAGCTTTGATACCGCCGTTACAGTTTCCATTACGATTTTGTTTTTTTGAGAGAATTATAATAATTGTCTGTTGCTTAACAACTCGGTCCGTAGTCGAATGATGTGGATGGAATTAAATTCAAAAGATCGTGTTTTCACACAATTCGATACGTTTTGTAGCGGTTCTTTCGGTCATGCCAGACACCTGGAATAGGTTTGTCCTGGGGAAACTTTTTTCGGTGCTCTACCGCGAGAAAACTACATTTATTATAGAAAATGCGTGGGTTTGACAGAGTTTGACGATTGTATTTTTGATGTAAATTTCTTTTACTGATAGCAGAGGTTTTATATAACCGATGGACTAGTTTCGAATGAGGTCACATCGGTTCTTCGCGCGCGAAAACGAATATTTTGCGTGATCTTTCGATCTGGCATTATCTGACCCCGTAATTATGTTCATGGGATCAGTGTTCGCCACTTCTTCGCCGATTTCCATTTTAATGGGGTTTGATTCGCGGAACAATCATTTCCGTGACATGTTTCATTAAATCCTCCCACTCAAACAATAACTGGCGGATATACTGTATTGTCGGCAACTCGTTTCAAAAATATTTTCTTCGTTTTGTTGTGGTGAATTTTGAAGATGAGTGTCAACTAACTCGATCGAGTGGGAGGCCAAACCTCGACCAATTAGCGTAACACGATAACCGTGAATGTGAAGACCTGTTCAATTTTGTAAAGGAAAAAAAGAGTCGATATCTCTGACCAAATTTCATATCTAGCGTTTTGTTCTTTAACTATATCGCCATATTAACATACTGAATTTGTTAGTTTGAAGTAAAGATATCATTGTACACCTGTTACTTTAAGTCTAAACATAGTTTTCTAGAATCTATTTTCTTGATGAAAACTTGTAAGTTTTTTAGCGGATGTCTCTGCAATTTTGTAATATCCAATTGCAAACATCTTCTGTTAAATTTGAAACTTCAAACCCATTGAATTAGAAGTTTGTGACAGTAGATTGTTTTTTCCTCGGAGTACACCTGCATCAAAAATAGCTTGTGCGTGGTATGGTATTATTTGGTGTTAATGGAGTTATTTTCCATGGTTGAAGCCTTCAAGTAGCGGGAAATGCTCTATTACCGTAAGCTGTGCCATCCCCAGCATTAATCCAGGAATTCTCTGTGGGATTTCAGGAAGGATAGATAATTTTCAATTTATCTCAATTTGCTAAGAACACCAGCAGAACACGCGTTGTTGAAAACGTTATTTTTCATTTTCCTTATTGCATAGTTGTCAATAATTCTAAGAACCAATCTGAGTCTTTGTTTTGTGTGGAAACAAATTAAGAACTATTGTTTATGGCAAAACATAGTGGAGTGCCTTTCATTTTTGTTAATGTTTCTGATGGAAATGAGAAGGCTTTTTTTTGATAGAAATACTTTTGAATCCAATATTGAAATTAAGTTACTCTATACTTTTGAAATAAAAGTTTAGTTTCAGTTCCAGGGATTTGTGTGTAAATCCCTGGTACTATGGGATATCTAGAACTTGACTGATACAGTGTCATCTGAAACACTGAAGCTTTACAATAACTTGAAATATCACCAGTTGAAACTGCTGTTTTCCACCTATATTTCACTGGGTAGATAGCCCATATCACACAGAAAAACAAAGTCATCTATCATCCCTGTCCTTCATTTCCTATGGCTGTTACCAATTAGTCAATTTTTTTTGTTGTCACTGTGAACAAAAATATTTTTAAGAAGATCTAGTTTTGTGTTTTTGGTTTCTTCGCTAGAAAGTAACAATATTTTATCAATTTTATAATGAGAATATAAATTTAGTTCAGTAGCTCTATTTGACACAGCCCACGTGGATTAGTGATTTTAAAAGCCCCTTCTATGAAGCATTTTAAACTTGTTAATCCTTGATTTTTAGGGGTTTTGTCAAGTGTTAGCCATCCTTAGGATAGGCCTCCACAACATGTTAATATCATACACTCTAACACTTAAAATAATATATTTTGTTTTGAGCCATTTTTTAGATGTTTTCCATGCATTCGTTATATGTTTTAACATCTTTCTCTTTCTCGAGAGTGACAAGCATCTTATTTATTGTTAAGAAATCACTGCTGAATCAAACATTTATGTCATGTATTGTGAATAAAGGAAGTGGTCCCCATTTGAATAAGAGAATGTTCCAGAACATGGAATACAGACTTAATTTACTTTAACCCTATTTGAATTAAACCTTTCTGTTAAATAAAAAGAGAATCATATGTAAATTGAACTATTTAGGATATTGGTTTACACATAACAGTGTTTGAATCAATAACTGTTCATTTTTGTTAAGTGCCCCTGAGTGTACTTGAGAGATTAAAAAATTTATCTTTAAACCTATACATTGAAAATTCTAGGAGCATTTTGATTTTAATGCTGTTGCCTTTTTACAGAACCTGGCCACTGGGCTCAAGAACTTTAGCAAGTCAACCAGGAAACAGTTTACATCTCTTCTTTCCAAGAACTTAGGGCTTCATGAGCAAAGCTGTGTAATTCTTCATGTCTCTCCAGTGAGTACAATAAATTACAGCCAGTGATAATGAAAATTATTGTTGGAACATTAGGGGAAATTTCTGGACCAATAGGCTACGTTGGAGACACCGACTTCTACTATAACAGCAAATCACCCAATATGTGTTCTTTTTGTGTACAAAATATGAAACACACCTGGTTGGAGTCAGTGACACCTGTGTTCTATCATAAGCTACTACATTGCTGTTACAATTTCTACAGCTTTTCCCAAATAACCAAATATGTCTTATTATTTTTTGTGTGTGTTTTCATAACTTGGAAATGTGCTATCAAGTCATTTCAAAATGTTATGCCCACCTGGCCAGAGTCAGTATCAAAAAGAAAGTGATTTGATCTCAGAGGATGGTAACAAAAACACTCACACATGTGACTCACACTGACAACAGGCTGAGCAAATAAAGCAGTTGACCCTTTAACTCTCAAAATCTGATTGTTAATTCTCTAACTGCTATGCATTTCCTTAGAAATAATTTTTGAGAATTTGATGTTAGATCAAGATAACTTCTACCTGATAAATTTGAGTATTCTCATTATCTGCTTGTTGGATAATGTGTAGATGTTATAGGAGGAAGTTATGAGTTAATCCCTTCTGGGATTTAAGGGTTTAGCAAATGCAAGACTTAAAGTAGTAATGGTTTTGGACTTGTACTTGAAAATGGATTAATAGAAGCCTGTAAATGATGTCTGTTTGTGAAACTGAACAACATTCTTATTGATCATGATTATTGATTAAAAGGTAATAGGGTATCTCCACTTTTTTTTTTTTTCAGATTTCCCTTAGACGGATCCAAATTGAACTTTCTTGTGAAAAAGACATGGTTAAAGCTATGGGTTCAGAGTGGGAGCCTAATGTATTTATTCCAGCCAACAAAATGATCCAAACCTTAGACAGCCCAAGGATGCAGCCATTTTTGCGAGAATTCAACATAACTGCTTATGGAATCAAGGTTTAAAACACTTATTAACCCTTTTACTCCTAAGATCTAAATGTAGTTGAACCTTTATTAACCCTTTACATCCTAACACCAGTTTGCAAATTCTCCATACTGTTCTCTATACATATACTAAGGTGCTGACAAAGAGAATTTGTTTAACAATCAAGGGCTTTTTTGGCTGGTGATCATTTTCTTTATTCTCGTGACCCTAATGTGTGATTCAGGGGTGATATTGCAAAGAGAAATTAGATGCTAGTCACCCTGTATTACGCAGTCAGTTGTCAAAGTCCCAAATTTGTTTCCCCTTAGTAACTGTACTTTTCACCTCTATTAAGGTGGTACAGAAGGCTACCTTGACCTTTTTGTGATGGTTTATATTCTCAGATATTATGGTGTTTGCAGTTCACGCAGTATTTTAGATGACATTTTTGACACATCCATTTCATTGGTAACCATTCAATAATAAAATATGTAGTGTTTTTTTTACTATGGATGGAACTCGGGAAAGATCTCTACTGTAGATTACTACTTATATTTTCCAAGCAACAAAATTATAAATATGTTATTGTTAGCCTCCTCATTCTTAAAATTTTTAATGATATTTCTAATATCAGTGACATGTTGCAACCATAAGGAAGCAAATAACCACATATTTTATTTTGTCATGTAACATTAGATTGAAAGTTGTGACTCAGAAATGCCCACACCACATTGTATTTTTGTGCTTCTTGATGAAGCCTTTTCCCTCTTTTCACTTCCCAACCAACTGATGTCAATTTCTTTTAGTCAAGAAGAAGCTTAGAACATTCTCTGGGACCTCTACTTTTGTGTTGCTTTTCTATCTCTCGCTAGTGAACAGCATGAGTGCTAAGATTGTCTCAACACCACAGGATAGGTTTCATTACTACAAATGTTGCATATGTTTATAGTCTCAGTTACTGATTGGTTTTGCAGGAATAATAGCAAGACAAATATGGTGATTATGACCACCTATAGTGCACTATTTTGCATTTTATTGCTGCAGCCATGTATCACTGGCTTACAGAAGATGGCAATCGAACAAAGGAAAGTAAAAAGGGGTTCTCTGACAAATTCTTCCCGAGATATCCCTGCTTTTTGCAAATTGATTAGTGCAGCTACATTGTGTCATGCAACTGCAACAGTATTAACTTGGGGATGATTGATTCTTTTGAACTAAAACTGGGCAAACTAAAAGTATATACGAACAAGGAAAATTTACAGTGCTGTCTTCCATGGTCTGCCAAAAATTGTCCAAATGAGAGGGTAGGGGATCGTAACCTTACATTTTTTTAGTTTTTTGAAGATTAAACTGTGAAAATTGACTATTATTTAGAGTAGAGAGTAGAGTGCCATAAGAGTCATTATTGCCTTCATCTTTGTGCCTGTGCTAAACCATTTTGAGTAGTATTAAACTGGCATGGATTTAGAGAAACTTTTTTCCAAAAATGGTATTTTGAATACACTCCTTAATTCCATGGAATTCCACAAATTCCATGGCACTGAGCAAAATTACATTTTTTGTTCTCAATTTATGTGTAGAATCATATATCACATGTGAGAATTTCAAGTCATTCCAACAAATCTGTAATATTTTATCAACAATTTGAGACAATTCAGGGAATTTAGCCTTCAGTACCACCTTATTAGTGGTCACCTCTATTAAGCGGATATGTTAACCTTTGAGTGAGTTCCAATGGCTAGTTTATGATGTCTTCCACCTGTATTGAATGGTCACATAAAGTGAAACCACTAAAATAAAACTAAGAATGATCTTTCAAGTAAAATTTGATTTATGTTTCTCTCCGGAAACTAATGTTAGTAATATTTTTGAACAAGTTCTTTATCATTTTTTGTATTACCCTATTCTGTGGAACCTGTATTAAGCAGTCAAATACAGGTTTGACTGTATCAGTTTTCAAAGCTTTTTTAAAATACATTTTCTATGATTTAAGCTCTGACAGTGTAAAATCAAATCATTATTCCACAGTTGATATCTTCCTTTCATCTCATTTTATATAAACCCTTCTACTTAGAATGTGATGACATTGTCACTTCTGGAGGTAAAAAGTTGAAGGAAGTACACATGAATGTGTGTCTCGTTTTGTGCATTATATTCAGGACAAGAAACTTTTTAAAAAAATGCAAGGTTGTGATTCAGATTGTATTGTCTTTGATAGCTTGGAGAAACACAAGAGGGCCAAACGAAAGGATGAACAATAATTGTACAGTCACACTCGAACTGATTTAACCAAAGATCACTCAAATATCCTTATACATGTAGCTTACATGAAATATCATTACACAAATAATTGAACAAAACACAGAAGAAACGATGCATTTGTTCAAAGGGACAAGTGAGTTGAAACAACAGTCTCTTTCCCTGGACCATTTGCTCACCATCTGTGTTTTATTCTCTTTCCTACACTATCTTTGGAATTAAGGCTTGTTGTTGTCTGACTTATCACATTTTGTTCAAAACATTTCTTTCACCCAGGAAACCCCTGAAATAGACCTTGCTGTTTATCAGGAAATGTGGTTTCCTGTGGCAGTTGTGGCTGGAGTGACAGTTATTCTTATATTTCTGGCTATTGTTTGCCTGGTAAGTCACAGCATTCCTAATTTCCTGTACATCAGAATAAAAAGATCACCTAATTATAAGAGTAGTAACACATTTCTCCCAACTGTCTACATGTAATTCCCTAAATTGCAGATAATCTAATTTTCCCCACTGGTTTTAAGTTATTTCTCCATTTGCTAGGTCTGAAAAGTTGGGGTCATATCCAAACCATTTCTCCTCATTTAATATTTTTCTTAATTTTCATTTATATGTGTCTGTTAGATGTTTTATAGGAATATATTTAATTTAGAAGATAATTTAAAGACAAAAGATTCCTTTGAGCTTTAGGGTAAACCAGCAACTGCAATAATCATTGATGAAAAATAGTAGTCTTATGTAAAAAAAAAAACTAACTTAAGGCTAAGGTTTTTTAAGCAAAATGGAACACAAGATGGATAGCTATGATAAATTTCTCTTGCTTGTAGCTGTTTTGCCGACGTCATCTAGAAGCCAAGGCTGAAGAAGAACATCGTACACAACAGCTTGATCCAGAGAAGCTTTTCTATCCTGCTGTTGACCCTGCAAACAACATGTCAGCAAGCATGATACAGCCTGATGCAGGAAGGGTGTATACGATAACAGGTTTACCCCCCAAGGCAAGAAAATGGAAAGGGTCTCAGTTATCCTTATCAGACAGGTGAGATACATTTTACAGCTTCTTAACTTTCTTGTACTCTTATATCTTCAGAATCTTATTTTTGGCTAAATAATGTTTGTGTTTGGATTTTAGACGCGGCTCCAAAGCATCTCTGGTCTTAGATCTCAACAGATCATCATCAACTGAATTAGGACCCAGCTCTTCTGCTCCAAGTATATTAGAAAGGTAACAGTGTCAAATTGTAATACGATTTACATTAAATTAAACTGAAAATAAGACTTTCTTTTGTCAAAATTGTTGTAAGGATGCTTTGCTATGGTTGGGTATTTTAAAGCTTTTTACAAAATAGCACATCTTACAGAGACCATTTCTACACATCTCTTATCATTGAAGTGAGAATTGAAAAGGTAGTTAGGTACATTGTATGAAGTGGAACCTTTTAATGAGATTCCAAAGGTCCAGTGTGAAGCTATTAGACTAGAGAGCCTAATGGGATGTTTGTTGTACGGGGAAGGAGCTATTTTCTGGGTTGTCTTATCACTCTCACTGCTTAAGAGTTTTTATTGATATTTCAACATAATCAATAAGCTAGTGAATTAAACAAAATTCTTTAAATATTTGCATATTTTGAATTGAATGTCACATTGTGTGTAATTTTTCTATTTGCAGTCCCACAGAAGAAAAACTAGCTTCTAAATCCAGGTCTTTAACTTGCAATGAATTGGAAAACTGTGTAAATGAACCCAAGAAACTTTATGCCGAATTTTGGGTGAGTCAGAGAACCAGTGAATTACCTAAAATGATAGGGGTCATAGGGGTGGTACAAAGAAATATTTTGAGTTCCTCACAAGGATTTTTACCTTGGGGCCCAGTTATTCAAAGGGCAGATAATGCTATCCAACAGAAAATTCGCTATCCAGTGGATAAACATTAACAAAACCTATTGCACTATCCACCAGATAGAGATTTATCAGGTGGATAGTGTTATCCACTACTTGAACAACTGGGGCCAAAACTTAAACTGTCATGGTGCTATGTCCCACCATTGAGGGCACATGTTGAGTGAAATTTCAATCAATTTGTTATTTTGAACCAATAACTCTCGACTTTCTCTATTTATCTACATGTAGGAAATGCCAATGAATAATCCTCCTCCAGAAGAGAGGATTCCTGGTTCCAGTTACAGAAATAGATACCCATTTGTTTTACCAAGTAAGCCACAGGCCTTTAGGCAGATTATTTAAATGTGTATGATCATGTAGTCTAGTTGTCTAGGTGAGAGTAGTCCTGAAATGGACTTTAGTCTGTACTGTTGACTTACATTTTGATAACCTGAGCGGACAACATCATCAGAGTCAGTGAGTAGTTGTTGTCAGTTAAGTGTACCATATCCAGTTCATATAAACTGATTGGTCAGTTTAGCAATGATATTGTTGGCTATAAGACTAGAGTGGAGTAATTCAGTGGTGATTGGTCAGTTTCAATCCATCGTTAATGTTAGGTCATTCTCTTTGGTTTTTTTGTGTTGTTAGTGTTGTGAACAAGTCATTTGCGTGGTTGTAGTTCAGCAAAAGAGCAGTCTCAGCCATTACCAAAAAAAGCAAAACATGTTATCCAAATGTTGATTTTTGCAATCAATGTGAAAAAGGCTGACATCATTAATATAACAATGTATTTACTCACCTGAAACAACCCAGCCTTAAAATGTATTTAGATCCATTGATTGCTTGGGACTGTAGTCCTAGTTAGACTTCATCAAAACATCTGGCCATTAGGATTTAGCTCTGTCCTTGTTTAAGGCAATTGGGATATATTGGAAGTATTATCCACTGACGTGAAGGCAAACAGTGGAGGATATTACATGTAGATATCATTAGTTAGACTTTGTCAAAACAATGACAATGTATTTACTCACCTGAAACAACCCAGCCTTAAAATGTATTGAGATCCATTGATTGCTTGGGACTGTAGTCCTAGTTAGACTTCATCAAAATATCTGTTCATTAGGATTTAGTTCTGTCCTTGTTTAAGGCAGTTGGGATATATCAGAAGTATTATCCACTGAAGTGTAGGCAAATACTGGAGGATATTTTCTGAGCCTTTATATTTTCTGCCCCTTTCAATCAAACATTGTGGTATTTACTTGATAAAAAACCAAAAATTGCAGACTGAGGTTTTCAGATCAATGAAAGAGGAAGCCCTGCAACAGGGTGTAACTTATTGCATCACATCTCATTTCCAGAAGGGATCCTTACTCTTTTGTTTACAGCTGATAAATGTTTTTAACTCAGCTTATCAAGACATTTAACTTGTACTTTCTTACAGCAAGAGACAATTAGTGTTAATGCAAACTGTATTCTGTTCATTTTCAGACAGTAGAAGTAGAGTGAATCTACCTGAAATACCAGGAGATACTTTATCTCTTTACATTAATGCAAATTTTTTGAAGGTAAATTTAAAAGTGGAATCGCTGTTTTAGCACATTTTATTGAATCTCACATTATTGTGTCTTAACACTCCTTATAGATGTTAATTAGTGCTTATTCCACTTTTTTTTTAAATTCATATTCAGGGTTACGAGGGTCGAAAGCAAGCTTACATAGCCACCCAAGGTAATTATTTTGTCAAGTTCTGTTATCAAATCTAACTTTTCACTGACTACAATAACTGCTTGATGAGATTGGGTTGTGTATGAATTAATGAGCTCTCCAACTATGAGGAAGAAGAAGGGCAAGAGATAAAGGATATGATTACTAACTTTAGAAACTCTTGATTGTTAAACAAATTCTCCTTGTTAGCCCCTAAGGAAATGTATGTGGAACAGTATCAAGAATATGAATAATGATGTTAGGGTGTAAAGGGTTACGCTAGATTGAGCTCCAGCAGTAAAGATGCTTGGAGGGTCTGAGAACCTCACCAAGCTAACTCTGTGTTAAGGTTTTAAGTCTCTGTGATAGCTCATCCACAAACACACTTAAATGGTGTTACAGTAATAATTTGTAAGTAACCTTTCTTGTGTACCACTTTGAAGGATATCATTAATGTTTCTTCATCTAGGTCCATTGTCAGTTACAGTAAAAGATTTTTGGAGAATGATATGGCATCATCAATGTCCAATCATTGTTATGATAACAAAACTTAAAGAAAGAAATGAGGTATGATTTGGATGGCATGAATTACCAAGTATATTGTTTTATTATATTTACAGGGATCATGTTATTAGAAAGCTTAATATATTATTTAGGTAAATGCTTATATTCAAAATGAAATCTGCATTGATAAATCTTAATATGTTACTTTTTAACCACTTTTTTTAGCTGTTTTAATATGAGGGGTTTACCCAAGTCCCCAAAATTCACCTCTTACTTGTGGCATCATGATAAATCATGGTCTAGGTCATCAAAATAAACTGGTAACTGGTGTATTTTGCTGTCTACTCTGAAAAATACAATGGCTTTTCAATTTTCAGCATAGAGGTATAACATTGCACTGACTACTTTGTACCGCAGTCGGTTACTCAAAATATCTTTTTGACAACCCTGCATGATAATAATTTAAAAATGAACTTCACCATTTCCCTCACCCCTCTTTTTGCTTCCTCATCTGCTCTTGGTTCACACTCTCCTGGTTCAGGTTTCTTGTATTCAAGTAAACACTTTACTTTGTTAGACAAAATGTGAACAATACTGGCCTGATCCAACATTCCGAACACAAGAGAAGTATGGAGACATTGTTGTCACTTTTGACTCTGTAATTGGACGAGATGGGTATCAGATCACTTCATTTTACATCAGTCATTCACAGGTGATTTTTCTAGTAAAGTCAATTGACACTTTTTCTTTAAGAAATTACAATAATTTAAGTTCTCCTCACATTTTTAGCACATTTTCTTGTGATCAAGTGATGAGAACAGTTAAGATTATCACATGTAGGGTGCTATCTTGTTGTAACAACAAATTCTTTTGTCTATACTTAACAAGAACATATACGGCAGGCAGAAGGAGGATTTACTCATTTGATCTGAAAAGTTATTGATTGAGTCCTGAGGTATATCAAGTAAAAAAAGAAAGATATGTAACTATGTAGATTAACCCTTAAACTCCCATGGGTGACTGAGACAGAGTTTCTCCTTACTATATCCACCCAATATCAAGTAGACAATTAATGAGAATAAAGAAAGAGATCAATTAGGGGATTAAAAGTTGATCCAGTACCACATTCTTCAAACCAATATCATGAGAATTGTATAGCAGGCCTTAAGGAGAATTACTAATGAGATCTTGGGAGTGAGAGGGTTAACAACACAATGTAGAGCACAGTGTTAATCAGACAACATTGATTTATGGGTAATGGATAGATTGAGCTGTGGAAATTTTGTGCTGATACCATAATTTTTACTTCATTTGAGGTAATTCTTTTCCTTATATATTTATTTGTCATGTTCTTTTGTTGAATTTTTCAGTCATTGGAAGCTCCTCGGAGAGTTTACCACTACTGGTACACAGCATGGCCTGATCATGGTGTCCCTGACTCACCAAGACAATTTTTAAGATTAGTAGAGGAAGTGCATATTGCTCAGGAGAGAGAGGATGTCAAAGAAGGGCCTGTTGTTGTTCATTGCAGGTTGGTTATCAAGGTCACTAATGGCATGTGTAGCTAGTAAATTTCCTTTAAAAAAAAGTTAAAAATAATATGCACCTTGAAGTAAATGCAATGAAAAATATAGAAAATTGTAGTGAGACATAGGGAATTGTACACTAAGTACATGTTGGGATACTAGATACTTTTAAGTCTGAAGGCTATGAATGACAGGAAAAGATCTGAATATCAAAAAAAATTGTTACATATTATTTAAAGTGCTTCCAAATTAATTCCTTCTGGACATTTGACCTTTTTCCTGTCATTTGCATGGTTTTGTAACTTACAAAGTGAAACGCAGTATCAGGATAACTGTAATCATGAGCTTAAATCTGGATTGAAACCCCACCTTTTAATTTAGTTTATAAAGGTTTCTTAAATCTAGTTTTTTAATGAGAAATTCTGTGGCTAAAGTTATTTTGGTTGTAGCTATCCTCAACAATTTTCAATGAGATATAATGTGACATTTACCCCTTAACTTTTGTTTGCTTCTCTCACAGTGCTGGAGTTGGAAGAACAGGATGCTTTATCGCAGCTAGTATAGGAATTGAACAGATCAAGGTGTGTATTGTTCAGAGAAAACTTGAATGAGTGAAATCAAGAGAAATTGGTGTGATCACAAAAATTAAGAACTTCCAGAAACATTATTCATAAGTATGTGGGATGCAGCAAGTTTTCTGTTTTGCATGTGAGACAAATCCTCTGGAACACTACCTTCTTGGGTCATAATAGGTCCTCTTTTTATTTTCAATGCCACAAAATTTTGCTATATCAGTAGCCACAGGCAGTCTTAAATTGCCTATTCTCTAGCATCATTATACAGCTTCTAGTTATTTTCAATGCCTTAAAATTTTGCTTTATCAGTCTTAAACTGCCTATTTTCATTCCAAGCTGATGTATACGTTTTCTTTTCCACCATTAGAAAGAAGGTCTTGTAGACATTCTAAAGATAGTGAGCCTTATGAGAATAGACAGGTGAGTTGTATCCAAACTCTTAAACCCTCTGACTTCCATGATTTAAATATTGATCCTTCAAACTGTTTGTTATGCATTTCTTATAATTTGAGGTCAGAAAATTTGGTGTTTATTCAAACAGTTTATGATATTTTTTGTAATGTACTTCACTTTACCTTTTTGCTTGAAAATGAGTTGATTTTTTTTATTGAGAATTGCAATTTTGGTGTTCCCTGGGAATGAAAGTTTTAACCCTTTAACTCCCATGAGTGACCAAGACAGAATTTCTCCTTACAATATCAATGCAATATCAATCAGACAGGTGATGAGAATAAAGAGAAATAAAATATAAGTTTGAGGATTTTCTGGTTGATTCAGTACCAAATTCTCAGAACTAGCATCATAAGGATTGTATGGCAGACAGTAAGGAGAATTACTGATGAGATCTTGGGCATTAAAGAATTAAATTGTTTCAAGTTAGGCTTTTCCTCATCAAGGCCTGGTTGTTCTAATGTGGGTTGAGTTAACCCAGGGTTAGAGTAAAATCTTATTTCATATCTGAAAGCTTTGACCCTTTAACTCCTAGATCAAATTTGTAAGTCTCCTTACTGTCAACCACATAATTCTTATAATGTTAGTTCAGAGAATTTATTGTGGAATCAACTAATTATCCCCAAATTGATAGTTTTCTTTATTCTCGTCACTTATTTGGTTTATATTGTATGGATATTGTAAGGAGAATTCTTTCTTGGTCACTCATGGTAGCTAAAGGGCTAAAAGAAAATTCAGTATAATTCCTTTTGTTTACTAGAATAAATTGAATGATTGGATGCTCTAAAATGAATAGAGAAAATTATTGCAAAAAAGCTGTTAAACAAAGGAATAAAGAAACCTGGATGAAAATTTAACCCTGGGGAAGGACTAATCAGCCTCAGAACAACTAGGCCCTGAGCAGTAGTTGCCGAAGTAAGGGGCAGTTGCCATGGTTTTGGTTCTCCATGTGGGTTACCAGATTTGAAACTAAAACCACTTGCAACTTTGCCATCAACATTTCCTCCTGATATGCAAAGTTTTTATTATTGAAATTATTAACATTCAGTTTTTTGTGGTTCTTTGTGATACTTTTCTTTGCTCTGACTGGGTGTTCTGATAACTTTGGTTTAGGCTCATTTAATTGAAAATTGACAGCCACTTCATAAAACAATGTTAATTCATAAATTTATTTATTGACTGAGAGAAGGGGCCTGACAAAAAAATTATTTGGTTTGAGGTTATGATGTACAGACCCAGTATAGCTAGGTCTGTGCTTCATGACTGAGAGCTTGATATTTTCCCATCCAACTGGAACTAACTTTGTCAATGAGCATTTTATCTACTGGTATATTTTCTGTCTTTTCCCTTTTTTTTCTTCCTTTCTTCCTCCAGCTCTTATCTTGCTCGGCTTTAGGTCTTTTTACAGCCCTGCTTAAGGATTTTTGTCAGATGTTTTTTAATAACATTGCATGTTGTGATACTCATAGTACTGTAGTAGTTACAAAAATGCACTGCAACTTAACCTTTTTTTATAAATCCTCAGGGGTGGTATGGTGGAGAATGAATTGCAGTATGAGCTTATTTACAATGCTCTTTATCATTTTTGGACAACACGTACTGGGAGTGATGACGACACCCGTGACATAGCACTTGAAGCAATCTTTGATGAATAATCCATGACAAATGCAATGATTACACATACTTTTTTTGGAATTCCTTGGACATGCTGGTCATGGAAGATATAATGATTAGGTGAATTGTACAGATCAGTTATGGCTATCATCCATCAAAGTGTGGGCTGAGAGGAGTGACTAACACACATCACTTTTCATAAAAAAAAAATTTAAGATGTGGATTAAGGTGTTTTTTATTATTATTTCAATGGGTGGATCAGCAGTAACTGAATCACTGTGAAATTTTCATCAAGAATTTGTCCTCAGCTGTTAGCTTGTGTAAGGCTGACATGAACAATTCTTTACCTCAAATAATGATGTCTCACAACATGCCACTGGAAAAAATATTTGCAAAAGCATGGAGTACAACAAACAGTTCAGAGCTTGTCAACACAGGAAGGTTCCAAATTTCTGAACTTCTGACCAGTCAGTTTATATCTGTTTGCAGTTCTGTGGAAATAGTATCAGCTGCCATCCTGCTTTTCATGTGGTTCATTCCAGTTTGTGGAGGGACTATTCCATGTTATGTTTTGAACACGCTCAGTTTATAGAAGGGTATAGTGAAGAGGCATACAAATATTAGACATGTCCCTTGCAGGCCAAGGGACAAATAACAAATTTTTTGCAGCAAGGAATTTTTCATTGAGATGTAACTCACCTTGTTCTTAGTTCTTTTATTTGACTCTTCATCTCTTTAATTTATGAAGTTGCCTTGATTCACCTAATGCTTGGAAAACTGCAGTTTTAGTCGAACAACTGATTACTACAGTAATAGTCAAACCATGATCCACGAGAGGGATTTTCTCCAAACATTTTTTGGAAGACTTCACAATAATTTTTTATGGTTTGGATGGAACTGAGTCAGAAGTCAGGTTTCTTGATTGCTTCTAAAATGGCAAGAGTGAGAATGAAGATGAACAAGAGACAAGCTTGTAACTCTATAGTATTATCACTGACCTCATCCCCACTGTCATCATTGAGGTCATTATTTGTGTTGCCATTATTAACACCATTATCATGGCTGTAATCGCAATGTTATGGCCTAGGGACATGTTTATCACCTCTGTGTGCAGCTTCAACTTCAGCCAAGAAAACACTTCCTTCCCAGTGCTCACAGATGACTACTTCCGCATTCTGTGGTCTACCATCAACACTTCCTTGAAAGACTTCACAAAGTGGCCTTTGTAACACCCTTTGCATGTTAGCCATAATTTGATCTTGTTAAGATTTTGACTAGAAACAAATCTCTCAAACACTCTTAATTTTTGATCTTTGAAAGGGAAAAAGGATCTCATCATCTTAACCCTTTAACTCCCAGATCAAATTTGTAATTCTCCTTACTGTCAACCATACAACTCTTATAATGTTAGTTTAGAAAATTTAGTATTGGATCAATTAATTATTCCCAAATTTATCTTTTTTTCTATTCTCATCACTTATCTGGTTGATGTTGTATAGATATGATAAGGAGAAATTCTGTCTTGGTCACTCATGGGATTTAAAGGGTTAAGTATGTTATGATGACCTGCTATGCTCAATTGTACTAATTTAGCTCCCTGACAACAAAAGAAGTTAATACTTTGCCTGCTAAAAATTTGGCATCAAAAAATAATTTATTTTAAAGTTTTAGTGAAAGGGTCCTTGTTAAAGTTGGGACGGTGAAATTATGAAAGAGATTATTATCAATAGTTATTGTCCTTTGTTGGCTAAGGTAGAGTTCTAAGAATATCCTCAACTAAGAAAATTATTCCATAGTAGTTATCAGAAATTATTGTACAGAATTGTTATTGAGGGATTTTTATTAAATTCTTCAATAGATATTTAATCTGGCCACAGGAATAATATTTACAAACGTTTACAAGGGTGAAGAGAAAGGCTATAGAAATTTATTTAAGATGTTTATGTACATAGTATTGAATGTGCTGCATTAAAATGAAAAATTGGTTACAACAATGTTTAGCAGGTCATTTTCATTGTAGATAAAATATTTTTTTGTGATTAAAACTGTTGTTGTCACACATGTGGAGCTGAAGGCTGTATGCTTCATCTTAGAAGTTATCAATGTGTAACTTCTCCTTAAAACATCAATGCAGTGTCCAGCAAACAGGTAATGAGAATAGACAAGCTCATCAGCTGAAGGGTGTTGCAACAGCAGACTGAAATTAGAATCACTAACTGGACTGTAGAAGTCAAAACATAGCTTCAATCAATATTTGAAGATGAAGAATGATTGATCTTTCAAAAAAACATTCTGCAGCACTATCAAAATCTAGGTCATCCACAGCTGATGTAGGTAAGTAAATTCAAGGATTTTTAAGGGTTTACAATCCGATGTTAAATCATTGTGAGGGCAGAAAAATTTCTGATGAACAGATTGCATTCCCAACCCTTCCTTCCTTCCTTAAGACAAAGCAAAAGCTTGTCAAAAAAGAATTTACACATTGATTTTCAAAAATTAATTTTGTCTTCTCATCTTAGTTCACTAGTGATATATCTGGTAAAGCACTGTAAATATGAATTTAAGAGATCTTCGCAGCTAAGAACACATCCCTTACGGGCCTGAATTTTTTTTATCTTTTTTCAGGTCCTATTTTCAACCACTAGTTCAGTGGTGTTCTTAGCTGCGAGGATCTCTGAAATTCGTTTCTTTACCGCAGTGCAAATATATGAATTTCATATATCTAAAGTCATTGTTCACTGTAAATATTTTTCAAAGCAAATTGCCAAATTCGAAGTCGTCGTTACTTCTTTGAATCTTGCAACAACACGAGAAAAAGAAATGGAAATTTGACCTAATGGAAACCAAGTTGCACTTTAATGCAGTCAGAAGAATATTTATCTGGTAAGTCCTAGAGATATTTCGTGTGGTCTTTGATGAATTTACGTCAGGCTTATCCTGGAAGTAAATTATGTGTGATATGTTTCAGAAAGATGGACATTTTTATTGAAAATGTTATAATCACAGTTGCCGTGTAATTTACTATTCTTCTAACACGGAACATCCATCAACTACAGCAATGCAATCAAAAGCTGCTCGCACAGTTTAATATCGTCCTAGTGCAAAGAGAAATGTAATCTAAAAAGTTCTCCACTTGTCAGAATTGATGACATTATCCTATAAAATTTCATGAACGTAAAGGGCTTACGGTATAGGACTCCACACATAATCTTAACAGTTCAAAAGAAAACGCTTTATTTCTGATTAGAAACGTTATTGATTGGGATCAAATCCACAATATTCTTATGCTACTGTCAATCATTATCATAATAGCTAGAAATTTACAAGACACAATTAAGGCACAATATGTTACAGGAGGAAGAGAGAGGACCCTGGAAACGAGGTTATTACGCTTCCTTCAAATTAATTCAACCTACAAAGTATTAGTTAAGCAACACTGCGAAACGAACAAAGCAATATTTAGCCAAGAAAATACATGGATGACAAAGATTGACAAGGAAGGTACATGTGGAACTTACTAAGTAACAAAAACCGCGAGGCGGCTTTTTATGAAACCCTTAAAATACCCTTCTTGTTTCCTAAGAATGATTGACAGCAGCTAGACCCGCAATCTGTGCCACAATTCCACAGATTGCATGTCATTGAATGACGCTGGTAATGGCAGACTTAAGTTTCTAATCAATACTTAAATAAAATTTAAGCTTTTTAGTAAATTATATTACTACGTTAAGATGAAAAAAATGAGGTTTTCGTGGGACCAAACGCGAAAACAGACGGCGAAATTCGACATTTTGGAAACAATTTACACGCAAAACGGCCTAGTAGTCGCTTCCTTGTCACAAAGTTCCATTCATACATAGAATGCATGAAATTTTTCAACTCCATCCCAATGTTCAAAAGAATTATTCAGAGTCCTTTAGTTCTATCCACAGACCTAAAGAGCAGACTCTTATTTCCGCTTAACGAGTTTGTCCTTAGTCTTCACAAAACATGCAACCATGCAGCTAAAAAATTAAAAAAAAAACTTGTAGCAAACTTTGCATCCGCCTTATTTTAAGTGATACGCACTAATATAAATACTGAACTTCCCTATCATAATTGTAAAACCCTTCAACTCCCTGAAGTGATATTTAACTTCTCCCTAAAATGTCCATACATCATCCAGCAAACAGGTTCTGAGAATACCCAAACTTAACAAGTAGTTGTAATCTTGATCTCACAGCAAATTCTCGCAACTAATTTACAAATAAATGTGTAGCAGCTAGAGGGGAGAATCAACAATCTGATCTTGGAAGTTAAAGGGTTAAGTATTTTACAGTACTAAAAATTAATTATATACTTCACATTCTACAAAGCTTCATATCTAAAAATTCTCTTTTAGACCTGCGGAAAATACGCAGGTTCTCCAGCCATAAACTGTCTCCAATTTGCATTCCATTTTCTTTCAGGATAGCTTATTTAAAAACGACATTTCAATAGTGGATCTAACTTCGTCCAGACACATGCAAGTCCCTCTCAAAATCAAAATTAAAAAGAAAACGCCATTCACAGCAGTTACGTAAAACACTGGTAATAATTAGAAACAAAACTGTACATCTTCAGAGTAATCTGGATAAAACAATTTCGGATCAAAGTCAGTATCTAAGCAACAGCGCACCTACCCCTCCCCCCAAACACATCAACAGTCAACTGTTACCGAGTTAAGGTTAATGATAGGTTAGGGGAGGGGTAGGGGTAGGGGTAGGGGTAGGGGTAGGGGTAGGGGCGCAGTTGCTCAAATACTGACATTGATTCTGTGTAAATTGTGATCACAGCGAGCGTGAACACAAAATAAACGCTACAAATGCTTAAAACGAAGGAAACTACGGCGAATGGCCATAAATTAAGAAAGATGCAGACGATTGAAAATTAATTTCGTCTTTCACGAATGTATAAAGTACAACAAATGGGGTAAAAATTAAAACGGGCGTCGTTGCTTCTCCAGTTCGCTTGTTTAGAAAAACAGCCTCCACCGCAAATTCCATGCGGATGACATCAGTAAGTGATACCTGAGTGGTTGTAGCTTAGTTACCACGATCAATCAGTATGGCTACGTCAACGGTTAAAAGTCTCGGTATCTCTCGTTAAAGAGAGGAGGGCATCTGACCTTTTAAAACTCCAACTACGAAAGCCACGATTATTTCAAAAAACTTTTCCCCAAGTTTCGTGGTTCACTCTCTCTTGGCTTCTCCAGCCATTATTCAAGATTATAAGTACACAATTGGCAATTCATCGATGCCATATTGACAAACAGATTCCTCCGCCGAAGATGAAATGAAGAAACCGTTTGCACAGCGTCGAGAACAGAAAGATCTTTACACATTCATGCTCTGAAGCTTTTCTACCCAAACCTTTGCCTCTTCAGAGGAGTTACACATCAAGTTGTACACTCTCTTCGTCGTCCGCAACTGTGACAAAATCAAGACAAATTCTGTAAGTTTGAGATGATCATCCGTGTCAGGTTTGGGCGAACAGCAAACGACTACCTGCTGTAAATTCGCTGTGTATAATGATGTCACCCTATTTGCATCTGTTTTAAAATTGGAAGATTCTGATAGTTTTTCTGTTGGATCTTTTTAAGGTTTCAAGAGAGGAAAGCGAAGACAGTGGCACACTTCGCCGGTCGTGTTTTCAATAAATGAAGCTTAAATCTTTCTAGAACGTACAACCAACAAGACACAAAAGCTGCCCTTCCCTCCTCTTCTCCTGGACAGAAGATCAATGCCTTGCACTGAGGTGTAACTCCCAGACCGTGAACAAATTTTTTCTCTTTCTCATAGCAAACTTTTCCCATTACTTTATGACTATTGTCAAGAAAAAGAATCTTGAACCTAAACAACGTAACTGTAACTATATCCTAGCAATAACAAATTTCCCTTCGCTACCTACTTTACTGAATCTTACACATGTTCATATCTTTAGTCAATGTGTAATTTAAACTGTCAACTCACATCAAAAAAGGCTCCTTTTATCGAACCTTTAGGTGCACCTAAAACAAATGGACAAACATTAACATAAAGAGTTAGTGCCCAGCTCAAAAATATACCAGTTTTCCCGTTTGAGTGTCACGACATTCAGAATAATTATTAAGCAACCCAAAAAGAAACCACTGTCAATAGCGCAAACGCAAAAGATCTATTAGTCAGAAATGTAATAAACAAGAATATAACAAAGCTCGCCAAAAGAAAAGAAACTTGTTTAATTTTCTGAGATTAGGAACACACGCAGCTCTGAAACGCACGCGGAAAAACGTTTGGCACATGCTAATAAACACTTTTAAGAGTGGAACGAGCTCTCTGGACTTAATAAGACGGCAAAATCGTGATAAGCGCGTGTGCCTTGTATAAGGGACTGGTAGAATTTTGATTGGACTCAAGTGGAGAGATTTTTAACCCCAACTAAAGAGCGAGAACGTGGAACCGGTGTAAAAGTGTCGAGCGTGACGAGCCTACGTAGCCTTGTAATTCTGTAGCCAGTGTCACACGCGCGAAAACGTAAACCATGTGTTAAGCGCGGGAAAAACCTTATTCGGGCCAGTGTCAAGCGCAGAAACCCCTGTAGCCAGTGTCAAATGCGCGAAAACGCGAATTCGATGCTGAGCGCAGAAAGGAACCTAAATGTGAGCAAAGTATTGTAGGTTAGGGCTTTGGTTCGGCTGTTCAGCAAAAAGAAGGCGACTGTGTATGAAACGGTTAATAATACATCCCCTCTTACCTGGAGGTATGTTGCTAAGACACTGCACTGCTATCATTTCCCCGAGGTCGACGAAGCCTTGTAAATGGTCGTCGTGTTCTTCATCATAGTACCGAAGCTAAGAGTGACAATAGAACAGTTATCTGATGAGAGATGTCATTGATCTTGCATTGATCTTCTTGAAAATTTAACTCCAGACCTTGGGATTTCACGCTCTGGTGCTCAAAATTTACAATCTTTCTTACTCACACGAAGCTTTCAACATTGCTGATCCCTGCAAAGTACAGACGAACCCAATAGTGACCTAGCTCATCATTCGGGTTCTCTGCTGCAAGGATTTTTTTTTTGTCCCAAGCTCGAGACAAAACAAATATCATCTCTATTTAATCGCATTTTGCTCAGTCAAGTCAACTCAATTTAGATCTAGAGCAACTTTTAAACATGCTACTATTCGATAGCTCTCAATAATTAATGACAAATGGTCGAATGAAGGAAACGAAAAATACCTGATTTCTCTGAGTGTCCAGAACAAACCATCTGGACTTCCACTGCCGTAAAAGGTGGCCTCTCTTAAACAGGTATCCACAGTGAAGCTTCTTAGGGTGCGCAGCATCAGTCTGGGTTGAACAAACGGTCAATAATGTAAATTCCAAGAATGGTGTGATATTCTCCCTTCTAGTTAGTAAACATTTCTTTTAGATTAGTTCAGAGAATTTCCTGTTACATCAGGGTAACAACCCTCATCTGATACGTTGGTGTATTCTTATAACCTAGAGGTAAAATATTCATCACTCCAGAGGGTTGTTAACACTGTAAAAACACTCGGGATGAATAATGAACGACAACAACAACAACAACAACAATAATAATAATAATAAGTAATAATAATTATAATAATAATAACAATAATAACACCAACAATAATGAAAAAGACAACATTAATAGGAATTCTAAGTACAAGTATATAACGACAAGTGTTTAAATGCAACCGACAGCGACTGCTGACCTCACTAGGCAGGCTCATGGTACTCTTAGTCATTCCAGACCCAGGCTGCTCGAGAAGGTCTCGTTTCTTACACTGCCAAGGGACCTGCGGTTGGCACCGTTCATGGCAGTTGTAACCACATTCTGTACACTTCATTCCTGTAAATGTGAAAATAACTCTTGAGTTTCATACAAAATGAGATGGTGGTTATCAACACCCATGACACTGTGACTGAGTGGTTACCGCGTTGGAAGCGAGATCGAGAGGTCTGGGTTCTAGCCCTTCTTGGGGTCATTGGGGTGTGTTGTTGTGTATTGCTGGGCAATGACCTTTCAACACTATCAAGTAAATAGTTTGAATCCTGAAATAACAGTGGACTGTCTTCTGAATACTGACTTCCGGTTGTCAAAATCCTTTAGTTGTCTACGCTCACGCGGACGCTCAGGCCACAACATTAACACTTAACCATGGCAACACCTCTCTCCACTTAGTGGTATAAACAGGTAACAATAAACTGTTTGAGAGACTTAACGAAATTCTGGTGGGGTTATCTACGATGAACCAGCATAGAGAACCACTAGCACCCCTAGGGTCCTCACACTCCTGGTAACAAAGTTCGTTAAAGCTAACTTAACCTAAACAGGGTAAGAAATCTTCGAACACGGGACAACATCCTGGAAGAGCGGCGGAACTCTCACCTTTGTTTAAAATACCAATGATCAACTGTAGACAATGATCGCAATTTGACGGAGGAACAAACAGATGGGTCTCAAAGTTGTGCGGCTGTGAGAAGCCCTGAGCTCCACGTTCTTCCACTTGGAGCTTACCCTAAAACATGAGATAAGACTACTATCACTTCTATCAGCCAAAGTTTTCCATGAAGTATTTCTGTGCACACCGATAAACTTTTCGGGCTCATCATTTGTAATCCGTAATACTATTTTCTCTCCCAAATCATTCTCACTCCTCGTTAGTTTTTTATTTCCTCTTTGGTGCCTTTCTATCTCGTCAAACCAATATTTTGCGGCTCTCTTCAAATCGAGGCAACTTTTGGGGAACGCAGAAAGGAAGAAAAGTATGGAGCTTTCAATCTCAAGGGAAGTTGTAATACCTTAAGAATTACTTCCATGGTACTTCTCTTGTGAAGGTTCAGTCTCTGATGATTGAACCATCTTCCATTATAGGACAAAACCTATAAGAACAAAAAAAGCAACTTGATCATTCCAAAAAGTTACTCGGAATACAATAAATTTACGACTTCTGTATATAAACTTGAAATGTTGTAAGCGCGGCGATCTGCTGTTTTGTTATCTTATTTCGTGTCTATGAATGATTGTTCTCAGTCTAATTTTTGCGCACCTTAACTTCACGTTATGTCAGTGGACCTTTCGCTACGTTTTGTCGAATTAGTCTACATTACGTTTCGTTAGTAAACGTTACGTTAAGTTGCGTAACGCACCTTTCTCTTCATGGCAGGGTAAGACAGCTTGTGCCAGTGTTGTTCCCATTTCTTAGGTTTCTGATCAGCTTCCTCCTCCAATCTATACAGCTCTTGAAGCAGCCACGAGCACTCGTCTAGTGCAAACTGAGTGACATCACCATAGCAACCAGTCGTACAGCTTCCATAGGTCTCCTGGTCACAAATGAAACAAAGTTATAATTAGTGTAATTTGGTATTGCCAACTGAGTTGAAAACGTAAATTAGCCACCGTAAAGAGTTTAAAGGCTGACGTTTGGAGCGTTAACCCTTCGTCAGAGCGATGGTTGTATTACCTCCTTGATAAATTATCTCACCTATTTGCAGTCAACTTACATATTCGTGAACTATTGCAGGTGCCACATACGAGATTCATCCAGCCTAACATTGTCATTCTTTGTTAATCTCTTCCATCCTTCTTGGTTTATCACTACATATTTTGTGATTTTCTGTTTACTAGACTAGTATTATCATATGACCCGTACGGCAACGCGCACTTTTATTGAAATACATTAAGCAAAAATCCTCTCATGAGGACCGTACGCGATGACGTGAGCAGGGCCGCACAGAGCCATATGGCCCAGCAACAAGCTAAAAGAAGAAAGGATCAAAGAGAAAGAACGACGGCCTTGTGATAAAATGCTTATTGACTAACTTAGATTGGGCCAGACGGGAAAATATTTGGCTCTGGGTCGTGATGCATTGAACTCGCTGCGCTCGGTCCGTATGTCCTGACCTCAAGCCAAATGATTTTCCTGTCCAGCCCTCTCAGTCATTAAGTAATTAAGTGATTAATTGATTGATCAATCACTCGATTGTAGTTCATTTACAAGCTTCATATAAACTTATAATAGCTTTTTTTCCCATACCTGTTTTCCATCAGGGCTTCCTTCATTTTCTACCGTGGTTGTCACATCATTTATCAGCTCCAAGTCATAAGTTGGGCCGGTGGACAGGTTCTCTGTTGTATAATACTTCCACACCTTCAGATTGGGTACTTTACAGAATGGTCTCAACACCTGCAAGAAAATTGTAACATCTTTTAGTTCAGTTTTGGTGTAGAACTACCGGTGCATTTAAAACAACCTTCATTCAATTTGTTACTATGCGCTCTGTGATTGGTCGATATAACTTGCCCCACCTCAACCTCAACCAATCAGATGCAAAACTAAAAACCAACCGCGACTTGTTCCCTTGCAATTTCTCGAACTAGAGGACATTTACACATATCTACAAAGTGTTCTCATTGGGTCCTTGTGATGCTTTTCCCTGTTCTGACCGGTTGTTGCAGATACTTCGGCTTCACTTTAAGGGCACAATCATGAAGTGCCCTAAAAAGACAGAATAATCGAATTTATTCGCAGTATGATTAAGTTGATTGTCCCAAGTGTATCAAAGGACAATTCCCCAGTAAAGAAAATGAATCTCGGTCAATGCCTCATGACCAAAGCTTTCTAACGGCCTCTTTTTCATCATCATGATGTTCACGTAAAAAAAAAACAACCTCCATAGCTTCAAGTGTAACAACAATCTTCAAGGAAACTTCCTTAGACATGGTGACAAGACGAAAAACATCTTTCTCTGTTTCTTTATCGAACTCAATACTTACCATCTCTCTTACTTCTATCTACAAACATGACGCTATCGACATTGCTGATCCTAGCAGTATGCAGGCCGCCTGTCAGCTCAGTGGTAGAGCATCGGAGCGCGGAATCCGAAGGTCTGAGGCTTGATTCCTCATGGGGACTCAGAACGTTTTCTTTGTCCCACGCTCGTGACAAGACGAAAACATCTTTCTCTACTTCCTTAGACATGTCAAAATCTTGACCTCAGCTAGAAATCCACAACGTGTGGATTCGCCACGACACGTGGAATCTTGGATCAGTATCAGTATCTGAACAACTGCGCACAGACCACTCCCCTAACACAACATTAACCCTAACTTGTTATCAATTGACTGTTGACGGGTTAGGGGAAGGGTGTCTGAGCAGTTGCTTAGATGCTTAGATAGCGACATTGATTTAAAGTTTTAAAGACTCATTTTCGTTAATAAAAAATATTGTTCCCAAAACGCTATTTCACTCTGATGTTCATATTTTGTTGAGAATTCTGTTGTTTGTTTCTGTATATTCATGATATTGTCTATCTATACCTTGGTCTGGTTTGGCGAGTACAAGAAGTTGTTATAGAGAGGTGACTTGGTCTTTTGAACATCCATGTAATCCCAAAGTGATTTCCCTCTTGGTTTGTGATCCTCCTCTGCCATCCAACCAGACTCGGAACGTTCATGTTCAGAATCCAAAAGAAAAGTGCGAAACCTCATCGAGGCATGATGGTAAGCGATAGTACACAGAAAATGATCGTTGAATTCAAAGGACAAAGGAAACTGAAGCATTATCTAAAAGGGTAAAAAGGCATTTTTATGCAAATGAGGTGACAGTGGAAGAGTGACTGAAAAGAGTGACTGAAGAGCACTCAACAACAGGGTGAAGCACACACATAGCCGAGAAAAGTCTCATTTTTAGCAGCTTACCACTGAATTCCTTCCTTCCCGACTCTTACAATGGACAAAGTTTTACACAACAGCAATTATAAATAGAGTATTGAAAGTAATCCGAGATTGCTTTTGTTTTTCTCGACTTCACTGTGTGATTGGTTCAGAAAACTCACGCCATCCTCACAACCAAACAGATTCAAAACTAAACCCAAACGCGAGCTGGTCACCCGCGTTTTCCCGCCCTTCAAGTAGTTTCCTTGTTACATGCGGTAATTTCCTCACATCTGATTGGCTGTAGTGATTACTTGCGTGTGGTTTCACGACATTCGATCGAAATGGGCTCTATATCCAAGGTCTAACCTAGTAATACCAATATCTCGTAAAATACCTGATGCACACAATCCAAGAACTGAAGAAAGATGGGAGTAAATCCTCCCTGGGTTGAAGCGATATGATTTCCACGGTGGGTGAACCTGTGTCCAAAGGAAAGCCATTCCTTTTCAATTAAAAGTTTGAAACCATCGATGGTTCGATAGTGAGGATCGAGCATAAGCTCTGCTAAAGACAACACCTGCGTGAAGAAAAAAAATTAATAATAAATAAATCTGCTCTTTGAACCGCGCTGTGATTGATCACGAGTTTCATCTTATCCTCTCAGATGCAAAAAATTATCAGATGCAAAAAATTACAATCAATCTCGACCTCGTCAATTGCGTTTTCCCACGCTTGAAGCCGGCTTCTTTGAATTCTAATTGGTTCCCTTAGAAATTGTCCTTCGCTTTGATCGACCGTTGTAAATACTTTGGTTTTCGTTTCACAACCCTTAACTGATATGCTTTCCAGCAAACAGTAAAAGACAACAGAGACCATAAGTAAACCACGACTACGACGGCAATAAGACTCCAGAGAAACAAGAGCTTTAATGAAGAAGAAGAAGAGCTCATTATTTGCACTTTCAAGACTTGTTTCTTTCCCAGCCACCCTTTGCAAAGCAGGAACGTGAAAGCCCCAAGTTTGAGAACACCGCCGGAAAACTACTCGCGTAAGTCTTTGGGACGAAACACTGCCTATCTATTTCACTTTCGAGATGAACTCTAACGCTGTTAAACAAAGGTAAAAAGATGCAGCCATTTCGGAAATTCTTATGGAAAATGTAAATTCATTTTTTTGAATCAAAGTTTTCTCAGCATCCCCATCCTGCTGCCTAAGGTCCCTAACACCATGTGATTATGCCATTACCTGCGGAGTAGCATCCCAGCCATCTTCAAAGCAAACTAGGACAGACGATCCTTGGATATCAATGAGATCAACAAAACAGTTGGCCACCGTCATGATGGCTGACAGCTGCAAATGGAAATCAAAGGGATAATGGTTTATGAATCCGACTGGTGTTGAGACTGTTACAGTGCCAAGAATCAAAAAGGAACTACTGCGCATATATTTTGTGCTGTTGCTCCCAAGCGACAAAATGGAGCTTCATTATCATTTCAAACTCCACGTTCTTGTACGATATATAACCAACAAGTTCGGTTTAAAATCCTAAAGTAGGTTGCGAGGAATGTGCTTTACAAGGTTTACGGCTTTTGGATCGAAGCCGAGAGCGCCACGATTTCGAACAAAAAATACAGGGAGTTCAGACTCGTGTGCTAAATCTAACGGCTCTTGATTTCATTGAAAACCAAGGGATATCGGATCTATTTTCCCCTCTCTCACCTCGATTATTTTTTTCGAGTTCATTGATTCAACATACCTGTTGGAGCCATTCAGAGTCTTCGACCTGCCGAATGAAGCTTGAGTTTGTTTCTGTACTCGGACAAGTCGCACGCTGAAACTTCTTGAAACTTGCTCTAACTGCTCTGATGTCTGGGAGCTGACGATAGAGATACAAATATGGATGGACGTTAATGAGAGAAAAGTTCGTCATCTGGACTACAGAACATAGAATACATAAACCGCAAATTATCTAAAATTCAGACAAAATCGCATCCCATGTCTTACCTCAATCGGTACAAAGTCACACTTAGGATAAGCCTCTTGTTTGACATGCTAAAGGGAAACAAAACGAAATTGGTAAATGCAGTACCTTCCTCACAGGATCTTTGTTGATCCTGTTCACTTCGTTAAATTAGGGGTATTCAACAGCAATTTGCAAGTGTCCGAACTAATCCATTACTGCTTTCGTTTTCGCTTTCGCCATCCTCTCCACCAATCAGATTCAAGACTAACACCAACCGCGTCCTGGTCACTCGCATTTTCCCGCGCTTCAAGTGGCAAGCTTGTTTTATACTTCGAGGGCAAGTACACCGTTATGTAACAAAAGAAGATCAGTTCTTAACGTTCTGAGTGATACTTTCACAAAAAGTGACTATTTCAACTTGCAGCCGGTATTGAAAACTTTTCAAGTTTGTTCGAATGTTAAAAACTTTATTTTCGTTGAGTTTCGCTCTTTTTGCTTCGTATGTTTCACGTCGTGTTCTCTAGAGTTTTACGAAGTTGCTGTGGTAATGTCTTGGTTTAACCTATGGTGTACAACCTATCCAGCCACTACACCCATCGAATAAGTCACTTATACCCTATCAATATAAACACATACCCTTAACAATGTCTTGTCACCAAAGACGTAGAGAGCTGCCGGTTCCCAGCCTTTCTTCATTATGGTTCTGTCCACAAGTTGACCTGAATCAACTTCATCTGCAAAGTAACCATCCTTGAGGAGAACGCCATGGTGTAGAGAGTTCGCGCGTGACATGTTCTTGTTTTTACTTTGAGGTGTCGCTGCCACTAAAATGTCAATGAACACAGTCAAATTAATTAACGTCAGAGATACCGCGTCTGACAACAGGCCTTAGGGGCATTATGAGGGTTATCATATTTCCTTACCATCACAAACTGTGAGTTTTCGTAACAGAGGAAGAGGGTGATAAGCACCCAAAGATACATTCCCTCCCCTCCCCTCCTTCCCCCACCATTTAGGCACGCTCTAGAACATTCCACTTTGCTCTCCAACGACAATACTTTCGCGTACTCCGCACAATATACGCTCGACAGAAAACTTAACAGCGACGACCACGAAGTGGCTGCCTTAGCATTACCACGAGTAAGTTGTCACTTAAAATCATGTTCGTCTCCTCCGTTCTCTTAGTAACGCAATGGCGATTCAAATTATAACCGAAAGTAACCGCTTATCAAATGATACAGTACTTAATAATTAACAGGAGCGCCCCAAACGAAACTGAAAAGTCAAAAATAATAAGTAGAGACCGACTGTCATTGAAGCAGCGACATATAAATCAACACGAAATGAGTAAATATGTAACGAAATTGTAACGTTACTTTAAGTGTTAAAGTGTCACGCAAATATCAGGGCTCCTTCATGACATTGTCTTTAACTACTCACCAACGGCACTAAAATACTTCTCTTGTTCAGCTGAGGCAGATGAAGAGATGGCGTGACTAGCTACACCTCCCTGCCCTACATTTTTGGTCTGACGCATGATTGATCCAATTGTACTCCTTTCAATACCACCAGCTCTAAGCAGTGTGGCTTTGTTCCGCTGGTGTCTCCACACTGCAACAGGAAACCTGCCCTGGCGGTGGTTTTTGGCTATTCTGAGAATGCTATCGTCTGATATGCTTTGTGGAACTACAACCACTGATGGGTAACTGTGGAGAAAAACAGGTGTAATAAGAACAGACTGACACGGCGCAGTTTCAGGATCCCGAACCCAGATTAAACCAAATCACTGTCACAATCAGGCGCCTGAACATAAAATCCGCCCCGTCATAACGAACAAATGAACCAAACCGGTTTTCTGCAGTGAAATGTGAAACAAATCAACAAAGATGAAACTTTCCATTACCTTCTTTTCCTCGAGAAAAGACTGTAATTGTTCAAAAATCAACCAAGTTCCCATTGTACCCCAAGACACTATTTTTGCCCTCGTGCTTACTCTCTTTCCTGTCATATGACAAGGGATGGGTCGGGGAGAGGGAGAGGGAGTGATAACCTGCGATGGATTGGTCTTCTATCTGGGGCGAAATAGAGAATAAAACTCGCTTGTTTCATGCTAAAGAAACCGGGAAAAGCTCCGGCAACGATGAAAGCTAGTCAAGCACGCAGACTCTTCTCTTACTTTCACCCTAACAAACAAGACTTCATCCTCACCTTCTACACGCAGTATATGTGACATTGACCATGCAAATCCGCCAAGGTCCGTCTGCAGAGTCTTTGGCAATATTGCCAAGTTTAAGACGCGAGTAGTCACCGCAGTAGGACAACTTACTGAGCCGTTCAGCCCCATGAACGACAATAGGTTCGCTTTTGAGGGAAATGTCATTTACATCGACCGCAGAATCATCATCATCCGTGGTGAGGGATCCACTTGGTGATCTGTGGTCCAGACTCTGTGGATCTGACGTATTGTGCCGGTGGCGTTTTTTTCGGAGAGATTCCCGAATCTGAGCGATGCTACCTGCCTTGTTCCGTGACGCATTTGCGAGTTTCTTCTTGGATTTTCGAAGAGTTCCTTGTCTCTCCATGTGTTTTTCAATGACAAACGTCGGCGTCCTTGGAACGCCTTTGCCGCAGAAGGCAAATGTACCGAAAACCGTAGTAGGTGAACGTCTCCTTTGCAATGTCTTTCGAAATGTCTCAATGTTTTCCGGTTGAACCTCCTCGTCAAAAACCAATTTCATCATCTGTTGGGTGAAGAAAATGAAAAAGGGATAATTTTCATGCAAATGCAGAAGAACCTCAGGTATAGTGAAAATCAAGCAAATGTTTGGCACTATTATCAATTCTGGTAGGTCAGTGTTAAATGCTAAGTGCATTTGCAATGAACTATTTGCTGTTCGCTCAAGAGGTTGGTTTGTCTCTTGCCGCTAAAAATTTTGCTTGTAAGTTTCAGAACCTGTTTTACAGGTTATGTTGCTATGGTTATCTTCTGCTTGCCTACAAAGGACTGTTCACATATACGACACAAAAATTTAATCATTCAGTTTGCGGAGAATCTCAAGGATTCCAATGTCAGTTCAGACCAATTATCAGAACCATTACTTTTCATTCTGTGTTGCTGGATTTTTGCTAAAATTAGGTTAAATATTCTGTGAGGGCTTTAAACCAAAGCTCGCCACGACTAGCTACAGCTAACAACGAGTAGTATCTATCTTATTTTGTATTTCAAACTTGTCAACTTGAAATAACCTGGTTGTTGAAATTACTTTATAAACTGCAGGAATGCAAATCAAGGCAAAAAAGGTATTGAATCAATAGTAACCTGAAAAGTACTAGATCTGAGCTGAATACACTCGTGCAGCCACTGTTCCAAGTGCTGTAAATACTGCACTCCAATCCTCTTCTCCTTGACAAGTGATCCCACAGGAAAACTTCTAGTCACAATCATCTCAGATGCTGAAAAACGAAAAAGGTAACTCCATTCACCATTCACCATTCACACCACTCGGAAGTAACTATACGATAACAGAAAAAATGAAGCATAACAGCACCATCTGAATTTGGGTAGATGGCACTGGCCGGTTTATCGATAATTCATGTTCTGTAATTCTTAATTGTTCACTAGGGGATTTTCGAGGCATAACTAAAGCTTACGACACACCCAATAATTTTGCGCGCGATTTTATGGGCTACTCTCAATCATCGCACAGTTATCAAGCGATAATCCCCATCTACATCAGTATGTCCTCCGATTATTTCCGTCGAAAAGAAACAAAGCCCGCTCAAGAGTTTCATCCTTCATCTCTATTAATATACACGGAAGGAAACCGAACTCGTTTTGTAGATTTCAGTGACGGTGATATTAAAAAGCTGGTCGCATATAGGCATCCGCAATCACATCAACACTTCTTTTTTTTACGAGCGATTTTTGAAAACTTACAGGAGGATTATGAAATAGTTAAAACCCCTTTCTGGCTTGTGGTATGTCAGCTGATAATGTCCTTGGCTAGGAGATTGTCCTCAAAATTTAACATTTAACATCGCTTCTCGGTCAAATATTCATTTTTCGGACAAATTACCAGCCACGGACATTATCAGCCGACATACCAGCCGCCCAAAGGGGTTTGTTTACTCAATATCGCTTTGTTCCTTAAAGTAAATGGGATATAAAAAGTGAACGTCAAGTAAGTTTTACAGCCTAACCTCTCAAAAGCTTATAACCTAGGAATGTCACAAGATTTTCATCTATTAAAAGTACTTACTAATGATAAGAGAAAAATGTAAGGGTTTTATGTTGAAGGCAACAAAACCACATGCTCCTTTGTGGAAGTTATCGTCAGTAAAGGTTGAGCGGTCTCTTTTAAATAATTAAAAAATCAAAAGCACAAAAAAATTGCCGGAAGAAACTTACCAAATGGATCTACTGGCGTCCCTTTGAAAATCACTCTGTAGTTTGTCAGAAATACTGCTCCTTCAGCGGGCAACAGACGTGCCCCACCCTGATCGTCTCCTCCCTTGCCAAGCTCCCTCCCGTCAGGTATGAGGTAAGCACGGAGTCCGTCGCTCATCATATCCTCCCCCACCAGCAGGGCGGGTCTCATGATCTTGGCCTGCGGTGAGTGACAAACAGGGGACAGTCACAGCAAGTTGGAATGGGTGTCAGCAACTGTGACTGCGACACCCACTCAGATTTCCTGACCAATAAAATTAATGAAAAACTGTCACCCCAAAAAAATTTTGGCTTCTTGGACTCTTTTGGTCAATAAAATCCCCCACCTTCCCGAAATCAGCCGATTTTTTTAGTATAAAATTTCGTTCAGGAATGAGCGTTTTTTTGTTTTTATATCAAATAGAATCTTCCCTCATCAAAGCCACGAACAACCAATCTAAATACTCAGAGTTGTCATATATTTCAAGTACTAAGTACCAACCTTTTGAATTGGAGCCAAGTTCTTGTATTCACGATAAACTGGCTCCAATGACTCTATGTGCATCGCAACTACTCCTGTTTCCCATCAAAGCAAAAAACAAAACAACAAGAAAAAAAAATTAAGAAGGTAAAAAAAACCGTGCCGTCTGTATTCTAAAGCTACAATACAGCCATGTTTATGCACATCAAACCAACATAACAAAGAAACTTTCTGTTTGCATCTGGAAATACAAAATACATGGCAAGTCAAATTTCAACACAGGTTGAAGAAATAACGAGTTCATGTAAGGGTCTGGCTGTGTTAAAATTGTTAGATTTTCCACTCTTCTTGTCCACCGCCTAATAACACTGACCTGGTATCATGGTGTAAAGAGACTTAAGATGCTCTTGACTAATTCCAGCCTCTGTGCCAACACGATCCACAAACCGACTGACAAATCTTGTCACTTGGTCAGCAATAGTTCCACCATCCTCATCATCCATATAGATATCACATCCACCACTGTCTGTGATACAACTGCCAACTTCACTACTCCCTAAAAAAAATTAAGTATGAAATGAATGTATAAATTTTATTCCACTGTTTCTTGTTCCTTACTCTGTATAACAGGCCTGTGTGGAAAATTTATTAACCCTTTCTCGAATGCAAGGCTATTCTTCCACCAGGGTCACAAATTAACTCTGGGCAGGATGCCCAAGACAAGGAGAAATTTCTTGTGGTTAAAAACCCAAAAAATTAAGAGTCGAAAGATAGAAATGGTAAAGTGAAAACACTGAGAGACGTTTGCACATGGAGCAAGCTGGACTTCCAATTTGGTTCAGACTTCCTGTGCATAGTGATATTTTTTGACATTTTTTATTTCAGCAACCTAATGACAACTTCCCTTAACTCCCTCAGTATCCATCCCTGGCATACATCTTTATTCTTGGACACTTTCGTGCCTGTCACATGCAGGCATCGAGGAATTCAAACAAACAGTTTCACTCTGCAACCCCAAAGAGTGACTAGCACCTAGTTTCTCCTTACAGTATCACCCCTAAATCAAACATTGAGGTCAACAGAACAAAAGACATGCTTCCCACATATGAACCCTTTGATTATTGAATGAATTCTCCTGATCAGTAACATAAGGAGTGTATAGAGAAAAAGGTCAAGAGTAAAAAGGGTCAAATCAAGAATGCTTAACTACAGTATGACACCTACCTCCTGCCACACCATTGGCAATGCTCCCAGCATAGGTGCCACTGACAGACCCCTCCCCATCTATTTGTGTACCTGACAGCAGAGACAGAAAAAAAAAATACACACCGTAAATGCAATATGTTATATATTTTTCATGACAGTAGAAACCTCAGTGGACTCATTCCCTAACCAGTTTCAGCTTTGTGGTTGGATGTGCTACTAATCATGCCACAGAGGACTCATGGAAAGCTGCAGTGTAGGCCACATAACAAGCTCACATATGACAAGCATACCCAGCGAACACGCCATCATTATCAGCTCTTTGGCACAGGCATTTCTTTTCCCAAAGAAACACAAAGTTCATGTCTTGACAGGACAGGAAACTCTGAGGCCTTGAGCGACGCAAGTTGGCAAGAGGGCTGCAAAGGGTCTCACATTACTGGTGCCCGCCCCCCCCCACAAACCTCTCCCCAACTCATTTTGACTCACCCTGCCAGCGAAGAAAAGCGCATCCTACAGAGTCAATTATAATAAGGGTCTGATCGTATGCTAGCATCCTGGGATTACTGACATCAAAAACATCCTGTGTGAAGATGACCTCTCATTCCCAGAGGTGACCAATAAAGGATTCCACATAACAAAATTGATTTCCAATTTGATTTCTTTGATTTAGCACCAAATTCAATTGAGATAGTTTGTTTGCAGGCATGTGATTGCTTCACTTCTCATAATGTTACTGACAGACATGAAAAACACCTTCTCCCCCCTCACATGTCCCTGTCCCTGTATTTTGGATACCAAATTAGGGTACTCCCCCCGCCTTCCAAAAAAACAGACATGTTAAATTTGTCATGACACAAGGACAAAAATCATTTAACTATTCCTTTCATTCACAATGTCCTCCAATCTGATTTACCTGCAGCAGGAGGAGGTCGTGGCATCTTCTCACTAGCATCCAGGGGAATCCTCATGTACACCATTCGATTGGCATAGTGGATGGCTTGACTGTATACAATGCCTTCCTCACTTGTTATCAGAGAATCTTTCTCATCCTTACTGTAGTGGGGCCATTTCTTAAGCTACAATAACCACCACAAAACATATTCATTTAAATCCTTTAGAAGGATACTGATTTTTTTCCAATCTTGGCTTTTTGAAAACCCAAATACATGTAATTCAAACTTAAAAAGTGTGATGTTCTACCCCATATGATCACCAGAGTGACTGGATGGCATTTGATGGCAAAAATTTCACACTCCTAGTTAACCCATTAGCTCCCACAAGTGACCAAAACAGAATTTCTCCTCACAATATCAATAGAATGTCTGACAAACTAGTGATGAGAATAAAGAAAAATGTCACTAAAGGGATTGTTAGTTGATCCAATACCCAAATTCTTGAGCTAACATCAAAGGAATTGTAAGGAGAATTAAAGGTGAGGCATCAGGAGTGAAAGAGTTAACAGCTGTTCGCTGAAAAAATTCACCCTTTTCCCCTTTTGGATGTGATTGAGTCTTTTTACAACAGAGAATTTATTATAACCAAATGTGACATGTGCAGTGATGATAAAGGCAAAGCACAAACCTGCTTGGCAGCAATACTCAGTGCACTTGGGACTGGTTTCTGCTCTTCTCGAGAGGACTGGTCTATGTCGATTGAACTCCCTGAATCCTTGGGTGTGGAAGAAAGGTTATCTCTACTCCTTGTGAAACTGCGATGTTTTGCTGAAGGTGTCAAGCTGCTCCTTGAGATACGCTGTTCCTTTCTTTCCAATGTCTCTTCAGCATTGGCTTTTGGAGCTTCTTCATCTACATAGAGTTGTTTGATCTGAGACTCAACATCAGAGTAAAAGGCTTCCTCCCAAAATTGTTGTCTTTCCCAAACTGGATGCTCTTGGACACAAGTGTAAGCAAACTGGATCACACCAGCATTTAGTTTCTGATAATCACAATATAAACAGAGTTAAGTGAAGGGAACCTCCCAAAACTGTTTTCAAGAAAAACACAATTTTGGATTAATAAGACTGCAAAAAAACAAAAACAACAAAGAAAATTCACTCACTCGGTAGAATGTAGCTGTAAGGGGTAAAAGAGCTGCAGCTACAGATGTGTTACTCATACTTGCATCATCCTAAAAAAAAAAAAAAAAAAAAAAAACATATTTTCTTGCCTTTCACACAATATGAACATTACAATTCTTTTTCTCTTTTTTCTTTGTAAATAAAGTTCTCAATTTAAAAAAAAAGCATCACAGAAGGGTGGTAATTCATCACAGCTACAACTTGGTGCTTCTTATAGATACAAACATTACAGTTTTTTTTTTTTCGTTTGTAAATCAAGTTAACCATCAATTTTAATAAAAGGAATCACAGAAGGGTGTCAATTCATCACCGCTACAACTCAGTGCTATAATAAAGTTAGGCATGCAAAGCCTATAGAGGGAACAAGGTCCACCATAATGTTCTGCTCAAGCATGAAATAAAGAGGACTTAGTTATCCCTAAAGAGAGGATTCCTACATGGATGCTTTACCATACAATACATTGCCTCTAGTGGTTAAATCAATCATTATTCATGGAGCAATTGGTTATGAAGAAAAAAACAAAAAAAGAGGAGATCAGTGAGGATGACAAGATCTTTACTATAAGCGCAACTATGACAGCTTATCAGTCAGCAAAACTCTTCAACCCAAGCCAGCCTCCAAGCTTTTGAAAACAGGTTTACCACCATCTTTATTTAACCCAGATATACACATTAATTGGAAAAAAAGAATGTCGTCTGTAATATCTTTTGTTCCTTAAACTCCAAACAGGCAAGAATCAAGACAATTTATCCACCAGGCCCCGGTTGTTCAAAGGTTATTAAATAGCAATATCCCCTGGAAAGATCTTTATCTGGGCTCAGCAGAATTGCAACAGCACTGAATGGAAGTTCCTGGGTAAGTGGATGTGAAATTTAAGTAACACCTGCCCATTTGGAGTTTTTGTTCATAACAACAGTCTGAAGAACAAACCTGTAATGCACTGTTCATAAGTCTCACAACCAGATCAAACTGATCATGTTCCAGAAGTGATCTGTTTTGTCTAGCCCTGAGGGACAATTCATGGCACAGAGCTAATTGGGCTCCTTTGGACTTCAGACCTCTGACCACGGAGGGAAGTGACTGTTTGGAAAAAAAGGTAAATGTGAATGTTTTGACTAATGTCAAGTTAACATTTAAACGTCTTCACACTGTTCAAACATTGTGAGCAAAGACAGCATATCCAATTACAATGGAATCCTGATTCTTCCAAGTTTCCAGAAAAAATGAAATTTTTCAATTTTAAGGGAGGTCCATGAATTCAGGGATAAAAGTGTTTGGTAGAGAAAGGAAGCTAGTTTTGGTTCTCAAGAAACTAAGGGTGTGGGAAGTTGGGATTCTACTGCATTAGACCAAAATGATCTGGGAAAATGTTTTTCAAGTGCAATAAGGCCAAAGATGTTTAGAATGTGTTGATACATCTGGTGGAGAATCACTGCTTCTACTGTTTCTACTTCAATGAAAGAGCTCCACACTGTAAAGAAGCTGTTTGAAAACTTGAGTTTCAAATTTGTTTAAAATCTTTAAAATAGCAAATGAGAAAATGATGATAAGTTAGAGATCTGTACAAAAATCTTTGAGAGAGTGAAAAGCTAGATTTAGAAACTGCAGGGAAGAAACTACTCTAGTAACCGTGAACAAAGATCTGAAGTTTGACATTGAGACAGGACAAAGATTAACATCTGTGAGAAATATACAGTATCCAGCTGCTGCATACAGCCAGCAGAAGAAGAACAAAATACAAAAGGTTTACCTTTCTAGCCTCAGAAATCTGGTTGTCAAAGATGTATGCAACACAATCCTTCAACACTTCAAGCTTTCGACTCGGAATATAATGCTGTTGCCTACTTGACGTAGGATTTGAAGGCACGACACAAGGCTCCACACTTTTTGCTGTGTAATCCAAAGAAAGATTTTCCTGTTGATTCAAGTGCCGGCTTATGGCATCTCCATTAAGCTCTGGAAAAACCTTCGGGCTGCACCTCTCTATTGCCTCTACAGGAATAGGTGGTAGAATATTGTTCTCAGCAGATTCACAAGAAGGTTCCTGTTAAAAAAAAAAATTCAATTAAAACTTTCATTTTCATCATTATCATCATCATCATCATCATCATTGCTTGCTGCACCAGTAGGTGCATAAGGCTGTCACATTGTCCACCCAACCCCCCTGTCAGGTGCTGCCACCTTGGCCAAATTTCAGCTCTTCCACCCCAACTTGCCTCTCTCTCTTACAACAGTCCTTCTGCAAGTGGCCTTTGGTCTCCCTCTTGCCCTTCAACTTTCTGGTGTCCACCCCAATGCCATAAAAAAGTAATATTTCCAGTAAGTGTTAAATTGACACATCATTTTCTTTGAGAACCAAACTTGACCTGCACAGTCAATTCAGAAAGATCTTCCCTGGCAATCTGTTCATCCCTACTTGAAGTCATGGTTTTAAATCATTGTCTATTAACCTTTCAACCCCTAACAGTCACTAGCATAATTTCTCCTTACAAAACCTTCCCAGGAAAAAATGTAAAATTCAAAAGAACAAAGGAAATGATCACAATTTAAGATGTTGGGGTGTAAAGGGCTGGCCACTTGATTGATGTGATGTATATTTCATTGTATCTTTTAATAAATATCACAGTCAGACTCCAAAAACAATGAGAAAAATAGTAATGTATCTTTGATTGTTTATTTTAATAAATATCTTAGTGAGACTTCAGTCAACTGTGCACTGACCAATCAAAATAATGTTCAGGACATAAAAAACCACAAAACCACTAACCAATCACCTTTATTTTTGGTGTTATTGGCTTTTTCCTTAGAACAGAAATCATCATCTCTATTATTTATTGTTACAATTGTAAATCAAAACTATAGAAAAATTATTGAACGTGATCGGTTACCACCAGCCCAATTTGAGCACTTATAGGACAGTCTATGGGTCATACTCATTATTGGACAGTGTAATAAGACAGTTGACAGGTCATGCCTGTGTAACTGTATAGTATGTGTCATGTGCATGTGCTGTAATTGTGCATTTTGCAAGTTTACTATTGCCTTTTTAAGAAAATGTATAACTGAAGTCCACTTTCTTTCTTTCTCAAATTTTGTCATAATTTTGATTAATTGGCAACAAGACTTCGTGCCATTCAATTTGGTCTGCAGTCATACTCATGACTAACAAATCAGACTCCTGCTTCAGGGTCATCTAATTTTGTTGATGATTACAAACAGAATTGGACTCCACTCAGTCCTATCATCATCATTATTATTACAGTAAATGGTTTGAACCTGGGGGTAACATGTAATAGTGTAGTTTGATTGTCCGGGTGAGTGTAGTCCTGAGAAGGACTGTTGTCGGTAGTGGTGACAACCGACAACAGTCCTTCTCAGGACTACACTCACCCGGACGATCAAACTACACTATTACATTATTATTATTAATATTGACATTTAATCGAGGAGCCACTCACATTGTCATACAGCTTCTGGGCAAGTTGTTGAATGTTAGCCTGCACCTCAGGATCCAATCCTTTCTCACTAATCAGAATGCTATCAATCTCCACACAAAGCTAGAAATGAAAAATTTTAAAAAAGCATCACAAGTTATCCTCCAATTCAATAGTGGAAAACATATTTGACAACCCTAAAAGGACTGCATAGAAGTGGAAAATATAGAACAATTTCATACCTGATCAAAGAGGTCACAGGATCTGTATGGGGGACCTCGACTAGCCACAAAGGACAAGAAGGAAATACTCTCTAAAACCTGAAAAAGCCAAACATTGTTTCAGTTTGAGTCAGTGACATGAAATATAATATAACTCCCATACCAGTAACCAGCACTCAACCCCTCCACTCCCGAGATCTTAATTCTACTCTACTTCCCCTAAATAGTACCATACACATCTTTACCAGTGAGTCATGAGAATTTAAGATTTCACGAAAAAATTTCCCCTTATGTCTGCTTGTCAGTGTCCTAAAGACTTTCAGGATGATCTACTCCTGAGAATTAAAACATTTAGAGTTTGCAGGATGCATGTCTAACATTATAAGCACAGGTGTTGTGTGAAGGAGGAAAGTAAGACATCTCTCCTTGGCTCAAAAAGTTTTCTTAAAGGTTGTAGTAAACAGACATTCCCCAGTAAAAAGCTTTGCTTCACAGTGTTCCTTTGACTCTGCTCAAAGGTTTGTAAAAGGCATAGATTACATGATGATAACAATGTTTGAGCACATAGTATGCATTTCAAAATGAAGAAATTGGTTGCTTAATTCTTTGCACTCTATTGGTTTTCCTCCAGATATTACACACTTGCCACAATAACTGCAAGGATGCCTTTGAAAGGAGGGGCTTCGTAACTTAGCACCTTGAACATCATAGATCACATTTTGATTATGGGTCATGTGACCAGTACCAAGTAATACCAACAGCCAATTGGTTGAGAGTGTGAGGAAAGTTTTAATGACCAATCACAGAGCCAAATAAAGAAAAACTAAAGAAATCCCAGCTTCCTTTTGACACTCAACTGAAAATTGCATTTATGCAAGTTTGCTCAGTAGTGATGCTTGGTCTTGATCTTACCATGATTTTACCATAAGGGACAAACATTTGTATGTCTGTGGTTAAACATAAATACATGTAGCATGTTGTAAAAACACCTGGGCAAAAATGCACTGAAGAGTTGATGAATATGGTCATATGTAGCAGGTGATGAAGTCTACATTTCATACTAGGCATGAAATAACAGTAATAAATTACCTTGGAAAGGAATACATCCCCTACCAAACCTCTGTTCTCCAGGAAAGACACCTACATAAAAGAAAATGTGAATGTTCAAACTACTAATTTTTGTGTCTACATCAACCCACCAAAAGATTTTTAAACAAATATAAAATTTCACATGATAATGAGACATATACTTGGTGGCAGTCATACTAGCCTGAGGCTCTGATATAACAATTTTTTTGCATGGATCTCAAGCACTATAAAGAGAAGGGAACTCTCTGACTTCAAACCCAACAGGCATGATAGGTCTAGAACTGTAAATTTGAGAGGTCAGAGTTAAAAATGTACAGAACTGGTTGGAGGAATTAAAGCAGATTAAGTACTGTTTGAGCAGTAAAGTGTGTATGTAAAGTTTACAGATATTTTAAACTCGCTTAACACACAGTGTCCATGCACTGTATTAAAAAATATTATCGATCCATGTAGTTTTCCAAGCAATAATTGCCTGTAAAATTACAAGCAGTTGCCCTTCTGGAACTTACTAACTGTAGCTAACTCACAAGAGCAATCTACACTGTACTAGTGTGTCATTTGCCAACTGGATCTCAGGGGCCCTGTCCCATTTAGAATCATTTTGGTCATTTTTGCATTGAATTTTGAAGCAACCCTACTCTTTTACAAAAGCCTGCCATTTGTTCTTCAGTCAATACCTGTTCTTATAGCTGAGTATTACTGATCAACTGTTAATATAATATTTTGGTCAATACACCATACCTTATTGAATGTAATAACAGGCTTGGGATGGATCCTGATCAAAGTTAGGCATGAGCGATAGCCAGAGAACATTTGTGCAACCAATCTAATGAACACAGCACGCAGCTCCTTATCCTGTAAAATTGAAACAGATAATGTTAACTTCAAAACTTTAAAAGGAAAAAAGTAAGTAAATACTAAACAAATCAAAGTTATGGGCCCAAATTTATCTTCATCTAACACTCAACAAACCTGAAGGACTGGAAGTGATGGTGAAGTTGGTGTCTGGAAAGCACAATCTGCGGTTACTAGTTGAGGATATAACACCTTCAAAGCAACAAGCATTCTTTAGTACAACATTCAGAATTAACTGATGGTAATTACTTGACAAGCTAAACTAATCCTTATATGCTTGCAATTTTTTGTTGGAGGAGACATAGAACAGTTTATGTACTTAGAGAAAGATGAACATCATACTACAGGGTGTGAAATTAACTTTTTTTTCTGATAGCCACTTGGCTCCTAAATTCTTCAAAGTGATAGCCAATTCAAAAAAAGTTGGTCACCATTTTCAAAGACAAACAAAATCTTTCTTTACACTGTCAGCGTTCTAGATAGACCCTCCAAAATTAAGTTAGGGAAAAGATCTTTAATGTGCTACAAAGTGGACACTAGGATGGATGATATACAACTTTCCGGCTCATCTAAATCCAAGATGGCGTCTAGTTATCGATCGAGATGCATGTGCTACATTTTGGAAACAAACTTAGCGAGGAAGTTTGCTGCGGATTTATCTTCGCAAATCTTTTTAATTCACTATATCTCTTGGTAAGATTATGATGAAACGTTCTAGTCGTCAATTTGGCAACTAATTTTCAGGATTAGGTCACCAAAGTGAAAAAAATTTAGGCGCAATTTCACGCCCTGTACTACCTTTCAAATCTGATTTTACTTAACACTATGAGACACTTTTCCCATGGTTCCTACTTTGTGCTGCTAAACTTACCATGGTTAATTCATGCCTTGCTCTACTCAGAAATGGTTCTGACAAGTAAGGAAGATTGATAGAGTCTGGAATGCTGACATGTCCTCCATCAATATCTACAAGAATTACATCAGTCTGCAAGAACAATACACAGTAATCAAAACTCTGATACATCATTTCACTCACTTACAAGTCATACTTGAACTGCCAAACATAAACATTGGGATAGAAACCAAAAAAATGTTGCAGTGGTAACATGAAACTGTTAACCAAAAAGTTCTATACTAAGCTGCCCTCCAATTATTCTTACTGGAACCAGGCAGGCAACTGAGGGCAAGCAGGATAGGCCCTTCTTGTCGGCATAGATAGTCAATCAAAACACATGATTCTCCTTATTTTCCAAGCTCATGAATCTACCCATATAAAAATAACAATATTCACTGGCCAAGTGTACATAACAGGTGAATCAATCATCACTCACCAAATCTGACGCAAGGTAATCTTTGTAGCTTTCATGTATACCCATGATAAATGGTGTTGGGGCGCTCAAAAAATCAAGTAGTGCAGATGGTAGTATTGGAATGAACACATAACTGCCAAAAAATAAAAATAAATGTTAATCATCACATGATCAAATGCACACTCATTTCTAGTCTACAGTCTCTTGGAAATCCAGTTGCCTAAGTGTTCATTCTGACAAGCATGTTATGTTCACTCATTTCGGTTGTGTGACCACCTTTGCTAAAACCCTGCACCTTATTCTTTCTTGCTTAACAAGTTTTCTCAAATTGAAATAGTCATACAAAAAACATGTATAGAACCTGAGGTTCAAAGCAGATGGGATGGGGGAAAAGGTTGGGACAAGACTGTTGAATTGTTTAGAGAGTTCACCTTCCACCACTGTAGCCTACAATAGACTCCTGAACCTGAAGTACATGTGGATTAGGTTTGTCAGTTAATCTCTTCTATAGTCTAGGAGGTTTCCCTGAAATCAATTATGTTTTGTGCCCTCCAAATGACAACACACCAAATTCTATTGGATACCCCTCCACTATGCCATCTAAACCATAACTATCTCAAAATTGTTTCTTGTAAAGCACTCTCTCAGAAGGGCCTCATTTCTGACTAACCTGAACTTGAGAGGATACATTAAAGCCAGCATGGCCTGGGTAGCATTAGTTAACTGCGCGTAGCTGCTTGAATAAAATAAGATTTTGTTTTCCGTCAATGCAGCACAAAAGAGGGACAGCATGTTGTGGATTCCTGTCAACAGATTCAAAATACGTTTATTATGCACTGTATCACTAACTAACAATAAGGCTGTCTTGAGTGAGAGGCCAAAATACAGCCTTTGCAGTATGGGAGAGTGCATGTTTTCTTAATGAGTTGTGATATCCTTTCTTGAAATGCATGAGTGAGTGTTCTCATTTCCATTTAAGACTTTGAAGCCATCTCCTTTCCAGTTGAGTATTCTTCCACACATTTCCTCTTTTTTTTTGGAGTTCTACAAGGGTGTATTTTGATCAAGGGTGAAGTGCATCAAGGAAAAAACCAGCTAGATCATTGAAGCCTACAGCCTGACAACAGACGCCATTTTGAATTATGTTGGTAACTACATGTACTCAGACAAAAATTTTGGCCCTTGTAGCACCTCCAAGATAGTTGATGTGATATCTAACAAGATTTTATCAACTCAATAAATGTAGATGTAGATATTTGAACAAAAGACTACAGCACAACTTTAGGCATAGAAGCAAACCTAGTAAAAGAGGCAGGTGACGACACATTTAATTCAAGTTTTAATGCATAAATTAATTCAAATCCACATCAAATCCTCACAGTGTGACTGACATTATATCATGAAGTAAAAGGGACATAGCTCCTTCCATGTCTTCTCATGACAATTCAACACTTACCAAGCTGATTGAACAAGATAGAGAGTGATTTTCCTGTTACTGGAAGAGTTTCAGATGCAGGAGGGGAGAGGGTTTGCCGATCACCTGCACCCATGGAAAAGGTCATCTTTGGACCCCCAGGGGGTGGAACCTGAACAAATCCAAGGACACAGCCAACTAGTCCCTCTAAGGATTTACCATTTTCAGACAGAAATGACCAATAGATGGTTATTAGGCAGCTCTGAAATAATTAGACAATATATATCATATCAATAATTAAAATTCAATTAAACAAAATGGTTATTGACAGTAACATCTAAAATAACACAAAGCTACATTTCTAAATTGAGTGCTTTTCGAACCCAGAGAGTTGTCTGTATTTTTACTTGAGGCATCTACAACTGAAAACCACACTAATCAAATATTGATCAATTTTTATCTGTAGCTGTTCTGTTGTTGTTTTTTTTTTTTGTATTGATAGTCATCCTATTTCATAGCTTGTACTTTTTTTTACCACTGGATCAGTATGAATGAGAACAATGAGTTTACTCTGTGCAAATGACAGGGAGAAGTGACCTAGACACTTAAAACATTTTCAAGACTACAGAAGTACTTCCTGTATGAGATCTAAATGTATGCAGTTTCCTAGAACTCCCAGGAACAGGAAAAAACTACTTTTCTTGATAGCATTTTCAAATGATGACACTACTGACTTCCATTATTAATGAAGGAGGGGTGTTTTTAGCTCTTTTTCACCAACATGAGACAGGCTCTAACCTTTAAGATGTCAAAGTAGCTTGCTCTTGACACAAGACACAAGCACTTTGGTGCAAACATCTCTGTCATTGAAGAATCTTCTGAATTGACTGTTATTCCAGGCACACCATCCGAAAATCTCTTATCAGATAATGAAGAATCTGATTGACTGCCATCCTTATGAACTTCCCTGTTGGGGGACTTTACTGCTCTATGTTTGGATTTGGCTGGACTGCACTTTTCATAGAATGTGAAGCAGGCACAATATCGATGATCTCCTTCCATATCAGTGAGAACAGCAACAAAGAAAGTTGGTGGTTTGTAGTAATTTGAGTAGTTCCATCCTCCAGGTTGACAAAACTACAGAAAATATCATTCAAAATTGAGAATTAACTGTGTGACACCTCTTGTTTTTGACCACAAAAAAAAGACACAAATTGGTTTCTCTTGTCTGAAGTAATTTTGTTCTAAGGCATAGTAATAACATTTTTAGTTTGCCTCAGAAATCAATTATGATACAATGTAACCCACCATTAATTTTCATGCAACTCCATTTGCTACTTTACTTCACGTGGTATAATCAAGGGACAGTTATCACTCAATGACCCCTGTTTATGTCAACATTTCTCCTTCAATTTTTTTCAATGAAACAAAACAAATCTTTACAATTATTTGCTTTGCAGCTGAGCAAATATCCACCACTTCCACCCTCAATGAGGTGAGTGGTTGTTTTAGTCTATACCACACAGATACCAAAAAATTAGTTTAGTTCTTTCAATATAACAAAAAACAGTTGCAAATTAAACTCTTTAAACATGATTTTGAGTCATCAGCTGCTCAAAGGCGAACAGTACATGCTACTCACTTCCAAACTAGCCAATCAGCGACCACAAAGCACCATTCACTTTGTGGTAAACATGTGTATCAAAAGTAGATATTTCAAGTTGGAAAAATTATATGAATTTAGCCAAGTGCGTAATTTATATTAAACAACAGGACAAAGATTAGTAGTATCTATCTATAAAGTTAGAGCATATCACATTTCAGGAGAAAATATGATATTTCATCACCATTAACAGAGACAACCAGGAAGTAAGACACCTAAAAACACATCACAGAAAAAGAGAAAACACCCTTTTTTGTAATACTTTATAGAGCAAAACCACATTATGAAACCTAGTCCTGAATATTCATATAATTTGTATCATAAAAACTGCTGCCTGGTGAATTTCATCGGCACTCGAACGTTCAGTGAATCGATGGCGAAATCAACAAGCTTGTTTATATCGAGTATCAACATACAAAGAAAAATTTCAAGAATGAGTAAAGGATTTTCCCGCATCTTTGAAAGGTGAGATTAAAACACACCTAACAAGCTACAAGGGGATTAATAAAATGCAAACAAACAGAGCAAATATTGAGCCTGGACGCCACACATCGAAAAATATCCTCAACAGGAGTACGAAGTTTAAGTGAATCTTCAATGGTTTAAAATAGAGAGGACAAACGGCGAAGACCTTTACGTATATTAGTTGTTAATATTAAGTACTATGGAGTGTATGAAAAGAAGTATATTTTAGGCTATAACTAAACGAATTCTGTGGCATCACACTGAGACTAAACTACAATAACGACAGCAAACACGCTAAAATGAGATTCAATCATGTCTAGAGCGAGTTTAAACAATGATGAGCTTCGGTGCTGAGAGTGTATAAAGGTTTCCCTCCTTAGAGAAGCCATACTTAATACCAAAGGCTGCTCTACGAACGAAATCAAAAGCCAAAAATCCTTTCTGAACTAATTGAATAAGCTATAGAGAGTGCCAGCTATGGATTCCTACCCCGTTATACCATTAAGCATTTACGTGATCAGGAATTAAAGACCTCAGGAAAGCTAAGTTTATCGTTCTCCTCCTGAGAAAAATTTCTTCTCCGGCCTTGATTTAATTCTGGGAGAAACCGATATTAAAGTTGTAAAAGAGAGGCACAAAAACAATACTCGAGGTTTACAAAACTTGCCCGTATGTTCAATGTATATCCACGATAGAAAATGATCACAAGAGAATCAGCAAAAGGATCACGCACGAATTTAAAACCCTGCACTTGCCGGCTTTCAATAACGACAAACCTACCAATTCGAGTCCTTCTGGAAACGTTGCATCTTTACGGTCTTTACTCGGGAAGCGTTGTATTACTTTTCCTTTAACTTCTCCTGCAAATCGACAACAAAAATCAAACGTTACAATTTATGTTGAGAAGGAAACTCGAAAATTTCCAGAGGTGTGCGATGTTTGCACAGATATCCTAGCAGCGAGACACGCTGCTGAGGGGAACCCATATAGTTCTAACCATTCTTTGAGTCCCTGTCTATTCCAGCAACGGCAAAATAATCAGCAAGACGGGACATTTCTTGAGATGGAATGTCATGTAGGCGACCATATCCATCCACCCTTTCCTTTGGACGCCATTTTGGATTGGGCTTCACGCATGCGCTGAGACTTCTAGTTGGGAAGGTGTGGCAGAGAGTCATTTGTTTTGAATGGGGGTCCAATGGTGACTCATTAGGGATGAATGCTGCGACTTTCATGTTAATTTTTTGACAACAAAGAGGTGACAAAAAGCATTATAAACCTAACCATTATCTCATCTCCATTTCAACCTTATGTGAAATCTTCCCTTAAGAAGGCCTTTAGTCTCCTAAACTGCTTTCCAATGTGTTATTATAAAAAGCAAGGAATGTCACTTCATTATTGAATGACACAAAAAGCTAGAACAGTATTCAAATCCAAAAAAACTCTGCTCTATCAAGGCCATTTCTTGTAAGAAGGTTTGTTAGAAAGATCAGGAAGCAAAATGCCATTTTTTTTCCCTTAGTTATTTTCCTACCATAGGTTACATTGCAAGAAGATACTATCCAATACCATCTGCAGCTCCTCTATTTTTGGAAACAGGATCATGAAAAAAAAAATTTCAAGCCATAGCCTACTATTAATTGTATTAACCTTCTACACCCTAGTATCAGTATGCATTTTCTCCATACTATTCACCATACATTTCTTGAGATGCTTACAAGGAGAATTTGTTCACTAATCAGGAGCTGTTGTAGTCAGCAATTATTTGTCTATTTTCATGAACCTTCATCTTTAATCCAGGGGTGATACTGTGGGGAGAAACTAGTCACTCTAAGGGGTTAAAGGGTTGGATTTAAGACAATGAGATCAACAAATGAAAACATTTTCAATACAATAATTTTATTGAAAATCTGGAGTAAATAAGCCTAATAAAGAGGCAGTGGTCAACAAAACAAGTCCCTAGATGCAAACTATTTATTTGGACTGAGCTCCTGAAGTGATGCTTAACCAGATGGAGACCTAAAAATGTGCTCCAATTGAGGATTGGTAAAAATTATTTATTCAGCGGGAAGGTTCAATCATAAATAGTTCCAGCGAGTCTAGGATGAAAGTGAATGCCCACTAACAAAATGTTTGGGTCTAAGACACAGGGCTTTTTCATTCTGATATTGCCAGGATGATTTTATCATTATTTGTTATCTGCTGTAAATTAAATCAAAATTGTAACAACAACTGATTTAAAATTGAAAGCCAGGAAATATTAAAAGATGTGGAAGGTAAAATCAAAATACAAGTAATGTAAAAATTAAACTTTTTTAGTTACTTTGGACTTGGCAATTATAAGTTTTAGCAATGGGTTTAAGACTGAGAGAGACAGCCCCCAAAGCAAGATCACCTTGGTTTAAGCTTGGATTTACCAAAAAACAGTAAACTTAAACCCAATTAAGTACTTAGGTAACCTGTAATGGATGGCACTCCATAACAAGGAAGTAAATTAAAGTCTTCCTCTTCTCAAGTTGAAGCAGCCTTGATCCTTTAATATCAATTACATTTCTAATGAAACAGTACAACGCAATAAGAAATTCTAATTATGAAATTCTTGTCAAAAAAAGTAGATGTTACATTTTACTATCCACAACAATAGTGATATGTTATGGAAATTAAAGTTTACACCTATAGGTTATAATAGAACAGAGTATAAAATAACCCATCCAGAACTAGGAAGTGCCTGGCAAAGTCATTGCTTACAATGACAAAAGGGCACAATAGTGCAATTAGGTCAGCAAAAGTGTTGAAAAAGCCTTAGCAAGAAAAGTTTAGACAAGCAGCAATGATCAACCATGCACAACAACTTGACTCTTAAAAACATCTTCTAACAAAACAAGTGTCTGAAAAGCTGCCTTCACACTGTCTGCATCAGTATCATTTTGGACTGTTGTCTTCAGCCAGTCATAAAGCTCAGAGAGTTCCCCAGGAGCATCATTCAAAAGAGTAGCAGAAGGAACAGAAACTGCAACCATGGCCTGTGCAAAGATCAGTGCCTGACGCACAAATGATTCTGAGTGATACTTCAGAGCCCAAGTGAACTCCAAGAGGGCCTTGCCCATATTCCTGGCTATAGGAGTTTCTCTAGCAGAGTACATGATTATTCCAAGAGTGTACACAAGCCTGCCAAGGACAAGTGTGTCTTCACCCAAAAGATCCAATGTGTTCACTTTGCTGTCAAAGTTCTTCATAAATGGAAAAAAGAAATATCCAGCCACACTAGCAAACTTGTTAGCAACAGGTTTGGGTTGAGGGTGTGATGGCCCCTTGGTAAATCTCTTTGTTTTACCATCAATTCTCTCCTGTACAATCTTCTGCCACTCAGGTATGGCTTGCAAAGATTTATAAGATTCTGCTTGTGGGAGTGGAAACCTTCTTGGTACTTCTTTTGTTTTCATTATTTCCACTGGTGTTGAAAGCCTCTGTGCTGCATCAGCAAGAACACTTAACATGTCCATCCTCTGCTGTAAATTGTAATTTGGAGCAAAAAATTCCTCAGTCAAGTAACAAGCAATCTGTTCAGGACACCTAATAAGCACAGCAACTATTGCACTGTGACGTAGTTCACCAAACATATCAGTGGAATATCGGTCCTGAAGATGAAGTAGAACTTTCACTAATTCTTCACAGACATCCTCCAGGTCATCCATTTCAGCACAAACAAGTTTCTCCACATTTTTCAATGATTCTTCTGTTTTTGATGGGTCTTCTGATGCTAAAAGGCCTTCGATACAATCTCGCAAATACTTTGGAGCCTCAGATTTCAAATCCCTGTCATCTTCTTCTCTGAGATCATACGGCACCAAATCATCATCATCTTCACAACTCTGAGGAGAGTTTTTCTCAGTAGAGACTTTTGCAGAGGAACTCTCTTCAGTTGTCAGTTTATCATTGCCTTTGCTTTCAACATTAAGCTCATTTCTCTTTCCTGCATTTCTCAAATCCATCCTCTCCTGTGGACCTTTAGACAGTGATTTCAATAGTTTAGTATCATCATCTTCCACATATCCAAAGGCAAGTTTCTCTCCATTAGGTTCAAGGGAAGATGTAACACATTCCGCAACCACCATGCCAAGATGTTGCACTTTTTCCAAAGGGCTCTCTAAATGACTCTGCACACCAACTAACAACTTGTTAAGCAGTTCATGTTTTTCAGATTTCCTTTCTTCAATGTTCAAATGACCAAATGAGAGAACTACTGCACACGTGACATAAAAATGCTGGTCATATGTTGTGTGCTTAATTGCACTTCTATCGCCCCAGATGTCAAAAAGAGTGTGTAACACTTCCACCAGCAAATGCCTGTGCTTACACCCAGATAAATATCCTATGATGTTGTAAAGAACATTCATATTGGAATAGCTTCTCATCAGTAGAAACTTGGATGTCAGCAAATACTTGAGTTTAGAGTTGGTGAGCACTGAATCCCCAAAAAGCTTAGAAATTAGGGAGGGGTCATCTGCTATCTTTAGCAGGCCTTCGCTAACATGTTCCATGCTACTGTCTGGTATCCCTGTAATAAGTCGTGCACAGATCCTATTCCAAAGTGGACTCTTCTTCAGCCAATTTTCTAATGCTGGTAAAAGTATAGTAAACATTCTCTCTGCTTGCCCAGCCAGGCAAATCCGACCAATCAATTCACCAAGGAACTTGAAGGAGCAATCCTGTGACATTGTTAGGTTGTCATGTAACTTCTCCAATGCTTTGAGAATTTGACATGAAACAAGGTTGAAATAAGACGCCGGGTAGAACTGTGAACTACACTTAAATCTTAGTTTGTTTGCCACTCTCTGAGGGAGAGAAACTATCAAAGTCACGAGCTGTCCCCAAAGTTTGCCTTCAAGCCCTGCTGAACTGGATTTACGTGAGCCATTTTGGGAACGCGTGGATAAACGACATTGTTCCACAAGCACATCAACCAATCTTTCTTCAGCAAAGAACTTCTCTAGCAAGGATACTATCACCTTAGCATTTTTCAAATTGGTCGCCGGTTTGGAGAGTGCGTCTCCCAGAACAAGAAGACAATCGTGTGATGGACCACGAAGGAAAAACACTTCAAAAAAATTTGTTCTCTGCTGCTCATTGAAGTTACTATAGAATCCAATTACTGGCGAAGATATAATAAATTCAGTGAACCTCACAAAGTGATTGCTTACAAATTCACCCTTCAGAACAGGACGATTTTCGAGTGAAACTTGAGAGGGGAGCAGAGATCCTCGCAGAAATAGTTCCACCATGTCATTTAATGTTTCAATCACTTCGCTCGAGCTAGAGGCATTTGCCAGCCTATTCTGACATTCGCGAACAAATCGACGAACCTCACTTGCCAGATCTCGATCCATGTACTGCTCTATTGTATTCAGTTGGCTCTGTCAAGGAAAATGTGGTCTTCGTCCGCCATATTAAATTTGTAATTCGCAAAGCAAGGTGGGAAGAGCTCCAAAGGACACCCCCTCCCCCCACATATCCACTCGTGCTTGGGGTGTGGTAGAAGTATTTCTGATTTCACCCATAGTGCATATAAATCAATCAATAACACGGTAAATAAATAAGCAAAAAAGCATGAGTCAAAACCTCAGATTCTCTTGCTGATAAATTTCTCTTACCTCTACGTCAACTCTGTAAGGCCCATACTAAAAGCACCTACGTAAACTTTTGTGTTTAACGCAGTAAGATGTCCTTACCAAGTCCATGGTTCCCAAAGAACGAATATGAATATATTTTTTTGATGGGGAAGGGGGGATAACATTATATAGAGACCTTACTTAGCCCTTAGGTCCCTACTTGTTCACCTTATTTAAATGTAAAGTTCACTTTATTTAAAGTTACTTGTTCACTTTTATTTATTATTTATTTCTTTTCTTTATTCTTGTTCTTTATAAAAAAAAAAAAGAGAAGTGAGATAGTTTGCCCTGCAAATAGCTGGAAAGCTAATCATGGCAGGGCAAGACAAGTACATGAATTATACAAATTATCTAATATCTAAGGACAAGGAGTCACTTACTCTTAAATGATAACACAGAAAAAGAAAAGCAGACATTTTAACCCTTAACTAGTGTATCTATGTACCAACTTTTTTAACAATCATGGGGATTTGAATATAGTTATCCTCTTTTTCTAAGATATCAAATAGCAATTTGCGTATAATTCTTTTGAAAGCTTTCTTTGGAAGATCTGTTATACAGCTTGGTATCTTATTCCACAGCTTTATTAGATGACCCTAATCAGCTCCAAATTAGTCCAAATTATCAAGAGGCAGAGCTTCCAGTTGCTTTCTTTTTTCCTAATTCTTTTTGGTGGGGAAAAATTGTATGTTTTCACAGAGTGGTCAATATTTTTCGGGATAATCACGTGGCAAGATTATCCAAGCTACAGAAGCCCTGGACAGGACTTCTTAAAGTGAAAATAAATGAAACTTCATTAAGCGACATAATGTAAAGATGCTAAATTCTCCCTGCATCTCTCTGAGTTTTAAAGGCATCAAAAGTATTTTGCTTACAAATTTGTAAGAACAAACTACATTTGAAAGGCATACCACTGAACCTGCACAACTTCAAAGGATGTTTTTATGAAACCTTTATTTAGAAACACACTTGTTACTATAAAAATCACCAAAATTTTGATGCATAGAAACAAAGTTGACATTTAATAATCAAAACAAGTTCTTATAATGTATATTGCAAACTTCAAAAATTATTCTATAATAATCATTATAAATACATCTAAATCTATTTTTAGACTTATCAAAAACCATGACCAATTTTATGTACTGTTCTTTCAATAAAAATTCCATATATTATGTTGTAACCTGGGTATATTTATCATCTTGCATGCTCATGCTGATAACAATATTTTAAAACTTTTAGAAGAAATGGCAGTCAATCATTTCTTGTTTTGTCCATTGTTTTGAAATGTCAACCCTTTAACCCGCATGAGTGACCAAGACTGAATTTCTCCTTACTATTTCAAACCAACATCAAGCAGACAAGTGATGAGAATAAAGAAAGATTTTGGGGAAATGTTAAACATCTCCAAAATAACACCAGGAGACCCAATGAGAACTAATGAGATCTTGTTGGTCTTGAGAACATGTGTGGTCTTGGAACAAACAAGCCTACTCTTTCATCAAAAGGGTCACAGTTACCTATATTGGTTGTTTAACCCTTTACACCCTAACATCACTATGCATATTCTCCATACTGTTCTCCATACATTTCAAAGAGGCTGACAAGGAGAATTTGTTCAACAATCAAGAGCTGCTTTAGTTGGTGATCATCTTCTCTATTCTCATGACTTTCATGTTTGATTCAGGGGTGATATTGTAAGGAGATATTAGATGCTAGTCACTCTTAGGGGCTTAAGGGTGAAAAGTTTGAAGTGTATATGAACAGTGACATAAACCCTGCATGCATCTCCTACTGATGAGTATCAATTTGGTTCCAATTTTCAAATTAAAAAATATCACCAACTTCAAAAAACATACTCTACATTGATTATTGAACATGAAAACCCCAGTGACAATGCTCTAAAAATTAACTTCAATTTGAACACTAGTAGACTGTTGAAGAATATTTTACATTTCTCGAAGAAAACAAGAAAATTAACTGACAGTAAAAAATAAAAGTTATTAATTTCTACCACACTTGTGTTTTGCTTTTAAACATTTCAGTTTTTAACACTATCCATACATGTACCTGCTTTATTACTGTCTGGTAAAAGTTACCCCATCATTCAAACTCAGTTAGTTGAATATAACCAAACTCTACTGAATCAACATTTTCCTATGAGGTTCTTGTTTTTCCTTTAAAATTCCATGATCAGTGAACACAAAAACACATCCCTTATGTGTTGGGAATTTTCAAATTTATGAACAATAACCTGGATAGTTTATGATTTCTCTATTACTTAGCAGGTAAGTCAAAATCATATGCTGTATTATCAAGGATTGAAACAGATCTGGTTTAACTACTTACAGTTCTGTTTGACTGGTTAGATAAAATTAACCAAAGAAAACTATGTGTTTAATTTTGTCCTATCATTAAATGCAATCACACGCTTTAGATATGATTGAGTTTGACTCACTCCCTAGGTTTTTTTTTTCTTTTCAGTGCATCTATCCTAACAGTACGTGATATAATTGCTTGAGGTCACACAAAACGTCTGCACAGAGAAAAGGTTTGACAGCGATCATTTCTTTGGGGAACGATCTCTGTCAAACCATCAGCAACTTCAAGGATGCCTACCTACTATTGTCGAGAAAAAGAAATACGCACCTTGGAATCCAAAATATAACAAAACTGAGAGTAATTCGAACAACAATCATGATGCAGCAAAGTTTTTGGAGTGTTTTCTGTACATCGTTGATGGTTTCACTCTGTTAGGCTCGCTCAGGCGGTACTTCCTCATGTCCTTCTGTTTCTGATAACAGGCATATGGACAAAGCATATCTACAAACACCTCTCTAAACTCCTTACTCCAATAACCCAGCAACAGGGCAAATGATGGAGGGAAGCAATAAGTCATGATCTCTGTCAAACCATCGGCAACTTCGTGGATGCCTGCCGCGTTGCTGTTGTCAAGAAGAAGAAATACGCACCTTGGAATCCAAAATATAACAAAACTGAGAGTAATTCGAACGACAATCTTGGACCAAGTTGTTTCTTTGGTGATCGAGGGAAAATCAGCATAGTCCAAGTTTTTGATCTGTCTACCGCAGACATCCACTGTGTGAGTATGGCTTACAGCTGTTTTCATAACTTGCCACTGCAAAATCAACATGAAGACCACAGGAGTCAGAACTTCAATGCCGACGAACGCATAAACGTAACCTACGGTGTAGGTTGTACTCAACTTGCAGTTCAACGATTTTCCGACATCGTCGTCGAAATTGGCAAACATAAACGACACCAGCACGGCAATGCTCCAACAAAGAACGATTAGGCAAAACGTACGGCCACTGGTCAAGAATTTCTGATACCACTTGTACCGGGAGATTGAGAAGTACCGATCCAAGCTCAGTGCTGCCAGCGTGTAGACAGTCACGGTACAAAACAGCACAAAAAAGCTGCCATATGTCTCACACAATCCTGGTTTATTCAGCCATGTGTTTTTGTCCACAAAGCTCAGGACTCGAAGTGGCATTACCACACCAGCCATGAGCAAATTTGCGCAGGAGAGGCTCGTGATGTAAAGATGAGTGCGGAAACGAAGGATCTTGCTTTTGAAGATGGCGGCTAGGATTAGAAGATTACCAAAAGCCGTAAACAAAATCAAAATTGCGAACGCAATAGCGTTGATCATGTCTCCTACATTCACAACTGAATTTCGTAGCTCCTCTCCATTGCTGGCTGTTGACTCCACCATATCTTTAGTAGAAGACATAATTGTCGATGAAACAGTTCCTGCGAGTGGTGCCATGAAGATTGCCGCCCTTTAGTCAAGACAGCTGTTTACAGTCGATTCATTCTGCTTGCATTGTGAGCATGATCATCGACTGAGATGTCTTTTAAATATCGCCAAGGGATTCTAGACGAAACGAATAAGACTGGGCAACTTTTTTAACGTAACAAACGGACCACTATGTAACTTTATAAGTAAGAAAGTAAGCTTAGTTCAGTCTTTAACCTCCCACTTTCTACTAGAAATCTGATAGAAAATATGTGACGCTTCGTGAAATTGATATGCATCCCGCATTTCCATAGTTACTGCGCCGTAAATGGTTCAAGATAAATGACGCTTCTTTGTTCTTGTGCATTCATTCGTAACAAAAGCTATTTATTAACTCTCTTATGGAGGGTGCTTGACTTTATTAATGTGGTGTTTGAGTTGTATTCGAGCAGTAAAAACCAACTTACCTCCTTCAAAAACTTCACAGCTATTGGGCATGTCACACAACACGCTTCCCTGACAACATGCTACGTGACAAACCCTTCACCGCGGATTAAAACTATGTGTGGTCTAACATCTGGTCTCCAAATTGTCGTCTTTCTCTGTCTCCGTTGACTGTCCTTTCTGTCATATCTTCAGTTATTTGTGAGTATTATTGAAAAAAAAAAGAAAATGATAAAGTTGTAGTTGAGGTAAGGAATTTGTAGATGCGTGAATATTTTTTTTTTGAGACATTTTGGCGGGAAGCAATCCCAGATCCAAAAGCGCTCGTTGATTCCGTGGGGCTTAAAGATGCCGGTTTGGAAGATAAATTTTTGTTCTAGTGTTTTACGGCTTTCCGAACTGCCTAGATGTAAGGAAAGGCCGCAAACTGCCATGTGCTGTTTAGAACGATTAGGAAGATTAAAGTGTCTGGCGACTGGTTTGGATGCGTCCTTGCTATTTCTTTCCACGTCGCGAAGGTGTTCTTGGAATCGGTCACCTAGTCGTCTTCCTGTTTCGCCGATGTATAACTTATTGCAAGAAGTGCAATCTTAATGGATCTCTTGGGTCCCGATATTTCTCTACGTTATGAATGAAAGAACAAGTTTTGCATTGTGAGCGAGCGCATTTGAAAGTTCCAGATTGGTCATTGGTTTGAAATGAACTCTTGACTAAAAAGTTGCCTATGTTTTTGTCACGTTTTAATGAAATAAGTGGGGGTTGCGAAAAGATAGTGCCAGTCTCTGAATCGTTTTGGAGTAATTTAAAATTTTTAAGAATGATAGATTTACCTGCGTGGTTATGAGGATGAAATGTAAGAGTAAATGGAATGCGGTCAGTGTTTTCCTTCTCAGCCGTTCGTAATGCTGACCGTCGATCAATTTGTTGGGCACCGCTTGAACAACAGAAACAGGATAGCCACGTTTATCGAAAAACTGGCACATTGCCTCTGATTTTTCGGAAAAATCAGAGTCGTCACTACATAAACGACGAAGTCTGAGAAACTGTGAAAAACGGTATGGAGTTCTTGACGTGTGATGGATGTGAAGATGAATACAACAAGTAACTATGTGAATCTGTAGGTTTGTAGCACACACTAGTGCATAAACCGTTGCCTTCAATTGAAATTTTGATGTCTAGAAAAGCCAAAGAAGTGTCGGAAATTTCCCAGGTATATTTAAGAGCCGGATGAAAGGAATTGACGGTTATAAATTGAGTTATAAATTGAGGAATTTCACCCTCAAAGATTAGTCTACAAAAGTTCACCTGGAATCACGTTTAAACGTCAAGAAAGATGAGGTAGGTAAATTCAAACAAGTTATTCAAGGTTGTGAGAATTTTCTCCCGGCCGATTATTTGCTTCTGTTGTTTGTTTGTTTTATTGTTTTCCCTTGCCTTACAAATGGTTACTTCGATGAGTTTGATTTCAGGGGAATTTCCGGTCTTATGTTTGCTATGCATGCGGTAATGTTCATATCCTTCCGTGAATCACTGCGATTCCATTAATTTCTTTGGTGATGTTCAAAGACTGACTGAAAATTACTTTAAAATATCATCAAACTTCCCAAACATTATATATCAGTAAATATAGTTGTACATAAGTTAAGTGGTTGGAAGTGAGTCATTTCGTCATACATGTTTAAATGTTTAGGAAAAGAGTTAAGGATTTAAAGTGTTGAGACCGTCACAGAAGACTGCTATCAAAAAGGAAAGGTCCTATGATTTCATACATAGTGTAGCCTAGCTGTGGAAGGGCAATCCCGAGCGCAGGCAACATCCTCCTACGACTGAGAAAACTTCAGTTCCTTCCAAAAGAAAGCTGCGCTGCATATGCGCACAAGGTATATGATTGACGTTAACTACCGCTCCAAATGGCACAAGGCCAAGTCTGATTTCAACCCAACGCTAAGTTTACACTGAAAACCGAGAAGCTATCACCCTCTTTCCTGTAGTAATAAGGGAAATATGGAGGACACTGTTCATGTTTGCATACATCCATTTAAAATATCAGTTTCTCGACCGCGCCATGACATCGTTAAAAGGAACATTCATGTGTTGTACGTAAAATTTAAGAGAATGGAATTTGTATAAGGAGGTCTGTTATGGCCGAATAAGAAAAAGGCCCATCTTTTTTTATTACAACTCAATAAGAAATTGTTACAAGAAAATCAAACAAACACTTTTTTTGGTTACATTAGTGATAGGTTCATCCAGTGAAATTTGTGAAAATTAAGCCCAAAATTCATTTTTTATTAGACAAAGTGTAAAAGTTTCCCGGTAGTTGCGTCTTGAAATATGGTCAATTTGAAGGATTAGTTTGGATTGTACTGAATTAAAATTTTCATTAATTCCTTCTTCAAATTTGCTTTCTCGTGCTTTTAAGACTATCATCCTCCCACATGACGATTTTTACATTCCGTTCGCTATCTTTAGACGAAACTTTTGTAAAAATGAGCTTCTCGCGGACCTTGCAAAATCTTCTTTAAAACAGCGCCATCAAAAACACAGCGAACGCATTGAGAACAAACTTTCCCATGGCAGAGGCAGTGCAAGCATCACTAATTATACCACTGTCTCTTTTTCAAACTGGACTTCCATAAGCTTTGGATAATAATCGTTCCAGAACGACATCCGGCGAGGAGCAAATGAAGTCGTCATCTCGGATTTTTTTATCCACCCGGAGATAGGCCCTGTGACTGGAGTTGTACCTCTCAAACGTAACACCGCTGACTGGCTGGGGCGTTGGATTTCCGAGCTTGGCAAAGTTTGTGTGCAATGTCATGATAAACAAACTGACGTCTTTGTCCGACTGGTCCGGAAACAAATTCGCAAAACGAGGCATAAAAGGGTTTCCAAAATCGAAGCCGACATTATCGCCATGTTTTACCCCGTGCCACACCTTGTGAAAGGGGCGTATTCTTTGCTGATAATCAAACATGTACATATAAACATCGGCATAGTTGCTGTGAATGTCGGCAACTGCGTGGCTTGGGGCGTAGTAGAAATAGTCACCGACGAGGTCAACAAGCTGGGTTCTTAGTGCGCACTTATCACTTCTGTCGGGCCATGGGGTATACATAAACTGCAATGCATCCCTTATAAGGTCGCCCTTCTGCTCTCTGAGGGAACGAAAGATGTCAATTATTTTCAGTGCCAGTAAAAGCTTACTGAAATCCGAAATGGCTATTCTTTATCTATCTTTAGCGGCATTTACACGAGCTAGTTTTCCTTGGCACGTGCACGATTCGCTTCGACGAAAGGCTAACACTCGAGCTACAAACAATATCGATTCAGTTGATAAAATCAAGTTATCTCGTAACATCTCACCGACGCTGCATCACAGTTTTTTTTAGAAACTTACCCTCTTTATTCCAGGAAAGATTGCTTGCTAAATATATTCCAAAAAAATTAAAACTAGACAAAGATACTCTCCGCTACTTCAGCAAAAACTCTCTCGTAAATATCCGCTGAATACAACAAGCGCAGATACACATCGAAAGGGCGTTCATGTACATGCACGCGTTGCTTTCGCAGGAGAGAGGTCAAAAGTTGCTTGACGAGGAAAGGTTGTTGAAGCAGATTTATCTTGTCAAAGCCATTAAAGTTTCATGCCGTGTATAATCATGAAACCTTACCTACCATAGAAAAAACACCTTGTAGAAGATTTATCTTCGTTCAAAAGCTCTAAGAAAAAAATTGTAACACCTTTCCACACTTGCGATTTTACTTGAGGAATTTGCCTAAGTCTGTAAGCTCTCGTGAAAAAAATAATGGCAGTTATAGCAGATAGTTAAACTTACCTGATATTTCGCGCATACGCGAACTTTGTTAGAAATTCCCTAAAGAAAGATGGACTCACTCCGTTGTCTACACTTTCCACCATCCCATAAGACCGATTTGCAATAAATGCCATGTCAGCTCCAGCCTCCCCACTGGTAAAAACAATCATTAACTTGGCTTTCTTAAACTCTCCTTTATTTCGAAGACTCCGGGGGGTGTCATGAAGAAAGTTTTTATCCACAACTGGGGCCCAGCGCCGATAATCCTGAAATATAAACGGTATTTTATTGGAGGCGTCTTGTATCTCTTTTGCCTCTTTCTGACGAATGCAGGCCATCATTTTGCTGTGGTCGCTCGTTGGACAATTCAGGTTTTCAGCAAGCTTATTGGCAAAGTGGAGACCAAAGGAAGTCGGCTGAATTGCAAAGGGACTCAAATCCACTCCGCTCTCTGCAATGGCTTGTTGGAAGAGGCCGTTAGAAAGTGGGGACAATAGATGGAGGCTCACACTTGTTCCACCAGCGCTAAATCCAAAGATAGTCACCTTACCGGAGTCCCCGCCAAAATTTCTTATGTTTCCTTTGACCCACTGAAGTGCCGCCACTTGATCTAACATTCCATAATTCCCAGGGGCAATGGAATCCCCGGTCGTCAAAAAGCCAAATGCACCGAGACGGTATTGGATTACAACTACTACCACGCCGTACAAAGCTAAATAATCGCCGCGATATGTTATTGCACTTCCATATTGATAAGCTCCTCCATGAATGTAAACCATCACGGGTAGATGCTGGCT